CAGGAGAACAGACCATGAACAGGGGGAGGATGATAACAAGGATATCGTCATGCTACCAGAGCAAATTTTCACTATCAACACAATCAACGTCGAACTACAACGACGAATCCACGATAACAAGGCCAGAGATGCAGACCTAGTACACTTCCTCACAACCAAGGATTCGAAAACTCAACGACCAACGTGGGGAAACCCCGAAGATTGGACAGAAGAAGACGGGCTCTTACTCTTCAAGGACAGAGTATATGTTCCTCCAGATCAAGAACTCTATTGAGACATAGTCAAACTATACCACGAACCAGCAGTAATGGGCCATCCGGGCATTCAGAAGACGTTTGACCTAGTACGAAGAGAATATATATGGAACGGAATGCGAAACTTCATCACACAATACGTCCGAGGATGCTCTAAATGCCAGACACTCAAGGTTAACACACACCCAACGAAACCTGGCCTGATCCCCATCACACATAGTGGCAATACACGACCGTTCGGAGTAATCACCACGGACTACATCACCGATCTCCCACCCTCAAACGGCTTTGATGCAGTACAAGTAATTGTTGACCATGACGTCACCAAAATGGCGATCTTTGCACCATGCACGAAAACCATTACAGCAATAGGAGCATCCAAACTCCTGTGGGAACAAGTCTTCAGCCGTTTCAGACTCCCCGACAAAATCATATCAGACCGAGGTCCACAATTTGCAGCAGAGGCATTCAGAGAATTACACAAGGCCATGGGAATTGAAACAACAATGAGCACGGCTTATCACCCACAAACGGATGGACAGACAGAACGAGTCAATCAAGAACTTGACCTGGCACTACGAATCTATGCTGCGAATGACCCAGATCACTGGGCTGACCGCCTCAAGGAATTCGAATTCACACACAATCAACGTACTCATTCAGTAACTGGAAAGTCGCTGTTTGAACTACTCTATGGATACCAGCCAAACATAGCAGGAACGGTCCGCAGCAACCTCAAACATCCTAGCACGCAAGAACGGCTAAAACAGCTCAAGGCCAATCAAGAAAATACAATCGCCACACACAATCAGGCCACCACAGCAATGGCACGATGGTCACCAGCATGCCCAATCACGCTCAAGAAGGGTGACAAGGTGCTGTTAGAAGCAACAAATCTCCGGCTTCCATACCCCTATTGAAAACTAGCGCCCAAACGACTCGGCCCATTCTCTATCTCCGAAGTCATGGGGCTGGTCACATTCAAACTTGTGCTTCCACGCAGTTGGAAGATACACCCCGTATTCTATGCCACGCTGCTCACGCCGTATCGGACGACAAAAGAACACGGCCCAGACCTGCCCAAACCACCACCTGACCTCATAGAAGGTCAAGAAGAACACGAGGTGGAGGCCATTCTCAAGCACCAACTGCAGGGAAGCAGATCGAAGCTGAAGCTCTATTATCTTGTCGCATGGAAGGGCTGGGAACCAGCAGAAAACTCATGGGAACCAGAACACCACCTGACCAACACGCCAGACATTCTCCACGCATATAAGAAGGAGCATCGACTATGAACCATCCCCCATCCCCCACTCGCCACATCTGACTCGCTCTCAAAACTCGCACCACCGCAACCATGCCTCGTACTCGTAACCCCACTCCCAACCCGTGCTCTACCCGCTCACGGGCAACCTCTACCACCCACTCAGCTATCTCAACCACTGGACGTACCGTCCCCCAGTTCATTACCGACAGGCCCCTCATCTCGTACCAACACCTCCCGGTCACGTTCCTCTGTAACAACGCCCCTGCCCCGTTCGGCCTTCGTATCGGATGGGTGATCGCACACCCTGACCTCCACGACCAAGTACGGATCCGTACCGAGCACATCCCGGGAGCCACCTACTGCATCGAAACCTACTGGACCTTCACCGACACCTACCAGACTCACCAAGAGGCCAACACGTTCATGCACCGGGCAGCCAGACCAGCGCAAGTCAAGGAGAACGCGCAACGAGCTGCATGCGCCACCATGCACCTCCTCATCCGAGGAGCCGAGCTCGCAGTCCGCCAACTCGCCACTTACCAGGTTGGACGCGCCCTTGCTGATCTGCTCCCCTGCTGCAAGCAACACACGGACTACACGTGGCATGGACAAGCGTCACCCACCCCCGCCAAAGCCGAACACAACAGAGCTGCATGGGAAGAACAGGAATACCGGACACGCGCCGTCGCAGGAGGATGGATGGGCATGGAGAGTTCGGCCGTAGAATGGGGGTCACCGATGGAAGAAGAAGACGACAATGAGGAACCTACCACCCCCACACCAGGTCTGACCCTATCCGACATGATCACCGCCCTCAGACCTCGTGGATCCCATACCCCACCTCCACGCCCTCCCACTCCAACACCACCCACGCCGTCTCCAACCGCACCAGCCGTTCATCATTACGTGGATGACGAGGTACACTACGAACTGGTCATCCCAGTCCAGGCCCCACCCCCGTATGACGACAATGACGACGACATGGGCAACGACGCAGATTCGGAAAGGGAAGAAGCCTCCTCCAGCGACCACAAGGACAAGGACGATGCCCCACGAATGGAACTCCTACGCGCCTACAACCCCGTCGCCCAACCATTTCGCCTCAAGGGAGCCACAGACCGCTACGCCCTCCGAGGCTACCTCTCCATGAACCACTTCATTAGGGTGTACGCTCTCGACTGGCCGGCACGGTACTCACCCGAGAACATCGAGTTGAGGATCGCTGCCGCCCTCCCCTACGTCACCCTGGGCATTCGTCTCAGCCTCAAACTCCATGTCCTCAATGTCGTGGCACAGTGGTGCAACGCCCACTGCGAAGAGGTCGTCGACAATCGCGTGATCGATGCGGGGCGTTGGCAGCGATTCCTCATGTACTACAGCCAGTACCGACGTGCGGGGATCCCTCTGCATGGTGAACCCGAGATGTCACTCGAAGAGACGGTCCACAAGGTGATCGTCAACCTGATCAAACGACTTCGCCAGATCGGGTACCACCCTCATGAAGACCCCGACCTGGATGCCGACAATATCTTCGGAAACTGAGGGTTGGGACAACCCTCACGAAAGGGGGAGCTGATGTTACGAACACCATGCGTACGCCCACCCTTTTCCTTTCCCCTCGTCATCTCCGTTCCGGACTATGCCTCGCGCCCTCAGGGGCTACTGTAACACCACCCCTATCCTGTCTCATGCTGCTGCGCAGCCTCGTTTTGGACATGCACGTGCCTCATGGCAACCTCGCGGCACGACACCCCCTCACACACCATTACCATGACTCGTACTGACTCGTATGGACTTGCTGTATACGCCCTATTACGTCACCCCTCAAGCACCATGGCCTCAAGGCCTTTGTACTTATAAGAGGGACGACGCAGCATAGTGCTCCCCATCTTTCGACCTCCTGTATAGCTACGTCCTCTCTGGCCTAGTGCCAATTGACTCTCTTGCTTGCCCTCTACCTCGCTCGCTCACCGGTCCACTCGATAGTGCACCGTGCTTACTCGCGTCGGCATCAAGAGACTTCTCACGGACATAACCACCCGGCGTCTAGGCCTCGTTTCCTGACGGAACTCGGACTTCAACGTAACATCTTCCACCAATAATCATCAAATTTGTGATCCAAGTTCTATATATGTTTCTTCACACAGCACAGTAAGATTTTCAATAATTGGACATTAAGACAAGAACATATGAAGGTCACACTTTCAATGTAGCCCTTTTTTCTGAATATATGTCACATCTTCACCAAAACATTATCTTTTCACTTGCTTCTTTTTGCAATTCACTCTGAATGGACTCCATTTATGATTCTAGGTGTACATAAGACAATGAATGTACATGCCATATCACTGTGGAGTATGTTATTCTAAACTGGCATATAACAAGATGCCTTTTTTACCCCCTATCCACCTGCAAGTTCATATTATAGAAGCTCTCACATACACCTATCTGATATAGAACTTAGCCAGCCAACTAAATGCTTGTATATGTTTGTATGTTGCACACATTTTGGGGGGTGTCGTGGAATGGACTCTGGACTCGCCCTATGTATTATTTTTCGCCTTTTCTTTGCCTTTTCTCTGCCTTTTACTATATTGGAAGGTTGCTCCCGCGCTTAAGCGCTCATATTGCGGACTCACTTAGCACTTGCACTTTGTGTCCTAGCCCTCATCTCGACCTCTTGGTCTTTGTGGGCTAGGTGAGTATCTCGATTGCCTGTATGTATGTAGAGCTTTGTTAACTTGGTCTTTATGGGTTAGACATCCCTCGTGTGACTCTAGTTTGCGTCTGCTTTGCGCCTCATGCCGGCGACGCCTCTGCAGTACTACATTGAGGTCATCTAACCTCCATCTACACCCATCCGCCCCTCCCTCTCCTCTGATTGGTGTTCGCGGCCCGCTCCCACGTCAGGGGGTGTAAGGGCTTGGTGCAAGTACACCTAGCTAATTGTAGCTATTGTATTGTGTACCATCAGGTGTGCATTTTAAATACAAGCAGATACCAAACTGAATAGAGAGAGACAGAAGGCAGGGCAGGGCAGGATAGGTGAACAACAAGCACAGGCAGCAGAGTGGGGAGGTGCCAGTGAAGACCAGGTGAGGCACAGTATGGTCCAGATATATTGGGGCTATTAAAGGTGGGTAGTGGTTTGGTGTGGGCAGCAGCCATCAGGGGGTGCAATGCACAAATCTGCTCACATGTCCAGGAAAGCATGAAGGAAGGCTGGGCTAGGCCTTTGGGAATGTTAGGGGAGGGGGGTGGGGACTCAAGCATATCTATTGTTTCTCTACAGGGTGAGCCTCTACTGTTCACAGGCTTAGAAACATTCACAGTTACCAGAAAGGGAATCACCCTGGGGGGTGATCACAGATCAATTGGTTGTGATATTGTGAGGTACAGGTGACAGGTATTGAGCACATAAAGAGTGCAAAAGGACCCTCTGAAGGTCGGGAACAAGATTACTGCAAAACAACACCTATCTAGTCATCTCCGTTAGAACTAGCAACATCACTCCCCTCCTGATCTTTGCCCTGGGGAGCCGTATCATCATCAGCATCAGTCTCTGCATCCGGCGAAGCAGCCGCAACAACCACGAAGCCCGACAACGGCGCAGCAGACGCCCCTCCGTCCGCTTTGCCCTGCGCCGCTTTCCACGCGTGCGCCATCTGGAGGAACTTGAACGTCGTCGGGTTCGACTCGCGCTCGTCGTCGGCGAAGACGATGTCCCAATCTGCGCCGGACACACGATCAGCCAACGTGCGCGCGAAGTCGCAGAGGACAACAACTCACCTTCGACCGTCTGCCCGGTCTCCTTGTCCACGATGCGCCGTTTGCTCGTGATCGGCATCATGCCCTGCACCTTGACGACCTCCTCTGCGGTGCCATACTTCTCCTCGAACGTCTTCCAGATCTCAAGCAACACGACGCGCTGCGAACTTCCGGTCAGCACCTGGCCCTGGACGATCGCGCGAGTACGCACCTCGTGCTTGAGCCCCTTGCCTTTGAGATCCTTGTACGCCCGCTCGAACACCGTTCGAGCGCGCACCGGGTCGCCCTCGACCATCGGCACCTCCTCGTCCTCCTCGTCCTCCGCCTCCTCGCGCAGTGCGCGCGCGACCGGGATCGGCTCCGCCTCGAACGTCGCGTACGAGATCCAGACCTTGACGTGCCCGGAGAGCTCGACGAGGCGTTCGTACAGCGCGCGCGCGCGTTCTCGCTCGCCCTCCTCGGTCTCGAAGTCGATGTACGCCTTCCAGAGGAGCTCGGGCATCGAGAGCGCGTTTTGACCGATGCCGAGCTCATAGATCGCGCGCACGCGCGCAAAGTCTTCGAGCTGCGCCTCGAGCTCAGCGTACTTGATCCATGCCGCCGAGTTGGTCGGGTCGAACTGGAGCGGTATCAGCTTCTGGGTGTGGCGCGCACGGCGACGGCATCCATACCTCAATACACTTTTCGTACAATGTTCGAACACGGTCGAATTCGCGCAGCTGGTAGGTTGAGGTCAGTGTTTGCTACTAGGACCTGCAAGAACGGAAATATACCACATACATCGAACTCCAGTTGAATGTAGCCCTTGAAAAGCGCCTCCTTCGGGCACATTCCGATGGCCGTGCCAAGAATCTTGCGTGCCGCAGTTAGCTGCAGCTGCCGGACCTCGAATCGCGCGAACATGATCCACAACTTGGCGAATGTGAACTGCTTGTGTGGAACGACCCGAACAGCGGTTTGGTATATCTGCCGTGCCCGTTCGTAATCCTGTGCCATGACAAATTAAAAGGGGGCATGGCGGAGAAGAGACGTGATACATACCTTCGTCTCCGTCTCCTCGAATAACGCATAGAAGAGCCAAAGGAAGATATACCGTCTCCAATGCCGCTTCTCTCCTCCTGGAGGTACTTGCGCCACCGCCCTTTCATACACTTCTCGTATCCGATTTTGTGCCCGCTCTTCCTCCTCCCCTGAGGCGCCTTCGTCCTGGAGGTCGTGCAGGGCTCCCTCCTCAAGTCGGGCGTAGTCGAACCAGACGTCGTAATTCCGCCCGTCGTGCGATAACTCCTCTTCGTACTGTATGCGTCGCTTGCCGAGAACCGTGGATTCCAGTGTGGTTCGTGTTCCGTGCTGCTTCTCGAACTTGGTGTACGCAGCATACAGCGCAGCCGATTTTGAGCGGGGAAGTCTTGAAAGCGCGAACTGTTACGTGACCCCCGGTTGGAAACGTCCTAGGTATGACAGGTTCGAATACGCACCTTGTAAATCACCCTCGCCCTCTCGTACTCCTTCAACCGCGTCTCCATCTTCGCAAACGCGTTGAACACAGCCTGCGCCTTCTCGATCTGCTCCTTGTCGTCCCCAAAGAACTCGAGAGCAGTCTGGAACACCTCCCGCGCCTTGTCCAGCTTCCCCCTCTCCTCCTCGAACTTCCCCCACTTGACCCATACCCTTGGCTCTGGCCGGATGGCCACCCAGCGCTCGTATATCGCACTCGCCCGGTCCGGCTCCTGGTACCGAAGCTCCATTTTGATGTACGCTTGCCACGCCTTATCGTCCGGTTCCCACTGCATCCACCGCTCGAACACCTGGCGCGCGCCCGGTACGTTCTGGAGGAGCTCCTCGAGATACACGTACTTGTACCACAGCTGGTCGACGCGCGGGAGGAGCGTCACCGCGCGGTCGAAGAGGTTGCGCGCGTGCTGCACGTTCCGGCCCTTGAGCTCGACCTCCGTGTACGACAGCCAGAGCTGAACCGAGCGCGGGTCGACGTCGAGCGCGCGCTCGAAGACAGAGCGGGTGCGGGCATATTCGCCCTGGCTCGCCTCCCAGTTCGCGTACTGCAGCCATTCTTTGCTGTGGGGGGTAAAGAGAGGGATGGGTACGGGAAGAAGCGGGGTTGAGGAGGACGGGGGACGTACATGCTCGACCTCGTCTGCCGGATACGCTTCTCGAACTCTTCGCGTTTGCGACCGCGGTACTCGTGAAGCTCCTCGAAGTCCTCGACACGCTGCTTCGGTGCGCGGAACTGGGACTCTTGGCGCTCTTGAGCCTAATAGCTAGATGGTCAGAGCTGCGATATTATGTCTGGGGAAAAGAACACACATCTCGGAGGAGCTGCTCAGCAGTAACCTGGATGGCCGCTGGGGCCCTATTTTTGATCCTGAAAGCAGGGTTAGATAGTGCACACCATGTGTCCAGTATTTTCCTCACTGTGGAGCACGGCCGTCCTGCATCGTGCCGGCGACGGGGGTGGGAGGGGGAAGAGAGAAGCTGAAACAGCGCTGTGGCGAGCGCGAACGCGACGAGGACGGAAGTGCACCTGGGGTTAGGGGTGTCCTTCGAGCGTCTACGCGTCACCTCTCGCGCGAGTCACCTGCATTTCTGTGTTGACTCGCTTTCACGTCCTTCCCGCTCTCTTTCTTTCTTCTCTCCTCCCCACGAAGCCGCCATGGCGGGTATCGCAAAAGCCGTTCCGCACCTGATGACCCTCGCGGATCTCAGCCCCGCGCAAATTCGGCACATCGTCTCATACTCCTACCACCTCAAACGGACCTCCCTACCATGGCTCGTCCCACAGCTCTCCCGGGCACACTCGTCGAAGCTCCGAATGCCGTCGCAGTCTCTGTTCAACAAGTCCATTGCTCTCTTGTTCTCGAAGCGCAGTACTCGCACGCGTCTCTCGGCGGAAACCTCTGCGTCGCTGCTGGGCGGCCAGACGCTCTTCCTTGGCAAGGAGGACATCCAGCTCGGCGTGAACGAGAGCGTGCGTGACTCCGCGCGTGTCATTGGAGGCATGTGCCAGGGCATCTTTGCACGCGTTGGTGCGCACGAGGAGATTGAGGTGCGTATCCCGGTCGTCGCTCTAAACGCACCCTCTGACGTCGCGTCCCGCATCGCTCTCACAGGAACTGGCGAAGTACTCGCCCGTACCCGTGCTCAATGCGCTCTCCTCGCTTTGGCACCCGACGCAGGTGCTTGCGGACCTCTTGACGCTGCACGAACACGCCCACCTGTTCGACGCGAGTGCGAAGGCGCCGTCGCCGTCGAGGACGACGCGGCATAACTTCTCTCAGAACTACATGCCGCTGTCGGAACCGCGTTCGCTGACGGTGGCATATGTCGGCGACTCGGCCAACGTGCTGCACGACATGCTGGTGACGTATCCGCGGCTGGGACACAAGATGCGGGTTGCGTGCCCAGCGGATGAGAAATACCGGCCGCCGAAGGCGGTCTGGGACCGTGTGGTGGAGCTGGGCTGCGACAAGGATATCCTCATGACGAGCGACCCCCGGGAGGCGGTTCACGGCGCGGACCTGGTCGTGACCGACACTTGGTGAGTGCGAGTGGAAGTGACTGGTGCTGGCGAGTGCTCACTGTGGACGGGGACAGGATATCGATGGGGCAGGAGGCCGAGAAGGAGCAGCGGTTGCAGGACTTCCAGGGCTACCAAGTGACGGAGGCGCTGTGCCGGGAGGGCGGGGCGAATCCGGAGTGGAAGTTCATGCATTGTCTTCCGCGGAAGCAGGACGAGGTGGACGACGAGGTAAGCGAAGATGAGCCCTGGAGGAAGGCAAGAGAGCTGATCCGAAGCATGCGCTGCAGGTGTTCTACGGGCCGCGGTCGCTGGTGTTCCCGGAGTCGGACAACCGGAAATGGACGACGATGGGGATGTTCGAGTACGTGGCTGGCTGCTGCCTGATATACGCAATGCTGATCTCGGCGACGGAACAGTCTTTTGTTCGGGAAGTGGACGCTCGCCGTCCCGGAAAGGAAGCAGGAGCAGTGAGCAACGGAGGACGGGACCGGGTGGGCGGCGGGCGGGATGGCGAGAGGCACGTTGGCTGATAGCGAGTAGGAGCGTGTAGCGTAAACCGCGGAGTAATCGCGACGGAGTAACCGTGGCAGAGACGATCGCCGTTGTCTGCCTGCGCGCGCCGGATCCTCGTCGCTGGACTGGGCGGTGGGCGACGGCGCGGACGCTCGATGCGGCATAGGCGGGCGGATGACGTCGTGGGACGCGACTCGTCCTCCTCCACTCCCCGCGCTCGTCCCACTTCTTAACTCCCCCCACCACCTCCCTCCCCCACCCTTCCGCTCCACACACCATGGCCGAGGCCAAGCGCGACGTCCGCAACGCCCTCCTCTTCGAGTGCGCCTGGGAGGTCGCGAACAAGGTCGGCGGCATCTACACCGTCATCAAGACCAAGGTCCCCGTCACCGTCTCCGAGTATGGCGACCGCTACACCCTCATCGGCCCTCTCTCCTACAAGACCGCCCCCATGGAGGTCGAAGCCCAGGAGCCCACCGACCCCCATCTCGCCGCGACCCTAGACAGTATGCGCGCCGCCGGCGTCAAGATCCTCTACGGCCGCTGGCTTATCGAGGGTGCCCCCAACGTCCTCCTCTTCGACACCGGCAGCCAGTATTCGCGTCTCGACGAGTGGAAGGGTGACCTCTGGAACCTCGCAGGCATCCCCACACCGCCCAACGACCACGAGACGAACGAGACGATCGTGTTTGGCTATATCGTCGCCTGGTTCCTCGGCGAGGTACGTTCTGCTCTCGCATTCCGATGTCCCCCGCATATATCCGCCCCGCCTGGCCGCAACCATCGCCGACGCGCTCGCCCGGATCTTGTGCGCGCTCCCGCCGAACAAGCCCCTTCTCTCGCTAGCCGTGGGCAACGCTGCCGCGCGCCGCGCGCCGCCTGGGTCGAATAAGGCAACGGCGTATTGACCGACGCTCGTCGCGCCAATGGCCATCGCGTCAATTGCCCGTTACGCGCTGCCCATTCCCAGCGGGTTTGGGCACGTGAACTCCATCGTCTCTAGCTCCGCGTCCCATCAGAGTCAAACCTTCCGCGCGTGCCGGCACTGACCTCGCACTTCTTCCTTCAGTACGTCGCTCGTCAGCTTGACAAGGCCGTCATCGCCCACTTCCACGAGTGGCAGGCTGGTCTTGCCATCCCCCTCTGTCGCAAGCGCCACATCGATGTCACGACCGTCTTCACCACCCACGCTACCCTTCTCGGGCGCTACCTCTGCGCAGGTTCCGTCGACTTCTACAACAACCTCCAGTACTTCGATGTCGACCACGAAGCCGGCAAGCGCGGCATCTACCACAGATACTGCGTCGAGCGTTCTTCCGCACACTGCGCTGACGTCTTTACCACCGTCTCTCATATCACCGCCTACGAGAGCGAGCACTTGCTCAAGCGCAAGCCAGACGGTGTCCTTCCGAACGGTCTGAACGTGGTCAAGTTCCAGGCGATGCACGAGTTCCAGAACCTGCATTCAACCGCAAAAGAGAAGATCAACGACTTCTGTCGTGGGCACTTCTACGGCCATTACGATTTCGATCTTGACAACACGCTCTACGTGCGTCTGGCTATTTCTGCACTGAATGCGGTCCTGATGCTTTTGGCAGATGTTCACTGCCGGGCGTTATGAGTACCGGAACAAGGGAGTGGACATGTTCATCGAGTCCCTTGCCCGTATGTCTCTCCGCCGTCTCTCGCCAAAGAGCGCCATATGACGTCACAAATAGGTCTCAACTTCCGTCTCCAGAAGTCGGGGTCTAAGATGACTGTCGTCGCCTTCATCATCATGCCTGCAGCCACACACTCCTACACCGTCGATGCGCTCAAGGGCCAAGCTGTCACAAAGCAGCTCCGCGATACCGTCACGGAGATCCAAAACCGTATAGGAGCGCGCCTCTTCGACCATGCCATGCGCTCAAACGGGTATGTCCACTACATTGCAGGCCGTTGTACGGATCGACTGAGCTTACGGCGGCCTACAGCGAGCATGCCACTTTGCCCACGGCGGAGGACCTACTCTCGGCAGAGGACAAGGTTTTGCTCAAGCGGCGAATCTTTGCCCTCAAGCGGAACGCGCTCCCGCCCGTCACTACCCACAACATGGCCGACGACTCGAGCGACCCGATTCTGAACCAGATCCGCCGCGTCAAGCTTTTCAACCACTCGAACGACCGTGTCAAGATCGTATTTCACCCTGATTTCCTGAACAGCAACAATCCGATCCTCGGCATGGACTACGAGGAGTTCGTTCGTGGCTGCCACCTGGGCGTCTTCCCTAGTTACTATGAGCCGTGGGGCTACACACCTGCAGAGTGCACAGTCGTACGTTCTTCCGTCGTCCCCCCATTCTTCCGCTGAGATCGTCTCGTAGATGGGTATTCCGTCGGTCACAACGAACCTCTCAGGCTTCGGCTGCTTCATGCAAGACCTCATCGACCGCCCTCAGGACGAAGGGTGTTATATTGTCGACCGTCGGTCACAGTCGGCGGAAGAATCGGTCAACCAGCTCACGGACTGCATGTTCTCGTTCGTCTCCAAGACTCGTCGCCAGCGCATCAACCAGCGCAACCGCGTCGAGCGTCTGAGTCCGCTCCTGGACTGGAAGAACCTAGGGATCGAGTACTCGAAGGCACGCCAGCTTGCGCTCCGCCGCGCGTACCCCGACTCGTTCTACGGTGGTGAGGGTGAAGAGGACTTCGACCTCGGCATGGAGCGCATGACGCTGCCGATCAGCGTACCTGCGAGCCCTCGGTACAAGATGTCAGGTATTGCCACGCCCGGGGACATCGGCACTCTCACCGAAGAGGCACGTACCGCAGTCGTGTATGTATGTCTACTCCCATGCTGACGGCTTGCGGCTTTAGATGCAGGCGCTTGGCACCTCTGACTACCGCGGCTACCAGTGGCCGTCGCAGCAAGACGAGGACGATGAGGGATACCCATTCCCGCTGGTCATGAAGGTCCGCTCGCGCGCGAACTCGGCGGTCATGTCCGGTGCAAGCACTCCTGGAGGCGGTCGTTCGAAGAGCTTGAGCGAGGGCGACCTCCGCAAGGCCGATGCTGCGCTCAGCCACGTCACCGACAGTGTTGAGTCGCCCGTTAACGGTATCAACGGCACCAACGGTCACTGAACGTACCACGGTTGCGCCGAACGAACATCACGTCTTGTAGATTTTTTTCTATGAGCTTCGCCGCCGCTCGTGCAATGTGCTTTTGTACTTTTAGCTGTAGCGTTCTGCAATTAAGTAGTTGACCTTCGCAAATGGCACTTCCGATCTCCGGAGACGGCGGGCCGTGTATGTGGGCGCCTATTCAGGAAATTTCGACCGAGTCCATCTGCCTGCATACACCCACTGCCTGGCTCCTCTACCCGGCCTCGACGGCCACCCTCGCTCTCTTCGTCCCTCCTTTTCTCTGCGCCGCCAACCATGGCACCCAAAAGCGCATCCTACACCATCGAGCCCACCCCCTCCTGGTACACTGCTGTCCCTTCGCTCACTCCCTCCAAGACCGACCTCCCCACACCCTCTGCCTCGCAGCTGAAGGAACTCTCTGCCCGCGCGTCGCGGATGCTCGAATCCGACGCGGAGCGGTACTCGGCGGCATCCGCAGCGAGCAGCGCCGCGGATGCGCACTTCCTCAAGACCGTACTCGCGTCGGGCACGCTCTCCGACCGACTCTCCGCGCTCACGCTGCTCGTGCAGGCGAGCCCGGCGCACAACGCCGCGGCGCTCGAGAGGCTCCGAGAGATGGCCCAGCGCGGCCGCGCCAAGGGCGGCCGCGACGAGGGCCTCAAGGCCGCGCGGTGCGTCGTCGACTGGTGGGTCGGCGGCGGAGGGCCAGGCAGGAAGCTGCGGTGCGTCTCGTCCCGTCCTTTCATGCGCCCCCCCTTGCGTTCTGGCTCCATGTCGTACCTGCCGTGGATTACAACTGGGCATTGACATCGCCGCAGGTACTTCCGCGACCAGCCGCTGCTGCACCCGGCAGCAACGGACGCGCACCTCACCGTGTGGTACTTCGAGGACTGGCTCAAGAAGTTCTTCTTCTCCTTCCTCCAGTGCCTCGAGGCCCTCTCCCTCGACCCGCTCACGTACGTGCGCACCCAGACGCTCGCGTTCCTCGCCACCCTCCTCCGCGCTCAGCCCGAGCAGGAGCAGAACCTCCTCCGGCTGCTCGTGAACAAGCTCGTGCGTCTCCGCGTCCCTCTCCTCTTCTACGTCTTTACGGAGCTGACAGACGACGGCACGCAGGGCGACACAGAGAAGACCGTATGCTCGCGCGTGTCCTACCACCTCCTGCAAGTCCTCCAGGCCCACCCCGCGATGAAGGCGGTGATCGTGCGTGAGGTCCGCGCGCTCGTCTTCCGCCTGCCCGCCTCGACCGCCGCGCAGGCGCAGGCCGCTGAGCCGCCGAAGAACAAGGTCATCCGCTTCACGGACGACGGCGAGGCCCCCTCCAAAAGCGCGAAGAAGGGCAAGGAGAAGGAGAAGGACGACCGCTGGAACTCGCACGCGTGGTACTACGCCGCCGTCACCCTCAATCAGATCGTGCTCACCCCGACGGTGGGGGACCGGACGGTGGCGCGGACGCTGGTGGAGATGTACTTTGAGATGTTCGAGGAGATCCTTGGGTCGAAGAGCGAGGAGGATGAGGCGAGCGAGGACGAGGCGATCGACGGCAAGGGCAAGGATACGAAGAGCAAGGGCAAGGCTAAGGGTCCGGGAAAGCCTCACGGCAAGTCGAAGAAGGGTAAGGAATTCAAGGGTGATGCCGGGTTCACTGAGGTGGAGGACTCGTCTTCGAGGCTCGTTGGTGCGATTTTGTCTGGGGTCAACCGCGCTCTGCCATTCGCACAAATGCACCTGAGCAGCGACAGCTCTGCCGTGTAAGTCGTCCTGTGCGCTCGTAAGCTCATTTCCAGGCCTGACCTCGCCCTTCTCAGATTCAAAAAACACATCGACACCCTTTTCCGTATCACTCATACGTCCACGTTCAACATCTCCCTCCAAGCCCTCACCTTGATCCTCCACATCACTACCACCCTCTCGTCCGCCGCTCCTGCCGACAAAGCCTCCACCTCGGCAGAGAGCTCCAGCTCTGCCTTTTCCACCGCCATCCGTGACCGATTCTATCGCTCGTTGTATGCTTCCCTTATCGACCCCCGTCTCAGCGTGTCGAACAAACAAGCACTGTACTTGAACCTCGTCTTCAAAGCCCTCAAGGTTGATACCGACGCAGCACGAGCTGCCGCTTTCGTCCGTCGCTTCGTGCAGGTTCTCGCAAGCGGCGTTGGCGCCGCCGGTTCCATCGAGTTCGTCGCGGGCGGTCTCTATCTCTTGGGAGAGGTGAACTATCCCGCTCCTCATCGGCTCCCCCGGCCGCTGATCCCCGTCCTACAGCTCTTTAGTACGACCCCCTCGCTCAAACAGCTCCTGAGCAGCCCAAAATCCAAGTCGGCCCCTCCCCCCGACGCCGCAGCCTACGACCCGCGCAAGCGCGACCCGCAATACGCGCACGCCCTCGCCTCGCCGCTCTACGAGCTCCTCCCACTGCTCTCGCACTACCACCCCACGATCGCGCTGCACGCGTCGCAGCTGCTCTCGGGGGCGCCGATCACGGGCTCGCCCGACCTCGCGCTCAACACGCTCGCGCACTTCCTCGACCGGTTCGTGTACAAGAACGCGAAGAAGGCGAAGGCGAAGGGCGCGAGCGCGATGCAGCCGAGCGTGGACCCCGCCCACGGCGTCGCGCTCGTCAGGGGCGAGGCGAGCGCGGGCTTGGGCGTGCCGGCGAACGACGAGCGGTTCTGGCGGAGGCGGGCGGAGGACGTCCCGGCGGACCAGCAGTTCTTCAGGGCGTTCTTTGCGAGGAAGGAGGAGCGGGATAGTAAGAAGGCGGCGAAGGTGGCGAGAAGGAAGGGGAAGGGCGCGGGGTCGGACGAGGAGCTGGAGTCACTCTCTGGTGAAGAGGAGACGTCGAGCGAGGGAGAGGAGGAGGAGGAGGAGGAGGAGGAGGAGGAGGAGGAGGAGGAGGAGGGTGGAGAGGAAGATGAAGATGGGGGCGAGGAGAGCGAAGACGGTGGGTTCGACTTGTCGAGCAAAGGGCAGAAACCTGGGATGGCAGCGAGCAACGAGGAAGAGGAGGACAGCGACCTTGAGGAAGCGGAGATTTGGAAGGTACGGATCAACGTTTTGTTCGAACATTGGTGTTCTTCGCTGACTGCTTCTCTGCAGGCCATGAAGGCGACAATGCCCGCCGAGCTGGAAGACGATGGCCTCATGAACGATAGTAGTGAAGAAAGTGACGACGTGCCCTCGGATCTCGAAGGCACGTCGGACGACGAGGATGAAGCGGATGAAACGGAGCAAGACCATGGAGCAGACGAGAACGAGGACGCCAACGACGATGCGTTCTCCTTGGTTGAGGGATCTGACGCCGAAGATCTGCTTCCTCTCGACGCGGACGTCCCAGAAGGTCTCGTCGTCTGGGACGGTCCAGATGGCAGCGACAACGACGAAGAGGAGGAGTGGGGGGGAGTGTCGTCGTCAGCAGGGCCGCAGAAGGGAGGAAAGCGGAAACGAGAGGAGAGCAACAGGGCTCGGCGGAAAAAGCTGCGGGCGCTGCCCACGTTTGCGAGCTACGAGGACTACGCGAAGCTCATCGAGGGCGAGCCGGAGGACAACATCTAGTTGTAGTCATTGTGTTACATGCTTCACCTATCGCTACTGTCAATAGTTCCTCTTTCTGAAGTTCGGGCAACGAGAATGCGTGGGAACTTCGAGCAAGCCGCACACGTTGGCGCGTGTTGGCCTGCCCGCTCTTCGTCCTCGACCACCACCGTCTGCCTGCTCCCCGCTCGTCATGTCCTACGAAAACGACCCGTTCTACCTCAGGTGCGACGGCACGAAGATAGCGTCCCGGCGTGCGCAGGACTGATGTCTTGCTAACGCCCCCATTCAGATACTAGTAAGCCACCCTCCTCTTCCTCGACGCGTCCAGCGGGCGTGTATGCTAACGCGCCACCAGCACAGGCCACTCTGGCAAGCACGGACACGAGTTCCTCGAGTTCGAGTACTCGCACGGCCGTCTTCGTTACGCCAACAACTCCAACTACCGCAATGACAGTCTCATCCGCAAAGAAAGTGCGTCCTTTCTCGTGTATTCTGCGCGTGTATTCGATGTGGATGGCGCGGAGGTCAAGAGGTGATGTATTGAGGCATATATGCGCGCGTTTTAGTGTGGGTCGGGCCTCTCGTGGTGAAGGAGCTCAAGCGCATCATCGAGTCAAGCGAGATCACCAAGTACGCCTCGTTTCTCCTATACCCGTTCTCCACGTTTGACCGGTCCACAGGGAAGATGACACGAACTGGCCAAAGAAAAACATCGTGGGCAAGCAGGAGCTCGAGATTCGTGTTGGCAATGACCACATTGCCTTCGAGGTGCGTCACTCTCTCACTGGAAGAATTATTTCTGTTGATGCGCGAGGGGGTCTATAGACAGCCAAAATCGGCTCGCTCGTCGATGTTGCAGACAGTGAGGACCCCGAGGGTCTTCGCGTGTTCTACTACCTTGTGCAGGACCTCAAGGTGAGCGCCCTTGGTCATCTCACGCCAGCACATGCTGACGCGCTACCTCAGTGCTTGATCTTCTCCCTCATCTCCCTTCACTTCAAGATCAAACCTATATAGTGGCCACTCGGGGGTTGTAGCCTATTTCCCAAAAGTGCTTTCGTCGTTGCTATGTATCTTGTATTCGTGCTTGTTGAGTGGATTGAGAACTGCCTCACAGGCCCATGTGCTCCTCATCTCATGCGCAAGCCATCGCATTTGTGTGGCAGGTAGTGGAATACATGGAACCCCACTTTGCAAGTCCTCTAGCACGGTCTTTTCCCCATCTACTGCCCCTCAAGAGTGCGCCACGCTGCGTGGAAGATATCATCAGGATGGTCAACTGAAGAGCTGGGTGGAGTAAACACTCACCCCACTTCCCAAAGGCCGTTAGAAGGAACGCACAAGCCCTCGGACAAGACGGGCTGGTTGGGCGGGAAGCACTGGCTCGCCGCTGCGGATGCCACTTGGGCCTGCACGCGATTCCCCAAAGTCGTCAGATTCGCTCGTACCGAGCACACAACAGTCGACGTACCAACGAGGTCCAGCAGTACGAGAGCGGCTGGGGCCCGTTGTTCTCGAAGAAGAACCGACAGGTTCCAAAGGAGATCGTCTGGACGTGGTTCGGCTGGACCGTGAACTCGGGGGCTGTCCGGATCGCCGTGAGTAGTCTGGGTGCGCTCCGTGGCGCTATATCGAACTCACCGATTTGACCGTTCAGGATGGTGATTGAGTTCACGAGCTGCTGGCAGTCTTCCGAGACCGGGGGGAGCTGTCCCAGCTCTCCGCACACGGTAGTGCCTGCGCAAGTTGGGTCGACTCGTCAGTACACGTCCTGCTGCCCGCAACCCGTCCACTCACAGATCTCTCCACAGACGTCAGTCACGGTCCCACTCGGCGCAGCCGCCGACGTCGTGACGGTCACCGTCGCAGTCTCCGTATCCGTTTCGGTCGCGGTGGCGGTCTCAGTCAATGTCGCGGTGTCGGTCTCGGTCGTGGTCCCGACCGAGGTCACCGTCGTGGTCACCGTCGACGCCGGCGGCACGCTCGTCTTCGTCGTCGTCTTCGTGCTGGTCTTTGTGCTGGTCTTCGTGCTTGTCTTCGTGCTCGTCGTCGTCGTCGTCGTCGTCGTCTTCGCCGGCGGGTACGGCGGGAACAGCCACCACAGGAGCCCGTCGAGCACGCCGCCGAGGAGCCCCTCGCTCTCGACGTGGTTCGCGTGCAGCGCGACCGCCGCTTCCGCCGCCGCCGCGCACGAAAACGTCGAAAGCTCGATCGACGCCCCGAGCTCGGTGACCGCGAGGCTCGTAGAGGACACGAGCTGGGGCGTCGACCCGGGGCACATCGGGCTCGTGTCCGTGCCGGTGCCGTTCCCTGAAGTGGGGGTGTCCTGGCGGACTGCGCGGGGGGCACGTCAGAACGTTCGGCTGGGCGAGGGCAGGGAAGGGGGACGTACTGCGAAGGTGGGGGCTCGCGAGGGCGAGCGTGTGCGCCCAGACGGCGAGGACCACGAAAACAGTCGAGAAGGTCTTCATGCTGAACTGCGGGGAGGGGGGGCGAGGGGCGAAGGGTGAGTGCACCGCTGCTGATCCGCATTCGCTCGCTTAGCAGATTTATACCGCAGCGTACGGTCGTGCCAGTCGGACCCGCACGCAGGGCATCATTCGTTGGCCGCCTTAGTCCCGTGTCGCGTTGAATGCACTGCAGGCGAAGTCGGTGGCCGGGCTGTCTAGGTGGACACGGGGAAGAGAGAGGTACCGCGTCAGGACTCGCCCATCGACGGCTGTGTCTGCACCCGTCTAGGAACCCCGCGTTGGGTGCACGACCGACGTCGCCGGATGTGTTGGTGAATGTACAGGGGACACGTCCAACAGACGTACAGGATTGGCAGAATAATTGAAGAGAGCCTGGCGCCGCGGCGGAATACATTCGAGGCTTGTGGACGTCGGACACGATGCACGGCGAGACGGTGAGAAGCGTTGGACCTGGACAGATGCAGCGCTGCGTTCCTCGGCTGCACCGCGGCCAGGAACGAATGCGACATGCGGTCGCATGGTCGTGAGAGCCCGGTGCAGTGTTCAAGAACTGGGCGATCGGTCGAGGCCAGACGGAGGACATAAGACGGCGGGGACCGTATGTCCGCGGGCTTCCGACTTCCCACAGGAGATTCCGGAGATTATGGACGAGCCTCGAGAGCCTCTTTACGAAAGTTTCCGCGGATATCCTACCAGTGCCGAACTTAAAAGGCTGTTTGCCTATCTCGTTCTCGACACGGCCGCATCTGTCGTTCCGGAAGGGAGGGCACGCACAAGCACCCTCCACGGGGATAAGGAGGTCGAGGACGTTCACCTGCTCCGACCAGAGCGCCGTTCGCGAGCATTGATTTGCACCCGCTGAGATGGCCGAGTCCGGTGAGCAGCTGGAGAGCTTCTGGACTGTATGCGCACTGGTTGAAACAGACCACGGGCGCAGTGCAGCGAGGGAGTGAATAGCGTGATGAAGGGCGAGGAACAAGGGGCAACATCTTTGTTGGCGTAAGAACGATGCACGTTCGCGCGGTGCGGCGGGAGAGTGGGTGGTAGCAGTTAGAGCGCCATCCAGTCCAGATGGCGTTCCAAGCAACCTGCCAGCCCATGGCAGATCTGGATCACTTGTGCAACTTTTCTCTCATCAGATATATTAGTACGTGACGTTCGCCAGGCATAAAGAAAAAAACAAAAGGGCCTGGTCGGGAATTGAACCCGAGACCTCCGATCGCGCCCCGAGCGGAGTTCCCGACCCACCCCCTGCGGAGGCCCACGCCCCATCCGAAGCGCCCCATCCCTCCCCCGCCGCGATAGCGGGGGAGGGATCGGGGCGCGTAGGGGGGCGGGGCCGGAGCGGGGTGGGGAGGGGACGGAGCGAGGGGTGCGCCGCGAGGTTTACCGAGCGTGGCGAACACAGGCGGCGCAGCCGCCAGCCTCACGTGCGGGCCTCCACGTGCGGGCCTCCACGTGCGGGCCTCCATGTGCGGGCCACATCCGCGAATTAGGCGCCCGTCGCGAGCCAAGGAGGCGCGCGCGCAGCTGGGTGACGTCATGCAATCGCTTCAAGGATTAGGCGCCCGTCGCGAACCCCAGTGGCGCAGCCGCCGGCCACACGTATGCCGCCACCCCCGACCCCCGAGGTCGTCCGCACCATCCCTTTCCTCTACTCACAACGGTGCCCATCCTGCACCATGTTTTCATCCACCCACCTCGGCTTCCACGCATATGTGCCCGGCGGAGACGACGTCCCCCGTCGTTTAGACGCCCGTCCCTTCGTGGCCGCAACTCATCGCAACGCGGTCACGTGATCACAACCTCCCTTGCACTCGTCCTCCCTCCTCCCTGGCCCTCCTCCCCAACCCCAGCGCGTTTCTCGTGTTCCCCAACGGATCCGTCGTATTTAATGCCCCGCCCCTCCCTCCTTCGCCCCCATCCCCTCTCTTCCCCCTTCCACCACCATGTTCCAACCCGGTGGCCTGCCCCCTCGCCGAGCCGCAGCGGCCGGACCGTCGTTGGCCCTTCCACCCGACCTTGCCCCAGTAAGTCGCCTGCTCCCTCCTCCCCCAGCCCCGTCCCTTACCCCGCGCATATAGTCGCTCCCTACCTTCGGCCTGCGCCGCGCCACAGTCGCCGGGCCGTCGTGGGCCGCTCTGCCCGACGCACCAGATGATGTAAGCCTCCCTTCTCCCCCAGTTCCGTCTTCTCATTGGCGCATATAGTCCCTCCCTTCCCACATCCCACCCCTCGCCCGCCCCAACAAAGCCGTAGCCACTTGGTCAAGGCTCTCTGCCGTCGCTCGGGCCACCTCTGGCCAAACGGAAAAGGACTATGTCCAGTCTGTCGTCGACCAGATCGAGAAAATCGGTATCCGTGCCAACCCCTTCACCGTCGCCCAAAGGACCCGCGCCCGCGAGATGTGGGAGGGGTTCCTGTGCCACTTCGATTTTTGCAAGCCGGCCGAGTACTGGGCTTCTCCTGTCATCTTCAAGTACTCTGCCACCTTCCTCAAAATGCGGGTAAGCTTCCACCTCTCTCTCCCCACACCCCTTCGCCCACCCTCCCCCAACAGGTCGATGCCGTCCGTGGCCGGTTCTCTCACAAGGTCAAGGCCGCCACCCTCTCCCACTGGTTCACTACCCACATCGCCAACGTCCTCGTCTTTTCTTACGATCCCGCCACCAAAGAGCGCGATGGCCCCGCCTTGCTCTCCACCGGTGGCCTCTTTGACAAGCTCAAGAACGCCGTCATCGCCCGTGAGCCCCGCCCCCTCTCCCTCCCTCTCTCCCTCTCTCACCCGCACATCCCAGTCGTTCAAGACGAAGGCCTCGACCGTTACCGCCAGCCTGTCCAGTGGCTCGGTCCCGACGAGGTCTGGCTCGTCATTCAAGAGGACCTCGCGAACACCACCCGCTGCAACCGCCTCCACGCCCTCCAACGCTTGTCGCTGATCACCATCGCTCTCTACACCGGCCTCCGCCCTGGCTCGTTTGTCGCTTCGTGCAAGGAGTACGCCACCAAGGGGCGTTATATCAAGCTCCGCGACCTGACCATCACCCGCCGAGCACGCGGCGTCTTCGAGATCGACATCGTCGTCCGTCACTTCAAAGTCAGCCCTCCCGTCCTTCTCACTCCCTCCCATTCTCACCCCTCCCGTCCAGGGTGACTACCTCTCGATCGAGGCCCAACAGGTCACCTTCACCTTGTCCCCCGTCACCAAGCCCCACAACCTCGTCTTCGAGCCGCAGGTGTACCTCATCCCTTACCTCCGCGAGTGCGGCGTGTTTGAAGGCAACCCCACCATCACCGAGATCATGAGCGACGAACGCATCCAACTCAAAATTGGCGATGATTTCCTTGATCGCCCTCTGTCAGTCTCCCCTTTGCGTACGCGTCCTTCTCGCTGACGTCCTTTCAGCTTTTGTGCCTACGATAACTCTTGCGACAACGGTCTGCAATTGGACGTGCCGACCCTCACGAGCAGGGTCTATGATGTCTTTCGAGCGCTCTGCCTTAACGCTGGCCTCAACACCACCCGCTTGCTTTACGGCATCCGCAGAGGAGCCACCACCCACGTCAGCTAAATCTGACATTTGTCCTCGAGTCCCTCTCTCACCGCCTCCTCCCCGACAGTACGCACTCGTCTTTGATGAGAACATGGGCTCCATCATGGCCCATCATGGCCAGCGTGGTGGCCCCAACCGCACCTTCAACAAGTACTACTCGGGCGTCCAACGCACCCTCGACCTGGTGCCCATCCGCCTTGGCGAGCACGACCACATGCTCCCCGAGATGACCAAGGTACGTCCTCTGCTCCTCTTTTCTCCTTCGCCCCACGTCTCACCGCACCCCCACCACAGGCCCGGGTTGACAGGAGCCGTCAAATCCATCAGGTCGCCATAGGTGTCATGCTCGCTCGTGCCACCATGCGCGCCCGTCTCGACGCCGCAGGTGTTCTTGACACCGACACTGACGACGACGACGACGAAAATGATGACGACGACGACGACGACGACGACAGCGACGACGGCGAAGGCGATGCGGAAGACCCGGACGCGCTCCCCGTCCGTATCCTCAATCAAAAGACCCGGCAAGGCACCATCACCGTTGGCTCCGTCAAGCATTCTGCCGAGGACAAGAAGAAAATCGATGTCAGTTCGGTCTCTCCTCTCTCGTAGCGCCCTATGCTCAGCACCAGTCATCCAGGACCTCGTCAAGAAAGTCTTCGAGGACACCATCCTCGGCGACTACACCGAGTTCCAGGAGCTCATCAAAACCAAGAAGACGAAGGCGTTCCCTCGTGACCTCTCCTACAAGAATCGCCAGCCTGCGTTCGATGAGCACTTTCGCAAGTGCACCTACTACGACGAAGCGAGGGCTGAGGAGGTAACCTTTCACCCGTCCTCTATTGTACCGCTCACTCCTTGTCCCTTTCCCTGTCGTCCCGGACCACAGCTCATCAAGAAGATGAAGGCCGCCTATAGTGCGAGGGTGAAGATCAAGGCAAAGTTGGTGAGGACCCTCTCGAGGGTGGCAACGAAGAATCACGCCGCCGCTCTCGGAAAGGCAACCCAGTCCGCGGTCCTCAACGACCGCAAGGCAGCCGCCGAGAAGCTCGACCAGGATCTCAAGAACCAACCAGCTCAGCTCTTGACCTGGTTTCACAGGTCCACATCCGGGGCCGAAGGTGCGCCTCATGTTTCCCGGCCCCTCGTTCTCGCATCGAATCACGTCCAGATCCAGAGGACGGCGACGCAGACCCGTGGGGCGACTACGTCCGGGGCGACGCTCACGCTCACGCTGACGACGCCGTCGTCGAGGCCGTGGAGGACAACATGTACGACACCATGAAGGTCTTCCCTCGTGAACTCTGCCACCAGGTCCAGTCTATGCTTGCTGACACCGGCATCGCCTCCCGTCATCGTCGAGACGAGTCCGATGCGCACCCAGCAGACGACACCGAAAACCAGCCGCCACGCCCGGCCACCGCAACCGAGTTGAAGCAGGACCGTGCCAAGCAGAACCGCGCCAAGCAGAACCGCGCCAAGGAGTCGGAGGCCAAAATTCAGAACGCGATGATTGGCGGCCAGCTCGATCTCTTCAACGACAGCACAGAGCCCAATCGCCAGCCGGAGCTCGACATGTTCGTCCTCCGCGAGGCGATCATGACCTACAACTCTGCCCCGCTCATCAGCAGGAGGGAAGACGTCGCAGCCTACTTGGTGAGCCTTCTTCGCCTTCAGCAGCCGGGCGCTCACCAATACCTGCCAGCGCGACGGCAAATGGTGCTGCGATCAATGCGGGAGCAAACGGCCTTCACGTGCTGCTCTCAAAACTCACATCGGGTACGTATGCGCACGTCTTGCGCGCAGCTCTACTACCCTTTCCCCGCTTTCTTCCGCAGCCTAAAGCACTCCGAGTGGGCGCAGCTCTACCAGCAATGCAAAGCCCGTTCTCTCACCAACAGCCACCATGGCTATGTCTTCCAGTGCCCATGCTGTGATCCGGACGCCGCAGGCCAGAAGCCTGACCAGTGAGTCGACCCCCTCGACGCACGACCGGCCGTCAACGGCTTCCCTCGGTCCCTCCCGTACAGCGGCTCGCGCAACCGGCTCCTCGTCCATGTCCTCACCGAAGATTGCAAGAATGGCGTCGAGAACCGCGAGCATCTCCAGAAGTATCTACTGGTCATCGACCAGGACACGCGCGCCATCCAGGAAGGAAGACCGAAGAAACTTAGGAAGTTGCTCAAAAAGGCTGTCGAGTACGACTTCAACAACCAGAGCCTCGACGTGCAACCGTCTGCAGATACAGCCCTTTCGTCCAAGGCAGCCGGCAAGCGGCGCACGGCGACGACTTCAGAGGGCGAGAGCCACACCACCAAGCGTGCTCGCAAATCAGGTCAGTCATTCGACACTAATCTGCCGGCTGGCCCGTCACTGTCGCCCTCCCCTCCGGCGGTCAAAGTCTAGGTGCTCGGCTTGAATTGTAGTGAATCGTGAACTTGTGCGCAGTCGTCTCGTTTGTAACCGCCCGTCTTCTTGTACCGTCTGAAAAGCGCCGAAATTGTAGCCTTCATATGTGTTATCGACCTGTCTGATGATGCGCTATCTGGGGCCGATTCAAGAGTGCGCGATGCTGCAGGGAGAAGCCGTCGTCAGCGCCCGCTGGCCGCGGAGGCGAGAGATCGAGCACACGCACCCGACACGCCACGTCCCGTCGCTCGCGATGCACAGGCCCTCCGAGTTCACGGGCTGCACGGGCGGGAAGCACGCCGAGCCCGCCGCGGACGCGACCTGGCCCTGTAAGACGCCACGCGTGTCGTCAGTCGCTATATATATGCGCACCGTCGAGAACGGGGGACGCACGAAGGAGAGCCAGCAGTACTCGAGCGGCTGCGGCGAGAAGTTCTGGAAGAAGATGCGGCACGTCCCGAACGACAGCGTCTGCATGTGGCCCGCGTCGACGGAGAACTCTGGCGCTGTTTCACGGGTCCGGTCAGCGACGTCTTCGTCAGACGGAGAGGGCAGCGGAGGGGACCGACCGACGGAGCCGTTGAGGATGGTGATCGCGTCGAAGATGACGGAGCAGTCGCTCTGGTCGGGCGGCAGGTCACCCACGACCGCGCACACATTCGTGCCTGTGTCTCGAGTAAGCAGTGACTGGGGCAGAAAACAATGAGGGTCACCCACAGTTCACCCCGCAGACGTCGTTCGTGGTGCGGGCGGTGAGGGAGGAACCCGCCGCGTCGCACGCGAACGTCGTGAGCTCGACGGTGCGGTCCCCGACGGCGACGGCGGACGCCTTGACGGGCCGCGCGTTCGGGCACGCCACCGCATCGCTGCGCGCTGTGAACGTGCATTTGGGTCAGCACGAGCCCGACGGGGAGGGAGGGAGGGCGTACGAGTGACGAAGGCATAGCTGCTGGCGACGGCGACGGCGAGCGAGAAGAAGGCGGCAGAGACTTGGATCATCTCGGAGCAGGTGGAGGAGCTTGGAGTTCGGAGGTCGCTGGGTTTGCGATACCGTCCTCTTCGACCGAGGCGCAGTTTATATACCGCGTCGGGCGGCCCAAGAGGATGAATACTAGACCGTGCATCGCGAACCGCGCACATCGCCGGGGACTTCGGGACTTAGATGCACGTCGAGGACCGTGCTGGCGGCGGGCAGGGGCGGGAACAGGCACCGACCTCTGTGTGGCAGTCGCGCGCAGAACCGCGTGCTCTAGACCGCGTGGAAGTCATCGGGAGTTTGTGCGCCGGCGACGGGGGGCGGAGTTGTAGGAAGGACGATGGGTGAGTTTGGCGCGGTGGACTGCAGCCGCGAGGGCGAGGCTGGTACCTTTACTTGCCGTCGGCTGAAGGGTGGCGCAGAGAGCGCGAGGCTGGACCCCACGGGGAAGCGTGGGGAAGCCGGGTCTGGGTACGCGTTATTGTCTGCCGCAGGTGTCGACCATGAGGCCGGATGCGGGTGCGTAGGCGGCGGGTCGGAGGTCCGGTGAGTGACGTGGGACGGCGCTGGAGAGAGACAAGTCGCTCGAGGGAAGGGAAGCAGGACGAGCGGCGAGGGCACGAGAACGGCTGGCCACCTTGAGGGCGTCTGAACAGGTTGGTAGCCAGGTGGTGTGGTAACTGCGCACGCTGCAGAAACGACCAATGCTCGTCGTCTGGCAGCAATGGGAATGTTAATGGATAGGATTAGCTTCAGCGAAGTACAGGCGATCGCACCTTGGAAGCAGCGACAGGGATGCACAGAACAAGGCATCAAGTGTTGAATGAAAGCCGCGCTTGCGAGGCTCCTTCCCTGCGTTTCTGGGGTCGCTCTTGGTCGTTAAATGCGCATGCGTTGTGTGCGAAGAGCCGCGGTTGGGGGTTGGAGACAGGCCGGCCGGAAAGCAGTGACCGTTTGGTTGCCGTTTGTACCTCGAGAGCCTGAGATACGGCGCATACATCCGATGAGCCAGGGCTTGACCGATTCTCCGGCGATGGACCGTGCTGAGTAAGTGTCGCCCAAGGGCAGAGAGACGAGGGGGCCGGAGGATGAAGGTGCGAGTCGGAATCGAGAGCGCGATGGATGCGAAACGAGGGCTGGGGCGAGGTCCGGCACGATCACCGAAACCGGCCCCCAGCAGCGCACACCCGGCGCGGAGAAAGGCAAGCAAAGGCCGCCGGCCGGAGCAGCCCTTAGCCGCCCGGCATCACGGGATCGCGAGAATAGCCGAGCGAGGAGTCGAGGACGAAACGAACCCACCTCCGCTCCTCGCTCGTGCTCGACCTCCCCGCCTTTTCTTCCCCTCCGACCCCCCCTCCCGTCCGTCGAGCCCCCCTCGACGTGTCTCCCCCAGCAACGTCCTCACGAACACACTCTACGCCCTCCCCATGGATCCCTACACGTTCGGTGGCAAATACAGGCTCGAGGAGGAAATCGCCATTGGCGGCTGTGGTGCGTCACTCCCTCCCTGCCCCTTCTCTGCCCCGTCCCAACGCGTCTTTCCCTCCAGGAACCGTCTTCCAAGGCGTCCACACCGTTGCCGGCAAGGAAGTCGCCATCAAGCTGGAACCCGCCATTGCAAAGTCCTCGCCCCTCAAGCAAGAGTCCAAGATCTACAAGACCCTCATGGGTGGCCCCGGCGTCCCCTGGATCAACTGGTCCGGCAAGCAGGGCGACTACAACGTCATGGTCATCGACCTCCTCGGCCCCTCTCTTGAGGACCTCTTCCGCATGTGCAACCGCCACTTCTCCCTCAAGACCATTCTCATGCTCGCAGACCAACTGGTCAGTCTCCTTCCCACCTGTTTCATCCTTCTTTTCCTTTCCCCCTTCAAAATCCGGCCGAGGACACCCTTGACCACCCTCGCTGCTCTGCCCCTCTCGGCGCCTCCGAGCCCCAGCCCATCCCGATTGGGGTCTCACGGCTCGCACGATTTCACACGTTCGATGGCCTCCGTTCCGAGCCCTGCCTCCCCCTCTCGCCATGTTGGTGCGGAGATGAATGCCCCGTCCCGACTGTCGCTGTCTCGCGCACGCTGGCCCAGCGACCGCGTCCCGTCTCCGTAATGAACCTAGTTCTGACATCATCGCCCGCAGATCACGCGCATCGAATACATCCACTCCCGCGACTTCGTACACCGCGACATCAAACCCGCAAACTTCGTCGTCCCAAAGACCTCAGACACCGCTAGCTCCGACTACGTCGTCAACGTTATCGACTTCGGCCTCGCAAAGAAGTTCCGCGACCCCCGCACCAGCTCCCACATCCCCTATCACCAGGATGACCACCACGGTGTAGGCACCTGTCTCTTCGCCGCCATCAGCACCCATCTTGGCATCGAGTGCTCCCGCCGCGACGATCTCGAAGGCCTCGCCTACATGCTCATCTACTTCCTTCGCGGCACCCTCCCCTGGCGGAAGATCAAGGGCTCCTCCGTGTCCGACACCTGGGACCTCATCCGCGACAAGAAGCTCGAGACCGAATCTGTCCTCACCATCGGCCTCCCCGACGAGTTCGACATCTTCTACAAGTACGTCCGCGCCCTCGAGTTTGAAGACCTACCGGACTACGAGGGTCTCCGCACCCTCTTCCGCGGGCTCGCGGAGAAACATGGCTTCGAGTACGACGGCGTCTTCGACTGGTGCGTCCCCCGCCCAGGCGCGAGCAAGCGCTCCAGCTCGAGCGAGCCTCTCGCGACCCGCAAGCGTGTCTGCCGCAGCTGCTCCGCCTGTCAGGCCGCCACAGAGCGCGCTGCTGCCGCTACCGCCACCAAGGCCGCTCATGCGGCCCCACGGCGGGCGAGAATATAGTCGTTCAAGATGTGTCGGTGCGTGACTCCAGAAGTCACTTTAGGTATGTTCACTCCCCTCTTTGTATCTCTTCGCTCGCCACTGACGGCGCTCTAGGCTATAGGCCACGTTGAAGGCCGTCCACCGGCACGGTAAGGGACCAAGAGGACGGCGTCCCGCATGTGTATATGCTTCCACGCTAGAACGAATTTCACGGCGCGACCGTGATCGCCTGCGGGACGCCGGCCCTACTATCATTATGGACGAAAACCCCCGTTCCCTTCGTGAAACGGGAACGATCATGAGCAAGGGGCATGACTCGCCCGCAGACCACCCCTGGCGTGGGTGGTCGCCCGCACTTCCCTCTGCGGATGCTGCGAGGCTTATTATGGGCGGGTCGGTGTGGCGACCGTGTATATATTTTCTGGACCAGGTCAGTCTCGCCCCCTCGTTCGGCTGGTAACCGGTGCTGACCAAAGGTGCTTCTATGCCGCAGCCCACCACCCCATGTCCCTCCGCCCACCGCCACTGGCACGCCGCGAGTCCGAATCTGTTGTGCGACTAAATTACGATGTATGTATGTACAGTATGTATCAGCCTCTCGTGCGTGGGGCATACATCCCGCCCCACACCCTGAGGCTGTGGTGTCGCGCCGCCCTCCCCCTCCTCCCCTCCCTCACTTGCCCGCGTATCCCCCTACCCTCTGCCCGCCCACATTCACCCTCCGCTCGCGTTCCCACCCCGGTCCCCACCCCCTCCACTCCCCATGCCATGTTCGTCCCCGCTCCGTCCACTTTACTTTCTGTGTCATAGTTGTGGATGCCGCTTTTTTCGCCGCGTCCCGTTACCGCTAGTATGCCCATGTGTGCCCGCCTCTATGCTCGCTGTAGTCGCCGTCCTACTATGGAAACCTATGCAAATACACATGCGTCCTTCCTCTCATCCCGCTCCGCGCGCCATCCGCCGCCACGTGTTTGCAATGAGGCTCGATAGACGGCCTCGAGGTGTGTCTGCCCGAGCCGAGGACAGAAAGACGCAGGGGCTGGGAAGCGTCGCGGAACGTTCGCGGGGATTGGACACTTTGATTTTACAGGAGGAGATTGGGAGGTTGAATGCGCGGTTCACTGGCACGTGCGGAGCGCGCGCCAACCATCTTGACCTCCGCCATCTCCACCTCCGCCGTCAGTGCTCCAGGCTCAGCTACGAGCCTCGCCACTTGCCCTTCACCCCACCACCCCCTCTCGTCCAGGAAAAAAAAGCAACCCGGACGCGCAACGATGTCCGCGCAGGTGTTCACGGTGAACGAGCGGGTGCTCTGCTACCACGGGCCGCTGATCTACGAGGCCAAGGTGCTCAAGACGGACAACTGGGACGAGCGCACGACCCAGACGGGCGCCGTCGGCGCGCACTACTACGTGCACTACAAGGGCTGGAAGCAGACGTGCGTGCCGCCCTCTCGCTTTCCTCTGTCTGCGTGGCTCACCGGGTCTCTCTCTTCGCTTCGCGTTCACGCCGGGTCGTCGGCCTTTCTTCTGTCGGTTCGTGCCGCACCGACGCGTCCGACCCGCCACCACCACACCCTCCACCACCACACCCTCCACCACCCGGCGCGCGCAGGTGGGACGAGTGGGTGGACGGCACGCGGCTGCTCAAGTTCAACGAGGCGAACATCGCGCTGCAGAAGGCGCTGCAGTCGCAGTCCTCGGCGGCGCAGGCCGCGTCCGCGTCGTCGGCCAAGGCGGCGAAGGTGCAGGCGGCGAGGGACGGCGCGTCCGCGTCCGTCGCCGGTGCGGGTGGCGGCGCGGGAGGGGGCGGAGGGGGGGCTGGGGGGCGCGGGGCGCTGTCGGGGCGCAAGGACGGCACGCGGGGGACGAAGCGCGGGCGGGAGGAGGTGAGCTGCGTTTCCCTTTGACTGTGCGAGGCGTGGTGGGAGAGGGAGGGGAAGGGAGAGAGCGTGCGCTGACGCGGACGACAGGACGAGAGCACGCGGAAGCCGGAGATGAAGCTCGTCGTCCCGGAGGGGCTCAAGGTCGTGCTCGTCGACGACTGGGAGGCGGTGACGAAGAACAACCAGGTTCGTGCGCGCCCCGCCTCGTTTCGCCCTGTGCCTCACGTTGCGCGCAGCTCGTCGGCCTCCCGCGGCAAGTGAACGTCGTCGACCTCCTCGACGAGTTCCGGGCGCACGTCCTCGCCCAGGGCAGCGCGACGTCGTGCGTCTCTCCTCTCCCACTCGCTCACGTTGCCTGAAGCTCACCCGCCCACAGACTAAAAGACCCAAAGGTGCTACTGCCCACGATCCTCGCAGGGCTACAGACGTACTTTGACCGGGCACTGGGCGCGAACCTGCTGTACCGGTTCGAGCGGCCGCAGTACGCGGAGGTGCGGAAGAAGTACGTGACGGGGCCGACGGTGAAGGTGGGGCAGGAGAAGGAGATGAGCGCGATCTACGGGGCGGAGCACTTCCTCCGCATGCTCGGTGCGTCCTCCGCGTTCGGGGCGGGGTCCAAGGCTGACGGGGTGCACAGTGAGCCTGCCGCAGATGGTCGCGAGCTCGTCGATGGACGGGGAGTCGGTCGGGCTGCTGCGGGAGTACGTGAACGAGCTGCTGCAGTGCGTGCTTTCCTCTGCGTCTCGGACGGGGGCTGACGGGGGCGGGCAGGTGGATGCTGGCGGAGAAGGACCGGATCTTTGCGCCCGAGTACGAGAGCGCGAGCATGGCGTACCAGAACATCTCCCGCGCGTGACCGCCGGCCTGTGTTGTATTCTACTCTTCTCCAGTAATATGTGTATTCTGCCCCGTGACGTCAGACCCCGCTGCACACAAATGCGCCCACGCCCGCCTCTCTCTTCTCTCCCCCGCTCCCCCCGCTCCCTCACCATTCCCCAGCAATGGCAACCGCGCTCGTCGCCCTCGCCTCGTCCGCCCACTCGATGGCCACCTCCCTCCTCAGCGCCGCCGAGGTCAAGGTCGGCTCCACGATCCCCATCAAGGTCCCCGTCAAAGAGTCCGCCCCCAACGAGTCCTTCACGTTCGAGAACATCTCCGGCAAGAGCGTCATCGTCCGTCTTCCGCCCCTCCGCGCGCATACACCCACCTCCTCACTCTTTCCCGCATGCGCCCCAGGTCGGCGTCCCCGGCGCGTTCACCGGGACGTGCTCGAAGCAGGTCCCAGGCTACATTGACGCCTTCGAGCAGTTCAAGGCAAAGGGGATCGACAACATTTTCGTCGTCGCCGTCAACGACGTCTTCGTTATGAAGTCAGTCTCATCCGCACCCTCACACCTGCACACACACTCTGACGCGCGCACGGGGCCGCAGGGCGTGGAAGGCCAGCCTCGCACCCCAGGGCACGCGTAAGTCGGGCCCCTCCTCCCGCTCCCCCCGCGTGCTAACCCGAACGTCAGCGGTGCGCTTCATCGCGGACGACCAGGGCGCGTTCGTCGGCGCGCTCGGCATGCTTTTCGACGCGTCCCCGCTGCTCGGTGGCCCCCGCTCCAAGGTGCGCGCTCCCGCTCCCACAGGCACGACAGAGGCTCGGTCTGACGCGTCCGTGCGTCGCCTCAGCGGTTCGTCCTCGTCGTCGACGGAGACACGATCTCACACCTCGCTGTCGAGGCCGTGCCGAGCGAGCTGACGACGACGGCGGCGGACAAGGTGCTCCCGTGGCTCTGAGTCGTGCAGTACTTAGTACGTGTAGGATAAGACGAGGATGTGGAACACCCCGCTTGTGGAGAATGTTACGAGTGTATGATTGTACGCGTGAAGGCTTGTCCTTGGCTTGTCCGCCGTCTTGGTGGTTTGTGCACGGCGGAATGCGCATGACGCTGGAGCGAGAACGGCCCGGCGCTCCGGAGGGGCAGGCCTTGTTCCCGGACGACGACGACGCCGTCGAGGTCGAGGTCGCCGCCGCCACCCGCGATGCCCTCCGCCTCGCACTCCGACGTGCGGCAAAGCGCGCTCTACGCGCCCCTCCGGCGGCGCATGGTCGAGAACGGGGACTGGGACAGGTCAGTCGCTCGGTCCAGCTCTGGCGGGTACGCAGGGACGAGGGTGCTGAACGGAGGCGGGACAGGATGGCGGCGCGTCTGGCGCGCGAGCTGAACGAGAGCGGGTGGATCGACCGCTTCAAGGACCGGAGCAAAGGTCGGTGGCCTTGTGGGGGCGGACGCTGTTGCGTGCTCACGTCCTCTGTCGTTCCAGAGATGGCCAGGGGCGGCGGGCTGTCGGTCGAGAGCATCCTGGCCGAGCTCGTCCCACTTGCAAGCGGTATGTCCCCTTCCTCTGTCCCGCACGAAACACCGTCGCTCAGACCCCACGTTCGCAGAGGAGGTGCCGATCACGGTGAGGAACGAGGTCCTGGGTGCTCTCCGGAAGCTGCTCGAGAGGCAGATTGACTTTACTTGAGCGCGGCTCGTCAGTGTACGCATTCTTCTGTCGTGTAGACTAGCACGCGAATCCCAGCGCAATTGAAAGAGGTCCAGAGCGAGTGCTGAGCAGAGAGCAGACTCCAGTGCAGCCACCTCGGAACAGAGCCTGAGCAGACGCCAGACTGATCACGCGCGCCTGCCTCCGCCTTCTCTCTTCGACCTCCTCTTCGACCTCCTCCTCCTCCTCCGTACACCTACTGGCAGCCATGCTCTCCCGCCCCGCCGCACGTCTCGCCTCTGCGGCCCGGGTAGCCCTCCGCCCCATGGCGACCACCGCAACGTGAGCCTCCCGTGCCCCGTCACCCCTCCTCCTCTCACCCACCGCCCCTCCCAGCCCAACCCCCTCCCCGTCCTCCTCCTCTTCGACCGCAATCAGCGCCCCCATCTCCGAGCCCAAGTTCTCCGCCTCCGTCGTCCACGGCCGCTCCCTCCGCCCCGCCCTCCGCCACGCCCCGACGCACGGCGTGCCCGCCGCCTCCTTCCACCTCCGCGCGCACGACCGCGCGCGCCTCGACGCCTACGTGCACTTCGTCGCGCACGCCGCCGCCGCGCTCGGCGTGCCCCTCGCCGGCGCCGCCGCGCTCCCCACCGCGCGCTCGCTCTGGACCGTCATCCGCGGCCCGTTCGTGCACAAGAAGAGCCAGGAGAACTTCGAGCGCGTGACGCACAAGCGCGCGCTCAAGGCGTTCGACGCCCACCCGGACGTCGTCGAGGTCCTCGTCCAGTACGTCGAGCGCCACGTCCCGCCCGGCGTCGGCGTCCGGTGCGTGCGCTGGGACCGCGCCCCGGTCGGCGTCGGCGCGCTGGCGCTCGAGGCCGCCGTCGGCGACGTCCGGGCGGTGCCCGCGCGGGAGGTCAAGGCGTTGGGCGAGCGGATCGTGAGCGAGGAGACGAAGGCGGCGGCGGCGGCGGCGGCGGTGAAGGAGGGCGCGGTCGAGAAGAGCTCGTAGGCGTGTGCGCCCCCCGTGCTTGCGTTTTCTTGCTCTCTATACTACAGCCACGTACGTGCCCAAAAGTACTATTTTGCCCCCTCTCCCGCTCGTGTTGCTTGCTTTCTTCAATGCACGAGCCTGCAGCCATCCCTGTCTTGCTCTCCCTTGAGGCCACACCCATGGTCCACCGCAGGGTGGGTGGTGGCATTTGCGCATGTACGTAGAGGCCTTTTGAAGATCTCCCAGCTGTGTCGATCGCGTCCTCTCTGCATATTGTCATGTCGACAGGTGTCCCTGCGGCAGACGCGCCTTGAGTGGCGAGGACATCTCATGCGTGTGCAGGGTACATACATACATACATACATATAAGACCTCGCCAACAGCGGCTGCAGCGCCGGTTGTCCGCCGACCCCAAGTTGTCGATCAAGCCGCGACGCGGGGCTCTGGGATGAGTGTGTGCTGCACGGGCAGACGGGAATGGGCCGCAGCCCTTGTAGCGCGACCGCCGAGGAAGCTGACGGCGAGTCGAGTTTGCATCGTGCACTGCACTTCACCGGCAGCCTCTCCAACACGACGAGGGCACCCCTTCATGCCCGGGCATCCTGTGGAGGCTCTCGACACAAAGTCTCCGGAACAGCTGTGATAAAACTTATAGCTCAAAACATCGGAGCTCGGACCTCGCCCACTCACGCCTTCATCTCCCTCCACCGCCTCACCAACGTCTCCTCCACGCCCACCCGCCCCTTCCGCTCCACGCTCTCCCGCACGCCCAGCCCCGCCGCCTCCAGCCTCTCCAGCACGTTCCGGAACACCCCCCGCTCCGTCGGGCCCTGCACCCCGCGCGCCGCCACGCCCCCGTCGAGCACCTGCAGCGCCGCGTACGCGACCGGCAGCCCCACCGTGCGCGCCATCGCCGAGCCCCCGCCGTCCCCGTACGCGACGAGCCGCGACGCGTGCACCTCCTCCGCCCCGCGCGCGTCCCGCGCCACGACCTCGTGCGCGAGCACCACCAGGTCCCGCTCCCCCGCGCGGTACCGCAGCCTGTGCGCGAGCAGGCCCGCGAAGAGGTCGATCGGCGCCTGCGGCGTCCCCGGGAGGGGCGGCATCCCGGCGTCGCCCCCGCTCGCGTCTTCGGCGGGCGAAGGCGGGAGTGCCCCGAGCCAGCGCAGCGCGGCGAGCACGTCTTCCCGGTCGCCCTCGGAGACGACGTCGCCGAGCGCGGCGCGCACCGACGCGGCGTCGTCCATGACGAGCGTCCCGAGGCGCTCTTCGAGCGCGGCGCGGGCGAGCGCGTGCCAGCTTGAGGGTGCGATCTTCGTTTGTGCGTCCAGCAGGCCCGCGGCGCGGAAGCCGTGCATGAGCCGCGCGAACCCGGGGTAGCGCAGCGTCCCGCGGAAGACGGTGCGGGTCTCTGGGCCGAGGCCGTACGCGGGGGCGTATGGAAGGCTGTCGCGGTTCGCGAGGCCCTCGAGCTTGAGCACGTTCGAGAGCGGTAGGTCCGTGAAGGGCGTGGCCAGCAGGTCTGCGCCGTCGATTTCGCATACCTGAAAACGACGTCAGCACGAGGATCACGGCACGGGAGTGTGTGCCCGAAATCCATGACAGTCCAGTCATTATCAGCCTCAGCCTGTGCCCGGTTAAATGGCATGGTCCGTCTGACATCGTGTCTGCTCGCCCTTTATGACAATGAGACGGCAGAGGCCCAGGTGTCTAGCGCCACGTATCTTAAACTGCAGGTCTGTTCCCGTACAGACCGTGACACGACCACAGGGTTCCTCCCGTCGAGGAAGTGGACATCGTGATGGAAGGTAGCCGAAGCAAACACATAAAGGATACATCAGCGAAGCACGTACCTCGCCGGCGAGCTTGAACCGTGCCGAGTTGAGCGCGGCGGTGAGCACGCCCTTCGGACTCCAGCTGAACTTGTACCCGAGCGGGACCTCCGCGTCTTCAGGTGCAGGCAGGCCGCCGCAGAAGGACGTGAACGAGAGGATCTCCTTGCCTTGCGCACGGAGGTCATCGAGCAGGGACAACGCCGAGCAGTGGTCGATGCCCGGGTCCAGGCCGATCTCGTTCATGATCACCACGTCCGCTGCCACAGCCCTAGAGCCCCAGCCTATCAGCAGAGTTTAGATGGGAGGCGCAAACAACGCACCGATCGTGCAGTTCGCGCATGGCTGGCGAGATGTACGACGCTGTGACCATGTGTTTCTGGTTCTTGATGCACATGTCGGCGACAGCGGGGTGGAAGGGCACGGGTAGGAGGCTAGGTCAAGCAAATGAGTCTCCGTAGGCTCCTCGAGGACTGTAAGACGTACCTAATAACCACATCCGCCGCGGAGATCAACTTCTCCACAGCCGCGGCGTCGCTCATGTCAACGAGGAGTCCCGTAGCATTCGGGAAGGGGGCGGTGAGTCGCTCCGCATCCGTCAACACGTTGCTGGCTGGACGCAGTCAGCAGCTGCCACCTCAGCCAGAAAGTAGGATACTGACCTACCACCACCTGCACGTCGGGCCGCCCACACAGCTCCGCCACCGCCGGCGGTGCGACCATTCCGCTCCCAAGCACCAATACGGTCTTCTTCCTCTCCACTCCAACCGCGTTCTTCTCCGTCTTCGCAGGCGCCTCATTATCCAGCCCCGACACCGGCGCGACCCCGCTGACGCTATCCTTCCACACTCCCAACGGGTTGCGCAGCCACTCGAACGACCGGACGAGCTCCCCGCCCTGCGCGACTGTCGCGCGTCGCAACGCCTCCGCCGCCTCCTCCTCTGCGTCCGTCCGCGGCGGCGAGCCCGTGTAGCCCGCGACGACCGCGCGGAGGTACGGCGCGAACCTGCCCGCGAAGTGCACCGACGCCTCGAGGGGGAGCGCGGTCGGCAGGATGTCGACCGCCATCATCGCGACGGGCGGGAGGTGCGCGGGGAGCCCCGGGGGCCGCGCGACGTACGTCGGCGCGGAGAGCGTGGTGGACCGTTGCAGGAACTCGAGCCCGCCCTCGACGTCGCAGCTGATGTCGCCGACGGCCGCGAAGCGGCCCTTGCCGAGCGTCTGCGCGATCTCGAGCGTCGTGGTGAGCTGCGCGTTCGTCATCAGGCGCGGGAAGGCGGGGGCCCAGCCGGCGCCGTGGAGGAGGAGGGAGAGGTAGGGCGCGATCTTCGTGTGGAACTCGGACACGTATTCGTCGGGGTGGGCGTAGTAGTGGGCGCGGTCGAAGGGCTGGCCGTCTTTCCGCACGAAGTAGTCTTTTGCGTGCGCGTGGACCACGTAGATCTGCCGACATGTCGGCCCAGGTGAAAGCTATGAGCAGGACTAACTCACCTTGTGCAGGTCGGTATCTTCGAGTAGGAAGACGTTAGCAGAGGCTCGAAGGTGGGCCAAGAAAGGGCTTACGAGGGTCGGTCACTACGCTTCGTAGTTGTTCGACACTGACATACTGGACGGGGAGATCCTCCAAAAGTGCAAGGCATCCTTGGGAAACATTTCCGGTACTACAGGCAACATCAGTTTCTACGCAAAGGCTCAATGGCGAGATGCGTACCCAGTGATCCCGATCACCAACGGTCCGAGACTCTTCGGCGTACCACTGGCCGCAATCTCCGCTCCGACGACATCTCGGAGAGTCGAGCGGATGGTCGCTAATGAGGGGTGCGTGTGCGGCCGCGGTGTCCACTGTGACGCCTTCGTTAAACAGGAACACACGCGCTCAACATGAATGGTGCTTACGAGGAAAGGGCTAGCTACCCCTAACTCAAGATGTGCGTGTGCCATTGCGCAGAACGCCTCGAGCGCCCCCGCAACTGCCAAATGGGACTATCAGCATCCCAACACTACAACAACAAGACTTATTTGAATGAAATTAGCCTTCTCCACGTGAACACGTGAAAAACGATCTCTGCGTCTACCGCGAAGAGCGCGATATGCGCGAGTGCTCACAGCGAACAGCATGAGGCTAAAGCTACTCACCACCTGCGAACCATCCAAAGCCTACAGTGCGCTTCCCGTCTGCACCGGTCAAGAGCTCGTAGTCGATGAGCCGAGGAAGTAAAGAGCCGTTTGCTGGCGCGGACGGGTTTTCTGAGGCTAAGAACTTGGATAACAACTCCATGTTGTATACTTGTCCCTTGATTGTATGCGAGAACATGATCTGTGTGCGGGGAACGAGCGACGAGCTCGAACCATCTCGCGCATGGGGGAGACGGGGGGAGGGAAGGGGTCCCGTATACACCTCCGGTAGAGGGGTCTCCTTGATTCCAACGACTATATGCGCGGGTTGCAGAGTCGGGTGCAGCTTCGCGCCAGCCTGACAGGTTGCAAAGGGCAAACGTTCGCGGGCGAGCGCGCAAATAGATGAGACCAGCGGTGCGTACCTTCAGGAAGTCTGTCGAGGTGAACACCCGTCTCTCGCAAGGCTGGACCAGCACGTCCACTCCGTCCTTGTGCACCAATTCGTGCACCAAGTCGGGCGTAAGAGGGCAACGCCTCTCCCAGAGCCGTTCAGGGTCTTCGCGGCGGATGCCAATGGTCGGCTTGTGGCCTTTGGGCTGGCTGGTGCCATAGGAGCGTGCGGAGGGAATGCGAAGGGCGAATGGGGAGCGTCGGAGGACAGGCATGGCTTCATCCAGATGGTAGAGGTTCAAGCAGTGTTTGGTACCGGCAAGCGGGAGGTGTTCGCTTGACGGTGATCAATGGGATGGGTCGATGATCCGAGCCGAGAGGGTGCGCGCTGCAACGGTGGTGACACTCGCCTCTGACATTCGCAGGTGATCGGGACGGACGCGCGTGTGTCGCGGACAGTTTGCGGGGTCAACTTTGGAGGTCAAGGTGCTTTTGGGACTTCCGCCAGACATGGAACATACTGCAATATCCAGGTACTTGGGTGGCAAGCACGTCGGGGACGAGGACAAGGAGGACGGACTCTTCGATGATCGCGACAAAGGCGCAACGCGCGAGCACACGTGATCGCCTCCAGAGAAGCGCTTGTTGCGGACACGTCGGGCGCTCCGTCCTTGGCGCATTGGCACTCTTCCGCACGGGGCATGTCCAGCTGACGTTCCGAGTCCGAGAAAGCCATAATATGATACGTGAACACTCGTACGGGTAATAAGTTACACCTTGTACCGTCTCCCCGTCTTCGTGAAGAACGTCTGCAGCACATAAACTTGGAATCTATACCAACATGTCAGCCCTTGGTAGGGAGAACACCGGGTAACGACTCACATCGCCATTCCGATCACTCCTAAACTCTCCATCACTGCGTACCAGAACAGACGGCTGCAGGACGGTCGGGTCGTACGCAAAACGCTACACGAGCAAAAACCGGACTCACTTCTTGGTGGACTTGACGATGTCAAAGCCGCGGTTCTCGCGTGTGTGGAAGCTGGACAGTGGAGGCGCATCAGGGCACCGTCTCGCCCTATAGATAGAATGTGCTCACTATTTTTGTGACCGCTTGATGTTTATGAGCATGCTGTTCAGCCTGAATATGCTCTCCTCCAGTGCGGTTGTTTGGTCCGCGATTTGTCCAGGCTTGGCGGGAGGTTCGCGGCGAGGCTCCGACTCGACCATGATGTCAAAGTCGATCAGCTTCTCGGTGAGGGTGGACATGTCGTTCTCGAAGCAGAAAGCGTACTCCCCGACGACGTTTGCCGTCAAGACGAAGTCGCCCTGGCGTTCGCGCTGGCCGTCGAGGAGCACACGATCATTGGGGCCCTTGACCTCAAAGTCGATGTCGAATGACCCTCCAGATTGTACCTATCGACGATGAGTCTCGCCTCAAATTGAGAATAGCACTGAACAAACGTACCGCAAAGTAGAACTGTACAGACAAATAAGTCTGACTGAGGAGCGCACGAGAACAACGGACTGGACGTACCCCGATCTTCTCCCCGGCCTTGTCCACATCCGCGTAGAAGCAAACCCGCTCGTTGGCACTGATGGCGGTCGTCAGCGCAGCTGCATTTGTTCGTAAGGCGAGTTGAAGAAAGCAGAAGATGGGGAAGAGGAGGGCGAATGTGGCAGCCATGGCCAGCACCGAGCGTGTCACCGGGAGATTGAAGGGAGAGTCCACGTTACATAAGCGCCGTTCTCCCATAGGCGATGCGAGCCAAACAACGCGCAAACAACGCGTCTCGGCTGCGGCGCATACAGCCTGCAGCCCCAGACTGATCTCCGCATCCCTCTTCCAACTGCCCGCACACACATTCCCCTCACCTCTTCACCTCCATCACCCCGGACAGGAACCAAGATCTCGCGTGCGCATATGCCGATATGTTCTCTCTCTTGGCCGCCGTCGCTGCCGGATATGAAGCGGGCTACCAAGACTCGGCGGTTGAGCGCAACTGCTATCGCCCATCTGGCCAAGGAGACATCTTCCTCTTCTCTCCCAGCATTGGCTCCCGCTCCTCAGGAGACTCTGGCTCACTTGAATCCTCTTCTTTCGATGCTCTCTCATACGCTTACAGCCCCTCCGACCCCGAAAATGCTGTCAAGCATCTCCTTTCACCTGCACCCCGTTCCACCGCTCGTTCATCCACATCTCCGTTCCCCTCTGATTCTCGATATCTTGCTCATGAAGATGGCGCCAGTCTTCAGCACACGCCCGGGACCGCTTCGCTGCACGAGATATTCAACTCCTCCCCTGCAGGTTACTGGCAGCCTCACGGCCTCTCCCCGATCTCAAGGCACTCCAGACGTGGTCGCACACCAAGTGACGAAGATGTTGACGTCTCAGACGAACGTCCTGGCCGCAAGCTAGTTTCCTTGATCGACTACAAGAACGCTCGTGAAGCTCTTGACAGCCCTGAGCCCACCACGCGGCCATCTTCCCCTTCTTCTCTTTCAGCTCTCTCTTCGATTCCATCGTCTCCTTCAATGCTCTTCTCTTTCTGTGCTCCGTCGTCCTCGCAGACGTCAGTTGGTAGATCTCCTGCAAGCTCTCCATGCAATCGTTCGTCTGTCGTATCTCCTCTTCAACCGTCTGGGAGACAGCCGTCACGATCATTGGCACTCCCGCCTCAGCCATCGTTGGTGAATGCTGGCCGACGTCTTGGCCCTGCAACTCGCTCTCAGAAACGCGCCCTATCTCCAGAGCCCTCGCATCAACCAAATTCTCGCGTCAAGCGTGCTCGGATTCAACCTGCATATTCGTCTTTCGAAATATCCCCTTCCCCTGCACGCGTACAAGACCAGTCGCACGATGAGAACTATCAGCCGTCTCTAACGCCAGCTCGCAAGATGACACGAGATCGCCCTCCATCCTCTTTGGGGTATCCCAGTGTTCGCAGAAAGCGCATACGGATGTCTTCTCCGGTCGCGTCTTCTTCAAAGGGTCCCAGACAAGACTCCGCAGTCAGCAACAGCGCAACTGACGCAGAAACCCCTTCCGCATCTCGTCAACGCAACTTCCCTCTACATATTCCTGTCAACGGCGATTTCCCCCTCTTCTATAGACGATTCCCGGCTAGTTCTGTGGTCGACAAGGAGCTCGCCAGGTATGTGGTCCACTCAGTGATTGCTTCATCGCATTTTTTGAAGTGTTGTTATGCACAGGGAATATGGGTTATCCGTTCCAAAGGTCCAAGATGCTACACCCAACTCCCCTCGATCTACACTCGACCTTTATACGCCACGTTTCGTGAAGGGTAAAGGACCCTCCAAGGTAAGTAATTCCGTGTTGTGTTTCGTGTGAGCCCTCGCATGATATGGTACAGGTCGGACTGTGTCCCATTTGCCACGAGTCTGTCAAGCGAGGTGGCGAAGGCAAGCGGCAATGGTTGTCCATGAAGTTCTCGGCTTTCAAGTGGCAAGTGCCCTCTTGCCCGCTGACACCCAATCACTGAACTATCCTGCCAGAGCGTTCCACTTCTACGATTCCTCTGTACCATCCATTCTTATAGACTCGTGTCGCGCCAGCTACCACATGCAATATGCTCATGGTAACGTTTATTTATGTCGCGTAAACCCGCACGCTGATCCCTCTCAGGTATCTCTGCCACAACCGGCCTCCCGTTCTCCCCTCCGATCGCCTTCCGTACTGTCACGCGCACCAATCCGGGCAAGCACGAGAAAGCGGAGCTCCAGGAAGGAAAGTGCCACAAGTGCAAGAAGTGGGTCGCCGTCGAGGGTATCAAGGACGTCCAGTCGAAGGTTCCGGAGATCTTCTGGTGCGTCTGTATTTCATCCTGTGCTTTTGACTGCAGTCGACCTGGTCCTGGTCGCTGTCCAGGTGGAAGCATGCCGCGGCGTGCCATCAAGGATCTACAATCCTTGGGGAGTCAAACGTCTTTATCGAGGACGTCGTCTATGCGGCCGTCTTTGGACAGCTGGCGCGGTCGTCCGGCGACGAGAACTCGTCTGGCGAAGGTCAGGGTTGCTGAGGCGGGCGAAGAGTGATGAAAATGAATTCACAAAAAGCACGTGTACGAATGGACTTTGCTGCTCTCCCATCTGCATGTATCACCGATGTAGAAACGTGTATCCTAGTGTAATCTGTCAACGACGTGATCCTAATGTTTATCAACTTGCGTGTGAAGAGCTCATATAGATGGATGATTCAATATTCACGATGTAGGCGGTCGTAGCGGCACCAGTCGGGCCGAGCACATGAGCGTGACTGGCGCGTGTTTGGACGCGTCGCTTCCCCGGACTGTCCCCGGACTCCGAACGATGAACGCGTCTGCATCGACCGCAGGCCCGGCTCTCTAGGTACCTCTCTCCTCCCTCTCGCGCGGCTCATCTCCTATGCCCCGCCGTTGCCGCATACATTTCGTCTCCCTCCACTCTTCGCTCGTCAACCTCCCAATCTCACTCTATGGCCCTCTCGTAGAGCGATTGGTCGTACGTCCACTATCCCCGCACTCCCGCATACTACTCTACTAAGAGTCAGCCTTCAGCGTCCCCAAGGGCTCGCTGTTCATCTCACCCGCGTCGCTCAGGCCGGCCCCTCCGCAAGCATCAAAGATGTTGCCTCCAAGGTCGAAGCCTACGTCGGCTGGACTGGGATGGCGTCCGCGTCCTCCCTTGCTCACTTCAACGCATCGGGCGACCCTTCAGATAAAGGCATGGAGACTATTGAGATAGATCCCCAGTACGCGCAAGGGCTAGGTTTTGCCTTGGGTGACGTGGTGCGTATCCCTAACCTGTTCTGGAGCGCATGCACCCACCCCGCATGATCGTACATGCAGGTGGAAATCGGACTGCTGCACGATCTCCCTTATGCCAAGTCAGTAGCAACAGAACCCGTCACAGCAGACGACTGGGAGATACTGGTCAGTACGTGCTTCTCTAAATTTACGCCGACCTTCCGCTCAAGCCTTTCTTCAATGTTTCCGCAGGAACTGCATGCCTCTCATGTTGAGAGCACATTGCTATCCCAAGTTCGCGTCGCAGTCGTGGGGCAAGAGATTGACGTCTGGATCCTCGGTCGGACGCGCGCGCGACTTAGCGTTGGTACGTCTGTTCTTGTCTTGGGCGTGCGGTACAATAGCTAATCGCGAACCCGCAGTGTCGACCGACCCTTCAGGCAAGACCTTGCTCTTGACCACTAATTCCGAAGTTAGCATCGCACCCAAACTTCGGTCCAAAGTCAAAACATCCAAAGCGCCTCCTTCATCGAAAGCCGCAGTCAACGGTGGTGCCACTGCTCTCCAAGCTGCCGCGGAGAAGAGCAAAGTCCCTCGCCTCATTCGGACATTGCGTGTCCTTCCCCATCGTCACCACGCACAGCAGCTGTCGGCCCACGCTGGCAAGTCGGAAGATGCTCTCGCTTTCGTCTCCTACAAGACTTTACTCACCATGCGTCCACAAACGACCCCGAGTCAAACGATGTTTGGCTGGACTGCAACACTTCGACGCGTTTCTCCTCCCGCAAACCCGGACAAGGAGCCTTCTCCTTCCTCGACTGTGACACCGCCGTCCTCTCGGCTACTTATCCCTTCCTCGGAGTCTTCGTCGTCGAAGGCAACACTGGTCCCCGGCTCGTCTAAAAACGAGCTCGTGGTGATGTGGTCGCCAGACGTAAACGTCCCCGATGGTCATATCGTATTGTGTCAGGCTTGCGACGGCGCCGAGGACTTTGACTTGGTGAAGTACGCGCAACGTCTTACAGTCGCGAAACATATGGCTCAACGTGACTCCTAGGTTGTCGTTCGTGCGAGAGAACATAAAGTATTCCATCCCCGCATCCAGCAAGGCAGTGTTGTTGACACCAAATGAGTGAGTAGTAATCGACGCCGCGTATGCATGAACTGATCAGTGATGGGTTTGTATACGGCAGTCCTGCCACCCCCTCGCACGGTCTGGCTGGAGTAGACGACGTCTTCACGAAGTGCAAGCAATTCTGCTTGACTACATTCGCACATCACGCCTTTACCAAACGGGTTCAAGGAGGTAAGCTCGATGTGTTCCGTATAAGTATTTTCCTCATACTTTGTAGTGGCTGGACTCTTGATTACCGGCAGGAGTGGAGCTGGCAAGACTGCTTTGGCGCACGCTGTGTCTAAAGCCATGCAAGACGATCCGAGAACGCTGTCCTGTAAGTTCTTTCTAATTGCGACGTGGAAAATGAGCTGAACAACACGTGTAGACGTGCTCTACGTAGATCTAAGCAGGTACAACAACTCTCCCATCGCCAAAGTACGCCAGCACATGAAGTACTGGATCGACAAAGCATCTTGGCACAAGCCTTCTGTACTGGTCCTTGACAACATCGACAAACTAATGGGGACAGAGCTCGAGGTAAGCCTGTCAGACTTATTTGTTTGCCAACGAAGCCAACCGAGTATACCAGCATGCAGATTCGTTTCACACCCGTCACGTCACCGAGCTCTTCCTATCTCTCTTCGGGTCCTCGTCACGCGCCGGTGCGCCCAATGCCAACGGCATAGTTCTACTAGCCGCAGCCGAGTCTCAAGCATCCTTGCATCCGCTGCTCAACTCGTCGCACCTATTCCAGGAGGCGGTGCACCTCAAGCCTCCTTCGAAGGATGCTCGAAAAGAGGTACTGTATCTGGATCAGGTTGACACTCCGTTCCGCTCACAATGCACCTTCCAGGTCCTTGCACATCTCGTACAAGCGCACATAGACACTTCAGACATCACTCAAGACCCCGTTCACCCCCTGAACTTCACCGCGCTTGCAACACAGACAGAAGGCTACTCCGTAACTGATTTGAAAGACCTCGTTGCGCGTGCTGTGCACCGCGCGGCCATCCGCTCTATGCATGCGACGCTACCCGAACAGTTGCACGTATGTGCTCCTCTCACGCCTTCTCTACGATGAGTACTGATGCTCGATTAACAGACGACCCTCACTCCGGCCGATTTCTCCATTGCGCAAGTCGACTTTGTCCCGCACTCGCTCCGGGACGTGAAGTTGCAAAAGTCGGAGACCGCTTGGGCCGATATCGGAGGCCTGGGAGAGACGAAGCGCGTTCTGCGAGAAACGCTTGAGTGGCCGACGAAATACGGGCCCATCTTCGCACAGTCGCCTCTGCGTCTGCGATCCGGGTGCGTGTCACCTGCGTATCTAACTATAGCTCTACTCACCTTGCGCGGTTGCTGTAGACTGCTCTTGTATGGCTATCCTGGATGCGGGAAGACTCTGCTTGCTTCTGCAGTTGCGAAGGAGTGCGGCCTTAACTTCATCAGCATTAAGGGCCCCGAGTTGCTGAACAAGTATATTGGTGCGAGCGAGAAGTCGGTACGTGTTCAAGCATGCTAGTTGGGAGACCACACTCATTTTGGGCATTTTAGGTGCGCGATCTCTTCGAACGTGCGAGTGCTGCGAAGCCTTGTGTTCTCTTTTTCGACGAGTTCGACTCAATAGCTCCGAAGAGGTCAGTACCGGCTCTCAACTGCGCCCAGGAGTTCGCTCAGACGGTTTGTTCTCCAGAGGCCACGATAGCACGGGAGTCACAGATCGCGTCGTCAACCAAATGCTTACCCAAATGGATGGTGCTGAGGGTTTAGATGGAGTTTATGTTCTTGCTGCGACAAGGTCAGTCGTTCTACGTCTCCCTCTGCACATGTCTGATCTCCAATTCAGTCGCCCCGATCTCATTGACTCCGCCCTGCTTCGACCCGGGCGCCTTGATAAGTCCCTTCTCTGCGACATGCCCTCTGTCTCCGACCGCGAAGAGGTGAGTCTCACGCCTCCTGTCATGCATCCGCTCCGTCCTGACCTCTCTTAGATCCTGACCGCCCTCGGGCGCAAAGTGACCTTTGCCCCCTCGCTTGACATGGCAGCCCTCGCCCGTGCAACCGAAGGCTTCTCCGGCGCAGACCTTCAAGCCCTCGTCTACAATGCGCACCTCGAGGTCGTACACTCCGCCCTCGCCGCGCTCCCATCCCCTTCGGACGGCACTGGCAGGTCGGGCGGCGGCGATGAGCACGAGGTGCGGTACACCGCGCTTGGGGGCACGGATGGCGCGGGGCGCGTGCTGTCGCGTGCGGAGGAAGCCGTGTTCCAGCGCCGCCTGCAACGCATCGCGGCCTCTGCAGCGGCGGACCCTCGGCGTGCGAAGGCGAGCGGGGCGGCTCCAGCGCAGGCGAAGGCGAAGACGGTGAGTTCCCGTGTGCGGTTTCGCGACCAGGCCTTGATGTGCTTCTGGCAGGTGCACGAGATCGAGCAGGTCCACCTGGAGAAGGTGCTCAAGAGCACGCGCCCGTCTGTCCCGGCCGAAGAGTGCGAGCGGCTCGGACGGATGTGAGAGTGTTCGCTTCGTCTCCGACGCTCGATGCTGACCGCTCGTGTGCGCTTTAGATACGGTGCGTTTGTGTCGGACAGGAGCGGCGAGCTGCCGGTGCCGCCAGAAGCAGGTGGCATTGGACTTAGAGCGTCGCTGGCATGAGGACGGAGCGCCGGCTGACAGGTCGAATGCGTGGGAATTATGAGGGAGAACTGGCAAGAGGCGAAGTTCTCTGTCTGGCCACGGTGTACGGCTCGACTGAAGATCGTACCGTACGCGCCACCCAATCATTTTCTCTCTCTCCAGTATGTCCTTCGGTGCGCGATCGGCCACGTACGGAGGAAGCCTGCAGCCCTGCAAATAGACGCCAGACAAGTCCCCCCGCCAGTCTCCGCGCGGTTACCCTCAACGTCAACCCGTGAGGCTGAGGCCGGGCGCTGGGCCGCCTTCATTACGTTCCCGTTGGTCGGGCATCAATTTCGGAAGTAACTCCAAACCGTGTATGTCCCAGTCTCTACCCTATCCGGGAAGTGGGATGGGGAGGATGGGGGGTCGTAACAGTCGGAGCCGGGAGCCGGGACGGAAGGGGATGAGGACCCAGCACGGCTCGAGCCAGGGCAGTGGGAGGGGGGGGGGGGGGGTAGAGTGGGGAGAATGGGAGGGGGAGATTGGGAGATTGGGAGATTGGGAGATTGGGAGATTGGGAGATTGGGAGATTGGGAGTGGGAGATTGGGAGGGGGGGAGAAGGGGGGGGAGCCCGTATGCGGTTGCAGCGTATGGGTGCCGACCGGATCGTGAAGAGCGGAGGGCCGGGTGGCGGCAGACGTGCGCAGCGTCGTACCGCGTTGAGTTTCGTGAGCGTCGACAGGTTCGCGGATCTCGCGATACTACCGGCACGCGGACAGAGGGTGGAGATGGCCGCGCTCGCGGAGGGCGTGCGCGTATGCGCGGAACGTGGAGTAGACTCGGAACTCGTGTGCGAGTTCGAGGCCAGGGACGGAACAGGAAGGCCGAGATGGCGAGTTCGGGCTCCAGTTCGGGATGGAGCGAGGAAACCGGGGAGTAGCGCAGCGCGGTTGGGAAGCGGCGAGCTCCCACGCGGTGTCGAGTTCAAGGCGCGCGGGTCGACGTCGCCGGTAGTAGTAGCTGAGGCCATCCAACCGTACGTGTTGCCGGGGGGTGCGTCCGAGGACTCGGACGCGCCGGAGTTTAGGTTATGGAAGGCACGGAGGACCGTGGGGATCCGGAAATGGTCCTGCTCGAGCAGATGGCCCGGTGCGCACGCACGACCGCGGTAGTAAATCGGCGGCTACTGGAGTCCGGAAGGCAGACGCTCGTGCATTAGAACATGCATGAGCGCTTGAGCGCTGCGGCTCATTGTGGACGACCCGAACAAAACCTCCTCAGCCCTGCAGCGTCTCCCGCACTTATCCTCATCATGGACACAGACATCTGGCTCTCACTGCTTATAATGAGCCCAGAATGGCTGCTCCCCACACCTCAGCCCGCCTGGCATGCCACCCTCTACTGTCCCGGAACTTGCTGTAGGTGGCGGCACCTTCTATGAACTCTTTCCTTGACTGAATACCTTTCATCTGTCGCTCTACAGCTCAATTCCGATGATTCTCTGGGCGAATATACAGTAGTCCTTCTTCCCAACAAGTCCAGCTATTTTCTCTTTGAGAAGACCTGGTTTCCACTGTGGCCGGATTCGACGCCGTTTAACCTCACAGAAGTGAGTCCCCATCGACTATTGTCCACACACACCTTCTCAAAGCATGCAGGATCGGAATATTCCCGAAGGCACACTTGCCTGCCCCAGGGCGGAGAACGGTACGCGGGTCTACTACGTCAAGCACCCCGACGGCCGTTGGCATTCAGCTCAAGATGATGCCCTCAGCGCACTAGACAAGGTAATGCGGGTCAATCTGGCTTGTTTGAAACACGCTCTCACACCCTGTCATGTCGTCGTCTTCTCGTCTTCAGACTCCAGCCCACCCGAGCTGTCAGGTTGTTCCGTACAAACCGTACCGCCCAAAGGGTTGCTCCCCGGGCCCTCCTCCCGCCAACGCAACGGACGTCGATCTCAACGTCCTCATCTCCTCAGCCATGAAAGGCGAAGTTGAGCACCCTACTGAGCCGGCGTTTCCTGTACTCGATGGCAACCAGGACCACGAGAAGTTCTCTGTCCGCTTCGGGGTCCGTTCTCGCTGTCCGTCCTCCGAATCGATGCAAACCCGGCTCATGCGCTGTGTTTCTTCCTGCAGATAGAGGGCTTCGACGAGAGGGACGAACGGAAGCAGCACAAAACTCGCCGCAACAGGCAGCCCCTCACCCGTGCCGAGCTTGCGATGCTCGTCTCCGGGCTCTTCGTCGCGCGTGCCGTGAGTCCTGCCTCTGTCATCCGACGCGCTGAACCCTCGACGCGTCGTTGCAGGCCAAGCTCAACCACAAGCTCCGCATCGGGGGTCGTGAGATCGACCTCGACACGCACAACATCCTGCTCGTTCGCGTGGGATGGGTGACTACGGGAACCATCCAGCCCATCCTGCACTTCGTTCGCTAGACCTCGTCACGGCGTCGGGGACGTGAGGTATCTTCTTACTAGTACATTTGGTCATTGCCCCTGCCCGAACATTGGTTCCCTCGTGTTGTGCTCCCCCACCGTCGCCGCATGTCTGTACATGTAACGCAATAGAGACATCGAACGAAACTTGATGGCCGCCCGTCCAAACCCCAGGATACTTACCGCTAGGAATTTCAGCGAGGCTGAACGTTGAACCCCCGCCACAAGGTTGACGCGACACCGCACTAACCAGATATCTGAGTGAATCCGCACGTGTCTAATCGAATAGGCCTGACCAGAAGTGTGCCCACAGGCGGGGAGACGCAGACCGACTTTCGCACTGCACTTAAGGTACTTACCCGCTGTCAGCGCGCAGACGTCTACATACGGAGGACGGCGTCTACGGCGTCCTGGAGATGCGCGCCTGATTTGCATGAAGTGGATATAGAATCGTGTGTTGTAGGTACACTGGTACGACGGTAGTAAAACGGGACAAGAGCGTCCGCATGCTCTGCGGGTCCGATGCAAGGCAGCGCGCGGCCACGCGTCGAGGGCCGAGACCGCCGGGCTAGCGGCGCTCTGAGGCACGACCTCACTCGCGCGCTCTGGCTCTGTGGGAGACGGAAGGTGAGCGACGAGTCCCGTCCAGTGGGGTACTAGGAGCGCTCAGCGGGGTGGCGCGTCGAGCGTAGGGGTCACCGGCCACCCGCAGGCTGTTTGTTTGTTTGTCTCCTATTTACAGCAGATTGCAAAAGGGTTGAGAAAATGGGAAAGAGAGTATATACTCATCGGGCGGCCAAGGTTCCGGCCCAATCTTCCGACACATCTTCCGACGCATCTTCCGACTAGGGATCCGCATCTGCATCGGCATTGCCGGGATAACGCCCGTTCCGAGGTGTTCCGCCCGGCACGGAATTTCTGTTCTCACGGCCCGTAAGGCGTGCGGAAGTTACGCCTTCGTTGCCGCTTTCCGTCGTCATTTCCTGCTTTCCGCCCGGGCACTACGCGTATCCGCTGATGGGTTGCAAACCAGGGAAGACACGCAGAGCGGGTGCGAAGTTATCACCGCATGCGAGTTTGTTGAGCTTGGGCTGCGGGGACCCAGAGTGCACTGAGCGTTGATATGCATGTGCCGCCGCGGCTGTATGGTGCACCTCGACTACGCTAGCGCCCAAGCGCCGCCGCCTGGCACCTCGCCCTCGCTCGTCCTCACGCATCTCGACCATTCCGCCGCGCGAACCCGTCGCGATCCGCCCGCGGGTACCCCAGGATTGACGCCCTAGCAACCCAGTCCAGACGCGACGCTCGCGGACGCACCACAGCGCTGTCCATGCCCGCCCGTACGTGTTCACGTGCGGAGTACTCCTCCACAGCCTGCACAGTGCAGCTGTCGACGCGATGGTGCTTTGCTCCTCATATTGTATATTTCGTCTTATCCCCTGTTCTATTTTCTTTCTATTCTGTATCTTTGTATCCACTTCGTGCGTCCCCCATTTCAGCTCGTTCTGTCTCGGTACACCGGTCCGTTCACATGTACACCTACTCACGTTCCTGTCCCCCGCCTTGCTCGTCTTAGTACTTCCTTTTCTGCTGTGGCTTCGCATTTTTCGTCTTTTGGCTTTGGCAGCTCCTTTATTTGTCGCCATGTGCTCGCGCTGTGTACTGTATGTATTCAGGCTCTAGTTTTACTGTGCGTTATCCAGTTCACTTCCGCGCTCTCACCCTGCGTGCCGTGTGCTCACTTTGTCTCATCTTCGACTTCGACTCCGACTTCGCCCACAACCTCACCTTCGTCTTCGTCTTTGCCAGTGCCCATGTGCGCAACCTCGTTCGTATCCCGCGTCTATCCTAGTCCCGTCCTCTTCGCGCTCGTGCGATCCACCGATCCCCTCCCTTCGCGCTCGCCCTTCCCGCGGCGCGCCGTATCTATTCCCTTCATCCTCTCTACTACTTCCCACGACTACGCTTACACGAGCTCACTCCCTCGCCCTCACCATAGTTGACTCCTCCCGGACTCAAGACTTGCTTGAGACATTTTTTCGATCCCTTGTATGTGCTCAACGCAAATTTCTGCTTGAATTCAATCTAATTAATCTACAGTATGTGCAATGGCAGTTGAGCACATTTTATCAGCTGCGCGCCACAGTCGAGCGTCGTTGAAAGACGAGACTATTCAGCACTTGATGATTGTCAAGCAGCAGCTTCGAGTAGTATTGTGTTCCCAACTTTCCAAGCGACCTTCTACAGTGTAGATTACTGGTGTTTATTATATATGTACTTCACTATAGTCCTACCTATTTATTGTGCCCATATATGCATCGGGTACACCCAAAAGCATGTCGACAAGAGGGTGTGGTCCAAAGCCTGACGGGCGCTTCGAAGACATTGTGCCACTGAACTCGACCCGACCTTTCGTCGCGTGTGACGGGCCTGCATCGCGGCAGCGACGCGGAAATTCCGCCCCGTATCGGTATCCCACACGGTCTGCATTCGTCCGGAACGGCACGAGCGCCTGAAATGCCTCTCGTCACCGTCATCGGACTCGGAAATATTCCGGCGGCATCGGATACGCCCGTTGCGGAGCCCTACACCTGCCATATCCGGCAGGGGCGCCTGCCCCTTGACCGCGCGCCTACACTGTGAGCTGCCCGCCATCGACTGACTTCTGCCCACCCGCCGTTGTGTGCCCTCCCCTTGCTGTGTCCCTGACACTCCCGCTAGCCTTGTATCCTGTAATCTTGCTCCACCATCACACATGGTCTACCGCCACATCCGGTATCCCCGAAGACGACCTTGTACGACTCCAAGATATGGACTACGTTTCCGGGACGACAGACTTGCACAGCATCCCCACGGCGGTCTGGAGGGAGAAGTTGGGGTTCTCAAGCCTGAGATGGAAGCGCGTGCTCGACGCTGACGAGCTTTTTGTTCACAAGAATCTCTTTCCGCGCTTGTAGTAGTAGTCTTACTGCTTCATTGCGTCAGGACCCACGTTAGCCAGGTTTCATGCTCTCACTACATATTATGTAACGCTGTCTTTACTCTGTCATAATGCGAGGTCGCCCCATCTACGGTGTCCAGCTCTGGACGTGCGCGCCTGATTTGTATGAAGTGGATGTAGAATCATGTGATGTAGGTACACTGGTGCATGTAGTAAAACGGGCCAAGAGCGCCCGCGTGCTCTGCGGGTCCGACACGATGCAGCGCGCTCGGCGGATACCGGAGGCATGGTCAAAGATTTCGGGGTTGATGAAAAGGTTGGAGCGGCAAGGCGGAGAGAGGAATGAGTGAGGCGGACGGCGCGAGGAGGAGCGTCAAGGTAAGAGGCAAGCGATGGGCGCTTGCCTGCCGTCGCTCCTCCCGCCGTAGACTCGCGCCTGTCTCCTTCGCTCGTTCCTCGCTTCCACTCCAGACCATACAGTTGCGCTTTCAATGAACTGCGGTCGACATGATGACGCGGCGGGCAGCTCACAGTGTAGGCGCCCCTGCCGGATATGGCAGGTGGCGCTTACGGATTGGACGACGATGCGTCGGAAGATGCGTCGGAAGATGTGTCGGAAGATTGGGCCGGAACCTTGGCCGCCCGATGAGTGTATACTCTCTTTCCCATTTTCTCAACCCTTTTGCAATCTGCTGTAACGCCCTGGAGGGCCGAGCCCTATGGTAGGCGCTACGTACAATAGTCTACTACATATCTGGCAGGGAGGGAAATGCGTATACGGGACAGATGACGTGGCGCCCGCAGGCTGTTCTCCCGAGTCCCCACCGTTCGAAGTTACCCCAGCCCTGGGCCCAACCGTCTCCGCCTTCATCGGAAGCTTGCTCTCTCCTCCGCCCCCGGGCGGCAACTTTCCCAGAGTGCGTATCCTCCCGCGCCCCGCGTCCCCGGAGACTGCGCGCTGACCGCCGCACAGGCTGCGATGCGTACCGTGCACGCAACTTCGCGAGGTGTCCGCGAAAACTGGCCAGATGATCCGAAGGGATCCTGCAAGCATTCGCGGATCACCAGCACCCTCGGCATCCCCTGCACACACGAATACCAGCCCAATATGCCACGGTCCTCCGAACCTGTACTGAGAGGGAGACCCGCGTGCCGACGTCTTTCCCCGCTGCGCAACAGGACTTCCAATACGGCGCCAATTCCCCCGCCGGCTCGTCCTCTTCGACCTCCCACTGCCAGAGCGCGACGAGCCCCATCCGGTCCGCGCTGTCCCTCGTCGCGCCACCGCCGCAGCACCGGTGCCTGAGCCGTACGGGATGCTCGCGGGGATGGACCCCACTGGCTCGCCCCGCGCGGAGGACTTGACTAGCCCGCTTGGACCAGTTCAGCACCTACCCGCTCCACAGCTCGTCCTCCACCGGCAACTCTCAGTGCTGTCTCCCTCCCCCCCGCCCTCGTACTACTTCCGCTGGCACCGGTTCGAGGACATCGCCCCTCGGGACACGATCCTGCTTGGTCTCGTCCCCAGCCGCTCTGTACCGCACTCCACCACCGCCTAGTACACGCGGGGTGCGGTACTTACAGAGCGGCTGGGGACGAGACCAGAGCCGACGCGCTGAACCCTCGACGCGTCGTTGCAGGCCAAGCTCAACCACAAGCTCCGCATCGAGGGTCGTGAGATCGACCTCGACTCGCACAACATCCTGCTCGTTCACGTGGGATGGGTGACGACGGGAACTATCCAGCCCATCCTGCGTTTTGTCCACTAGACCTCGTCACGGCATCGTGGGCGTGAGGCATCTTCTTGGTACATTTGGTCATTGCCCCCCGCTGGACGGCCCCCCCCCCCGTGTCTGTACATGCGACGCAGTAGAGATATCCGATGAAGCTTGATCGCCGCCCGTCCAGACATAAATTTCAGCGAGGCTGAACTCCCACCACACTGTTGACGCGACGCTGCACTGTACCTGAGTGACTCTGCACGTGTCTGCTCAGTGCACGGTTGTCGCATAGGCCCGACCAGGAGCGTGCCCACAGGCGAAGAGACGCAGGCTTGACGTTCGCAATGGATCACGGACAAGGTGCTCGAAGATGTGGTCTAAGCACACGACACAGGAATGGAAGGGTGATAAGTTACGGTAATCCTCCGCCCCGCCCCACCACCCGCCTCACGGCCCGTTGCACCACACGTTCCCGAACTCGTCCCACGCGCCGCCGGTCGCACCGCCCCCGACCTCGCCCTCCCGCCCCGAGTCGACGTACCCGACCGCGTAGCTGTCGCTCGCGGTGAACGCCGGCAGCGGGCACTTGAACCCGAGGAACACGGGGCACGCGCGGTCCGCGGCGTTGCACACCTCCAGGCACGGCAGCAGCACCTCGTACGCCTCCCCGAACGCGGGCAGCGCCGGGTTCCGCGCCGCCGCGCTCGCGTTCACCGTCTTCAGCGCGGGCACGGCGGGCAGCAGCACCTGCTGCGCGCTCGAGCCCCCCAACAGGGCCGTGGAGGGGCTCGCGCCGGGGGGCGTCGGGCTGGTCGGGTTGGACTCGCCGCAGCGCGGGAAGGAGACGGTGCAGAGCCAGGTGCGGTACGCGGCCTGGCAGTCGGCGCAGGTCACGAGCGGGGAGTAGTCGTCGCGGCCGCAGGCGAGGGTGGTGAGCGTGGAGGTGAAGTTGGACATGCCGGAGACGATCGTCTCGCCGACGGGAGAGGGGAGGGTGGAGGCGGTGTATGCGACCTGCGGGGGACGAGGGACGGCCAACGGGACGGCGTAGGCGACGGCGGGGCAGTATGGCAGTTGGTGGACGAGCGCGCACGCGAACGAGGCTGCAAAGGCCAATGTAAGGGACTGTGTTGCACAAAAAGGGGAAGGAAGGACGTACCAGACTTCGTGAGGAACATGACCGGCTTCGAAGCGGCTATCGTGCCGTCCTGGAGGGTGTACATGGTATAGTTGGTCTTGGGCGTAAGCCCTCCCTCGCTCCCGCCCAGGAACCATTCCCATCTCCAGCCCTGATCGTCGCGCAGCCAAAGGGTGGCGGAATTGGAGCTCAAGATTTTCGCGCCGCTGTTTGATTGCTGGGCGGCGGAGCGGATAGCACAGTTTGTGCGAAGGACGGAGGCAAGGGGAGAGTTGGCGGTAGGGACGTAGACAAGGGTGTAATTCTTGGGGGGCGAGGGGGCATTACCTTGGGTAAGGTTCGCACTGGGGAGGGTGTAATTGGGATAAGAGGGCTCGAGGGGGTCGAGGGGGTCAAACGATGGAGAGAAGACGATCGCTTGATTCGCGGTCGTCTCGCTTGCGAACGGAGACAAGGGGTTGGTGCTGTCTAGAAACGGGTCAAGGACGGGCTCGAGAGAGAAGATGGGGAAGACGGACTGGCTGCGCTGAGGAGGATCTCGAATGGGGTGTTTACGCTCCCGGCCTGGATGGCAAAGAAGCCTCCCCTTGGGAAGAAGCCTGCAAAACTTCCGTACCCTTCCGGCCCAACGGAGATCTCAATCACGGATTTGCCGTCCACGTTGTCTGGGCCTGGGTGGGTAATGGAGGAGTCGTTGGAGACAAAGAAGCGCGGTGCGCCGGCAGAGGAAGCGCAGAGGCCAACAGAGACATGGCGGAAGTCGGAAGAAGGAGAAATGAAGAATGTGGGTGGGGAGGGGAGGCTGGAGGAGTTGAAGTCTCGGACGGTATCAAGAGCGAGCTGCTGCTGCTGTGCCTCGGCAAGTAGGACGAAGGACTGGACGAGGGCAAAGAGAGAGACGGGGAGCAGCATGGCCAGCGCGGTGGTGGGAGTCGGGAGAGATGAGCACCGTGGCCCAGCGATACGCAGTACTGACGCCCGGCCCGGCCCATGCCGTCTTTCTCCACAGCCGAGCCAAATGCGTTTCTTTGACGACATTCCTCCAAACAACTTACTTGCGGGAAACACGGCCTCAGAGGGTTTCGACGGTCCACCCGATTCGCAGCTCGTTGGTGCTCATTCACGACCGCAGCTCCCGTGGCACAGACGGCAATATGGCTTAGGAGGAGGCTTCCCCCGTCGAGGATCTGCTTCAGCCAGCTGTAAATATTTATGGCGGCCCTGCGGGGGTCCGAAATGTGCGGAGATGAGGATGGGAACGATAGCGCGACTCGCCTCCTGCCTCCTCCCCGCTCCCTCCATCCACCATGTCTCTCAACGCTGCAGGCACCGTCGCCCAGGATGGCCCCGAGCCCACGTCTCAGACAACCCTCACTCCCCACAACCAGCAGCCGCTCGTTACCAAGACCTATCCATCCGAGGGCGAGCTTGACCAGCTGATCGTCAAGTCCGCCGCTGCCCAGGAAAAATGGGCTCGTGTGCCTCTCCAGCAGCGCATCGCCATAGGCCGCGCGTTCATGGTGCGTATCGTTCTCTCAGCTCTAGACCCTTCCGATGCATATGTTTTCCGGCGTGCAGGAGGAGTTTGGCAAGATGCGCGAAGAGATCCCGATGGAGCTCACTCTTCAAATGGGCCGGTACGCAGCGTTTTTTTCCGGCTCTCAAGCATCCCCGTCTCACAGAACGCACTATGCGAAGCCCTGTCTCTCAGGTTCCCGGGGAAGTACGCGGGACCCTCGACCGCGCCGACTATATGCTGTCCATAGCAGAGAAGACCCTCGGGGATGTCACCCTCGAAGATACCGACAAACCAGGCTTCCGCCGCTTCATCCGACGCGCTCCCATGGGCGTTGTCCTCGTCGTTGCGCCTTGGAAGTGCGCCTTCCTCGTTCTTTTTTTCTCCCTCCCCGGTTAAACCAATCCCGCCCGTATCGCAGCTACCCGTACCTTGTCATGGTCAACTCCGTTCTCCCTGCCCTTATCTCCGGTAATTCCGTCATCCTCAAGCCATCCCCTCAGACCCCGCTCTCCGCAGAACGCTTTGCCGCTGCGTTTCACGCCGCGGGCGTCCCCAAGGACGTCATTCAAGTCGTCCACCTCAGCCCGAAGCTCACCACACAGGCCGTCGCCCACAAGCTAGTCGACTTTGTGGCCTTCACCGGCAGCGTAGCTGGCGGGCGAGCGATCGACATCGCCGCCGCGCAGGCGAAGGGCTTCAAGGGCGTCGGACTAGAGGTGCGGGGGGCACGGAGGCGCCGATTTTGACTGCGACTGATGCGGTACCGGTGGAGGTAGCTCGGAGGCAAGGACCCTGCGTACGTCCGTGCGGATGCCGACCTGGACTACACCGTCGCGGAGCTCGTGGACGGTGCGTATTACTTGCGATCCGTGGTCTCGCGCGACTGATCAAGTGCCGCAGGTGCGTTCTTCAACTCCGGCCAAAGCTGCTGCGCGATCGAGGTCAGCACAGGCCACCGCTTGAATGTCAGACGAGAAATCTCACGTGTGCATGTGCTAGCGTATCTACGTGCACGAGTCTATTTACGACGCCTTTGTCGAGAAGTTCGTTGAGCTCACCAAGGTGCGTTACCCCTCTCGTTTGCCGTTCGCACGCTGAGCTGACGGCGGCGTCAGAAATACAAACTCGGCGACCCAACGAAGCCGGAGACGAACATCGGCCCGGTTTGCGGCGTCGCGAGCGCTGAACGGATACGCAAGCAGGTTGCGGATGCCGGTAAGCACACACTACCCTACTAGGTGCCCTGCCTGAGTGACGGCTGACCGAATGGGATCGACAGTCGCAGCGGGTGCGAAAGCGCTGATTCCCGAAGACCTGTTCCATGCCGCGAAAGCGTATGTTGGCGTGAACAGATCTGCTGAGCGGAAGCTAACATATTGTACAGAGGGACTGCGTATGTCGCACCACAAGTGCTCGTGGACGTCAACCACAGTAAGTCTTTCGAAGCGTCGCTTCAAGATGGTGCTGATCGACGCGACTTTTCGCAGCGATGGAGGTCATGATGGTGCGCCGGCATCCTACCCCCTCCCTTATCAGCTTTTCATCGTGTCTCTCTGTTGCAGGAGGAGACCTTCGGCCCCGTGGTCGGCATCCAGAAAGTAGTCTCTGACGAGCAGGCGATCGCGCTCATGAACGACTCGCCGTACGGCCTCACCGCGTCCGTCTGGACAAACGCGGCCGCGAACCCGGAGTCTCAGGACGTGTTCCTCACGTTCGTCGACGAGCTCCAGACCGGGACCGTGTTCCTCAACCGGTGCGATGCCCTCGACCCCGCGCTCGCGTGGACGGGTGTCAAGGACAGCGGACGGGGCGTGAGCCTGAGCAAGTTCGGTGAGTACGTCTGCAGGTGGTATGAAGCCCGGGAGCTGACCGAGGAGGCAGGATACGACCAGCTCACGCGGGCGAAGAGCGTGCACATGAAGATCAAGACGGCGTGAAGGGGGGCTCGTGCAGTTGCGCGGGTGCCGCGCTAGAATGTAAAGTACTCACTACAATGAAAGGTTTCGCTTCGACGGAGGACGGCGCGTGCGGCACAAACCTGAAGTGCGATCGCATCGCTGACATCCTGAGTCACGTTCCGCTTCTTTTACGAGCCACATACGCAGCCCCACAACGTCCGCAGAATATCTAACACTTGTAGCATATTCAACGCATCAAATTCATATTACCCTCCGACGACATCGACCCAGCATCCCTTATCCGCACGCTTCGGATGGAATGCCTGATGCCCCATAGCGGGCTGAAGAGCATAGCTGGATGCCGTTGATCGGCTCTGGGACGTCCTTTCCGGCAGGTTTGCGCTGTACGAAGTCACCCGCAAACTCAGCTGGGGCAGGCAGTCCTTCGTGTGACTGGCCGAGCGTTCTGCGTCCCAGTGCGTGGACGCGCTCGATATCCAGCCATCGTCCTCTCTGCTGATGTTCTCCCTAGTCTAATATTTGAGACGTGCACTCAGCGCCCACGACGACAGGGGGAATTCACCACCGACGCCGGATTCAAGGTCCGAGGGCACCCTTGTTTGTTACGATCTGTCGCACGTAAGCAGGAGTGGCATGGAGCTCGAATATTCCTTCTCATAGGCTGCGTTTCGGCGTCGGGAGTGGGGGTGTGATAGTATACAGAGAGACTACATTCTTGGATCTTGGTGGGAGTGGCTGGGAGTGGTGGTGTTATACTACAGAAATGCCTGGCCACGTGGGCATTGAGGGGAACGAACTTGCAGATAAGCACGCAAAGCGAGCGGCTGAAGGGGACAGCTCGTGCGATGCCCGCCTCCCAGCCCTCTTCCGAAAACCCCTCCCCGTGAGCCTGGCCGCTTCACGTCGTGCGCATCTGGATGTGATCAAGTCCCGAGCGGCCGAAACATGGAAGACATCAACGAGGGGCAAACGCCTGGCCAGGATCGACCCCGACCTCCCTTCCCCGACCTTCATCAAAGCTGCGGCGGGACTCACTCGCAACCAGACTCGCACTCTTATCCAGCTACGCTCCGGACATGCCCCACTCAACGCCCATCTCTTCCGCATCAAGCGCGCAGACTCTGCGCTCTGCCCGGCCTGCAAATTCGCCCCGGAAACCGTCCTGCACTACCTCATCCTCTGCCCACGATGGGACTCGCTCCGCGCTCGCCACCTGTCCCCCTGCGGCCGTGCTGCCCGAAAGGTCTCCGCTCTCCTCTCCGACTCCTCCCTCTTCCCCGCACTTTTCAAGTTCATCACTGCAACGGGCCGTCTATCCCGCAACCTCGCACCCGCTCTCACCACGCGCGCTGGCCCTGCAGTGGTGCCGGAGTCCTCCCGCCCCCGCCCCCGCGCGACACGACAGTCCCGCCCGCGACCTGCTGGCGCTCCCACTCGTACTGCTGCGCCACGCACCCGACCCGCTCGTACCCGCCCTTGACCCCCACGCTCCCCTACTACTATACCTACCCTTACATTATACCTACTATAGTCCCACTGCGCCTCGGCGCCATGCACTGCGGGCCTCGGCCCTGCTCTAGGGGGCGAGGGAGTTCTGACGGAGGGTGGGGGACCACCTGACGTACCCCTGACTGCGGCAAGAGGCGAGACCCGGGGGCCCATCGGCCACCCTTGACGGGCAGCAGGTTTAGATCTCGTCCTCCTTGCCTTGAATGGCCGGGAGTGGGTGCGGAGGTTTTTCACGCAGATGCATGCCCCTCCCACACCCGCCCGCTACCTTACCCACCTCACGGTCCCCACATGGTCTCACCAGTCCCCTCCGTACTTTACTCCCTTGGCCAAACCCCTGGCCGCTACCTGGGGCGTCCGTGAGGGCGCCTCTATGTTATCATCCCAGACTCGGCTGTAGTTAACACACTTAGCACACACGTAGCGTACCGCCTACCATAGGGCTCGGCCCTGAAGGGCGTTAAACGGGAATACAACAACAACAACAACAACAACAACAATACTACAGAAAACTGCTATGGCTACATTCTGGGAACGGTGAGCGGGGTGTGTCAAAGGTAACGATACAACAAGCGGCATATACGGAGGTGCAGCCGCCAAACCTAATGCGCGGGGCCGGTCGCGCGCAGATCGAAGTCCGCCATGAAGGGATCATTCAGCAGCTCAACCGCGGTCGCCCTCTTCGCCGGGTCCAACGCAAGCATCCGCCTCAGGAACGCATGCGTCTCGTCCAGCTCAGCGCCGCTGAGACCGACGCGCGCGAGCTGCTCCCGAAGGGCGCCCCGGCCAGAGAGCCGGATTCGGCCCGCCTTTTTCGACACCGATCCTGTTTCAAACAAGACGAGTCGTAAGCCAAAGCGAGCGAAGGTCGTGGCGGTGCCTACCGTCCTTGTCGAAGAATGCGCTCGCCCCATGACTGTTCGCCAGGGTCTCGGGTGGGAACGGGCCGAGCAGTTCGATCATCTGCGCTAAGTGAACGAAGTCGTTGATGTAGCTCTCCTCAGGAGGTTCGTCCGGAAAGAATGGCCTGTGCGGTAGGAGCAGTTCTAGAGCCTGGGCGCCGAGTCAGCCATGCGGCCGCTTGCACACTGACGGCGCACGAGTACTGACCACGCAGCCGAGCCCCCAGATGTCGACGGGCGCGCCCCATCGATCTTGGAATGTTATCTCAGGCGCACGAACCGCCCTCGCCATGGCGGGTTCACTGGTAGTGTCTTGGCTCGCTCGCCTTGCTGAGCGCAGACAACGCTCGGTTATAGTTTTGGGGACGGAGAACATGTCCGTGCTTACCAAAGGTAAACCCACGAAGCTGCACAAGGATCCGATGCAGCTCGCCATTCGGCGTAAGAGGGGAGTAAGGGGGCGAATCGACAGCACTGGCTTGCGCCTCGTCGTTTTTAAGGGTCGTGGTTTGTGCCGGAATGCTCTCGATATAGGCTCGGAACATGGGCAATTCTTTATAGAATAGGGGTACAACAATGTTTTTCGCCTTTATATCTGTTCGCCCAATCTGAGCGACACACGACGGCCACTGGGGACGAAAGAGAGCGAGCTCACCAGCATGAATGAACCCCAGGTGGTGTATGTCGCGTAACCCGAGTAACGACTATTTGAGAACGCGTTTGGCGAGGAGAAGGTCGCGAGCAACCTCGCGCTCAGGAAGCGCACGGCGAATGTCGTGTAGGGATGTGACGTATGGCAAGGAAACATAAAAGCGATGAAGGCTCTGGCTTTGCCTGGAAATGTACGAACCACAGTCGGAGAATCCCTGCGTGCAGCAGTACAACGCTTTCCCACTTTCCTCTTGACGTTTGACACGAAGATCAAGCAATGCTGCACGCAAGGGAAGCTCGACAATGGCTTCACGGCCGGCCAGGTCAGTGGTGGTTGAGTTGTGGACGTTGGCAACGAGGAGGATTCCGATTGGACGGGAATCACTTCGAGGAGTGGGCATGGGTCGCTGGAATACGGAGAGTATGCGCGGCAGCGTACCTGGAGGTGGTCCTTTCTACCAGCCAAGCAGAAGACTCATCTCCCTCCCCTAGCTGTCGGATTGTAGTGTACGTGCAATGCTGGGTGGCAAGCACGTCCCCTGGTTGAAGGGAGGCATAGATCGGGCTGAAGTCGCTGTCTGCGAATATGTTGTAGCGGGTCTCTTCTTGCTTTTCGGAGACAACTGCCTGTCTTCTTACGCCTGTAGCCTTGAATGCCGAGGGAGCAACAGACGAGAACTTGCACGACAGAATAGAGCGGGCATGGAGCCCGCCATACCTAGTGCCTACTTGAGGACGCGAGAGACCGCAAAGCCTTCGGAATAAATGGCGCATGTGGGCGAAGTACGAGAGAGAAGGTGGAGGCCCGAGGGGCAGCGAGGGGCCGACTCGGACGCCCGCCGCGTGCAACGGCCCGATTCCGGATCTAGATCCTGGGTCACGTGCAGACTCGGCTTATGCCGGTGGTCTCAGCCGTTGCGAACAGGTTCGTGTTTCTTCCATATGTGACGCTCACCGTCTGTTGGCCGGGTCGCGGAAGTATTATCAAGAGTGGAGTTGAACAGGGCTCTAACCGTGCAGATTCCCGAAGGAGTGGACAATGGACTTGCGATCGCCGCAAACAATGGGAGATCCACGGCGCACAATGAACGCGGCCACGTGAAGTCCCGCCCGAGTGGTGAAGCGAAGTCACGACACACGCACCTTTGTTTCAAACAGATTATCTAATCTTCTTCCTCTGCAGGTATATGTTCAGAGGCGAAGCGGTGGTCTGCTCCTTACCTCCTCCCACAATCCTCCCTCGTCACTAGCTTACCACCATGTCTCGTTCTAAAGTCTCTCGCAAGAACAAAAACAAGAACAAGAACAAGAGCAGGAACTCTACGTCTGCTTTGCATGACGTCGCCGCGGAGCCTGTTTCTCCCCATCTCTTCTCCGGCTCAGATATCTTTCAAGCACACGGAACCTTCAACCGCCCCGTCGAGATCGATGTCCCCGTCGTGACACCAAGTTATATGGACGCTCCAGAAGGTAAGCATGACTGCTGCATCGGTGATATGCAGTGCACCTAAATTCCCTGCTCAGCTCGATTACCTGTGGAGCTCCTCTACGCCGTCGCTTCTGTCGCTGACAGATCAGTCCTCCTCACGCTTTGCTGCGTGAGCAAGGCATTCAACCACATCGCGGCCGCCTCTTTGTACAAGTTCTTACTCTTCAAGTCGCCTTCCACGGCAGTCAAGTGTCTAAGGACTCTCTGCAAGCGTCCGGGTTATGGAAGATGCGTTCAGTATTTCACCCTTGATTTCTCTCGCGAGACACGCCGCCATCTCTCGTCGGGCTTCCACTCACTCTTCAAGCGAGCTTTGAAGAATCTCCCGAGTATCCACCACATGTCGATCTTTGACATACCAGGTATATACCTTCGCGGTGCGCCCTTCCGTCTCTGCGAACTCAGATTCGGAGGCGTCTGGGACCGCGATGTCGTTGTCTGGCTTGAAGAACAGACTGGCCTCAAGCGCGTCTCTTTCCTTGCCACGACACCGTCCGACGGGGTTCTGTCCCAAACAGCGCTCCCTCTCCTTCACACAGTACAAGTCGACTCTTGGCTTGCTCCGCAGCTCATCCCCGGGCGGTCTGCACAAGTCATCCTTATTGTTGGCGAACTCAATAGTGTCAAGAGTCGACAGCGCTTCGAGTCGGCCCTGTGGTGTCTTGCAAACGCTCGAACTCCGACCGAGTGGTTAGCCGTCACGGTCACCAGCCACGACTTCGCCACCTGGGCGGATATGGCTGAAGCTCTGACACCCGTCCGGAAGGCGCTCCCAGACGTAATCTCTCTGAACATAGTCGTGGTGCAAGGGCCTGATCTGAACAAGGTGAGTCACGCTTTGCTTTCCCCACTGCGACACGAGGCGGCTCACCATCGTGCGTCACCAGATATTCTTTGACGCGTTCACCGACTACGTCGGAGGCTTCAAGAGGCTCCGTCACCTCGCGTTCGACGACCTCCTCATGAACATCACCGCCATCCCCGACAAGCGCCAGATCCCCACCTTTCTGCGCGAGCTCGAGCGCCGCTGCGCGACGCTGCGCACCGTGCGCCTCCCGCCCAACTTCCAGCTGCACGCGCGCATGAGGCCCGCCGAGTGGGTCAACCCGTACGTCGTGCGCGACCTCTACCGCGCGAACCAGCGCGCGTACGAGGGCGGCCTCCTCCGCATGCAGCTCTACCTGGAGAAGATCAAGCGCAACCTCCCCCTCATCGGCGTCCCTCTCGACGGGCTCTTCCTGGGCTACCCGATCCACAAGGGCCTGCTGCCGCTGTACGAGGAAGCGGGGCCGCGGCGGATCTCGCTGGCCGAGCTCGAGGAGCTGACCAAGGACCTGGGCCCGTCGATGGGGCGCTGCGCGAGCCTCGCGAAGGAGCAGTACTTTGTCCCCCCGGCGATCGAAGACGACACGAAGGACTACGAGGTCCTCACGGCGTCGGTCAAGACTGCGCAATTCTTCTTGAAGAACTTCAGTGTCGAGTACGATGGGCCTTGAAGGTGAGCTCATCATCTCTGGTCGTGTACAATCAACTCATTGGTATCGGTTCTACGGAAGGATATCATCGCAACGACGTCGGATGTATGAGTAGGAGGTCATCGGACCCGGTTGACCGCGGTGACTTCGGTGCGAGTCTGACAGCAGGAATTTAGTACACGAAAATTTTATCAGCGCGTTCAATGAGATTTGTTGATTTTCGCGAGCACTGTGAGAAGTCACGTTCCTTCCAAGACGGAGTAATCCATCGAGTGAGTTTCACTTTCACGGCGTACGTAAGGTCTGGGGCCGACGCAGTCCGCCGCGTGCACTAGGCCAACTTGGTCAGGTGACCGTGTACTGGGGCGCTTCCGACATGTTCGACTTTCAAAATTTGATCAATCTCTGCTTTTACATGATAAGTTAGCCCAATCCCATCCAATGTTGGAGGCCCAGCAGGGAGTTGTCGTGGGTACATCGTACCTGAGGCTCGCAGCCGCGGTGAGCCATATTGACGTCTTTCAGACGCTGCAACTCTTGCTTGAATTAAATCCATCTTGGCCGCGCAAGACTCGCTATATCGGTTCTCTGGTCTACACACTCACACGGCGTCACTGGCTTGAACGCTCGAGACTCACTCTGCCAGCGTGAGATGTTGAACACACTCGGCAGTGCGAGCCTATGTACAACCACCACCATTGCGTTCACGCCAGAGCTCGTGTTCACGTCCTGTCAAACCCGCGCTCCAACCCGCGCTCCAACAAGGCGACTCTGAGGGCCATGAGCTGCGTCTGTCCGATCTCTCTTTTGGGCCACGAGCCTTTTAGAGCGCTGCGCTGGGTGGCAAGGTGCTGAACATAGGTGAAACCGAGCTTGTCGATAGAGGTCCTGTCCTGTAGAATCATCTGGTAGTTTCGATATCGGTTTGCGGAGACCGGACGCATCGAAGATAGTACGAACGGCGTAATTGAGCGACGAGATCAATTAGAACGATTCAACAATACGATGCGCAAGAAAGTAAATCGCCAGTCGACCCGTGAAGACAACGCCAACAAGGATGAGGGAGGGTATCTAAATGTCCAAGGTACGTGCTAGCTCGCATGGACAACATTCTTAGTAAAGGAAACGGCAGAAGTGGAGGGGAAACGCACATGAAGTGTCCGTCTCTTTTGGGAGTGCATCCATCTTGCGCACCCGTCCATCGCGCAGCCGTGTCCTGATGACTTTTATGTGCATTTTCGCGAAGGCGAGTGCCGGCCACTGGCCCTCGTGCTTCTCGAGAACCGGGTGCTTCTCTGCGATCTACGGAGATCATACGTCCCCACTTCGCGCGCGACAGGGTAACGGACGTGCTCACCTGCCGCCGAAACGACTGCATCTTGTCCTTGTCTTGTTTCGTCCAGTTGATCCAGGGGTCGAGCTCAAGCGTTTCAACGAGCTTGGCTGCGTCGGCCTGCAGAACGCTCAACACAGTGGCAAGACGGGGCGCACGAAGGGCACTCACCCGTATCTGGACAAACGTGGCGGGTGCGAGGCCTGCCGCGCTGCGCAGGCTGGGTAAGGTGTCTCTCATCTTGACACGGGGTCGGAGGATGAGTTTGCGAGGAAGACCCTGCGCACGGGGACCAGGCGCAGAGTCTTGGGCTTGAGGACGAGCGGTCGCTCCGGCTTTGGCGTCGCTGAGACCTCCACGCACGCCGCCCCTCTTCCGAAGCCCCGGGGGGAGGGTGCCGACCCTGCGTGCATGTCCCCTCGCAGCGTACAAGAACATTCCCGCCATCAGCATCACCGGCCACTGGTCCACGTAGTCCCGGAGAACCGGGTGCCTGGCTGCAGCCTGTTGAGGGCGTTGTCCTTCGAGTGTGCGTTAGAGTAATGGAAGCACTCACCTCGCGCCTGATCCATGCGAGCTTCTGCTTGTCATGTCGACGAAAGTCGTCAAGGTAATTGAGGCCAGCTACGCGAGTGAGGGCGCGGACGTCGTGCTGCGCAGTGTTCCATGTGCAAGAACGAACGGGCGGGTGAGCACTGGTGGCGGCGATCGGGGGGAGGAGCTCACTTTTATGGCGTAGTACTCCTCGCTAGAAAGGCCCATCTTCCCGCGAACGTCCTTGGTATTATAGTGCACACCAGTGGGCCGGGGAATGGGCGTGACACCTTGGACGCGAGCCACATCCTGAACGTAGGGACGTTTTGGAGACAGAGCAGGTGTCGTCCGGGCGTTGAGGACGTAGGGAGACAAAAGCCTACGTAGCTGGGCCGAGCCACAGCTGTGGACGGAGCGAGGAGGCAGGATGACTGACCCAAGCGCAGGGGGCAACATGGAGGTACAAAGATGGGTCTGCACGGCCCGTCATCTCGTCCACCGTCTTCGGCGCTCCGGTCAGCGCGAGGCGCCTATACTTCCGCATCAGGCTCGTCAGTACATACTTGCCCGCGTCGTTGAACATACTCAGGTCCTTGGGAGCCTTGAGGAACGTCGGGTGTGCCCCCTCGCCAACGCCTCCCACTGCAACAGTCATCTCGCCCTCGCGAAAGAAATCTAGGCGAGCGTACAGCGATGAGAAGCGCGCGGACACGCGAGCCGCCTCGACTCAGTTGAGTGACCGCGGTCAGCTTCGACGCAGCGAGCAAACCCTTCGCCGTGAAGATGCTCCTCGCGCGGGGCGCGTTCTGGGAAGAACCGCGCATCTCGCTGCGTCGACCAGCACGCCATCGCTGTCTCAGCAGATCACACGGCGTTTCCAACATCGGCGTCACTGAAGCGGGACGATACAACATCAAAGAGGATACAACACAACACGATATACAAATATAACGATACAACATCAAAGCAGATACAGCACAACAAGAGAAGCTTGACACCAGAAGTCGAGAGTACAGACGGTACGGCAATATACATCAGTGTCCAACAATGTCAGCATATAAGCGGAAAAAGTCTGTTCCGGAAAGGGAGTCACGGGGCGGAGAGCCTTCTGAAAAGGCGGCTCTATATACCGCCGCAGACCCGCGCCGCGTTCCAGATGCTGAGTGCGGTTAGGCCGACATCGGAGGACGGAAGTCCTACAGTGCCCTGGCGAGGAGTGAATACTCCTCGCCCCCATTCACGGGAGCGCCTCCGTTGGTTCCACTCTCCTGTGAGGTGGGTGAGTTCCGAGAAGGCGGAGATGCTTGTATACGAGAAAAACGCACCCTAGCCCCGCGAGAGATTCCAACTGGCCCATCAGTACGTCGAGCTCATGTACCCATGCTTCCGTCACCTGTGGATGGGATTGCACGTAGTACTCGTCAAGTCCCTGTTGATACGCCGAGTGTGTGTCTTCATCCCAAGCGCGCTCGCTGCCGTCGTTCATGGCAGGGGCGACCGAGGCGAACGCTTCCAGACCCATGGTGTTAGAAGATGCGGGTGCGTACTGAGGAAGCGCGGATGCTCCGTCCATTGGAGGTGCTGCTGGTGTGTAGTAGTGCTCCCCCGTCCGGTCGCACAACGCACTGCCGACTGTGTTACGGACCAAGGGCGCATCGAACGGGACCGTCTCCGGCGCCGTCGATGCGAACGTCTCGAGTGCTCCGGTCGTGCCGTTCGGAGTGCGTGCAAGCCCAGACAGCAGTCGATCCAAGTATTCCAACTCAGCCAAACCTCCATCCTGCGGTGTCACTTGGACGTCGTCCGAGAAGAAGGGGGTGAAGTCGAAGCTCATGTCTGGCTCATCCGGAGCGAACGTTCCTTGGGCCACGCCGGTGACAGTGGAGGGAATGACGGAAGAGAGCGTCTCTGGAGCTGATGCGGATGCGAGCCCGACGGATGGCGCCCTTGTTGGCGTGCTGGACGAAGACGCGCACATATCTTCCATGTCATGCCCTTCAAATATTGCTCAGTCAGATGGGGTGCTATCAAGGCGGACGACCGACTCACCCGGAGCGAGCGACAAGAGAGCAATTGCCGTGGTGGATCCCTGAGCCGAAGGTGAAGCGGAGCGTGCAGGTTCCGTCTCTCTCGGCGACTCGTGGAGCGAAGATGTTGATGGAACAGGAGAAGGTGGCAGAGGGATGGACGCGGCGAGCTGCAGTGAAGGAGATGCAGGGGATAACGCGGTATCTGACGACTCCGATGTGGCGTCTGAACCCATTGAGCCGGTCAGCGCGTGGTCCTGTGTGTTTGAGCACTGGGGCACGAGAGGCGGGGTCGGGGTCGGGGATGGTTCGGGCCGAAGTGACGATACGGAGGGAAGCAGGGGTGACGATGCAACGGGGGACTCGGGGAGCGGGATCGAGCAAGGGTCTAACGGTGAGGGGGGAGCAGCAATTGCATTGGCGTTCGGCGACGGCGCATCAATGGCAGACAACGAGGACTTCTCGCGGAACGTCGATGCAGGTCCAGGGGTATTCGTGTGTTGCTCGGGGGACCGAAGCGGATGCAAGGCCAGGTACGCAGCGGCTTCCGGTTCAACGTGCTGAGACGCTAACCATGATCCGTAGCATCCATAAAACTCGGCTTCAGAGAGAGATTGATAGAGAGATCGAGGGCATGAACGGCAGAAGAGGTGGGAGCACGGAGACTTCATGAATATGTCCGGGTCGATGTCCTCTCCGAGTTCGAGTTTGCCGTCGGAATTGACGACATCAACGTCGATCTCAACAACGGAGGTGATATCAGTGCCGCTGGAAATATATCCCGTGCAGGAGAAGAAACCATGGAACCAGCCAGAAGAATCCCAGGTGTCGTCAACGAGCATCTCCATTGATGGCGGAACAGGGGGCTTGTCTTTGGAGGCGCTCTTGATAGGGCGGGAAAGAGCGAATGACGAAGCACTGGGAACATTGAATTTCTGCTGGTTCGATGGGGAGATTGAGAAGTTGGCGAGACCAGATGATGAAACCGCGGCCGGAGGAGCACCAGCGAGCACGGGTGATTGGGCGGGCGCCTGAAGTGCGGGCTTCTCGGGGACGGGAAGCGCGGAACGTGCAGCGACGACCTCCTTTGTCGATGCGGCCGGAGAGAGGATGGCAGAGGACGGTTTTTCCCATGGTGCGGACTGGACTGCGTGAGCGATCCCTGATACTGAGACATTTTCCTCGTCGTCGGAGGTAGACGACGTCTGTGCATCACTGAGGTACGCCGAGTCGAAATCCTTCTCCGGATACCGTACGTTGAAGGAGCCCTCGTACGGGTCATCAAGATGGCGCACGGCGCAATTAAACGCAGCCCGGGACATGCTGTCTTGACACCAAAGTTTAGAATCAAGGTTCGACTGGAGAGAGGGACACGCACCGTCGAAGCTGTGCGGCATGGTCGGTTTTGGTCGAGGACGTCAAGCGGCGAGACGGGACAGACGGAGACGCCTTAAAGACGATGTCCCTTGTGTCTATGGGACGGAATAGATCCTCGATGACGTTTGGCTTTGGGGTCACGGCATTGGGCAGTTCTGCGCCACTGGCGGACGCGTCTGGAGGTGCACCAAGGACAGCGTCCGAGAGTGCTTCGGCGACGAGACGAACGGTAGCTGCAGCGTCGCGGACGACGAGGTCTCCACCGCGCAGCGCGAGCATGCCCCAATTTGCGATCTCATCTTCCTGTTTCAGCAACACGGAGGCGAGATCACAGACGAAGAGGACGAGGACGCAGAGCGCTTCGGTGGCGAGGTGGCGTGTGGCGGCGAGTGCGTGGATGACGATACTTTGAAGCGAGACGAGGGGGTATAACAGGGAGAGGTGGCACCATGATGTCCTGGGAATGCCACGATCCACGAGGGAGGATACTGGGACGACATTGGTGACGCCACTGAGATATACGCCGACGATGGCGCCGACGAGGATGGGGAGAACGAGCTGAAATGGGATGCGGGATGCGGGGACGGAGTGGAGGGCGCTGGTGAGGACAGTGGTCGCAGCTTCGGATGTGAAGTTACTGGGGTGGAAGACAGTGGGCATGGCCGGGGATGCTGAAGACATCGTCGCGGTGGTGGCGATGAGTGGCGTGCAGATCGAGGGGAGTAGAGCGCGTCAATGTGGGGTGGGGTGGATCGCGACGCCCGTGGTGTCTTTCTCCTAGAGCGCAATTGGAGAGGCGATTGGGAGTGTGCGTGGTGGTGGAGACAAGGTAAGGAGAACAGAGAGTCGAGGAGAGTGGCGTTGGTGGGTGGTGAGGATGGGCGCTCCGCCGAAATATGCGGATCGAGATTGGGATCTGTTGTCTCCGTGCGGACTCTCTCTTTCTCCCAGTGCCCCAAATACCCCGGTACCCCGTCCAATTTCCGTGCCATGGAAGCATCGTGTAATTTGGCACCATGATTAGACACGAGGCTTGAAGCTGAGAGGAGGGCTAAGAGTCAAGACCGTCGTGAGCAAAACGTTGGCGGCGCGTGGGAAGGGGAAAAAGGTGGTGTGCATCATCTGGGTTCTCTTCCGAAGCAGACAACGCCACCCTCGGTAAGAAGTCGCCAGAAGCACAAAAACAACAGCGACGGAACTCGGAAGGCTTTCCACATGTTATCCTGAACAACGTTGACTCACCAGCTTCCAGCGAACGCAAGTAGACTTGGACATCGCCACCTTCGTCCACACGGAGCAAACACGTTTGTTAGAGAAGGCTGGCTGCGACAAGAGAACAAGGGTGAGATATTGAACATTGAGGTCCCAACATGGTCCCACCACGGCAGTCCCGACAGCGGCGTCGTCGTCAGCGTGCGCCGTGTGGGCGAAAAATAATATGAAGCTCAATCTCCGACAAGGATGTCTCGGCCCGGCGACCAGGTGCGCGAGCGCAGTGCGACGAAGGACCCAGCCCGAAAAGAACTTATAGGATCGCAAGAAAGATGTCATATCATTAAGAGAAACATGCCCATTTCAGGCTCGAGTAACGCGAGGCGGTCTCACTGGGCAGAGATCTCCTGGGCGCTCATCCGGCTCGTGAGCGTGGCCTGCCTCTTCGGCGCACCAACGTCGTTCCCGTTCACGGCCGGAGCGTTGCCGTTGCGTGCCGACAGAGCGACCTTCCCAATCGCCTGGGTGGCCTCGTCAACCTTGCCCTCCATCGCAGCCACATCCCCAGTTGCGCCTTCCTCAGCGAAAGCAGAGGGGAGAGGGTCGATCTAGACGAGAATGAGCGAATGCGTCGGATGAGATTAGAGCGAACAGACACGCACGCGGTTGTCGAACCAGGCGAACGTGGTGGGGTTGATGTCCACGTACGCGTGGAACGTCCCACTTACGAGGAAGAGGAGCTTCCCGGCAAACGACGTGACCACCCCGTTCGTGACGGACTCGAGGTCACATTTGGCCTGGTCGCAGCTCAAGTTGCGCGGGACCTGCAGCGACACCTTGCCGTACAGCACGTCGTCGCCCTATCGCAATGTGAGCCCACGACAGCGGACAGCCAGAACGGGACGTACACATTTGAGGATGTCGACGACGTATCCGCGCGAGCCGAGCTCCTCGGAGATGTGCGTCAGGCCATCGGAGGCCGAGAACGGGAAGTAGATGGTCGCGTCCAGGGTGCGTCCCTGTGGATCAAATGCGATCAATCACGGATTCTGAGACGGCTGGTATCCTACACCCACCTGGGCGGGCCATTTGAGAAGCCGCGAGGCGTCCATAAACGCCTGGCTGTAGCCAGTCCCGTCGTGGATGACATACCGGGACAGAGTGGGGTCATAAGACACATTCAGCGTGACGCTCGCGGCGGACAGCGTACGCAGGTCCCGAGACCAACACAGATACCCCGACGAGAGCATGCCCTTGGTGATCCGCTGGCCCTCGGCGACCGGCAGCTGGTCGCCGGGGACGATGTAGACGTTGAGGTACGGAGCCCAGCCCTTGGCATCGACGCTCTTCTGGTTGCTGTGGGCCCCAAACGTCAGTTCGTAGCGATCGGGGCTCGGTACCGAGTGCGCTCACAGAACGTTGGTGAAGGCGGCGACGGGATCCATCTCCTCCTGCATGCCGCCCCTGCCGACGATGAACCCTGTGCGATGTTAGGCTCACGACGGCGCATGAGAGATGAAGTGGCGCGCACCAAAGCCGATGTTGGCGTTCGTGCCGGTGAGATTGAAGCACTTGGGGCTCGGCTGGGTATGAGCGGTTTGGGGTGCCTGCAATGAATAAGCACCCTACCACGTGCAGTATGCAGCAGTCCACGCACCGTGAACGAAAATCCGGTGTTGGAGTTACCCTGGAGACTGGTCTGCTGGCTGGTCTGCAGGAGACACGCACTGAGGTTACAATGAGCTCGAAGGGTGCGTCAAGTCACGTACCAAAATGTACTGGGCAGCGGGAAGGTCGCTGGTATCATCGAGCGCGGAGAAGGCGAGACTGCAGGCAGTACGTCAGAACACCGGTGAGGCGGCCGAAAGCACAGTGACACGCACTCGTCGGTCCAGGTGGACGCGGGAATTGAGGAGTAAACTGCGGAACGAGACGGTCAGCGACGAGTGCAGGCCGACACACAGTGAGGCAGTCACCATCAGGCTGGAACGTTTCCGCGCTGGGGAGAGACGTGAGCCTGAATGACATCGACGATATTGAGACCAGGCTTACCGCCAGACGATGGGGTCGTACTTGCTGTAAGCCCCGGTAGGCTCGAAGACGGCCACGACGCCGACAGCGGAGCTGTTGAGGTCGCCGGTGCTGCAGAGGAGGGTCTCGTCAGCAGATGAAGAGAATATCCGGAGGCCATCTCACCTCTTGATGGTGACAGTCTTGGTAGAGACCATTGCGATAGTGGTGGAGAGGTTGCTGGAGTGAGGGAAGTAGGTGGAAGAGCGGGGTACGCCTGCTATGTTGATCACAGAGTTCGATGCGAGTCTTTATACCCACTGCGTGCGCCTCGGACTTGTGGTTTGGCTGTCCAGAGAGGTCAAGTGCACCATGGATGGTTAGAGTCCGGCGTTGCGCATTGGCCGGACATCGTGCCCATTCGAGCAGTGCACGGGGTCGGTGCCGCCCAACGCGAGGCGGCGCGGCTGCAGAGTTCGGAGGCCGGGTATGGCAGAAGCACGACAGCGAGACAGGGAGAATGGGCGCATTACCGTCGGCGCGCCGTCAGACGGGTCCCACAGACAATGAAGGATGCCGATCTGTATTTCCCAAAGACGCTCGTCTAGTGGGGCTGATGATGTGCAGCCGGGGAAATGATGCACGGAGAGTTGTGCAGAACTTGGAGCCGCGACACAATGAGGCGACAAACCGATGCCTTGCTTCTTCGCATGAGTGCAGTGGGACTTGGGCCCTCGGATGGTGCTTGCCTGGGTTAATGGACGTGAGCGTTGGAAGAGAAGGGACGAGGACGGCGCAGGCACCGTCGGACGACTCCGGGTCCTGATCCGCGTCATGTGACACCCACGAGGCTCGTCGATGGCAGTAGCGCCCAACAAGGATCTGTCTCTTGTCGACCTCCACCGACAGTCCCAAGTCTTCCCCGCCTTTCTCACCGCACTCCTTACTCATCGGACTCCCACAGCACCACCAGAGACATCCGCATGACCTTGCGAGTGACGACGACGTACTGCGTCATGCACGTCCGCAGCCACCGGAATTGTCTCCGCGTCATGCTCCTCGACGAATGCGTGCCCGGCGACAACCCATGGGCTGCGTCTTGACGTCCTTGCGCCGGTCCTTCCTTATCGCTGGGCTCGCCAGATCAATGACCGTCATCCAGCCAAACGTTCATCCTCACCTCAGCTCACCTCGGCACGCCGGACAATCTCCAACGACGAGCATTCACCCAGAGACAGCCTGGGATTCCTCGTTTTGATCAACCACCCTTGCGGTGACCGGCATTTGCACACTCCGGAAACTAACCTCCTCCGGCCATGATTGCGTCGAAACCGTCCAGTATCCGCGGCGCTGGCCGAGTAGAGTATATATGGTGAGGGGTCGTAGAGGCGAATACTCAGAACACTCGTTCATATCCACCGCATTCTTCCCGCTGCACTAGCTCTAATCACTCACCATGGTTTGCACCACCAAGAAGATGACCGTCTCCACGTACGTTGGACTCTCATCCCTCTCACGTTGTCTGACATTCGCGTTTTGCAGGACGGGCGATCTCAACGGCTCTCCCGTCACCGTCGTCGTTTGCTTCGAGCCCCAGGGCACCACCTTCGACTCCACCATCGCCTGGCAGTACGTGCTCCGTGCTTTTTCCCGGGATGAGTGCTCACTGCTGTTGCAGAGTGAAGACGTTCCAGGATGGTGGTACGCTTCTGTGGTTGTGGTGTCGCACGCGCTCTCATGCTCTATTCCAGTTTACGACTCCACTAGTCCGTTCACCTGGACTAGCAAGTGCGTGCCTTTCCTTTCCTGAACGCTCTTTTATTTGCCCTGACGTGCTTTACACCCCCAGCTATGCCTTCTCGGCTGTCCAAGACCAGAACGACCCCCAGGCGTATCAGTACATGAATGTATGTTGTGCAGATTCCAGTCTCGATCGCTTCACTTACTCACTCGTCCGTCGCAGGGAGACACTCAGACTGCCATGCTCTTGGACACGACCACGACGCCGCCCACGTACTCCTTCACTGTGGGTCATCCGTTTGCGCGGATCTCGGCAGTATACTGATGTGACCGTGTAGAACCCGCAGGCGTCCAAGAAGCCTGCACCCAAGGTCTTCAACAAGACTGGGGCCAACGCCAACATTGGCTGGGGTGAGCTCCGTCTTCGCGCGCTCCTTTGAATGTCCTGCTGACATAATTCCTGCCAGGCTTCATCACGGCGATGGGTACGATGCAGGAGGCGATGTGCACCGTCAACCAGTGGAACAACGTCAAGTCAGTGTTGCATCGTCTCAGACGGCGTGCATGCGCTCACATTCTCTCTGCAGGGCGGGAGACTCGCGTGTGCCCACTAGCTGGGCCCCGGTCATGTCGATCTACGTGATCCCGAACTACGCGGGATCGCTCTCGTCCGGGGACCCGATCTCTTCGGCCATCGGCCAGTCTTACCTCAAGTACCAGCAGGACCTCCGCACTCTCAGCACCGCACTCACGGCCGACTTCGAGCTCAGCTACGACCCGACGCTGAGCGACTACGTCATCTCGGCACCTCAGGCGAAACTGCAAGCGTCTTTCGCCGCCGCCGCCGGCAGCGGGATCGGTGCTGACAAGGTACGACGTATGGGCTTGCGCGTCCAAGGAGACTCGCTCACGTTCGGTACAGCGCAAGTACAACGCAACGATCGACTTTGCCGGCATCGGCGGCGACTTCCTCCCCATCGTCAGCCAGATGCTGACCACCCTCATCTCGATCGGCTACGAGGTCGCCGTCTCGCTCTCGGTGCGTCTTCCCCTCCCACTACCAGCCTCCCTCGCTCACATCCCGCGCTCAGGCCACTTTCGCGGAGCCCGTGGCGAGCGTTGATCTCGTTCTGCCGTACACCACGAGCTGCGGCCAGGCCGAGAGAGACGTCCTGAACGCGATCGGCATCAAGTACGGCGTCGCGATCCTCGAGCGCAGCGGCCAGGCGCTGTCGTACGACCTCGGGACGTCCCGCGGCTGGACCCGGATCAGCCCCGCGTCCGATGACTGGAACAAGGACCGCGCTGTACGTCTCTCGGTGCTGGTCGAGCTCTCGTTCCTGTGCTGACGCTCGCAGGGTAAATTCGTCGCCATTCCTACCGCTGTGGAGGCGGTTGCTCCCACCAATGGCGCAGCCGCGAAGGACGCCGCTGGGACCAAAGGCGCGGTTGCGGTCGCGGCGGTGACGGCTGAGCCTGAGGCTATCAAGGCTGGCACTATTCGCCGCAGGAAGCAAGTCATCCTCTAGGGCGATGCTGTAGCGCGATAGTGCCTGTAGTTCGAATAATCTGCCTCGGTGTCGAAATTTATTTTCCCTTCCTTGCCGTTGGTACACGCTTCCGCGCCCTTGTCGAAGGCGTGCGCACGCGTGATTGCCTTCAAAGTCAGACTGTTCATGGGCGGAACCACTTCCAGTTGGTTGCACATGCTTCGTTCCCGGCCACGGTCTCGCCTCTCTTGCGAGCCATTTCTTTCCGTGATACCCTAAAGTCGGCCCGCTTTCCTCTGGCCTCGATGGCTTCCCGCCCCGGCGTGTAAGTCTTGAACAGTGCACACCCTCCGGCGGCTCTTTGTCTGTACTCTCGTCCAACGTGTTAACGACGTCAGCGACGCCACCTTCCGTCCCGTATGTCCCGCCAGGAGGAGCGAGAGGAACGCGTTTGTCGAAGGCGCGAGCCCGAATGGAGGCCCATGATGAAGGAGTCCGCGCCGCCTCGAGCGCGGCGGGGCTCGGGCTGCGCGTGTGATCGAGCGTGGTAGGCTGGAGCGCGGCGCGCAAGCACAGAGGAGACGGGCGCACTACTCGGCGATCTTGGAGAACGTGTTGGCGCATAACTAGACCGCGCCGCCGCTGTTGATGAGCACGTCCAGCGTGTCCCCCGATGAACGTCCCCCGGCGTGATGAGCGAGCGAGCGAGCGGGCGTCGCACGAGACTGGAGTCCTCCCTGTGAGGCTGGGTACGTCCGTTTATTCGCCCTTCGCGCCGCGGACGTTCGTCGTGTTCGGCTAGGCGGCAGCGAGGGCGCCGAGTGCGGCGGCGGTGTCTGGCGAATGCACGCGGGGCCCATGGTTGGATAGAAGCCTATGAGTGTGGCCGAAGAAAGGACATTGGGCCACAGGGATCTGCATTTGACGTCGGGTGCGTATCACCAGTAACAGAATGATCAAGGGACAGAGCCACTTCAAAAACACAATCGTTCAATTAACGGGCGACGGTGATGCTGACCCAACAGATCGAAGACAACAACATATGTTACGCGTCTATGGTACCATTGGTTTGCATATTGAACTTGGCCACGAGCGGGAATTCCAGAAGCTGCGCTGCCGTGGGCCTGTAGTCCGGGTCCAACGTCAACATTCGGCCCACGAACGCGTGCACCTCGTCCAATTCAGCGCCACGCAGTCTGGCGTTTCTCAGCAGCTGCTGGAGAGTCCCGGGACGCGGGAGCTTCATCACGTCCGGGTGCCTCAGTGATCCTGTATCGTGACGTCGAATAAGCGACGAGTCAGCCGAGAGTATCCAGGATCTCTGCACTGCTCACCGTTCGAGTGAAAGATTTCGCTGCGCAATTCCTCCGGGCACCTCGCAAAACTCTCAGCCAAGAATTGGTCCGCGGGCTTCAGCGATCCTGGAGTGGGGAAAGCAGTTGGTCAGCCATGAGGCTCCCACAATGTCTGCACGTCTCACCATCCGGACGGAAAAACCGGCTTCGCACGTTCTCCGGGCACTTCGCTATGCTTGAGACAGAGAAAGGGCCCAGCAGTTCGATCATCTGCGCGAGATGTGAATAGTCGCCATATTCACTCTCGTCGTAACCATGCTTAGGGAAGAAAAGGAGGCTCGGAAGAAGCAATTCCATCGCCTGTGTCCATAAGTTAGCGGAATAGCTGATCGTTGCGAATGGGTACTGACCAAACATCCGAGCGCCCAGACGTCGATGGCCTGGCCCCATAGACGACCCAGTATGATCTCAGGGGCGCGCACCGGCCTAGGCATGGCCTTGACGCCAGTGGTATCTCTGGGCGCCTTGATGACTATTTCACACATGCTGCTCAGCAAAACGATTCGGAAAAGAGAGTATTACAGCGCTCACCGCTGCTAAAGTCACCCAGTTGCACACGGATATTGGGTACCTCACATTCCTTTGTAAGCGGAGGCGTGCGGTGTTCCAAGAATGCACGCAAGCCCTCCTTACTATCGGCATATAGCGGTACACTGAGGTTATCGGCTTTGATATCTAGTCGTACGAGGTCAACTGGCAGCCCATCGAAAACGTGGCGAACAAACAAGGCGCGCTGACCGGTATGTATGAAACCGAGCTGGTGGATGTCGATCAGTCCACGTATTGACTGCTTGATAACGCGCTTCACTAGCAAGAGGTCGCGATGAAGGTCACAGTTCTTGAATCCACGACATATGTCGTAGAGGGTCGCAGCATGGGGTAGGAAGACGAAAAAGTGGAAACCGCCTCGCTCACCATTGTCGCAGAGGCCAATGGTATGGCGGAACGACATACGTCCAGCCTTCTCATCAAGTGCCATATGGAGCTTCCTCAGTGCCATATGCAGGGCAAGCTCGGCGGTCTCCCCAGCTTCCGCCCTCACAGAGGCCTCTCCCGTTAGGATTTTGGCCACAAGTAGGGAATTGACCTCAAGGCCATATCTGAAGATTGAATGAGTTATTGCGCGGAAAAACTCTGGGACCCTAGCGGCGCACCTCGAACTAATCCTTTCCACGAGCCACACACTGGACTCCATTCCCAACGCCAGCTTTCGTATCGTCTTGTATTCGCAGCCGTCGGTAACGAGCACGTCTCCCACTTGAGCAGAAGCATATATTGGGAGAAATGAAGATGAGAGGAGTCTATCATCCAGGTGGGTATGCTCTTCGACACGGTTGGGCTCGCCAGTGAATCTGAGTCGTCCAAGGCCTGGAGCAGCCGCGAGCGGCAGAGTCCTGCCTGAAGACGAGTGGCGTGACAAGAGAGCACGAGCATTCATGAGACCACTGCGAAGGGGCGGTGTGCCGATGTGCAGTCGGCGAGAGACTGTGCGCATCTTAAGAGAAGTGTAGTCGAGCAGGAGAGAGCTACCCAAGGCGCGCCTCCTCACATCACGAAAACGGGGGCGAAGTGGTAAGACGCCCGATACTTCCCTATCTAGGAAGTGACGTAATCCCTTCCTGATGGCATTATAATCCATTGTAACAGCCCCCAATCGTACGGCTCGGGGCGATTATTGTATCAGTTCGGCGTACCCTTGCATGTACATTGACATATCTCGATAATGTGATGCTGTCCCTGTAAGTTACTTGTAAGATCCGATAGATATAGGGTGGAGATAGCAACGCTAGGCCGAGCCTTCTGTGTGCTAGAAGAGAATACCGAGGTTTTGAATGAGCTTACCCGACATTGTGACGTATTGAGCATGTGTCTGCTATCATTGCGGACCTACCACGCACCCATTATACAAGTGTAGTTATCGGCGTCTATGACCGGCGCCGTCGCTCGACACGTCGCGACGCGTCGGCTGGCAGCTTACGAGGATGCATCGCGGACGTTGACTACATCCTCCTCCACCCTTACCTTCCACACTCCTCGCTGCTCTGTCACTTTTTGCGGACCTCTCGTTTATCAGAAATGCTACTCTAAGTTCTTGGATCACTGTCCTTCCAGGAGCTCGAGTCGGAGCTCGAGAACGCGCGTGCGCCGCTGCTTGAAGAGAGCACTTTGGGGTGAGTCTCTTCCACAACTACTCGCGCTGCCCTCCCCGCCAATTCCTTTTCTCCTGGCTCGTCGCCTAGGGACGGCGTGGCACGGACGAGCTCATTCCCATACCCTGTGCGACGTCTAAAACATTGCCCTGCTAGCTTGCCACTCCGTGCGTAGTTCTAAACAGCGGACCTAAGCCCCCGAATGGCGAATACGCTGATCTTCGCCGAGCCAAGCTGCAACCTGTACGGCCGGTGCGGGAGTAGCGCGGAGCACGCCGCGACTGGTCGAAAAAGTGCGTTGCGGGCCACAAGTTCGGACGGGTCGGGGCAGGCTGCCACAGGGAGCTAGAAGGCGAGCCGCCACTTGCCCTCATCTGCATCCTCGCCTGCACCACTGACCACGACCTCGCCCACGCCGCCACCTTCACTCTCACCCTCATGGCCTCATCCTCAAGGCCTCACCTTCGCCTTCGCCCTCGTCCTCGCCCTCGCCCGTGCCCGGCCCTCTCGACCTTGCCCGTGCTGCTGGCCTCGCTCTGCACTAACTCCCCCACACCCGCACCCGCACTCTCCACATCGCTATGCCCCATCGAACCGTCAGCCCATCAATACCCTCAAGGGCCCCTCGTCTCGCCTCCGCATTGCCTGTGTCAGCCCATGTCTCGCCCCGTCCGTGCCGTTCATGTCTCGCCCGTCTCACTCGCGTCATCTCAAACGACGCGCGCGAGCTACCGCCCACAGACGTCGAGCGCACCAGCCCCGAAGCGACAGGCATCGCAGCCAAACGACCCCCCGACCTGCTCATGCTTGTACGACGGACGCTCGCGCTGGACGTGCTCGCGGTGCTGCACACGCTCGAGGGATGCGTTCGGCTCCCGCTCAACCATGGCGTCTACGACGTGCAGAACGACCAACCTATCGCTGCTCTCCTCGCTCTCGCTGTCCTCACCCTCATACACCTCCCCCGGAGCTTGAACACGACTGTCGGATCAAGTCAGGAGAAGGAGAGGTTCACTCAGGTGCGCAGTTTTCTCGATATCGCCCGTGCCCGCACCGTCTCCTCTTTCGAGAACCAAACTCGCCAGCGGTGATAAGTGCGTTTCTTCTCCCCCTCCCCCTCGCTATATCCCACAACGGCCATGGGAGGTTTAAAAGTGTGTCTGGGACGAACCCCTAGTCGTGGTCAGACGTCATCGGTGGGGAGATTAGAATCCGGGTGAGTTCTCCGCTTTGTCCTCCTGTGCTCTGCGTCTTGCCTACCGCCTCCCAAGGTCTCGGCCACACCACCAACCCCATCCCCACAACGAGCATGTCCCAAAGGACGTGCACGGAACGGTCGTTTCACTGGCACGGTCATGTTGCGATGTTGCTGCCGCTGTGTCGCACATCGCCTGCCTGCCGCCTCTGCCCATGGTGCGATTGCCCGCGTCGTGCCCACCTCGCCCACGTCTCGCCCACGCGCCGTCCGTATTGCCCCCGCGTCACCACATCGCCCGCCTGCGTCATCTGCGTCACCCACCTCGCCCACCTCGCTGCCTTGCCTGCCTGACCCATCTCACCTTTACCTGCCTCGCCGCCTCTACGTCACCCACCTCGTCTCCCCCTAACCCGATGGTTCCTCTCCCCGCTCTTTACATTACAAACTATTCTACCACACCATTGTTCGACAGATCAAGACTTCAATGTTGGACGATGAGCGGCCCGACCATTTGTTGGCTTTGTCACGGACAAAGTACGTTGTTGCTCTCGTCATCTGTGTGGATTGCACTAATATTGCACGCTAGGGAGTGTCTTGGAGAGCAATGGGATGACGACGAGAACAACACCAGCAGCCCTGAGGGTGATCGCCGTCCCTCAATGGCGTCACGCATGGTTGCTCAGGGCAAGGCACGGAAGTGTGCGTCTGCGTAACGCGTGGGGCCCATGTGGGTCGCAGGATCTGTGGCTGCTTGCTGGTCGGGGTCGGCAGATGTACCTTAGCCTCGACTCTAATGCATGCCACTCTCGTTGTGCTTCGTTATGAGAGTCCGTAAATATTGGGTTTTCATTCATTATCCCACGCTGGGGACTCTACCTATGCACTACCAACCCCTCCCAAATCTCCACCAATCTACGCACTCATTGGGCTACTGACCATGTACACAATGTTGCTGTAAGACAGGATGGATTATAAGTTTGCACCATCTCTGATAGCGTGCAAGGTGCACAATACTTGGGTACATTGGGAGAGTATTGGCATGTGATTTCAAGCTTCAAGCGTGCATGATAGTGGCACTATCAAGCGCTGTAATATTGCACCCATTCCATTTGTTACAAGTACCTTCCTTCGGATTATGTACAGATCTCTACCCGTGGCAATCCCTGCTGAAAACTGCCCCTTTTTCGTGATGCAGCTCCGCGAGGTGAGGTCACGTGTCATTCCGAATGCGGAAAAGTCGTTGATCTCAGCCGAATGGAGACAAACCGAATTGAGAGGGCCACCTCCTTTGTCGTGCACAAGCTCGGCTGCAAACTCTCGGGGTCGCCGCATGCATGTAAACGGGTTCGACCGGCGCGGGGGCAGGGAAGGGACTCCCTACCTATGCAGGCGCCCAACTGTTTACGGTAATGCCATGATGTCATAGACTCGCGAGCAAACCACTGGCGGAAGCATGTATTGTACATTAGATACTCGTCGTGCACCAGGATGAGGGCGTCCGAGCCTTTTTGGCTGGTCTCCAGTGGCGAGCATCTCTTCGCCGCGTTCCCAAACTAGACCGGCTTCGATCGGTGGGTGTGATGCCGTGTCCGGACCATATGCCTTTTGTACGAGTTGGCGGGGCGCCGAGAGATGCTGCACTTGATGAGATCCGCGTCGAGATGCATGGACGTGTCTCCCTGTTGGCGGCTTTCATTCAGTCGTCGAGCGTCCGCGGTTATCCAGCGACGCACAGGCGCTCCCGATAATGAAATAGGCTGGCCCAGAGACAAGAGTGATGGGCGTTTATGGGGTCACAGACCCCACATCGCGTCTACTACCAGCCGGCGTCCATGAGGCGAGGAAGTTGCGGGGCGAGGCGGGGTTTGCGGGAAGCATACCTGCCCTGGATCGCGAGGGAGTCGCAAAGCCGGTCGAGCCCGGTGGGAAGTCCTAGAAACTGCACGAGGTGGAGTGAGACACGAGATGAAAGAGGCAAACGCACCGTGTGCGTTGAGGACGGTGGGTTGAGTTAGCTATGTGTCATGTAGGACGCACAGGCAGCGTCAGTACTCGAGCAAGCTAGCGTAAGTACTACGCGTTGATGTTTGTGGAGTCTCCCAAATTACCTTTATGCGCACGAAGCTTCTGGCCCGGCCCAGGCCGGCAGATATGGCGTCAGCTGCTTGCACGGAGCTTATCAGGACGAGAGCCCGGTCTGAACGGGCAGTGCCCACGGGATCGGTACGGAGGGCTCGCACGCCGTCGGCGAGTGAACGGCGTCCCATTCCACCACGTGTGCGTCGTCCAAGCCCCGATCGAGTATGGGCGCAAACGGAGCGCATCGGCTGAGCACGCTCGGAGGACGAGCGGATGGCAAACCAGGGGCAGCGCGGGAAGACGCGCTGGCCAGGGGGAGGTAGAGCGAGGATACCGCAGCGGGGCGCGGGGAGCGTCGTCAGTGTGGGGCGGAATGCACGTACGAGGAACGATCCGCGCGCAGGGCGGCTTCGGATACCCCGAGCGTGCTAAGTATGCGCTCCTCGTCTTCTCCACCCTCCGCGCTGCAGAGCTTGGTTTGAACAACGTGAGCTGAGCTGAGCTGAGGAGGAGGAGGCGGCGAGCGCAGGGATCGGGCGAAATGGGCGGCGGAGGTTGAGCGGAAATCACATGGCCGGCGGCCGCGCGGGAAAGCGCACGTGAGTCGGCTAGAGTCGGGAGGCGAGGCGCCGGGGCCCCTTGAACTGGGCCGGGCTTTGGCTCGATCATCTTCCCCGCTCCTCCTCTTTTTCCCCACCCCAGCCCCGCCGTCCCGCTCGCCTTTCGCGACAACGGCACCGGCGGCCTCCATGGCCATGAAGCCCATCCAAAAGCGCCTCTACACCGTCCTCCCCCGCCCTCCTTCCATCGTCACCCCCTCCGTCGCCTCCACCTCCCAGCTCCCTCTCCCCCGCGTCCGCTCCAACTCTGCGTCCTCTCCCCGCTCCCTCTACACCGCCTCCCACCTCTCCTTCTTCGATGCATCTTCCCCCCCTCCCCCACCACCCACATCCCGCGGCAACAGCGTGGTCATTGGCACCCGCATCGCCGCCGAGGTTCGCCCCGAGGTCGAAGGCAATCACCCGTCCTCTCACCAGCAGGCCGGCCCCCTCCCCTACCCGCTCGCGCTCTCCCTCGGCCAGTCCGAGTCGTCCCCCCATCTGCCGCTCTCGCCCTACAATCCCTTCCTGCCCTACCAGGTGCTCTCCCCCCTCTTCGTTATCTCTGCCAAATCCAACGACACCCCTGCCCCGGACCCCCGCAAAAAGCGGCAGCGCGCCCGTTACCACCTCGACGTCGGTGCGTACGGCATTCCGAAGCGCTCTCGCGGGCACTGCGTCGCCGGACGCGATGGTCACGGTCGATTCGACGTCCGCCCGGACCCTGGGCTCACTCCGGAGGAGCTCGCGCGCGCCGTCCAGGTCGGCGAGGACGCGTACTTCGTGAGAGACAATGCGATGGGTGTCGCCGATGGGGTCGGGGGCTGGTCGAGGCATCGACGAGCAGGTGAGCTAAAATTGCGGCGCGGTTCCCGTTCGTTGCCGTCGGGCAGCGCTTGTGATGGTTGCTGACTTTTACGTTAGCGAATTCTGCGGAACCAACGCCCAGCGCGCTTTTTGCACGACGATTGATGCATTATTGCTCGGAGGAGGTGGACGCGGCTGCGAGTGAGCGTTCGGGTGCAAGGTGCGTAATCTTTGTCGTCCATTCCGGTGTGTCCTTACACCCGAGGCTAGTTTGGCGCCACCAGAATCGCACGCAGAGGCAGATGACCTGTGCGCGGAGCTCCAAGACTCATTAGAGGAGCTTGAAGAAGGCCTAGACGTCCTTATGATCTTGGAAAAGGCGTACGAGAAGGCACTACGGTCGCACGTACATCGTGCAGGCACCTCGTCCAGCAGTTCGCGGTCTCCGTCTCCTTCCGACAGCCTTTCGAAACGTGCAGTTTCTTCGTCCGCTTCCGCGTCCCTATCGCCGCACTCTCCATCCCCATCGTCAGCTCCGTCCCGCAGCGCCCCTGGGGCCATTCCCCTGTTCGAAGGCTCCTCGACGGCGCTTGTTGCAATCCTTGAACACCCGTCCGCCCGTCCCGCTAAGGCATTAGGAGACGCGGCGTTGTTCAACCCGCAGCCAGCGTCGGGAAAGCCTAGTCAACCGGAGGTCAGCACCGATGGTGCCGTGATCCGCATTGCCCACCTGGGCGACTGTATGGGGATGTTGATCCGGGGTGAGGAGATTGCATGGCGAACGGAGGAGATGTGGTGGAACGTGAGTCTTCTTACTGTGTCCGAGGCACCCAACCCTTCTTAAGCCCGTTACTGTTTTAGTTCAACACCCCCGTTCAGCTCGGCCCGGCGTCTTCGACCAGGCCGCACGATGCCCGCATTTTCACCGTGCCGGTGGAAGAGGACGACATTCTCATCTTGGCCTCGGACGGGCTCTCGGACAACCTATGGGACGCTGAGATTCTCGATGAGGTCGCCCGCTTCCGCCGGTCATTCATGACCCCTGCTCAGGAAGAACAGCCTTTTTCAACGGACGGCAAGAATGCGCCAGTCTCCGCGGCTGCCCCTGCTCCTGCAGCGACTGCGACGTTCCGACGAAGTACGCTCGCGGGCATGCTGAGCGAGGCGCTGTGCTCGCGCGCGAAACGTGTGTCTGAGACGCGCGGCTCGCGACGAGAGAAGAAAACCGTTGCAGCACCTGCGACGTCGGCGACGGAGACGGACGTGCCGTTTGCGAAGCGGGCGCGGGAACAGGGGAAGCTGTTCGAGGGTGGGAAGCCTGATGGTGCGTCTCTCCAGTCTTCTCTCTATTAATCACCGCTGACCCTGGGGCCGCAGATATCTCGGTATTGGTCGCGGTGATCTCACCGGTAGAGTAGAGGACTTGCTCCATGTTGTTTGTCTGTGTGCGTGTTCTTTTGCGTCTGTGCTCGTCTGCCTGATGTCGTATCCCGCTTGTCTTGTCTCTTCTCGATACATGCTCTCTCCTGAACCCTGCATCTCTCCCCATTTCATTCCGCTGGTGATACCACCCCAACTCCTCTTCGTCTTCTCGTCGTGCGTGATCATTGATCCTCATCTCCTCTCATAGCCACAGCAGTCAGTGCATATGCTTCTCTTGTGAATTATTCTTATACGTCACCGTCTCACATCCCTCACCGTCTCTTTGCCCGCCCGCTCGTTTGCCACTACGACTCACCACTAATCCCCGTCTCGCTCCCCCGCGTCGTGCATGGCGCTTTGTCGACAAAACATCGTACAGTGTAGATATATACAACTCAGCCTGGAGTACTCATCCCCGGATTCCACGCACCCGGTCCGCTCGGTGCGCGGTATGTATAGTATTGGTCGCGGTAGCGGTATACAATGCCTTTGGCGCATCGGTATCTGGTTTCGTTCGTCTGCGAGTGAGGTGCTTTCCTCGGTAACTCGTCGCGCATATTGCAATCGACGAGAGTTTGCAACTTCGACATTACTCAATCCTTTCCACGCGCGTTTCTGACATCTGACCGCCACCAAGACCGCGTCCGCCTGGACAGGCCGAGACTGGGATGCCGATAAGATAACAGGTCGAGGCACGTCGGGACTCAGCCTCGGTGAGCGTGGCTGCCTCGCTCATCTCACCATCCCACTCTACCTCCCCGCTTGTTCTCATCCTTACCCCTCGTGAGCTGCCTCGTACTCAGCACGGACGAGGGCGCTGACCAGGTTGCCCACAGCTAAACAGCCCCTCCGCCCACTACACCCCCACGCCCGCGCATACACGAAGATGTCGACCGAGGAGCTCTCGTACCTCTCGCACGCCCGCTACGGCAAGGACAAGGTGCGCGTCCTGCGTGTCGTCCGCGATGGCGCGTGGCACACCGTCGTCGAGTACAACGTCACTGCGCTCGTCGAGGGAGCGATCGAGACGAGGTGCGTGGCCGCTTCCCCCCTCTGAACGCAGCGGGCATGGCGCGGGAGACGGTGTGGGAGGGGCAGAGGAGCTGATGCGACGCGATGGCGGTCGGCAGCTACACGAAGGCGGACAACAGCGTGGTCGTCGCCACGGACTCGAGTGCGTCCATGCGTACTCGTTCTCTGGCTGTCCGCTGACAGCCACCCGTTCGTATCCCGTCCAGTCAAGAACATCACCTACTGTAAGTCGCCCCCTTCCTCGTCTTACTGCCCCCAGCTTGATCGCTCAGCCGATGCGCAGATCTCGCGAAGACGTCCCCATACGTGCTCGTGCCGGAGCGGTTCGCGATCCACCTCGGGACGCACCTGGTGTCCAAGTACGCGCACTTGACGAAGGCGTTCGTCGCCGTCGAGCAGCTCCGGTGGGCGCGCGTGCCGGTCGCGCAGGGCGCGGGCCAAAACCCCAAGCCCCACCCGCACTCGTTCTTCCGCGACGGGGACGAGAAGCGGTTCGCGCAGGTCGAGGTGCGTCCACCCCTCTCTCCCTCTCTCCCACCGGGGTCCCCCGAACGCCAAACGTCCCCCATCGCTCATCCGTCCCGCGCGCAGATCGACGCGACGGCGGGCAAGGATAAGCTCGTCGCGCGCGTGACGTCCGGCCTGCGCGACCTGCTCGTGCTCAAGAGCACCGGGTCCGGGTTCGAGAACTTCGTGCGGGACGAGTACACGACGCTGGCCGAGGTCGACGACCGGATCTTCTCCACCTCCGTCGACCTCTCGTACACCTTCGCGCCGCTGCCGGTCCCCGCGCCCGCGGACGGGCAGGGCCGCGAGCTCGTGGCGCCGGCGGAGAAGGGCACGGCGTGGGACGGGGACGCGGTCGCGGCGGCGGCGCGCGGGGTGACGCTCGAGGTGTTCGCGACGGACGAGAGCGCGAGCGTGCAGGCGACGCTGTACCGGATGGGCCAGCGGATCGTGGCGGAGAACGGGGGGGTGCAGACGGTGTCGTACGCGCTCCCGAACAAGCACTACGTCCCCGTCGACATGAAGTACATCGGGGTCGACAACTTGTCGCCGTGCGTCTTTTGCTTCTGCTGCGCGTGTGGACGCCGTGCTGACGCGGCTGCAGGCCGAAGGCGGAGGTGTTCGTGCCCCTGGCGGCGCCCAGGTGCGTGCGGCGATATCCTGGATTATGGACGCTCATGTTCAACGCCGGTCTTCTGCAGCGGCCTTATCACGGCTACGGTGTCCCGCAAGTGAACGGCCAACACGAGCAGAGGCCGCACCGAGGGAAGTGGCGTTCGCGCATGATGCCGCGTTGCGTCCCCGGAGCGTGTGTAATCCACCGTAGTCAATCACACGTGCTGTATCAATAACCACCGTAATCTCGCTTGCCTACCCTGCCGCTGCAGTCGGAGCACCCTCCGAGCTTGACGAGTGCGCAGAACCAAGTGGGATGCGAATATGGGGTTCCGCAGGGCTCAACCGCTCGTCGGGCACCTTCGAAACTCGTGATGAGGATTGACTGATCGTAGCGGGGGTGAGAAGGCCGTGGATTCGAAACCACAACGCGCCTCAGGTGGGCCGAGGCAATCGGAGACATCCCGACGAAGTGCCTTTTGGGAGGCTGATAGCGGACGACAAGCTCCGGGGTTCGCGCCTGCGTTGGTTCACATCAAAGGCCGCGCGTGGGGCATATAAGAAGACATTGCAGCCCGCCGTCCTGCACCTCCTACTGCCAACTTAGCCAGCATGCCCTCCTACGTTATCGTCGGCGCCTCGCGAGGTATAGGCGTGAGCTTCCCCCATCTCTCCTGTCGACAATGGTGGATCTGACTCCCGTTTTCACAGCTCGAGTTCGTGAACACGCTGGTACGTCCATCGAGCAACGCTCCCGACCTCTCCCCGAATTTGTGTGTCGTCCACAGAGCAAAAGCAAAGACAACGTCGTCTTCGGCATCGTCCGTTCTCCGGAAACCGTCGCTGCGCTCAACGCCCTCGCTGCCGCCCAGCCGAACGTGCACGTCGTGAAGGGCGACTACACGGACGTAGCCAGCCTTACGGTGAGCACCACAATATCTTCCGCCGCTCGCTCGCTCATCGCGCCGCGGGACGGACAGGCGGCGGCGGACGCGGTCGGAAAGGTCACTGGGGGCACGCTCGACGTGCTCATCAACAGCGGCGCGATCCAGTTCTGCGCGAACACGTTCTCCAAGATCACCGAGTAGTGCGTCCACCCGCCGTCTCCGTTCATGCGCGCCTCGTAGCTGACCCGCACTCTCGCATGCGGCGCAGCCCGAGCCCCGCCGCGCTCGACGCGGACTTCCTCATGGGCCTCCAGGCGAACGCGCTCGGGCCCGCGCACGCGACGAACGCGTTCCTCCCGCTCCTCCGCGCCGGGCCCACGAAGAAGGTGGCGGCGCTGACGTCGCCGACGTCGGACGCGGCGCTCGTCGCGCGCTCGGGCTTCGGGCTGAACTGCTTCTACAAGGCGGCGAAGGCGGCGCTGAACGTGGTCATGGCCGACTTCGCGGTCGCGCTGCGCGAGGAGGGCTTCGCGGTCGTCGCGATCAGCCCTGGGGTCGTGAACACGTTCACGCCGAACCCTGGTGAGTCCGCGTTGGTGGGTTCGGTGTATGGCGCGGCTGACGGGGGGCAACAGACGACGAGCCGCCGGAGGGGTTGAAGGGCGTGTGTGCGCTGTTCAAGAAGTACGCGCCGGAGTGGGACGGGAGGATCATGAAGCCGGCGGAGTCGGTGAGGTGCATGCTAGAGGTAATTGACAGGCTCACGCCCGAGGACAGCGGGGCAACTTTGGGGCACCATGGAAAGAAGGAGTGGCTGGCGTGAGAGGTGAAGCTGTGGCAGGAAACGAATATTGTTAAGACGTCGACTTTGAAGTGGTTCCGTAGCCTGGATTCTAGGGGAATAGTGTATGCTTGTGCATTCGACCTGGGTACACGATTCTCACGGGAACAGAGGACAAGTGGGTCTGCTTCTCGAAGCTAGCTTGTTTCGATCCTGACCTGCTCCTTTAGTCGTCATTATCGTATCCTCCTTCGAGATCGACGGCTACTTACTTGTGGTCAATCATAAGCGAACTAGAAAGGGGGCAAGGGACTGGCACATTCGATCCAGCCGTCGCCGTTGAACACGAACTCGGAGAAGCTCGTGACATACGCGCCGGTCTGTATGTAGACGCGCAGGTCGGCCCCCTTGATGCTGAGCGCCGAAATACGCGAGGCCGGCACGCTGGCTTCGGAGAACCCGCCGTCGTACCAGCCCGAGCCGTCGTGCTGATGGATGGGAATCAGCGCTGCGATATCCGGAGTGCCCACAGAACTTCGGGAAACCCCAATCGCTCCCAGATGCGAATTCATCACTCACCGCCTTCTCGCGCACCGTGCCGTCCGCAGTGTCGTAGTAAACGCGGACGTGCGCAGACCCCTCCCACGAGACGACGGCGAGGGGGGTGCGGGGGAAGGGACCGGGGAAGCTCAGGCCGCCCTTGTACCAGTACTTGGACTTCCTAGCGTCGTGGGCCCGCTCGATCACCTTGCCCTCGGCGTCCTGGAAGTAGACGCTGGGATTTGGAGTGTAAGTTCCGTATCGGCAACTCATCCGAGAGGGTTGTTGGGGGAGCAAAGAGGAGGTAGACTCGTGCCTTGAGCCCTTTACCTACCGGATGCCGATTTCGTTGTCATTGTTGCCCCACGCGGTGACAGCAATGGCCGTTCCAGGAAGGGCGGGGCCGAGGTTCTGGTCCTTGTACCAACCATCGGAATTGCCGTCGACAAAGGAATACTCCTGGATCGAGTTGTCCTCGGCCTGGACGTAGACACGCAGCTTGCGCTTCTTGGCCAAGAAGACGGCACCAACGCTCGAGTAGGGGGCGACCCTGAACTTGCCTGTCAGGCCGCCCGAGTACCACCCCTTGCCCTGGTCGTAAGCGAACTCGGAAATGGTGTTATTTTCCGCAATGCCGTAGACACGGATGGCTTCCAACTCGCCCAGGGACGTGGCCGACAGCGGGCTTGTCAACTTGACGCTGCCGATAACGTTCTTGGCTACGCCGCCGACCCACTTGCCCTCGTAGTTGATCTGGCGGACGTTTCCGTCGTTGCTCAGGACGTAGAGCCGGAGGCGGCCCCCGCTGTTGACGGCCGCGATGGGACTGAGAAGGGCGATCTCGTTGATGTGGGCCATGATGGATCTGAAAGTCCTGTTGTGTGCTTCTGCGCTATGTCTTGGAGATTGTCTGTTGGGTCTGGGGGTCTTGTGCTGCTCTGAGTTGTAAGGAGGCACAGGCCCAGCCCAATATAAGGAACCAGGCGACTCACAGGGTGCGCTTTCCCGCGCAGATGCTGGCCGGCCGTGTGAATACTGTACCATAATACTTCAAACGAGCTCCGACGCCTTTCGCCCGATCCTTCCGTTCACCATCCTCGTCAGCTCGCTCGCTCTGTTCATTCGGACCAAGCTCTACAGCACCCTCACGCGCTGTGCTGCGCCTCTTCCCGCGCCACCCCTGCCAGTTTACCATCCGCTCGTCCTCTGGGCGTGCTCACCCGATGCGCTCGTTTGCGCCCATACTCGACCGGGTCTTGGAAGACGCACACGTGGTGCGACGCCGTTCACTCACGGTCGTGCGAGCCCTTGTCACCTGCCCGTCCAGCTCGGCCCCTCGGCCTGATAAGTAGGCTCAGCGCAAGAAGCTGATGCAATACACACATCTACCGTAGTCCCGGCCTGCATCAAGGTAAGACTAGGCAAATATCAATGCGTATTCACTAGCGCTAATCTTCAAATACAAAAGGGTGCGTGACGGACACGGCATCACGCCCACCGTCAATCTAGTAAGCAGTGGCAAACGCTCTGTGGAACGAGGTCTCAGTCGAGCTCGTGCGCGACAAGGATGGTGGCCATGGTCAAGCTCGTCTCCGCCGTTCAGCTGGCCCCAGGTAACCAGTTACCAGATCAACGGCTTGTCCGCATTCAGCGTGGCACGTGACCTCCCATCTCCGTGGCTCGGAGCTCCCGCCGCGGACAGGGTAGCTCTCTCCTGCTTAGACTACACTCTGCTTCAGATGCGCAAAGTCTCTCGCCAACTACACATCGGCGCACCACGCCTTCGCAGTGGTCTCATGAATGCTAGTGCTCTGCTGTGAGCACAGGTGATTTCCCTGGTGCATCTGTTGCGATAGCCTATCAGCAGCTACGGATGCATCAGCAAAGTGCGTATCTTCTTGTCACGCATCGTGGCGTTTGACCGCGCTCGGCGCTTCCTGATAAGGACATGCCGTCTTTTGTCTGCTAGACGGCTGATGGCAATACATGACAATCAATTGCGTGCTCTACTATTGCTTGCAAAGCATGGCATATATAATATAGACCAACGCCTGCAAGTCGAGGGTTTGACATGTATGGTAACATATGGTGGGGTGGGAATACTGGTGGGCACATTATATATATTGCACACTCCTGGGGCACGGTGTCGTACATTCCGTGCACATCCTCGGCACGGGGCTCAAGCATGGCTCGCGAGCGCGCGGTTGAGCATCGCACGGACGGGCGCGGGGGGCCGTGGCCGTCGGCGCGGGGGCGGTAGGCGGGGACGGGGCGCAGGGTGGAGACCCAGACGTCGACGAAGGCGAGGGTCGGGTGGGGCGGGAGGCTGTCCGCGTCCGAGACGTCGTTCTCGCGGCCCTCGAAGACGAGGTGGCGGAGGCGGGGGGAGAGGTGGAGGAGGGCGAGGTGGGGGGCAGACGCGGGGGAGGCGGAGCCGGACGCGCCGTCCTTATCTTCGGCGTCGCGTCGGAGGCCCATCTCCTTGTAGTCGCGGAACTCGAGGTAGGTGAGCGCGGCGCCGTGCGGGCGCCCACCTGGACGCGCGTGACAAGCGGGAGTGAGGCGCGGCGGGGGCGCGTCGGGCGTGCCGTCGGTGTGGGCGGAGGCGCCGGTCGAGGCGTGGGGCGAGTCGGGGCGGGGGCGGTCGAGGCGGCCGACGTCGTACGCCTTGGAGAGGTTGAGCTCGACGAGCGAGGGCAGTGAGAGGGGCTCGCGGCCGGCGGGGTGGCCGACGTTGATCGCGAGCGTGTGGAGGTAGGCGAAGGGGGCGAGGACGTGGAACGGGGCGGTGAAGTGCGGGGTGCCGCCCTGGGGCCACTGCTCGAAGCGGGTGTGGGTGTTAGAGAGGTGGGAGACGGCGGCGGCGACTCGGAGGCGGTTGTGGAACGGGTAGAGGGCGACGCGGCGCCGGGGCTCGTCCTCCATCGTGAAGAGGCTGTCGGTGAAGATGAGGGTGCGGATGCCGGTGCAGTGGGTGAAAATGTAGACGAGGTTGCGGACGACGGGCTCGCGGATCTCGAGCACGACGCGGGGCAGTCGATGAGGAAGAGCTTGACGAGCAGGCCGAGCGCGGGGTCCCCCGTACCCCCAAGCCTCCTGGTTCGCCCACCTCCGAGCTCCACCCGAATGGTCCCCACTCCCCTCAATGATGCCTCACATCGCTATCCACTATTGAATATTGAGGTTTTCCACTTGCAAGGACTACAAATGCAAGAAATCTCGGTGCTGAAGAAAACGACGTACCTGGCAATCGCCCCAGTGCGCGGGCGAGCCGCGCATCTGGGCCCTAGATCTGGATATGCACACCAGGAGTCGATGCAACAAGGCACGTCGTCCGGAATCGAAGGCTGAGCGCCGCTTGAGCTGCCTGGAGGGCGCTGTTGGCTGCGCGCTCTCTTGATTCCGGACGATTCTACGATGAGTCGCGAGGTGGAAAGCCGCAGGGAGAAGGGGATAGGCGCCCAAGACTTCGCGGACAGATTAGTGGGGCAAGCAGAGTTCAAGTCAAAGACTTACCATGGTCTGATTGCACACATGATAAGTAGATGGGCTATTGCGCGTCTTCAGCGCTTCAGCGCCCGCGCAGACAATAACTTATAAGTACTTAGGGCAAACAAAACGCATCGGCGCGAGCTGCGCGTCTACTGAACGCCTCCCGCAACCGCCATCATCACCCCCAGTGCCACTCGCCCCACAGACAGGTATATGAAGAGCACATACCTAGTGCAATATCTCCACCCTCATTTTCTCATCTGACTTGATCATGGTCTTCCCCAGCCTCTCACAGACTGCGTATGCAACGTCCAGGGCAAGTCGGACACGGCCACCGGGTCTCACCACACCCTGGGTGGCAGGTGGCTCACAGAATGAGATCAGGCGCACACCGGTAAGTGGTAGCCCATTGAAATGCGTCTAGCTGAGGTCCAATCACGCGATCAGGCTACCCTTGGTGCTTCCAGTCGGACTCACGGCAAGTGCCCTGCTGCGGCCGGCGCTGAGCCTCTCGAAGGAGAGGCACGTCCCGCCCCTGCCGCTCCAATGCAGCCGCTTCATCGCCCCGATGGTCCTCGTTTCCCCCTCCTCTTTCATTCTCTGAATGTGGAACAGCGAGAGAGTGATAATGACTACTCTGCGTCTCTCGCGATCGGATACCCGCCGCCCTCGGAAGACCTGTTGCTGGCTCGGACGCCACTTGCCGGTCCCGTCCCATTCCGTCACCCCCGTAGAGACATGGACGGCGATTCGCGACTCGCGACCATCAAGTCGCTTGGCACGCGTGCTGGGTAAGTGACACACTACATCTAGTATTGATGCATGCCCTATCTGATCTTCCTTTCTGCAGTCTCGAAACTCGCCAGAAGTCAGGGTACGAAAAAATCCACGATTTCAGCCGCATTATCTTGAGTTACAGCGGCCTCTGCGTACCTTAGGGGGCGTTTCTCCCGCCTGGTCTCGCCAATCACGAGACAGCAACTGGATTTTGTAAGTTGTCTGTCCCCCGGCGACCACAGATGGACGTTCAAAGTGCGGAAAGCTCGCGATTGACTTGTGTTCTTGCGTCTCCATACCTCCAGTAGTCTTGTATTATATTTTTCATGATCTGATCACTTCTTCTGAATGATTACGGCGTGTTTTAAGCGTCTACTGTCCGATGTGTGTGCACTACAAAACCTGACCTTACATGGCAGCCTATGACAATGGTCTAAAATCATTGCGTCAGATTACCATGCCACGCCTTGTGTATGGTCGAACAACTACAATGCGTGCAGCCAGGTATTGCCATCGTCTCCCTCGTGTATTGCCATCGGCCCCCTCGTGTATTACAATGCGCGGCGGGAGAAGACAATTGTCCGACCAACCGGCGTCTAGCAGGCGGTAGATTGCCATGCCAGACGACCGATGGCCGTCTACGGCTACCACCCTGTAATACGTGATATGTCTTGTGATTACTTACCATGCAATACGGCCGTTGATCACGCACTGCAACGCATTATCTTCAAATCCCCCGTTTTGCTGATGTGCATCTGGACGGATCTGGCGATCCGTGATGCGCGCCCGTGGAGACGCGCCTCGGTGGGCGGCAAGGACGTGTGGCGCGCATCGCGTCCCTCCCCTTCACCGTCCTTGCTCTCCTCTACCACCCTCGCTACCCTCAGCCTCCCCGCTCTGCCCAGGCAGACGATAGCGACCATACGGTCGACTGTCGTCTGCTATTGGACCCCGGTGTCACCAGGTGACACCGACCTTCCCTTCTCCGACCGACCTCGACCTCGACCTCCTCCCTCGACCTCGATCCCACCCTATACCCACCTTCCCGACCGCACTCAAAACAAACACACCGCACGAGGACGTCCATTCGGACGTCCACAGTATGGAGATTGGAATAGGGGGCCGCGGCGATGCACCGCGGCGCTCGTTGGTGAGTCCTCCGCTCGGTCCTTCTGCACTCCCGATGCCCACCCATGCCCCTTGCCTACGACAGACTGAGGACGTCCACCCTTGGACGTCCTCCTCCTCCGAACCGCTCTCCTCCACCCGCTCTCCTCCGTCCGCGTCGCCCACCTGCGCCATCCGCCTCTGCGTCGCCCTCCTCCTCACCCTGCGCCGCCCATGCCTGCCGCCTCCTTCGCGCCGCCCTCCTCTGCCCGTGTCAACCGCCTCCGCATCACCCTTCTCCTCCCGCGTCACCGCGCTCCTCCGCGTCACCTTCCTCCGCCTCTGCCCTTCTCCGCGTTGCCCTCCTCCACCCTCGTCACCTGCCTCCTCCCCGCACCTCCTGCCCGCGCCGCCCTCCGCGTCGTCCCGGCCCACATCACCTCCTCCGCCTGCGCCGCCTCCTCTGCCCGCGTCGCCCGCCCTCTTTGCTCTGCGCCTCCTCCCCCTTCGCATGGCGCGCCCCCGCCCGCGTCGCCCACCACCTTCTCCGCCTCGTCCCGGCCCTCCGCGTCCCCCGCGAGCCCTCCACCTCGCTCTCCTCCGCCTTCGCGTCCCTCACCTCCGCCTCGCTCGCCTTTGCGTCGCCCGCGTCCGCGTCTCCCGAATTCACGTCGCCCTCCTCCGCCTTGTCCTCTACATCGCCCTCCACCTCCTCTTAGTCCCTCCGCCTCCTCCTCTCCTGGCTCTCCGCCTCATCCTTCTCACCCGCCTCCGCCTCTGCTTCCGCGTTGTCGTGGGCTGTGGGTTACTTACTAGCCCACTTATGTAGTAGTTTACTAATAAATATATTTCTATCACTGATCATATGCAAGATGTGGTGTGAATCAAAGAGGGAGACGAGCTCACCGTTGGAGACGGCGAGCTCAGGTGGCAGGGCCCGAGGTGCCGGTGTCCGGACATCTCGGGATCCGTGCGCGCTCGGGGAAGGCGGTGTGGAGCGCAACCGGGCCGGCCGGCACCAGATGCATCCGCGCCTGCCGATAGGCTATCGCAATGGATGCACCTGGTGAATCACCACTGTAGATGGGAGAAGGCTGGAGAGACCGCTGGGCTTGCCCTACATAAGGAATTGAGGGACCTTCACATGTCACTTGATGGGAAGGCAGGATATATGTCGTTCCGCCACACCATCGGCCTCTGCGACAATGGTGAGCCACTGGGTGGCGCCAGAATACCCTGCCACTGGCGTTCATATCAATGACAACATACACCGCTACTGGCGTTCGGATAAGCTCATATGAGTGGGCGCTCTATACCTGCTACTACCGTCTATATGTACCACATAGCCACACATATGAGTGCCCTCACACCCTGCCACCTATACATATTATAAAAGTGGCTGCTTATATGAGTGCATTAGTGTCTTTCCCTCATATGAACTTTGTAGCGCCTTGCCACTCATATGAGCGCGTCCCCTCATATGAGCTCGCCCCCCTCATATGAGCTCGCCCCCCTCATATGAGCTCATCGGCGTCTCACCCCTCATATGAGCTTATTAATATCCCACCCTTAATATGAATGCACCAGCATTCCACAGCTCCCATTAGCACATCTGGGAACTGGCATACTCTATTGCATGCATGTGTGTATAGGTGCACCCATGCCAGAGCAATTCTTCAGCTTATCATATCACTGAGACACAGGAACTGCACTCCGAAAGAACAGGAAACTGCACCAGCTGTGCAACCGAAACAGACAGAATGGGTGCCCATTAGTTCCATTTTTATTCACACAATGCGCAAAGAGAGAGCAAGAAACCCATGATAGAAAGTGCAAGGCTCAAGCCGATCTCCGCAATCGGCAATTGACTCCCCCCGGGGGTCACCTCCAGGCCGGTAATTGACTCCCCCCGGGGGTTGATCTCCGAGTTTTTGATCACCTGTGTATCTCCGAGTTTTTGACCACCTGTGTATCTCCAACTTTTTGATTGCCTGTGTATATTGTCAGCCTTCATTACCAGACTGCCTGTATCTATTACCGACTTTTTGGACATCTGTGTGTATTACTGCTTTCATTGCCGAGTTTTTGATTGCTGGTGCCTGTTACCGGTCCTCATTACCAACTTTTTGACTGCCTCAATCGATCACTGATTCTTTGTTCGCCTCCAGCCTTTGATACCGAGTTTTTTATCACTGATATTGGTAATATTAGATGGGTTAGTCTGCCTGTACTAAACACCCTCTCCCTAGGAAGTCACCCTTCACAGCTGCATGTGTTGATGGAAATTGACCAAGCTGTTTTCTGGATCAGGTAGTAGCATGCAAGAGCTGTGGGTGTGCAAATCTGGAGGGCAGTAGCTGCAAAAGTGAGGGAGTAATGGGGTATGATATTCTAAAATGACATACCAAACACAGACCTGGGATGAGAGTGAATCACATCCCAGACACCTAGATATATTCACAGAGGATGTTTTAAATGCAATGCAGAAGAGAGCGCACAGAAATCAGGATTTCCGATGAAGATACAAGATATGTGTGGAAAGTGGAAGTTCTGAGAAAACACAACATGCATAAGTTCATGTGCAGACATTATATCAACAGGCTATTTGCTGCATCACAATTGGGTACTATTGGGGTGCTCAGATCGGAATTTGCAAGCTTATCGGTGATGAGATGCATATGGGGCACCATATGTCATTATTTCATGACATACAGTATCCTGACACAGCATATGCTCCGATTAGAATGCTAAAACATGGAATAGAACGGGGTGGAACATAGCTATCCAACGCAGAAAAGACCTTGAAAAACGGTTGAGAATCAGTGGAGATGTGCAAGGTGAGCCAGAAGTGTGGTTGCAGTGAAAAGCGAGGTCAGAGTACATTCAGCATAAACCACACTTCTGGCTCACCTTGCACATCTCCACTGATTCTCAACCGTTTTTCAAGGTCTTTTCTGCGTTGGATAGCTATGTTCCACCCCGTTCTATTCCATGTTTTAGCATTCTAATCGGAGCATATGCTGTGTCAGGATACTGTATGTCATGAAATAATGACATATGGTGCCCCATATGCATCTCATCACCGATAAGCTTGCAAATTCCGATCTGAGCACCCCAATAGTACCCAATTGTGATGCAGCAAATAGCCTGTTGATATAATGTCTGCACATGAACTTATGCATGTTGTGTTTTCTCAGAACTTCCACTTTCCACACATATCTTGTATCTTCATCGGAAATCCTGATTTCTGTGCGCTCTCTTCTGCATTGCATTTAAAACATCCTCTGTGAATATATCTAGGTGTCTGGGATGTGATTCACTCTCATCCCAGGTCTGTGTTTGGTATGTCATTTTAGAATATCATACCCCATTACTCCCTCACTTTTGCAGCTACTGCCCTCCAGATTTGCACACCCACAGCTCTTGCATGCTACTACCTGATCCAGAAAACAGCTTGGTCAATTTCCATCAACACATGCAGCTGTGAAGGGTGACTTCCTAGGGAGAGGGTGTTTAGTACAGGCAGACTAACCCATCTAATATTACCAATATCAGTGATAAAAAACTCGGTATCAAAGGCTGGAGGCGAACAAAGAATCAGTGATCGATTGAGGCAGTCAAAAAGTTGGTAATGAGGACCGGTAACAGGCACCAGCAATCAAAAACTCGGCAATGAAAGCAGTAATACACACAGATGTCCAAAAAGTCGGTAATAGATACAGGCAGTCTGGTAATGAAGGCTGACAATATACACAGGCAATCAAAAAGTTGGAGATACACAGGTGGTCAAAAACTCGGAGATACACAGGTGATCAAAAACTCGGAGATCAACCCCCGGGGGGAGTCAATTACCGGCCTGGAGGTGACCCCCGGGGGGAGTCAATTGCCGATTGCGGAGATCGGCTTGAGCCTTGCACTTTCTATCATGGGTTTCTTGCTCTCTCTTTGCGCATTGTGTGAATAAAAATGGAACTAATGGGCACCCATTCTGTCTGTTTCGGTTGCACAGCTGGTGCAGTTTCCTGTTCTTTCGGAGTGCAGTTCCTGTGTCTCAGTGATATGATAAGCTGAAGAATTGCTCTGGCATGGGTGCACCTATACACACATGCATGCAATAGAGTATGCCAGTTCCCAGATGTGCTAATGGGAGCTGTGGAATGCTGGTGCATTCATATTAAGGGTGGGATATTAATAAGCTCATATGAGGGGTGAGACGCCGATGAGCTCATATGAGGGGGGCGAGCTCATATGAGGGGGGCGAGCTCATATGAGGGGGGCGAGCTCATATGAGGGGGGCGAGCTCATATGAGTGGCAAGGCGCTACAAAGTTCATATGAGGGAAAGACACTAATGCACTCATATAAGCAGCCACTTTTATAATATGTATAGGTGGCAGGGTGTGAGGGCACTCATATGTGTGGCTATGTGGTACATATAGACGGTAGTAGCAGGTATAGAGCGCCCACTCATATGAGCTTATCCGAACGCCAGTAGCGGTGTATGTTGTCATTGATATGAACGCCAGTGGCAGGGTATTCTGTCGGCATGCGCTGGGTGAGCGAGCCGGTTTCCACTTTTTCGTCTTCCTACCCCACGCCGCGACCCTCTACGACATACGTCGCGGATTCAAGAATTGCGACCTTGATCGCGACCTCTTGCTAGTGAAGCGCGTTATCAAGCAGTTGTTACGCGGACTGATCGACATCCACCAGCTCGGTTTCATACATACCGGTCAGTGCGCCCAGTTCGTCGTCCGCGTTTGTGATGTGCTATTGATCTCACACAACTAGATATCAAGGCTGACAACGTTAGTGTACCATTGCGCTGCGATAGCTTGCATGGCGTGCGTGCGTTCTTCGACCACCCTACGCCTCCACTTACGGAGGAATGTGAGGTACCCAATATCCGGGTGCAACTAGGTGACTTCAGCAGCGGTGAGTTTTGCAATACCCCTTCTGATTCGTCTCGCTAAGTGGCGTTCGTTGTAACAGCCATCAAGGCATCGAGGGATACCACTGGCGTCAAGGCCATGCCTAGAGCGGTGCGAGCAGTTGAGATCATACTAGGTAGACGATGGGGCCAGGCCGTCGACGTCTGGGCGCTCGGATGTTTGGTCAGTACCCATTTGCAACCATCAGCCAAGTTTCTTTTCCGCTGACTATGGACAAAGACGATGGAACTCCTTTTCCCAAGCCACCCATTCTTTCCTGAGCATGGTTACGACGAGAGTGAATATGGCGACTATTCACATCTCGCGCAGATGATCGAACTGCTGGGCCCGTTTTCTGTCCAAAGCCTAGCGAAGTGCCCGGAGAAAGTGCGAAGCAGGTTTTTCCGTCCGGATGGTAAGACGCGTAGATATTGTGGGAGCCCCATTGTTTACTACCTTTCCCAATCCAGGATCGCTGAAGCCCGCGGGCCAGTTCTTAGCCGAGAGTTTTGCGAGGTGCCCAGAGGAATTGCGCAGCGAGATCTTTCACTCGAACGGTGAGCAGTGCAGAGATCCTGGATGCTCTCAGCTCACCCGTCGCTTCTTCGATGTCGTAATATAGGATCACTGAGACACCCGGACGTGATGAAGCTCCCTCGTCGTGGGACTCTCCAGCACCTGTTGAGAAACGCTGGACTGCGTGGCGCTGAATTGGACGAGGTGCACACATTCGTGGGCCGAATGCTGACGTTAGACCCAGACCACAGGCCCACGGCGGCGCAGCTTCTGGAACTCCCGTTTGTTGGACAATTCGATTTGCTCACCAATGGTCCCATGGAGTCGTAGCGTATGCTTTTGTGTTCGAACTGTTACCCGTGAATCAAATCATTGTGCTTTGGCAGCATCATTTATCGCTCGTCCCTTGATCGTCCTGGGACTGGTGACACACATCCCACATCCGATGGAGATTCCTCAGGCCCATTTCCCCCCTGCCTCGGCTACGCTGGAGGTATCTATCCCAGCTGAAGGTGCATGAAGAGTGACTGCACGGACGTGGCCCGCCTCACGATGAAAACCCCAGTCTCATGCAACGCTCGCTCGCTCGCTCACCACGGCACGGGACGGAGGTGGTGGCAGACGCGGCGAGGAAGATCAACGGGGCCTTACTCATCCGCAACGGTGCCGTCCAGTTCTGCGCGGACGTGTTCGACGGGAGGGTCATGAAGCCGGGTGCATGTTATTGACAAGCCCACGCTCAAGGACAGCGGGGCGACGTTAGGAGTGCCTCGCGTTGGGAACGAAGAATGAACCGGTTCCGTGGATGGTTCGAGCACATGAATATCCCACTGATGAAGGCGATCCCGCGTGCGTACAGTAGCAAGGACAAAAAAAGGCTAAATGGACTTCGACTTCGAGGGAGACTATTCGAGATACAGGCACTGTCGCGCTACAGCGTCGCCCTAGAGGATGACTTGCTTCCTGCGGCGAATAGTGCCAGCCTTGATGGCCTCAGGCTCCGCCGTGACCGCCGCGACCGCAACCGCGCCTTTGGTCACAGCGGCGTCCTTCGCGGCTGCGCCATTGGTGGGGGCAACCGCCTCCACAGCGGCAGGAATGGCGACGAATTTACCCTGCGAGCGTCAGCACAGGAACGAGAGCTCGACCAGCACCGAGAGACGTACAGCGCGGTCCTTGTTCCAGTCATCGGACGCGGGGCTGATCCGGGTCCAGCCGCGGGACGTCCCGAGGTCGTACGACAGCGCCTGGCCGCTGCGCTCGAGGATCGCGACGCCGTACTTGATGCCAATCGCGTTCAGGACGTCTCTCTCGGCCTGACCGCAGCTCGTGGTGTACGGCAGAACGAGATCGACGGTCGCCACGGGCTCAGCGAAGGTAGCCTGAGCGCGGGATGTGAGCGAGGGAGGCTGGTAGTGGGAGGGGAAGACGCACCGAGAGCGAGACGGCGACCTCGTAGCCGATCGAGATGAGGGTGGTGAGCATCTGGCTGACGACGGGGAGGAAGTCGCCGCCGATGCCAGCAAAGTCGATCGTCGCATTGTACTTGCGCTGTACCGAACGTGAGCGAGTCTCCTTGGACTGGAAAGCACGGATGTCGTACCTTGTCAGCACCGATGCCGCTGCCGGCGGCGGCGGCGAACGACGCTTGCAGTTTAGCCTGGGGTGCCGAGATGACGTAGTCGCTCAGCGTCGGGTCGTAGCTGAGCTCAAAGTCGGCCGTAGGTGCGGTGCTGAGAGTGCGGAGGTCCTGCTGGTATTTGAGGCAAGACTGGCCGATGGCCGAAGAGATCGGATCCCCGGACGAGAGCGATCCCGTGAAGTTCGGGATCACGTAAATCGACATGACTGGGGCCCATTTAGTGGGAACACGCGAGTCTCCCGACCTGCAGAGGGTAGGTGAGCGCATGCACGCCGTCTGAGGTGATCCAACACCGACTTGACGTTGTTCCACTGGTTGACGGTGCACATCGCCTCCTGCATCGTACCCATAGCCGTGATGAAGCCTGAGGAGTAAATATGTCAGCAGGACATTCAAAGGAGGGTGCAAAGGCGGAGCCCACCCCAGCCAATGTTGGCGTTGGCTCCGGTCTTGTTGAAGACCTTGGGTGCGGGCTTCTTCGAGGCCTGCGGGTTCTAAAAGGGCACGTCAGTGCAGTGCCGAGATCTGCGCAAACGGATGACCCACAGTGAAGGAGTACGTGGGCGGGGTCGTGGACGTGTCCAGGAGCATGGCAGTCTGAGTGTCTCCCTGCGACAGACGAGTAAGTAAGTGAAGCGATCGAGACTAGAATCTGTAGAACATACATTCATGTACTGATACGCCTGGGGGTCGTTCTGGTCTTGGACAGCCGAGAAGGCGTAGCTACGGATGGGGAGCACGTCAGGGTAAACAAGCGAGCGTTCAGAATAGGAAAGACACGCACTTGCTAGTCCAGGTGAACGGACTGGTGGAGTCGTAAACTGGAATAGAGGATGAGAGCGCGTGCGACACAGCAACCACGGAAGCGTACCGCCGTCCTGGAACGTCTTCACTCTGCAACGGAAGTGAGCACTCATCCCGGGAAAAAGCACGGAGCACGTACTGCCAGGCGATGGTGGAGTCGAAGGTGGTGCCCTGGGGCTCGAAGCAAACGACGACGGTGACGGGAGAGCCGTTGAGATCGCCCGTCCTGCAGAACGCGAATGTCAGACAACGTGAGAGGGAAGACGGCCCAACGTACGTGGAGACGGTCATCTTCTTGGTGGTGCAAACCATGGTGAGTAATTGGAGCTAGTGCAGCGGGAAGAATGCGGTGGATGCGAACGAGTGTTCTGAGTGTTCGCCTCTACGACCCGTGAGCATATATACTCGGTCAGCGCCGCGGATACTGGACGGGTTCGACGCAATCATGGCCGGAGGAGGTTAGTTTCCGGAGTGTGCAAATGCCGGTCACCGCAAGGGTGGTTGATCAAAACGAGGAATCCCAGGCTGTCTCTTGGTGAATGCTCGTCGTTGGAGATTGTCCGGCTCGCCGAGGTGAGCTGAGGTGAGGATGAACGTTTGGCTAGATGACGGTCACAGATTTGACGAGCTCAGGGATAGGGAAGGACCGGCGCAAGGACGTCAAGACACAGCCCATGGGTTGTCGCCGGGCACGCATTCGTCGAGGAGCATGACGCGGAGACAATTCCGGTGGCTGCGGACGTGCATGACGCAGTACGTCGTCGTCATTTGCAAGGGTCATGCGAATATCTGTGGTGGTGCTGTGGGAGTCCGATGAGTAAGGAGTGCGGTGAGAAAGGCGGGGAAGACTTGGGACTGTCGGTGGAGGTCGACAAGAGACAGGTCCTTGTTGGGCGCTACTGCCATCGACGAGCCTCGTGGCGTCACATGACGCGGATCAGGACCCGGAGTGGCCCGACGGTGCCTGCGCCGTCCTCGTCCCTTCTCTTCCAACGCTCACGTCTATTAACCCAGGCCAGCACCGTCCGAGGGCCCAAGTCCCACTGCACTCATGCGAAGAGGATCTCTACCTCGCAAGGCGTCGGTTTGTCGCCTCATTGTATTGCGGCTCCAAGTTCTGCACAACTCTCCGTGCATCATTTCCCCGGCTGCACATCATCAGCCCCACTAGATGAGCGTCTTTGAGAAATACAGATCGGCAACCTTCATTGTCTGTGGGATCCATCTGACGGCGCGTCGACGGTAATGCGCCCATTCTCCCTGTCTCGCTGTCGTGCTTCTGCCATACCCGGCCTCCGAACTCTGCAGCCGCGCCGCCTCGCGTTGGGCGGCACCGACCCCGTGCACTGCTCGAATGGGCACGATGTCCGGCCAATGCGCAACGCCGGACTCTAACCATCCATGGCGCACTTGATCTCTCTGATCAGCCAAACCACAAGTCCGAGGCGCACGCAGTGGGTATAAAGACTCGCATCGAACTCTGTGATCAACATAGCAGGCATACCCCGCTCTTCTACCTACTTCCCTCACTTCAGCACCCTGCCTAGCACTATCGCAATGGTCTCTACCAAGACTGTCACCATCAAGAGGTGAGATGCCCTCCGGATATTCTCTTCATCTGCTGACAAGACCCTCCTCTACAGCACCGGCGACCTCAACAGCTCCGCTGTCGGCGTCGTGGCCGTCTTCGAGCCTACCGGGGCTTACAGCAAGTACGACCCCATCGTCTGGCGGTAAGCCTGGTCTCGATATCGTCGATGTCATTCAGGCTCACGTCTCTCCCCAGCGCGGAAACGTTCCAGCCTGATGGTGACTGCCTCACTGTGTGTCGGCCTGCACTCGTCGCTGACCGTCTCGTTCCGCAGTTTACTCCTCAATTCCCGCGTCCACCTGGACCGACGAGTGCGTGTCGCTGTGCTTTCGGCCGCCTCACCGGTGTTCTGACGTACTGCCTGCAGTCTCGCCTTCTCCGCGCTCGATGATACCAGCGACCTTCCCGCTGCCCAGTACATTTTGGTACGTCACTTGACGCACCCTTCGAGCTCATTGTAACCTCAGTGCGTGTCTCCTGCAGACCAGCCAGCAGACCAGTCTCCAGGGTAACTCCAACACCGGATTTTCGTTCACGGTGCGTGGACTGCTGCATACTGCACGTGGCAGGGTGCTTATTCATTGCAGGCACCCCAAACCGCTCATACCCAGCCGAGCCCCAAGTGCTTCAATCTCACCGGCACGAACGCCAACATCGGCTTTGGTGCGCGCCACTTCATCTCTCATGCGCCGTCGTGAGCCTAACATCGCACAGGGTTCATCGTCGGCAGGGGCGGCATGCAGGAGGAGATGGATCCCGTCGCCGCCTTCACCAACGTTCTGTGAGCGCACTCGGTACCGAGCCCCGATCGCTACGAACTGACGTTTGGGGCCCACAGTAACCAGAAGAGCGTCGATGCCAAGGGCTGGGCTCCGTACCTCAACGTCTACATCGTCCCCGGCGATCGGCTGCCGGTCGCCGAGGGCCAGCGGATCACCAAGGGCATGCTCTCGTCGGGGTATCTGTGTTGGTCTCGGGACCTGCGTACGCTGTCCGCCGCGAGCGTCACGCTGAATGTGTCTTATGACCCCACTCTGTCCCGGTATGTCATCCACGACGGGACTGGCTACAGCCAGGCGTTTATGGACGCTTCACGGCTTCTGAAGTGGCCCGCCCAGGTCGGTGTAGCTAGGATACCAGCCGTCTCAGAATGCGTTATTGATCGCATTCGATCCACAGGGACGCACCCTCGACGCGACCATCTACTTCCCGTTCTCGGCCTCCGACGGCCTGACGCACATCTCCGAGGAGCTCGGCTCGCGCGGATACGTCGTCGACATCCTCAAATGCGTACGTCCCGTTCTGGCTGTCCGCTGTCGTGGGCTCACCTTGCGATAGGGCGACGACGTGCTGTACGGCAAGGTGTCGCTGCAGGTCCCGCGCAACTTGAGCTGCGACCAGGCCAAATGCGACCTCGAGTCCGTCACGAACGGCGTGGTCACGTCGTTCGCCGGGAGGCTCCTCTTCCTCGTGAGCGGGACGTTCCACGCGTACGTGGACATCAACCCCACCACGTTCGCCTGGTTCGACAACCGCGTGCGTATCTATTCCCTCCAATCTCATCGACGCATTCGCTCATTCTCGGCTAGATCGACCCTCTCCCCTCTGCTTTCGCTGCGGAAGGCGAGACTGTGGACGGGGCAGCGATGGAGGGGAAGGTTGACGATGTCACGCAGGCGATTGGGAAGGTCGCTCTGTCGGCGCGCAACGGCAATGCTCCGGCCGTGAACGGGAACGACGTCGGGGTGCCGAAGAGGCAGGCTACGCTCACGAGCCGGATGAGCGCCCAGGAGATCTTCACTCAGTGAGGGGCCTCGTGTTTCCCTGTCTCTGCGGCCTGAAATGCGACCGTGACCCATGTTTCTTTTACCAAGTTTCGTAATATGAGATGTTTCCTGCGCCCGCATCCTTTACTTCACGCCGTTGCGAGTAGTTCGCTGTACTGTGATGCTCACTGAGCCAGTTGCGCAGCGCTGCGCACTACTTCGACTAGATGGGTACTCGGGTGGAGACGCCAACAGTGCCGAAGATTCAACTCCATCCTCGCCATCGACGCCGATCAGGGCTGACGCCCTAAATCCGCCATGGATCTATAATCAAGCAACACATAAAGCCGAGATCACATTGTTCCTGGCAGGTACGGACATATAGGAAATCGCCGAGACGGATGCATATTTTCACTCGATCTTGAAACCGTTGGTGCGAAGATCGAATTTGGCTACAATCGGGTCTTCCTGGAGTTGGGACGTAGTGGACCTATCGTCCGGGTCGAATGTCAACATGCGTCCGACGAATCCGTGCACTTCGTCCAGTTCAGTGCCACGCAAACCGACGTCTTCCAGCAGCTTCCGAAGACCACCACGACGAGAGGGCTGCATCAAGTCCGAGTTCTTGAGCGAGGCTGTATGTGAGAGGAATTATTAGCTGCGGCGTTTCCACAAATGTTGCGTTGCTTACCGTCCGAGTGGAAGAACATGCTCCGCGTTTCCTGGTCACACCTCGCAAAGCTCTCAGCTAAGAACTGGTCCACGGGTTTCAGCGACCCTATATCACAGAACACGACATATATCAGCTGTAAAATCTCCACAGAGCTTCGGCCCGGGCTTACCGTTCGGGAGGAAGAACTTGTTTCGCTCTGCTTCTGGGCACTTCGACAAACTCTCGACCGAGAAGGGACCGAACAGTTCGATCATTTGTGCAAGATGCGCAAAGTCGGCGATTTCGTTGTCGTAGGGACAGCTGTTAGGAAAGAAGAGATGCGTCGGAAGAAGCAACTCCATGACCTGGATGCAGAGTCAGCTACTGCGTCGGACTGCGCACGGATGCTTACCAAACATCCGAGTGCCCAAACGTCGACAGGCTGGCCCCATCGGCGGCCCAGGATGACTTCGGGTGCACGTGTAGCTCTGGGCATGGCTTTCCCGCTGGTGCTATCGCTTGTGACCTTAATCGCTGTTTACATGCCCCCGTCAGCAGGGACGTTCAGGAAAGAGCGTCGTGCGGCTCACCGCTGGTGAAGTCGCTCAGCTGCACTTTGATATTCGGAACCTGGCAGCGGGGAAGCTGGAGATAAGGCGGCGACCCGACTGTGTCGAGGTGCTTGAAGAACGCGTCCTTTTCTTCGCGGCTCAGTAGGGGTACGACGACATTGTCGGCCTTGATATCTGTCTACGAGGTCAGTGATCCGTAGTAGAGTGTGGTGACGAAGAGCGGGCCAACCGGTGTGTATGAAATTGGCATCGTGGATGTCGATTAGCCCGCGCAATACATAATGGACAACGCGTTTCATGAGAAGCATGTCACGATCGAGTTGACAGCGCTCCAGCCCCCGACGTATGTCGAGGAGAGTTGCTGCGTATGGTGGGAAGATATAGAAGTTATGTATAGATTTACTTTCCCAGATGGGATGGACCCCGTAATCGGTCATTGTTGTAGTGGGATGGAAATACGGCCGACCTTCTTGGCGTGCGGCGATGTCCCGTGTTTGATGCAGATGAGCCATCACCGAGTTCAAAATAACCTCTGCATTATCTTCGATCTTAGCCCTCAGAGTGGCTTCCTGAGTGAGGACTTTGGCGACTAGTTTGATGCCCAAGGTACGGGACTCCCTTGGGATGCGCAAGTGTTAGATAGGGGACAATCAGGAGGCACCGGACGCACTTCGGACTGGTCCTTTCGACGAGCCACCCGCTCGATTCCACACCCGAACCCAGCTTCTGCATGAGCGTGTAGCCGCCACGGTTGCCTTTGATCACGTCCCCCGCTCCAATTTGAGCGTAGCAGGGTTGCAAGTCCTCAAGCTCTCCAGGGGCAAAAAGTGGCAAGACGGAGGAGCGGCGGGAAAGGACAGCGGTGGAATTCATGGCAACACCACGCCGCGAGATGGCACGATTGATCTGACGAGAAACTCGGTGCATGTGGAGCAAGGCGCGGTGGGTGAGAGGATGCGGGCACTAGTTGAACATCGCCATTCGAATGTCGCCACGCACTGCGACATGGCAATGGTCAACCCCTGAGCAGGATGCGCCGGGCCGCCTGGCGGCTACACTGTCGGAGATTGAACTTTATTGTCGCCATCAACTCAAGCCAGGCATCGTAAGTACGTGCTGGAACCTCCATATCTCCCACCTTCGTTACCAAACGTATGCGCTCTGTCTAGGACGAAGGTGGACCATGGTCAAGCTTCAAGTTTGCTTGCGTTCGCATGAAGCTGGTGAGTCAAGGTTGTTCAGGGCACACGCGTCGACGCGCTGACAGCATGATGCTGAAAGACTGACTCGCCGAAGGCTTCCAAGTTCCGTCGCTGTTGTTGTTCAGCTAACGACTTCCTGTCGAGGAGGGCGTTGTATGCCCCACGAGTGAATCCAAATGATGTTCTCTCCCACACGCGTCGCCACTGTTTTGCCCACGATGGCCGTGACTCTTAGCCCTCCTCGGGGCCAATGTCGTGCTCCGTGTCTAAACATGGTGCTAAATTCGATGCAGCAAAGGCAAAGACATTGTAATGGGTTCCCGAGTATTTGGGGCATTGGGAGGAAGAGAGAGAGGCAAGCGCGGCCTCCGGACAGAAACAACAGATCCCAATCTCGATCCGCATACTCACTTCGGCGGAGCGCCAATCCTCGCCACCCACCAACGCCACTCTCCTCGACTCTCTGCCTCTCCTTACCTTGCCTCCACCACTCCGCACGCCCCCACTCGAATATCCCCTCGCGCTCGAGAAGGAAGATACTACGGGCGTTGCGATCCACCTCTTCCCTCATCGAGGCGCTCTCCTGCCCTCCACCTGCACGCCACTCATCGCCGCGACCGAGACGACGTCTTCAGCATCCCCGACCATGCCCACTGTCTTCCGCAACTTCACATCGGAAGCTTCTCAGTCTTTCATCACCAGCGCCCTCCACTCCGTTCCCTCATCCCACATCCCATTTCAGCTCGTTCTCCCCGTCCTCGCCGGCGCTTTCCTCGGCGTATATCTCAGTGGCGTCACCAATGTCGTCCCCGTCTCCTCCCTCGTGGATCGTGGCGTTCCCAGGACACCATGGTGCCACCTCTCCCTGTTATACCCCCTCGTCTCGCTTCAAAGTATCGTCATCCACGCACTCGCCGCCACCCGCCACCTCGCCACCGAAGCGCTCTGCGTCCTCGTCCTCTTCGTCTGTGATCTTGCCTCCGTGTTGCTGAACCAGGAAGATGCAATCGCAACTTGGAGCGCGCTCGCACTGCACTGTGGAGACCTCGTCGTGCGCGACGCTGCAGCTACCGTTCGTCTCATCGCCGAAGCACTCTCGGACGCTGTCCTTGGTGCACCTCCAGACGCGTCCGCCAGTGGCGCAGAACTGCCCAATGCCGTGACCCCAAAGCCAAACGTCATCGAGGATCTATTCCGTCCCATAGACACGAGGGGCATCGTCTTCAAGGCGTCTCCGTCTGTCCCGTCTCGCCGCTTGACGTCCTCGACCAGAACCGACCATGCCGCGCAGCTTCGACAGTGCGTGTCCCTCTCTCCAGTCGAACCTTGATTCTAAATTTCGGTGTTAAAACAGCATGTCCCGGGCGGCGTTTAAATGCGCTGTAAGCCATCTTGACGACCCGTACGAGGGCTCCTTCAACGTACGGTATCCGGAGAAGGATTTCGACTCGGCGTACCTCAGTGATGCACAAACGTCGTCTACCTCCGACGACGAAGAAACTGTCTTAGTATCAGGAATCTCTCACGCTGTCCAGTCCGCGCCATGGGCAAAACCGTCTCCGGCCTCAGCGACAAAGCAGGCCTCTGTACGTTCCGCGCTTCCCGTCCCCGAGAAGCCCGCACTGCAAGCGCCCGCCCAATCACCCGCGCTCGCTGGTGCTCCTCCGGCCGCGGTTTCATCATCTGGTCTCGCAGACTACTCAATCCCCCCATCGAACAAACAGAAATTTAATGGTCCCAGTGCTTCGTCATTCGCTCTTTCCTGTCCTATCAAGAACGCCTCCAAAGACAAGCCCCCCGTTCCGCCGCCATCAATGGACACGATGTTCGTTGACGACACCTGGGATTCTTCCGGCTGGTTCCATGGTTTCTTCTCCTGCAAGGGATACCTTTCCAGCGGCACCGAAATTACCCCCGCTGTTGAGATGGACGTTGATATCGTCGAGTCCGACGGCAAACTCGAACTCGGAGAGGACATCGACCCAGACACATTCATGAAGTCTCCGTGCTCCCACCTCTTCTGCCGTTCATGCCCTGGCTCTCTCAATCAATCTCTCTCTGAAGCCGAGTTTTATGGATTCTACGGATCATGGTTAGCGTCTCAGCACGTTGAACCGGAAGCCGCTGCGTACCTGGCCTCACATCTGCTTCGGCCCCCCGAACAACATACGAACACTCCTGGATCTGCGTCGACGTTCTGCGAGAAGTCCTCGTCTTCTGCCATTGATGCGCCGTCGTCGAACGCCAATGCAGTCGCTACTCCCCCCTCACCGCTAGACCCTTGCTTGATTCCACTCCCCGAGTCTCCCATTGCATTGTCACCCCTGCTTCCCTCCGTATTGTCTCTTCGGCCCGAACCATCCCCGACCCCGACCCCTTCTCTCGTGCCCCAGTGCTCAAACACACAGGACCACGCGCCGACCGGCTCCGTGGGTTCAGACGCTACATCGGAGTCATCGGATACCGCGTTATCCCCTGCATCTCCTTCACTGCAGCTCGCCGCGTCCATCCCTCTGCCACCTTCCCCCGTCCTATCAAAATCTTCGGTCCTCGAATCGTCGAAAGAGACGAAACCTGCACGTTCCACTTCACCTCAGGCTCAAGGATCCATCGTGGCAATGGCTCTCTTGTCGCTCGCTCCGGGTGAGTCGATCGTCCGCGTCGATGGCACCCCATCTGACCGAAGTTCATCCGATCCGACGGGAAGAATATGACATGGAAGATGTGTGCACGTCTTCGTCCAGCACACCAACAAGAGCGCCAGCCGTCGAGCTCGCATCCGCAACAGCTCCGGAGACGCTCTCTTTCGTCATTCCACCCATCACCAGCGTGTCCCAAGGCGCGCTCGCTCCGGATGAGCCAAACATGGGATCTTTAGACGTCACTTCATTTGGCCCGTATGACGTCGAAATGGAAACACAGGAGGAAGTCTGGCCCCGGGACGGTCTGTTATCAGTACCTCCACTGGCAGAGACGAAAGCGCCAGTGTTGTTATCCTCTGTCGCACCCTCCGTTAACAACCCAGTCTATGGTGCCTCCAATGAGTCAATGGATGTCCTCACCACGCCCGAAGTCGGCACCATGGGTGGATCAGGAACCCCTGAGAACACGCCCACAGTTGACGTCGACGACGTCTCGATGGATGTCAGCATCAGGAAACGCCAAAACCTCCTCCGGCTCCCGCGTGATCCCGAGGGAGTCGGATGAGATGCCGGAGATCCGGGTCCCTTTGGAGATTGTGATATCCATGCGGTACCCATCAGAGATGTCGGTCTCCTCTGGGAGTGTCGATCTCCTCTGGGAGCGTCGATCTCCTCCGGGAGCGTCGATCTCCTCCGGGAGCGTCGATCTCCTCCGGGAGCGTCGATCTCCTCCGGGAGCGTCGATCTCCTCAGGAGCCGCCTGACTCCTCTGTGATCCTTAGTGGTGAGGTTTATCCTCTAGATACGTGCATGTACATACCTCAGTTTGATGCTTTGATCATGATTGTGGGCTAAAAGATATAACACGAGGCCTGTATCATATATCTTCGGGCCACTCATCAGGGCTCCAGCGTTATTCCTCTCTCCACCATGACCTCCCTTCGAACTCGTACAATGGTAACCGTTGTACCGAGCCTTCAGGTTCGTCAGTGCCTCGTCTCAGCACGGGGCCATCAAGTCTCCGTCCTTCTTGATGTCCTGCCAAAAGGATCATCGCCTGACACTGACCCAGTCGTTAGTATCATGGTTTTCCGCTTGAAATTAAATTTGTACCATCCGCTTAACATGCTGCTCACTTTCAGAAGCTTGTCATTACTTTACACCAGGGATCTGTCGCCGGAGACCCTGCATCCCTCCACATCGCCGAGGCACCTCCCCCATCAGCTACGGAACTCGCAGCACAGGAGGATTCCGAAACGGAGACTGAGATGAGCGAGGCAGACCACATCCCGTTTCCCATCACCCCACGTCGTGAGGCAGCTCGAGACACGATGGATAACCCAGACCTGTTTGTAGGTTTGTGGCAGATAGGGTGTTGAAGAGATTCTAACTTTCCGTTTCTGGAACAGGAGACTCCTACAACCACTAGGCTTGCCGACATACACAGGCCGCAGACCATCCGTCGTGATGGTAGACGGTATAGAGATGCCCCTCCTGGCAGGGCGGAGGGTGCCGAGGAAGAGCCTGAGTATCGCAGGCAGCTACTGTTTGCACAGGCGCATGGGGGAGGTGAAGGGCAGGATGAGGTTGGCCGTCAAGGCCGCACGAAGTCAGAAGGTTACTAGCTATGAATCGCATTGTTGTATAGGCGACAAAGTGCACGACCTTGCCCACCTCTACACCGTATCATGCTTGCTCATCACCACCACCACCACATGCTCTGCCCCAATGTTGTTGAACATCTGCTGCAGGCTGTCGTCCAGAGAGTCGCTGAGCTCTGACCAGAGGATCACCGAGTCGATCTCTGAGTGCGACCCTCCTCCAGCAATGTGTGCGAGAACATGACCTTGAGGGTGACCCTCCTCCAACAGCCTGCGCGAGAGCATGAGCATGAGCATGACGGTCGACGGTGCACAGCACATAGTAGTCGACACCAAAGGCTGATACTAGCATGCTACCGTCCACATTTTGCATTGGTGCGCACTGCAACCCCCTAACCGTTTGAGCTCCCCACCCGGGCCACCCCTCCTGGTTGGTGTTCCGTGGGTGACCAGCGCGGATATGGTGGCAAATAAAAGCAGAAACGCACCGTGTGGCATCCAATGGAAAATAACCTTCAACCCCCCATTCCCCTCCGCAACCGCTTGCAGAAGCTGCACGTCCAGCCAATTGTCCGTTTTGGAGAGGAAGGGTTTGAGATGGCAAGCCCCAAGGCCAGGGTGGGGATCGCTTGGCGAGCGTTGCTGTGTGTTGGGTGGAGGGACACGTACAGCGTGCAGTGTTGCCTCATGTCCATGAGCGTGGCCTCGGTAGAGCATTGGGCAGATATCCGCGGTGGTGGGTCTGCTGGGTTCGGTAAAGGGGGCGATGCGTTGAGGTACGACGGGTGTTGCGAAGCAGATAGACGTGGTAGGGAGGAACATAGTGGTAGGGTTCAGCTCTTTGTGTGTCCCTCGACGCTGCTTGGGAAGGTCTTGGCAGCACCTCACCTACTAGACGCACATGGGGCTAATGGTGCGAGTTGCTAAGTTCCAAACGACCCAAGGGTTCAATCATGATGTTGAACCCAGCTCACGCAGTTAAATGCAGACAGGGATCAGTGCTTGAATACGTCATAAGTCTAGGTTACAAATAAAGCTGGCTACTTCGACTTCGCAAACTCCCACTTTGACTTGGGTAGCAGGGACCGAACCATTCTCTTACGGTCTTCAACAAGAGAGCTGGGGGTGGAGACTCTATCAACCTGCTCGACCCAACGAACACCGGGTGGGGCATCAGCACATATGCGCTCGGCGACGGTCTCAAACTCGTTGACGTTGCGGAACCCCATCTCAACGTATCGAACCAGACCTCCGGAGAGGTACTGAGTGATGGAGAAGCGCTCTCCATCCCCGAGTACCTGCGTGTTACCATGCAAGAGCCCTGCAGAGGAGAGAAGGACAGAGCAAAGGGGAGGGAACTGGACGAAGACCTTCAGGCCAGGAAAGACGATATGGGCACCACGGCGATGATCGAAGCAACCGAGGCAGGTGATGACGCATGGGGTGCCAGGGTGGTTGTTGGAGTCGAGATGGGGAAGGGTGGCGGTCTTTGGACCGTAGTTGACGGTGAAGCCGCTGTAGATCGAGCGGCCAGGAAAGTTCAACTTGGCCGTCTTGTCATGGTCAAGGAGCTCCTCCATAATTTGATAAGCATATCCCCATGGCCCAGGGAAGTTCGAGCACATGAGCTCTAGCCGAGGATGCTCAGATACATGGGACGGTGGGTGATAGCACAAGGGTTTGCTTACCGCTCTGATATCCTGCGATCCGCTGAAAATGAGGGTCGTCATGCAGCTCCTTCTCCATCCGTCGCTGCTCAGCCGTTTTTTGCAGCCTGCCAGGCACCTACAGGTTAATGAGCGACGATCTAGCAGCATGCAAGGGCCGATTCGCACGTACCTTGCTCCCACCACCCATGCTCAGACCGGAATGGAGAGAAACGAAGCTGCCCCGACGATTGGCCTCGCAGCCAGATCCCTGGGCATCCCTCTGCAAACGGAGCTTGTCTGTGAGATGCAGCGCAGATGCCACCCACGTGGGTTCGGCTGGGGGTGGGACGAACACAGCGGCAATCCTCTTATCCTGGTCGAGCATACGGAGCTCATTCCTGCTCAGAATCGACCTCAGTGCAAGCACCCACCATGAGCAGCAAGGGGCTTACTTTCCCTCCCACAGTATGCCTTGGTAGCCCTGCTTGCAAAGATCCTCTAGGGTGGGAGCGGTTGCACCGTCCTTGATCGGGGCGTTGGTAGTTTCGTAGCCCCATTGTTGAACGGGGGTGTCGGTGCCAACAGAGAAGCAGTCGAGGACGGTGAAGTCGGCATCCACGTGTCGATTGACGAAGCTGGTGCCGTTGGGGATGGGGGGCAGCTGGGTTTGGGCAAGAAGGTGTTCCATCGCCACTATGCCCTGGGGCTTGTGGCGACGGGCGTTGCGAGCGGCCGTGTTCCACTCTGACATAGAATAGCCTGCGTGGGCGTAATGAGGTGCTGCTCCTACAGCGAGCACCAAGGATGAGGACCTACGCTTCTCAGCAAGCCGAGTGGCGAGGCCAACAGACGGCTGGGGGTTAGCGAGGCTGGGGGATCGGCGAGCGTTCCTGGTGGGCTGCTTTCGTGGGGCCGCCGCACTGAACGCACGGGGAGGGGACGCGCTGCGTCGTGGAGCCGCGCTGCGCTGCCGGTCATGGGTGCGTCCTCAGATGGCGCGTGCGTATTCAACCACTGACGGTGCACAGGGGTGAGCGACTATCCAGGTCATGGTTCGGCAAAAGGGCGTACCTGGGAGATCCGGGATATCCTCGGTGTCGGAAGGGCACTCCTCTCCCCTCGCGCGACGGCCCAGGATAGTGTCGCTTCGAAGGGTGGCGTTGGCGAGTGCGTAGCCCAGGTTGAGCTTGGAGGCATGGACGTCGTGCTCATGCGTGGGCGTTAGGGTCGGGGGAAGGAACGCCCCATACTCCGCGCCGGAGCGTGTTTGTTTGGGCATAACGTGCGCGTGGGGGGTCTGTAGAGCAGGCGGATGGTCAGTGCTCCTGCTCCGGGCTGCCGTAACGGGGTGCGGGTGAAGGGATGGGCCATCGGCGTGCTCCCCTGCCTGGGGCGCACCGTCCAGCCACCCGATGCGCGGGTGGTGGGCATGCTCACGGATGGGAGCGACGATCCCCGTTGTGCGGGAGTGCCAATGCGCTACGACGTGCTGGCCACCCGATGCGCGGGTGGCGGGCTTATGCACGAAGGGGAGCGACGACGCCCGTTGCGCGGGCGCGCCGATGCGCTGCGATGCGCTGGCTACCCGATGCGCGGGTGGCGGGCTTATGCACGAAGGGGAGCGACGACGCCCGTTGCGCGGGCGCGCCGATGCGCTGCGATGCGCTGGCTACCCGATGCGCGGGCGGTCGGCATGCGCATCGATGGGCTAACTCGGACGCCCAATGCGCAGGTGGCGATCGGCCCAGGAGGAGGCCGAGGGGAGAGAGCGCATAGAGAGGTCGGTTACTCACCGTATACAAGACCAGCTTGGACTGGAGGGGCATAGGGGTGGGTTTCAGGCGGTTGATGGGGAGGAGGTATCAAGAGGGCGTACCGGCTGAGGACTATTATGAGCCGTGAGGGTCGCTTCCTGCTCCCCTCTGTGCCCACAAAGGTGCATCCTTCTTCAGAAGGTTCATTTTTGCTGTTCGAGCTTCGAATGGTTGCCGAAAGCTGTAAACAATCCATCGGAGATGCCCCATAACACCGAAGGGAACAAACTCACCGTATCCGTGGTCCTCCAGTCATCGGAGGGTACCAAACGGCGGGCTCGGGTGGAAGCTGCTGCGGTAGCTTTGGACGCGGTTTAACTCATCCCTAATCGGCCAGAGCGCACTGCGTGGTAAATTTCCGGTGAGTTTAGAACACGGGCAGCGGCGAGCGCGAGTGCGGGATATGATCAAGTACGAGGCTTACTCAATGGGTGCGGTGACGGTGGGTAGCTGGGAAAGCAGTCCTAGGCTTTGGTGGGTGGTCACGAAGCTTGCGACTGGTTTGCCCGTGGGGATAGTTGTGGTCGAGGATCAAGCTTGATTGATCACGCGCGGATGCAGGCTGCGAAGACGGCGCTTGTTATCCGTTCTCCTCCTCCGCGAGTCCTTCTTCTTCTAATGCCAACCATCGCGATCGGCCGCTCCAGTCCCGAGGACGCTTCAACGTTCAACACACAGACCCACCCTCCCTTCCTCCGCCCAACCCACCTCTACCCCCGCCCTTCGAGCGGACCAACGACGTCCTCGAAGACCCCCGTTCGCACCCCAGCCGGGCCAAGCGTCGTTCACGACCTCACCAATTACTACCGCCGCGCTCCTCCCCTCCACTGCCGACCGCCAGATACCCTGCACGCCGGCGTCGTAAGCTCGGCGTACACCCACATCGCCTTGTTCCAGGAGCAGCACTACACCGGTGTCGAGTACGTCCCCTTCGCTTTCTTTCCCGGCAAGCTGGCGACGCGTCGTGACCGCCCCGCAGGGTATTCTACAAGCCGCTGACGTTGACCGCGCTCGGGGCGGGGCTCATGGTGCTGGCGTACGATGACGTATGATGTGTTGAAGGAGGGGGCGGGAGAAGCAGCGCGTGTGAGTCCCTGCCTAGCGTCCTCGATGCCCGCGGAGCGTGTTTAGGCTGACAGGGGCCGTACAGCGGGGCGTATGCCGCCATTGCGTCGTTCGTGCCGTCCTCAAGGATCCAATTCCAACACCGGACCTTCGTCCGACCGCATCCGGGTGAGTGATTGATGTTCCGGGGCACAATGTGCACATGGGGCGGGGCCGAGGAGGGCGGGACGGGGGGCGCACGCAAGGGCAGCTATGACTGACCCTAGTCGCCATCGCAGCGTTCTAGCGCACAACACCCAGGCGCGACCCAAGCGTATGAGCTCGCGCTCGTTTTCTTGGTCCTCATCATCCTAGACTTGGCGCGGTCGATGATGACATGCTTCAACCCCAAGTTGGGCCGGCCGCTGCCCGAGAAGAGCGACCGTCCGGTCGAGAACGCATGGGTGGGTGTCCTCGGTGCACTGCGTCCACGTCTGCTAACATGCGGGAATAGGCATCAATATGCACTCCCTTTGACCCACGCTCTCGGTTGGTTTACCTAGGCGTTGATCCTGCACGACTGCTGGTTCTGTTCGGTGCGTGGTCAGCCTGCTCGCGTCTGTCCGCTTGCCGCAGGCCCTCTAAACCTCGCCGATGACAGCTTTTGAGCGTCGCATTTGAGCCCACAGCGTACAGCTTGCCGCACCAGCTTGCTATCTCCACAGAGGTGCGCACCATCGTGTCGTCGCGGCAAGACAAGCGCTGACTGCGAGCGTCGTGGCGTAGTGCTGGTGGAACCATGTACGCGGGCCTTCTCATTGGCGTAATATCGTCATGCTCGGCGCGCACACAGCGGATCCTGGACGCGTTGGTGTGCGACTGGCTCCGAGGCAAACGTCTCGGTCAGTCCCCCGTCACGCGTGGTTTGCATGTCCCCGCTGACCTGGCGGTTGTTTCGATCTAGCTGTCGCCCACGCCCGCACCGGTGCCCCACGGAACCCCGACCGGACAGGGCAGCGTGCTGCATTTTCGGCATCCCTCGCGCTCTCGACGAGGCATGACGTGTCCGGCATCGCGGCAACGAGAGCTGCCACGTGTTGTGCACCGTCGCGCTCAAGCTCGAGATCTCACGCACGTCGCCGGAGGGGGAGTGCGCTGGAACTCGAGCGCGTCGGCGGCACGGAGGACGCCCCTCTGGACGGTGTTGTAGGCGAGGTGCACATCGTGCACGTCGACCGTCACCCCCGCCTGTCTCCGCCGGCGTATTCCGCGCTCGCCGCCCGCGTTTCTGCGCCACGACGCCGCGGGACGGCACACCTCTGTCGAGGCAGACTCGACGGCCGCCGGGAGGGCGGTTCGGGAGGGTGGGGCCGGAATCGTACGACGGGATACGACGGGAGCACGACGGCAGTGCACTCGTGCACGCTGTCGACCATCACCTCCGCGTCTCTCTGCCTGCACCGCTCTCTGCGCTCGCGAGCGACGCCGCGGACGGTGTATCTCCGGATGGTGTCGTGGGCGGCCGAGGCGGCTGGTTGTGATGGGTGGTGGCGGCAGGGCTGCAGGGTGGGTCGGGATGAACGGGATGAGGCGGGGGAGTGGCACGACGATATGTGGGAGATGTCATAGATCACGTAGCCTAACATAATTATTGATTCATATCCCCGATCCCAGCCTCTCCCCATCAAGGTCTGCCCAATCGTCTGGCTCGACATCCGAGCTGTCCTCGAAGCCAACGAGCTCATTGCCTAGGAGCTCCATGTCTGCAGCCACCTCCTCATCAGTAATTATCACCGATATTGCAACCTCTGGTTCCGCCTCCCGCTGAGCACCACCTGACGCGCTATGTCGTGATGAGTGAAGTCAGTATCGGACGTAGGAAGCGGAGGTTGGTACATACAGGCCCTGGCGAAAGATGAATTTACAATATTTGCGCCACTGCCCCCTGGAATCCCCTTCAGCGTAGCGATCCAGCGCCCCGAGATGTCGAAGATATGTGGGTCGGTACACTTCACGCTTGAACATGAGATTCCGGTCGAATACCCCCGATGCCCACTGCTCAATGATGTGTTCAATCTAGTGATTGCCACTCCGTAAGTATTTGTCCAAGTTCAGTCCTAATGTGGCACGAACCACAGTGAGCACGAGAGCAAGAGTTTGATGTGGGATTGGGTTAAAATCGGCCTGGTTCACACATGCGGGTGCCGTGGTGTTGGTGAAAAACACGCTGTACAGCACGGCCTGAATACAGACGTGCTGAAAGCGTCCAGATCGTGCCTCAGGATCCTGTCAAACCGCTGTCAGAGATATTCAAATATTGCACTAAAAATAACAGACTCACCTTGAACTCAAAGATCGTCCCTCGTTCATTCCTCTGCTCTGCCGGACCGCCGAGGAGCTTAAAGCTGAGGGCCTTGGCCATCAGGAAAACCTTAACCAGCTAATTAGCTCTAGGTCATCTAAAATAGTGCTAATTAGCTGACTAGATGCGGATAGTTCATTAGTGCTAATTATTTTACCCCTGAACTAATTAGATCACTAGCCCCATTATCTACTGGGTAGATGGGTGATTAGAGCACCTAGCTCTGAAGTAGACGGCTGAATAGAGTGCCTAGCCGCAAGTTAGATAGACAGATAGAGCAACTGTAGGTTTGGTCACACAAGTGTATAGGAGAGTCAAACAAATTTATATTTATCGTGCTACAACGTACAAAGTAGACTACAAGCAACGACACAGGCACTACTTATGGAGGAATACAGCCTCTCCGCACGTGCCCAGTGCAGACGACATGGGCGATACAAGGGCGAGGCAGGTGGCACAGGTGACGTGGGCGAGTCGAGAGCGAACCGGGCAAGCAGGCGAGGTGGACAACGTGGGCGATTCGGGCGATGCGGATGAGAGGCAGGTGATGCGGCAGCGAACGGGGCAATGTGCGGGAGATGCCCAAACCAGGCGCGATACGGTGAGGCAGGAGATGCGGGTTTGGACGTGGGTGACATAGGCGATGTGGGTGAATGGGCGTTGGTTTGGCCGCGAGCTTCAACAAGCGCATGAGCGACTGCACGGTGAGATGAGATCGACGTGTGCAAGGGGGCTGCTTACCTGGACGAGCGTGGGGGTGATGGAGGCACTGGAGCTTGCGCGCGTGTTCAGACGGTGCCTTCCTCCGTGTCATGATCGGGCACCGTCCTCAGGGCTAACGTTGTCCTTCGTGTACGTGCAGCGCATCTAGCGCATCTGCGCGTGGATATCGCACTTGCTTGTGGGAGCGTGAGGCAGCGTCAGCGTCAGTGTGGGGCGCACGATAGCGGAGACGGAGCTGTAGTACTCACAGATAATCAGCCGAGCGGGGTAGGTGACGCAGGCGAGAGGCGGCGACAGCATGGGCGAGGTGGTGATATGGGGGATTCCAACGTCAGTGGTACGCGTGCACGTGAGGAGGGGTCAGGAATTGCATGGCAGAGTGGATGCATGGGGCACTTACTGTTACGGTCAGGGCCACGCCCACGTTCGCGAGACGCGCGGGAGAGGGCGAAGCGGCGACCATCCTCGGCTGCAGGATGGCAATGAGCGGGGCAGTAGATGTGGGCAAGGTGAGCGAGATGGGCGACGTACGACACGAGAGCGAGGCAGGTGAAGTGGGCGACGTGGATAACGCGGGCGCAGACGGGCGAGAGCAAGACGGGCGAGGGCGGGACGGGTGAGAGAGAGGTGGGCTAGATAGGTGAGGCAGGTGAGACGAGCGCGTGCAAGACGAGCGAGATCCGGGGTGACGAGAGCGAGGTGGGCGACACAGGTGAGATGGACGAGGGCCCAGGGGGTTGAGACAGGCCAAGCGGACGAGACGGACAAGGCGGGCGAGGCGTGGGGCGCAGGCGAGACGGGTAAAGCTTGAAGTCGGCGACGTGGCGACGTGGATGACACGGATTGACATGGGTAAGGTGGCGGGGAGGGAGAGAGCAGAATGGGCGAGAGCGAGACGGGCGATGATGAGACGGACAAGGGGAGGCCAGAGGACGACGAGGACGATGAGGACGACGACGAGGAGAGTGCTAGCAGTGCCAAGCGCTGGAGTCCACGCAACGCGCGTCGTTTCCCACGCGTCTGGACCTGCCAGCGCGTCTTTCCCTTCGTCCACTAGCACCCTCCCCGTCTTTTCCTCCTGGCGCAACATCCGATGAACAAGCCAACACTCTCCTCACCTGCCGCTTCCTCGATGAGCTGTTGCGGGCCCCTAGGTTTTGGTGAGTCTCCCGTTGTGTGGCACTGCCAGCACCAGCTTGTCGTCCCCATCGTCCTCATCGTCTTCCCGCTTTCCAGTTGTTCCTCTTCTATGCCGACCACGCCAGCCTCCCGCGCTCCATGCGTACAAGCACGCATTTGCCGTCGCACTCACCCACTAGCTCCCCACCTCCCTCCTCTCCCTCAAGGACGTCTTCGAAGGCGCTAGCTATGAAGTCGTTGTTTATTATGGTGAGCTCTCGTTTTTTCCTGCGCATCTTCTCCTCCCCTGCCCGTTCACCTCGCCCGTTTCGCCCATTCCAAGCACATCGCACGGGTCACATCACATGCGTCTGCGTCGCCCGTCTCGCCCCCACCTCACCCACCTGGCCTGTGTCACACGTCGCCCCACCTCGATGACCTCGCCCGCGTCGCCCATATCGCCCGCGTCGCCCACATCACCTGCGTCGCCCCGCCTTACCTGCATCGCCCATCTCGCCCATCTCATCGCGCCGCCCACCTCGTTCCCGCATTGCCCACCTCGCCACCTCACCCTGTCTCGCCCCCGCATCCGCATCCGCGTCGCCCGCCTAGCCCATCTCGTCCGCGTCATTCTCGCTGCGCCCTCCTCGCGCCGTCATCCAGCCTCCCGCTCCCCGCTCGCGCCTCCAGCTGAGCTGCCCCCCAGTTCGGCGGTGCGCTCTGCCTCCTTGTCGCCCTCCCGGTGCTCAGCGACCTCCGCGCCCTCCTCCGGCGGATCCGCGTCGCCCGCCGCCACGCTCACGCTCCGCGACAAGGCCGCGCTCTGCCGCCTCCTGCGCTACTACCGCGAGGCCTACTACGACCGCGAGCACCCCCGCGCGCTCCAAGGGCTGCGCGCGCATCGTCGCGAGCACCGTGATCATGACAGTCCCTGTCTCTGCGAACCCGAGCGCGAGCACGAGCACGAGCACGCTGCACGGTGGGACCGTGCGGACGCCCTCGCGAAGCCCCAGCACGCGATCGCACCCAACAGCGCAGGCGACGGCGTCGAGCGCATCTACACGCCCGGCACACTCTGCACGCTTGCTGCGGCTCGCCGCGAGGTGCGCACCATGGCCCCCTTCGTGCCAGAGCGCACCATGACCTGGCTGGGCGCCGAGGCTCTCTGGCGCGCGAAGACCATGTAGACGGAGTAGGAGAGGTGCACGACGAGTAGCTAGACATTAGTTCAGATCCGGTACAAATATATTTGATTTAGATCCACTAGCTGTGGCAGCAGAACAACTAGCTACATAGTTGCGAGAGGTGAAACATAGTGGTCAAATAGTATGACTAGCTGTTCATAGTGTGCTAGCGTGAATAGCTAAGTCGATAGTGCTATTGCTAGTTAGCCTAGAGCTAATTAGCTCGTTAAGGTTTTCCTGATGTGTTTGCTTCCTTGGTACCTAGACGTGTGCTCACATTGACAAACCCATACAGCTCACGAACAACCGTGGTAGCAGCCTGCTTGGCACGGCTTCGAACAGCGGAGTCGAGACCCTCAAGCTTTACCAAAGGCATCAATCAAGCGGACTGGAAAGCAAAGTACACCGCTGCTACACACCATAGAGGATTCCTTCTTGGTAAGCTGGAATGGTGGAAGTTCGGCCGATGAGGTGTTGTCGCCCTCGCCCTCACGTTGCATAGTGCGCACGGCGTTCTTCACAGCGTTATTTGTGGCGACCTCGCGCTCTGTGTCAGTCGGGAAAGGGCAGCAGGAGGCGAAGTAGATTAGGAGCGTCTCGGATGCATGTCGCAGTATTCCTCCACGAATTGCGTCATCGTTGTAATGCCAGAGCCGAGCCCTTGATGCGTTGTGCTTTGTTTTCTTGATCCGTGAGAGCTCGTCTTTTGAAAGCGCTATTGTGTCATCTGGGACTGTTCGTTTTGAAGCCGTGCCAGGGGTAGGTGTGGAAACACGAGATTGTTGCTGAACGGAAGAGGGGAGAGAGGTTGAAGGCAAACTGGACGTCCAGGAGACCTGAGGCATGAAAGACGGATTGAAAGGCGCCTCCGATGTCTGTGTCAGCTTTTGAAGCAATGCCGGGGAGCTCAACAGTTGGATAACGCTTGCAACATCTGCTGGAAGCGATACGGTGGGGGTTCCACTAGGTGTAGATGTAGTAGAGGCTGTTGAACTCGGTGGGATTGGAACAGCGTGATGGCCTCCAACACGTTCGAGGCTGGTAAACCGTGAGGTTGAAGCGAGCTGGTGACACGTTTAACTATTACCCACGTTTGAACCAGAAACAATGTAGACGACTCACATCCATGACGGGCTCCTGTGCCGCACGAGTTGTGGACTTCCCTACATTGTAGTCTTCATCACCATCGTCATCCCCGCGCTCCCTTGCCACATCTTCGTGGGTCATCTCTTCTGAACCTTCTTCAGCGGCAGGTGGTGCGTTAGGATGTGGAATGACTGCCTGGTTTGGTCGCAGGCCGCTCAATAATCCTAAGGGCAAAGGTATCAACAATTGCGGCTTGAGAAGCAGCGTAAAAACATACCCATGTTGGCATGCGGGGTAGCTCGAAGAGGACGAGAGCCCCTGCGCACCGTTGTCTGCTCACCATTATTCTCATCAGGCTGGTTGTCACCAATATTGTTCCTTCGGCTTGTACGAGTCCGGTGGCCACGTTCTTCTTGTGTAGTTGGAGTGGGAGGTGGTTCTGGGGAGCCAGAATGACTCTGGCCGATATCAGCAGCACGGGCACGGGGTTTGGGACGTGTAGCTGCCATCAGCAGATAGCACAGCGGTGTCTGGCTAGTTGAGAATGATGTGAGTGGTGGGGGCAAGAGCGATAGGACGGCACTAAAAATGTGTCGCACCTCCTGAGTCCTGGCCCCTTGCTGAGCAACGAACTCCGACTCCACCCTCTTTCCGGAAACCGTCCAGGATGCCAGATTCCATTTTGTCCCCACTCCGATACCCTCGTCACATCCTCATAAAGCACGTTGAGCATCCATCCCTCCGACTTCGACACGGCATGACTCGCTTCCATGTCCGACAACTAGACCTCATCTCGCAAAACCAAGCACCATGGCATCCTTTCAAGAGCCATGACGAGTGGCAGCTGGCAGAGTGGATCATCGAGAGCGGTACCAACCAGCGATACACAGACCAGCTTCTGAAGCTGAGTGCAGTGAGTGTTCGGAATCCTCAGATAACATAGAACCCCAACTCACTGGAATTAGATCACACGAAACCGTGACAACTCCCCGGACGAGTTTTCTGAAGCCATGAAGGACAATCGCTCATTTCTCAAAGCCATTGATACCCTCCCTGGGCCAAAAGCGTCATGGTATATGCACGAGATTGGTGTCACAGGCACACTTACCGACGAGAACAACCAACCAATAACGGAAGCGCTTGACCTGTGGGGGAGGAACCCGGTTCATCTCATTGAAGATCTCATAGGCAATCCGGAGTTTGACGGAGAGATGGCTTATGAGCCACGGTGCGAGTATGAGGTGTCTGAGGATGGAGGAGTAGCGATGGAATACATCGATGACATGCACTCGGGGAAGTGGATGTCAGAGGTGCAGGTGCGTGTACATGCTTCTGTCTGGCAGTCAGAGGCCGATGAACTTGCATACCAAAGAAAATACTACCTCAGGGAGCCACAGCTGCGTCGGTCATCATCGCCTCAGACAAGACCCAACTCTCCGTCTTCAGTGGCGACAAGCAGGCGTGGCCAGTTTACTTGACGATAGGCAACATATCCAAGACAGTGCGCAAGTCTCCCTCACGCCGCGCGGTTGTTCTGCTCGGCTACATACCGGTGTCAAAGCTGCTCTGTTTCCCCGAGAAAGAGAGAGCCTTACAGGGTTATCGTCTCTTCCACTATTGCATGTCCCTCCTCCTCAAGCCGCTCATCGAGGCCGGCATCAATGGTGTCGAAATGGTATGCGCAGATGGTGTCGTCCGTCGTATCCATCCAGTTCTTGCAGCGTACCTGGCAGACTTCCCGGAGCAGTGTTTGATCACCTGTTGCAAGCAGAACCGCTGTCCAACGTGTATCGTTGAAGCAGACCAACGCGGTGAGCCTCTCGACTCTCTCTACCGAGACCCGACAACCACAAAGGCTGCTCTCAACAACCCGGTTACGGACAAGAGGTTCACCAATGAAGGTCTCCACCACGTACCTGAACCTTTCTGGGCCAATCTTCCATACGCAAACATCTTCGCTTGTATCGCACCCGATCTTCTCCACCAGCTTCACAAGGGAGTGTTCAAGGATCATCTGGTGAAGTGGGTTAGCACCGACCTAGAAGATGAAGTAGACGCACGGATGGCACGCGTCCCACCATACCAGGATCTTCGAATCTTCAAGAGGGGAATCTCAAAGATAAAGCAGTGGACGGGGAATGAGTACAGGCAGATGGAGCGCGTCTTCGTGGGTGTTGCATCCGGCTTACACGCGTCCCACCCACGCGTCTTGGTCTGCACCCGAGCCATTCTCGACTTCATTTATCTCGCCCATCTTCCACGACACTCCACCACTACCCTCACACTCCTCCGTGATGCCCTCGCTACGTTCCATGCCAACAAACAGGTGTTTGTCGACCTCGGTTTATGTCCGCACTTCAACATCCCCAAGCTCCACTGGCTTATCCACTACCTCGACTCAATCATCAACCTTGGACCGTGCGACGGCCTTAGTACCGACATTTCAGAGCGGCTGCACATCGACTTCACCAAGCTCGCATATCGTGCAAGCAACCGCCGAGACTATTTGAAGCAGATGGTCACCTGGCTTACTCGACGCGAGAAGGTTCGCTACCTTCAATCTTATTTCCGTTGGGCTGAAAACTCGACCTCCTCTACGACCACCTCCAACCTCCCAATCTCACACACCCTGTACCCGGACGAAGCGCTCCCCACTGCTGCACCGTTTATCCCCTCAGACGGGGCTGGTGAAGACGCCGAGACCTGGCTTGTTCCCGACGAAGCGGAAGAAACCACCAGCCCGGCCTCAGCAAAACCTTCCAGTGGTTCGGTTGCATCTACACCTCGCTCGCATGAAGAACTCATTGACGAACTGCACGGACGTGCCGTAGGCGAGCTCTCTGCCGCACAAGACAACGATGATGAGGCGCGATACGAGAGCGAGACAGAAGGGCATGAAGAGGATACAGAAGTCGGCTACGAGGTACGCTTTGCTCCTGTCTGCCCGCACACACCTTCCCCATCTACCATCCAGGAATCCCTTCCCTACAAGATCAGTCGTACCCCCGGGCTTGGTGTACAAAGTGGGCAGCACATTCAGTCTCAAATGGGTGCACCGTCCTTTGAGCAAGCCCTTTCAAGCTATCTCCAATCGACTTCCCCCATTCCCCTCCGGCTTCCCAACCTCCTATCATCCTCATACGGCTTGTACAAGCAGGTTACAACTGACTTCAAAGCCGGTCCATTCAGCCTTGAACAGCAACGCACATCTCGAATCCGTGCAAGCCCTGCCATGAACGCCAGCCCTTCGCGATACGACACCGTGCTCATCTCGACTGGATGGCGCAAGCACAGCGGACTGACACTGCATGGTACGCCTGATGTTACAACCTTGTCCTGAAAATGCACCTGACGGTTCTACAGACTGTCGTGCAGCCCAGGTTCGCGTGATATTCACCCTTCCACCTCACCTCGAACGGCTGCGGCCGAGTCGCCGTGAAAGTGATACACACCTAGCATACATAGAATGGTTTACACCGTTCACAGCTCAGGCAGACCCGACGAATGGATTGTATCGCATCGCGCGTGCATACGAAAACCGCGTGCGCAAAGCAGCAATAGTTCCGGTGAGCTGGGTCGTGCGCAGCTGTCACTTGATACCGGTCTGGGGCCCGCGCGCTGATCGGAGGTGGACATCTGATACCGTACTAGAGTTCTGTGATGACTGGTATTTAAACATGTTCAGTGACCATGCCATGTACACGTTCGGACGCCTTACGCAATATATGAGTACAGGATGATGTGCTACTCTCCTGCGAGGTCACAGTGGGAGACAACATCTCCTATGAGGTCCCAGGGGGAGACAATGTCTCCTCCAAGGTCCCAGCCGGAGACGACATCTCCTCCAAGATCCTGGGAGGAGACGGCATCTCCTTCGAGGCACCAGCTGGAGACGACATCTCCTCCGAGATCCTAGCCGGAGACGGCATCTCCTCCAAGGAGATGCCGTCTCCTCTGAGACCGTGTGGGAAGTAACTTCTCCTCCGAGATCCTAGCCGGAGACGGCATCTCCTCCGAGGAGATGCCGTCTCCTCTGAGACCGTGTGGGAAGTAACTTCTCCAGAGCGCAACGGCCTCTCCCGCGTGCGCGGTCCGGAGGCACCCTCTCCTGTGATTGCCGTCAGGAACATTTGGAGATCAATCTCCAGAGGGAGATCCACACGTTTCCTGATGAGCGCCGCCCCCGTCACGGAGCCCGCCAACCTGCCTGACGCAGTCCTCATTCAACCAGGATGCTCGCTCGCGAACAGGGTCTTCACTCAACAAGATCTGGACGCGTTAATGGATAGAACGTCTCAGGCCGGCATCGCCGCTCAACTAGAAGCCGAAACCCGACTCAGCCCTCAGTGCGATGCCACGACGCCTATGTCTCAGCGAGAGGAGCAAGCATTCATCCAGAAGGTCAATACCGTCATCGTTGCATTCTCTCGCGAGGAGGCGAGGAAAGCTGAGAAGATAAAGAAGGCTCGTCTGCGCTCGCGGACCGGGGGAGCACGCGGCTAAGTGGACAGAGGGCGAGATGGGGCGACTCCCTCTCCTCCTCCTTCCGAGTCCGCTCGCCGTCCGCTGGCGGCTCGATGGACTGAGTCCCTTTTCCATATCATATCGTCGAACACTCTGTATACGCTCTGTGCGCTTTGCTTCTGGTATCTTGTGCTGTGTCTCCTTGTTGTCTGTTGGCTCTCATTGGTTGTATTGCATTTTGCGGCTTCGTGGTGTTGGTTTCTGGTCATACTCAGGCCCGTCTGGTAACGCCCGAATCGCTTATCGCCGTATAAGAAGCGAGATCTGATTCACCCCCGACGTCAGAACCATCCATATTCAAGAGCACATTGTGCACGCCAAGTAATACCCTATCATCTACGCGTACACTCCGTGCTCGTGAGTGACAGGTTTGGCGAACACGACTTGCTCCGACTTTCCTGCGTTCTGCTGTGACTCCAATAGTTTGTGGATGGCTTCAAGAAAGACAAAGTATGAACACGCACCACTTCAGCGACGACAACGCTTTCTGCTTCCCGGTGTGAAGCATGCTCCAAGCCCCTGGATGTCCGAAACTGGAGCTGAGTTCCGGGTGGTGAGGTATCGCTGCCGCCAAACGTCCTCACGCCGCGCTTCGCAAGCGCTTTCCTGCCGTTCAACCTAAGAGTGCTCTTAGTAGTTGTACGACATCGGCGAGAATAAGGATGCAATGCTCACGCGGCAAGCATTGAGTTCCCGTACACTGGCATCACGTCAGCATGTGAGGTAGCTACAGCCACAAACATACGTCGGATGGCTACGATCCCAGAGGCGGAGTATGAAAGTGTATCCGGATACACGAGCGACTATGAAAGGTATTAGCACAAGAACTATATGAGCCGATAACCGGTAGATATTCACCATAATCATCGTGATAGAGGCTACAATTCTTCAGCAGGTCAGAGGCGTCAGTGTGCACTCTCAAACGGATCGGACGATGCGCTCTATACCCTGTTGTGAGACCTGGCGGAAGAAGACAACCGTGAGCATGAACCTTCTTCGAAGCACGCTCAGGTCTTGGAGTTCTCACCGGTGTATATCAAGTAGAGCGCCATTGTGTTGACCAGCGAGTCCGTCCTGGGGCGACGTCAACATCAACAGATGAGACATGGGATTCTACGTGAATAGTGATGTGCGCACTCTTTGATCCCGGTACGACTGTTCTTCAGTGATAGGACCAGTGTGAGAGTGAGAAGGAGATCTGCTACAACCGCGGTGACAGTCCCCGCTGCAAGCAACCACTATAAGAGCGTCGTCAGCGTTCAAAAAAATAATATCGGAACATGATACGCACGGATATGCTGCTAAGACGGCTCAGTTGGTCAATGTGGAACCTAAGTGCACGTATGAGACCGGCTCCGGACGAGAAGGGACAAAACATACGCTTGATATGTACATCCTGTACGAAATGCGCCTATCAGCTTCACAGGAACCAGACGCACTGGTAGCGAAAACGTACCGATATAGAACGCTGGGTGTAAGTATCAATATCCTGTATCATCCAACACCTCACGCGTTATAGTAAATATGCAATACCTAGCTCGGCGATAAGTAAAAGTGCCTGATAAAACGGCATTCTTCAACGAAGCGACTTCAGGAGGGTGGAAGCTACGCTCACCACAACCATTGCCATGAGACGATATTTCCGACCAACTGAATAAAGTTTTGAATCGTTAACCTGCTCGCTGCACAGGGAGAGGGATTGGATTTCTCACTCATATAGACTCTCCAGGTGTAGAAGCTGACTCGTGAACGTATGTAAGTGAGCACTTACGCCGACAGTTCTTACCGCACCTTTGACTGACGAGGATAGTGAGGCACTATGACAAAGTTCGACGTCAAAATTAGAAGAGATCACTCTACTCGAGACTCACTGATAAGATCGGTAGTAGCTGAAGACGATTGAAGGTCATCACAGCCGGCGAAAGGGCGAAGCGCTATGCTTACATCAAGAGACCTGTGACACACACACGCTCTTGATCAATGTTTCAAACACCGACTGAGCAACACGCCGCTTACCAGACACCGAATGCAAGTCTTTCGGGATGAGAATAGTTCGTCACCAAGTAGAAGTAACTGCGAAGGCATGAGTAAGGGCGATATCAAACAACCGCTCGTCGACGTACGTACCAGATGTGCATGGTAAGAACGCTGAATATCGACTCGAAAACTCTGCGTTTGTGATCAGCAAGTGCTCTTCGTATGCGGGCATGCAACACACATGATCCCAATCACCTGGAGCGTATTTGTGAGGCTTGTAGTTTGTCCTGATTCTATGCCCACTTACCAAAGACCTGAGCAGCATCGATTCTCGTGGGTATAGCGCGAAAAACCTCATGGATTGGTACAGAGTGATACCATATAAGCTGCAGAGTAAATGAGGCGGCTTAAACAACGGGTGAAAGCCTCGACTCACATCAGCCCTACAAACGTGCCAATAAGCACGGCGCCGTACATGGCATCCAGTGACGGCGCATTGCAAGGTGGTCGCAGGCACGGTTCAGACATGGGGAAGCTGTCGCCGATGAACGAGAAACCGCGCGGGCTTTAAATGCGTCGTCAGTACTTACCCACGAGATCACCCGCTTGTCGCGGGGAAGCGTACACTGCAATGCCGTTGAGCGACGTTCAGGGACTCGGAAGGTAGGCGTGAGAGGATTGTCCCTCATATGACTATAAGGGCGTCAACTATCGAACTCCTGGCACCGTCCATGCGGTTGACGTCTCAATAGTTTCGGCATCTTACCAGCCAGTCTCACTCTTCTCCAATTTGCGCAGCATCTTGTACCAGTGATCATATGATCATCGACGGACGTGCCGTCGCCATCTGCCAAGTCGCTGCTGAACCGGGGCAGTGCGGAGATTGACGGGCGTCGGAGCCAATGAATGCACTTCTTTGACGTTATAAAGGAGACGTCAGTAGAAACGGGAACTATGAACGCTGCGATGACCGACCGCCTGAATCTCTGTACTCGCTCGCGTCGCACCACCTTGCTGTACGTCGTTGTGATTCCGGGCATTGAAAGTTGAACGCTCAGGCTTGAACTACCGGAAGACATGACAAGACGCGGCCACTAACACGAACTCGAGCAAGGGGGGGATCGCCTAACGAGAGCTCAGTTCCGTCACGCCGCCTTTGCGAGATAGAGATGTGCTCACTGTGGAGCTTCTACGTCCGTTTCGCTGAAGCTGCGTGTGCACATCAGCCCGGCCTCGACGGAGAGCCTCGAAGCGGCATGCTTCTCAGAGTGTCTCCCCAACCCCGACCACTGTGTTCAAGATGTGCTGACGAAGTGCTTTTCTGGCGTTCGAACTGAAATCGTATTAGCTTGTGAGAAAATCGATGTTTCTGGTGAGGCTCACGAGACGAGAATGAAGTACCCGAACACTGGGATGATGGGTCAGCAAAGAGTCGGTGACACTCGCAACGGGTACTCACGCCTGACAGCGATTATACCAGAGGCCGAGTATGTCAAAGTGGTTGGTAAGACAAGCGGCTATCGAGAACGTCGGAACTCAGCGTTCAGTCTTCGATAAGTAGGGGAACGGACTTACTAAAGTTGTGATGATGACGGCAGAAATCCTACGAGATCATGTCAAACAACCCGAAGACGATATTTGGGCAGTAACTTACAGTGTAAGTACACCTTGTAGAGAACGAATGAGTGAAGACAACGCAATCGCAGGGATGAGTACGTAATACACCCAGTTCATGATCACGACTTTCATGTCCGATTCCGTTCTGAGAAGAAGTCAATATATAACGGAGGTGTAGTGCATATTACTCACAGGGAGAGCTCAGCGCTGCTCTTATGCAGCCCGAGCGTGATCAGCAACTCTGTTGCCATCACAATCACCGTCGACGCCCTGAGGCCCCACGAGCAGGTTGCATCCATGCTGAGCCTTTTCGGACCATTATCTCAGGCACGCACAGGATGCATTTTAAAGCCACGTACGCTTGGTATATGGAGGCTAGCAAAAGGGGGCGTCAATCACGTCCCGCTGACACATTCGAAGCGGCATCTCACGTACCTGCGAACACGCCTGAGGAAGAAGAGATACGATTCAATATCAGCTGAACTACCCAGACACGCGGGGGTTGTAGCGGGCGTTACCGGTCTCAAGGCCTAATATAAACACCTGTGAAGCATATAATCAGGTATTTATTCGTGGCATTTACTTCAAACCTACCAACGCCGTCGTCATGAAACGGCGTCCCCGCTCCACTGTATGACACAGAGAGTGCGCATCAAAATCCGTGCATGATCACGCAGACCAGGAACGCACTCAGATGGATTCTCCGCACGTTATAACTAGTCGAATGTGAAGGTCAGTGGCTCATACCTTGAATGTTCACTCTGATTCGTACCCTTGGCTTACCAAGATACCAAAGCACTGGATGGTTACGATTAGTCAAATGAAGCGTCCTAATGGCAGAAGTTTGGCTCACCAACGAGAACGGGATCAACTGTGTATGCAGCACGAATATTGAATAGGGCAGTGTATTTCGTGAAGGATGGCACGCACTCACGTCGAGCGCCCATCTTCCAGCGAAGTCAGGTGGGCATGATCCTTTCAAAGCCACACGGTAAAGGTAACTGCGGTTCAGAAATGCTCGATGAGTGGAATAGTCGTGCGGTCAGGGTGGCATTGTCCCTACTAGACTTGCGCAATGACGATGGCGCCGTACATCCATTGGAAGACCCTTTCCGGATGTCAATACGGCTATATATGCTGAGGGGAAGCATATTGTACGACCACTTACCCGACGCAATCAACCTGATACGTCGACCGCTGGTGAGCATATGCTTCCCCTGATAGGACAACTTCACGCACCAGGAATCGCAGAGCGATCTTGTCGTCGTAATGCCTCCTCAAGCATCGATAAGCTTGATGGAGAACCAGCCCGCACAGCCTGGGTCGACCCAGTTTACCCTCAGCACACAAAGTACTAGTAGATACTCGCACTCACAGGAAACCGAAGTACATTCCGCTAAAAATTGCCGCATAAGGGTCCTTGAATGGCGTGGTCGATGACAACGAAGGTCGAGTATCTGAAGATATGGTGGTGTTAGACATGGAGGGGTGCGGAAACTGTGCCCGCCTGTCCGCCCGCCACGGTGGCCTGTTATCACTGTGCGGCGTCAACAGAGCATCGCCTTGAGAGCCTTCAGCCGCCGCGTGGTAGCCGCTCGTTTAAAAATATTCGCGTGGCATATAATGAGCCACGCACTCAATTCCATACCCGAACCCAGCTTTTGAATGAGCGCGTAGCCGCCACGTTTGCCTTAGATCATGTCTCCTGCTTCAAGATGAGCGACGGAAGAGTGGCGGGAAAGGACAGCAGTGGGATTCATGACAACATCACGCGAGACGACGCGAGTGATCTGACGACGGACTCGGCGCATGCGAAGCAAGATGCGGTGAGTGAAGCAGGCGAGAGGACGTGGATACCACAGAAGTAGGACGCGACTACAGCGAGCATAGAGGCAGATACGCAAGGGCATACTAGTGGTAACGGGACGCGGCGAAAAACGGCGGCATCCAAAGGGGTGGGGATGGGGAGTGGAGGGGGGTGGGACTGGGGTGGGAACGCGAGCGGAGGGAAGACGTGATCGGGCAGAGGGTAGGGGGATATGCGGTGCAAGTGAGAGAGGGGAGGAGAGGGAAGGCGGTGCGATACCACGGCCTCAGGGCACAGCGCGGGATGTATGCCCTGCGTACGAGAGGCCGACACACACTGTACATACACACATCGTAACCCAGCCGCACAATAAATTCGGACATATCTCCACCTCGCGACGTACTGGTGGCGGCGGGCGGAGGGACTTGGGTTGGTGGGCTGCAGCACAGAAGCACCTTCAGTCAGCACTGGTTCCTAGGCGAGCGAGGGCTGTGACTGACCTGGTCCACAAGATATATGCACGGTCACCCCACCGACCCGCCCATCCTCGCAGCATCCACGGAGGGAAATGCGGGCGACCACCCACGCCAGGGGTAGTCTGCGGGCGAGTCACGCTGGTCATGATCGTTCCCGTTTACGAAGGGGGCGGGTGTGTTCGTCCATAATGATAATATAGCCGGCGTCCCGCAGGTGATCGTGGTCGTGCCGTGAAATTCATTCTAGCTTGGTAGCATATACACACGCGGGACGTCGTCCTGTTTGTCCCTTACCGCGCCGGTTGACGGCCTTCAACGTGGCCTGTGGCCTAAAGCGCCGTCAGTGGCGAGCGGAGAGACACGAAGAGGGGAGCCAACGTACCTAAAGTGACTTCTGGAGCCACGTACCGACACATCTTGAACGACTATGCTCGAACCCTCCGTGAGGCCGCATAAGCGGCCTTGCTGGCGGTGGCGGCAGCTGCGGTAGACACGCTTGCGGGTCGCGAGAGGCGAGCTGGAGCTGGAGCGCTTGCTCGCGCCTGGGCGGGGGACGCACCAGTCGAAGACGCCGTCGTACTCGAAGCCATGTTTCTCCGCGAGCCCCCGGAAGAGGGAGCGGGGGCCCTCGTAGTCCCGGAGGTCTTCAAACTCGAGGGCGCGGACGTACTTGTAGACGATGTCAAACTCGCTGGAGAGGCCGATGGTGAGGACGGATTCGGTCTCAAGCTTCTTGTCGCGGATGAGGTCCCAGGTGTCGGACACGGAGGAGTCCTTGATCTTCCGCCAGGGAAAGGTGCCGCGAAGGAAGTAGATGAGTATGTAGGCGAGGCCTTCGAGGTCGTCGCGGCGGGAGCACTCGATGCCAAGATGGGTGCTGATGGCGGCGAAGAGACAGGTGCCTACACCGTGGTGGTCATCCTGGTGATAAGGGATGTGGAAGCTGGTGCGGGGGTCGCGGAACTTCTTTGCGAGGCCGAAGTCAATAACGTTGACCACGCAGTCGGAGCTAGCAGTCTAAGAGGTCTTTAAGACGACAAAGTTTGCAGGCTTAATATCGCAATAGACGAAGTCGCGAGAGTGGATGTGCTCTGCGGGCGATGATGTCAGAACTAGGTTCATTACGGAGATGGGACGCGGTCGGTAGGGCAGCGCGCGCGAGACGGCGTAGGTCGGGACGCGGCGTTCGTCTCCGCACCAACATACCGAGAGGAGGCCATCGAACGTGTGGAATCGTGTGAGACCGGGGCTCGGAGGCGTTGAGAGAGCGGAGTAGAGAGGGTGGTCAAGGGTGACCTCGGCCGGATTTTGTAGGGAAAAAGGAAACAGAGGATGAAAATAGGGGGGAAGGGGACTGACCAGTTGATCGGCGAGCATGAGGACGGTCTTGAAGGAGAAGTGGCGGTTGTACATGCGGAAAAGGTCCTCGAGAGAAGGGCCAAGGAGGTCGACGACCATGATGTTGTAGTCACCCCGCTTGCCGGGACGCCGGGGCCATTCATGAGGGTCTTGTAGATCTTGGACTCTTGTTTGAGGGGCGAGGACTTTGCAATGGCGGGCTCGAGCTTGATGGTGACTTCCTTTCCGGAGGTGGTGTGGACGCCTGGGAAGAGGGAAAGACGCGTTGGGAAGGGGAGGAGAGGTGGAGGGGAGCGAGCGACGCACCACAGCCGTCAATGGAGATTTCTTCCTCGAGCCTGTATTTGCCACCGAACGTGTAGGGATCCATGGTATGTTCGTGAGGACGTTGCTGGGGGAGACACGTCGAAGGGGGCTCGACGGACGGGAGAGGAGGTCGCAGGGGAAGAAAAGGCGGGGAGATCGAGCACGAGTGAGTGATCGAGGGGACGGAAGAGGGCAAGATCTCGCTTTGCTCGGCTATTCTCGCGATCCCGTAGTGCCGGGCATTGAGGGCGCTCCGGTGCGTGGTCCATCTTGGGCGTCTGTCCTGATTAGACCTCTGAGATAAGATAACGATTGGAGTGCGGCCAATCGAGTGAGTGACTCGCTTTGAGCTGGATTAATGTTGCCCAAGCTGAATGCTCCGTTCAACGGCGCATCGATTCATCCTTTCCCGCCTCCCTCGTCGCCCTCCGACTAGACCCCTTCACTTCTCTCTTGCCGCCATGTCTGAGCCCTCGGCTACCGCGCCCCCGGCCGACCCCGCCGCACCCATTTCTAAGAATGCCGGTGCGTTTCTCTAGTTCTGGTTCAGACGTGCCCGGGCTGACCGTACATGTCGCAGAGAAGAAAAAAGCTAAGATGAAGGAGAACGAGGCGCGCCTTGCCCTCAAGGCTGCAAAGGCCGCCAAGGCCGCTGCCACCACGCCCGCTGGCGGAGAGAAGAAGGCGAAGAAGGAGAAGGAGCAGGAGCAGGAGGTCCCGTTCGTGAACACCACGCCTAAGGGGGAGAAGAAAGGTGCGTCAACGCATCTATGATGTCCGCCATTGCGCGCTGAGTGTGGGCTAGACATGTCGCAGCCCATGCCTGCCGGCTACAACCCAATCGCCATCGAGGCTGCTTGGTACGACTGGTGGCAGGCCCAGGGCTTCTTCCAGCCTCAGTTAACACAGAACGGCGAAGTCAAACCTGAGGGCGTCTTCGTTATCCCCTCGCCCCCACCAAATGTCACCGGCAGTCTTCACATCGGACACGCCCTGACGGTCGCGATCCAGGACTGCTTGGTTCGATGGTCAGTCCTCCCCGTCTTTCGTTGGTCATATGCAAGCCAAGACTTCACGTAGGAATCGTATGCTGGGCAAAACTACACTCTTCGTCCCCGGGTTCGACCATGCTGGTATCTCCACTCAGTCCGTGGTTGAGAAGCGATTGTACAAGACCGGCGTCACGCGACACGACCTCGGACGCGAGAAGTTCGTAGAGAAGGTCTGGGAATGGAAAGAAGAGTGAGTCCTATGCCTTCTCGTTCACGCGCGTATGTAACCTGTGGTCTAGCTACCAAGGTCGGATCACCAACCAACTCCAGAGGTTGGGCGGAAGTTATGATTGGACTCGTGTAGCCTTCACGATGAACGAGGTACGTCTTCTCCCTCAGTCTCTTGCATACATGCTAGCGAGCGCACTCTCGCCGGTATGAGAGGTGACTCTGTGCTCGTCTCCATACTCGCGCGTTAATGGAGGGCACGCGAAGGCACGCGGCATGGAAATGGAGCTATGGCGCAGACTGATGCGCCGTCACCTTGCGCTCTCGTACTCACTTTGCGTATGTCCATCACGTGTAGAGCCTCTCAAAAGCCGTCGTAGAAACCTTCTGCACCCTCCATGAAGAGGGGATTCTGTACCGCGCGAATCGGCTGGTCAATTGGTGCGTCAAGCTGAACACGACGCTGTCAAATCTCGAGGTACGCGGCTTTTGACACCCTGACAAGAATCTCCCACTGATTTGACGATAGGTAGACCAGAAGCAGCTAGAGGGCCGGACCCTTCTCAACGTGCCTGGCTACGACCTGAAGGAGAAATTCGAGTTCGGTATCATCGTCTCATTTGCGTACCCCATAGAGGGCTCAGGTACGTTATCTCTGGCCGGTAATGAGTCGCCGTACTAACGAGGCAGCAGATGAGAAGATCGTCGTTGCGACGACCCGTCCAGAGACCATGCTGGGCGATACCGCTGTAGCCGTTCACTCTCAGGATCCCCGATACAAGGTAATATCCTGACGATATGTGCTCGTGCTGGGTCGCTGATGACTTGTCGTACAGCATCTTCATGGCAAGTTTGTGAAGCACCCCTTCGTTGATCGCCGGATCCCGATCATCACCGACGACATCGTCGTCGACATGGCTTTCGGTACTGGTGCCGTCAAAATCACCCCCGCGCATGACCCCAACGATTACGAGGTCGGCGCTCGCCACAAGTTGGACTTCATCAACATTTTGAACGACGACGGTACCTTCAACGAGAATGCTGGCGAGAAGTTCAAGGTATGCCACTCCGCCGCCACTCTAAGATTCCTCGCTGAATTCGTGTCGCGGTTCGCAGGGCATGAAGCGCTTCCATGCTCGCGTGGCTGTCGTACAAGCACTCAAGGACCTCGGTCTGTACGTCGAGACCAAGGACAACCCGATGCAGATTCCCATTTGCAGCAAGTCCGGAGACGTCATTGAACCCATTCTCAAGCCACAATGGTGGGTGAACTGCACGCCGCTGGCAGAGGAGGCCGTCAAGGTATGTCACGGAGTCTCGAAGGGTTCGGACACATGAGCTGACGAGTGTACAGCGCACAAGGGCGGGCGAGCTTAACATCGCGCCCAAGTCGTCCGAGGCTGAGTGGTATCGTTGGCTCGAAGGTATTCAGGACTGGTGTATCTCGCGGCAACTGTGGTGGGGTCACAGGTGTCCTGCCTACTTCGTCAAAGTCGAGGGCCAGGATCAGGATGTAAGTCGTTCCTTTGAGGATATGGCATCCACTCCGGCTGACCCGCGCGATGCCAGCGCAACGACGGCAAGCACTGGGTGGTTGGCCGCACTCTGGAAGAAGCGATGGCCCGCGCCGAGAAGCTTGCGGCAGGTGCGAAGTTCACTTTGGAGCAAGATGAAGATGTGCTCGACACCTGGTTCTCGTCCGGTCTCTGGCCATGGTCGATCCAGGGATGGCCGTCAAAAGTGGGTGTCCTTGGCCTCCCAATATGCGCTCCACTGACGCGACAGCCATCGCCCAGACTAAGGATCTCGAGATGTTCTATCCTGCTTCATTGCTCGAGACCGGCTGGGATATTCTCTTCTTCTGGGTCGCCCGCATGGTCATCCTCGGCGTTCACTTGACCGGCAAGATGCCGTTCTCGGAGGTCTACTGTCACGCGATGATCCGAGATGCACACGGGCGCAAGATGTCCAAGTCACTCGGGAACGTCATTGACCCGCTCGATGTCATCCAGGGTCTCGACCTCGAGTCCCTCCACCAGAAGCTGTACGAGGGCAACTTGGACGAGCGCGAGATCGTGAAGGCAAAGGCCGGCCAGAAGAAGGATTTCCCGAAGGGCATCCCCCAGTGCGGCACGGACGCGCTCCGCTTCGCACTCTGCGCCTACTCCGGCGGCGGGCGCGACATCAACCTCGAGATCCTGCGCGTGGAGGGCTACCGCAAGTTCTGCAATAAGATCTTCAACGCGACCAAGTTCGCGATGCTCAAGCTCGACGAGACCTTCGTGCCTTCTCCTGCTGCCCAGGTGAGGAGATACGTTTCGCGGCGTCGGGTGCGTCTGATCGTCGTGGCCGCATCAGCCCACTGGCAACGAGTCGCTCGTTGAGAAGTGGATCCTCCACAAGCTCAACCTCGCGTCGGAAGAGATCAACAAGCAGCTGACCGACCGCAATTTCATGAGCGCCACCAACGCTGCGTACAACTTCTGGCTGTACGAGCTCTGTGACGTGTATATTGTAAGAACTTCGGGCATCCCTCGCACTCGTTAGCTCACTGCGTGTTTAGGAAGCGATGAAGCCCATGACGGAAGAGTCGGCGTCGGAGACCACCCGCAAGTCCGCACAGCAGACGCTCTACACGTGTCTCGACCACGGTCTCCGCCTCCTCCATCCCTTCATGCCGTATGTCACCGAGGAGCTCTGGCAGCGCCTGCCGCGCCGCCCGAACGACCCCACGCCGTCGATCATGGTATCGAAGTACCCCACTTTCGTACGTCTTCGCGGAGATCCCATCAATCTCACGTCACTGACGAATGGACCCACCGCAGGACAAAGCCTTCGAGTTCTCACAGGCGGAGCGCGACTTCGATCTCGTGTTCTCCGCCGTTAAAGCTTCCCGTGCCCTCGCCGCCGCGTACAACGTCCAGCAGAATCTCCAGGGTGAGAGCGCACAATATTCCATCCCCAACTCGGTCGCTAACGCCACCCTTCCAGTCTTCATGCGCGCTGAGAAGGAGGACGAGGCCGAGCTTTTCGCCTCGCAGATCCCGACGTTCCTCGCGCTGACGAAGAACTGCATGTCCGTCGACGTCGTGCGCGACATCAGCGGCGTCCCCGCCGGCTGCGGCTCGGAGCTGCTGACGCCGACCATCTTCACCCACATCCTCGTCAGGGTACGTGCCACCGTGTCCGCGTTCGCTCGCTGCGCCTGACGCGTGCTGTGATGTAGGGCCAGGTGGACATCGACGCCGAGGTCAACAAGGGCGAGAAGAAGCTCGCGATCGCGAAGATGAACCTGTCGAAGATCCAGAAGATCGAGGCGCAGGCGGATTACGAGTCGACGGTGCCGGAGAGCGTCCGCCTTGCGAACGAGGAGAGGGTGGGTCGCGTGTCTGGCGTGGATCCGTCGCAGCTGCTTACGCCGCGTGTCCTTCTAGCGCAAGACGTTCGAGGCTGACATTCAGCTCTTGGAGCACTCGATCCAGATGTTCACCGAGATGAAGTAGTATGCTTGTCGTGGCTGTGTGACGTAGTCGAGACTCTTGCTGTCTCTTTTGTATAAAACGGCTCTTTCTCCGGCTCTCCACGATCGCGTGAATGGAGGGAATATGGGTTGTTCATCACACAAACTGGTTGCCGTGACGGCAGTACACGCATGCGGATACAGCTATCTGCAGGCTCATGACCTTCATCCAGCGTGCCCAACTTTCACGGAGATCCCATCATGACCCCAGAGACGACGGGAACTAAGCGTACGGGCCTCCTCCGTCCCCATGCGCTCGCATATACTCAACCCATTCATCCAGCGCCCACCAGGTTCGGAATCATCGTTCCCCCCGCCTTCGATCCACTAGACGTCTCCCACCCCGTTGAGGTCTTCCGCCAATCATCCCGTCAACCTCTACGTACTGAATCTCTACCTCCACTTCCCACGCGCTTGACCCTATGTCCACCGCATTGCCCGCAGACCTCACCCTCGCGACGACCGCGACCTCCTTCGTCCTCACGCACACCCTCGCCGCGGGCCCCATGGACCTCGAGGTGCCCCTCGCGTCCTACGGGTACGGCGCGGGGTCGCGAACGAGGCCTCACACGAGTGGCGAAACGACGCAAGCTGGGACGCGTTCGCGTACGTGTGGCCGCAGCGCGCCGCGGACGCGAGTCGCAGAAGAGACGGGCGCGGCTTCGCAGGTTGGAGATCGAGAGTACGAACAGCACGATGGTATACAAAATGGAACGGTAAGGTAGAGTACAGGATGTCACGGACGGGACGGACTATGCAACGGTGCGACAAATTAATCTACAGAATAGCAGGGACAAACCAAATTATGCACAACTACAGAGAAAACCAGAGAAAACGACGGAGCCACAACTGCTGAAGACGGTCCTTGAGGACCACTCCGAGGAGACAGTCGATGCTCCGTCAAGTCCAATAGATAAATGATAAATAGGCAAGAGTCCCTTCCAGCCCGACGCGGGTCTGGCAGTGCTCACGTACAGTAAGTCCTTCACTCGTCGTCAGAGCTAAGGTCCGAGGAGTCATCGCCGTCGTCGTCTTCATCGGGCTTGTAGTCGTCGTCATCGCTCGAGTCTTCGTCGTCGGCCTGGTCGTTCTGCTGTGTCTGCTGGGCTTGGTTCTTGCCCGCGTCTTCATCTTCGTCTTCGTCTTCGTCATCTTCGTCCTCTTCCACGTCCCCGCCGCCCTCCTCCACACCATCGTCCGTCTTCAGGCGATTGCTGCCCCTCCGCGAGCTCCCCGCGGGCTCTTCATCGTAGAACGCCCTCAATGGCAAGGCGCCGGCGCCACCCAGGTCGATCGAGTCCAAGAACCCGTCGACGTCCGGCATACTGGCCTTGGCCGTGGCTTTGCCCTTGCCCTTGCCGACACACTCCTCGTCTTCGTCCCACGCGCTCGCGCGCGGCCGCCTGATCACAGGCGTCTCCCCCGCCCGCGCCCTATCCTTCCCTTTCCACCACTGGGTGCCCGACCCCGACGCATCGTCGCGCTCGCCGTCCCACGCGCCCGCGCTCACCGGCAGCCTCCTCCCCACAGGCGTCCCTGGGGCGGGCGGGCGCGGGAGCACGCGGTGGTTCTGGCGCGGAGGGGGAGGCGCGCGCGGCTTCGGGACCCGCGAGGACCCGTCGTCGTCGCCCATGCCTTCGTCCATGTCGAGCCCCGGCACCTCCGTCGGCGGCTTCTCCGCCGGCACGACCGAGGGCACGTACGTGCGGCGCGGCGCGGGCCACTCGCCGTCGGAGGCGTAGTCCACGAGCTCGTCGTTCTCGTCCCGCACCACGATCCGCGGCGCGAAACCCGCGAGCGGCGCGGGGCCGGACGGCGTGGCGAGGTAGGACGACGCGGAGGTTGCGGGGGAGACGTCGGACGCGCGCGGCGGCGGCGGCGGCGGCGGCGGCGGCGGGGCTGGCAGAGGGGGGCCGAAGCGCGACGGTCTGGACCGGGGCCGGGCGTTGTCGTCCGTGGCCATCTCGACTTCGGGCGCGGCGGGGCAGTGGACGAGGTCGAAGGGACCGGAGATGTTCATCGGTTCTTCGCCTTGATCGACGGCCATCGGGTCTGAGGTCATGATCACGTCGGGATCCGTCGTCTGCGCGTCAGCTGTGTCGACCGTCATGACTTCGTCCGCGAACGGGGTGATCTCCCCGTATATTGTGGTTTGAAGTGCTGTTGAAGCGGCGGCGAGGTCGAAGTCTGCTTCTATCAGCATCGGGACTTCTTCGTGGATAATCGACGGCGGAGGGCAGGGAGGAACGGACGACCCTAATCCGAGCAACGAATGACTATCAAGTGATTTGGGGGGAGTCAGTGGGGCGTTTCTGGTGAAAGCGTTGAAGGCTGAGCGCGGAGGGCTCTGGGTAGCAGCGGCGGGGAGGAGAAGAGGGTTGGGGGCGGCCTGGGAGAACGGGTTGACGATGGAGGAAGAGGCGATGCCAGGGTCGACGACTAGGTCCAATGCAGTGAGGGGAGACTCCTGTTGTATTTTCTCGTGCGGGGGGATGACAGGAGAAAGCGGGGCCTCGGCGAAGCTAGCGATGCGATGGGCCACGACGGGAGGGTGGATGCCGACGTGACTTGGGACTACAGTTGTCGCGGGCTTGATTCCTGGGGAAACCGCAGAATCGGACGTCTTGCTCAGGGTTGATGCTACGCCTTCATCTTCTGAGGTAGTGGGGGTAACAGCCTCGCTGGAGCCTTCCGAGTCGGAGGAGGAGAAATCCCAGGAACACGTCGAGGAGTAGGAGTATGAAAAGGCGTTCGGGTCTTCAGCGAGGTGTGAGAGGGCAAGCGCGATTTTGGCTTCCCGCGTGCTATAACGTTAAATGCGTTGAGAGATGTACTAGAAGAAAGAGTATGTCATGCAATCACGTACCGTTGGATCTCTAGCTGAACACGGCGGTCATTCGTCGACAAGGAGCGCCGAGGGTGGTCAGCCAAATGTTTGGGCTTGAAGACCACTTTCGCTAAACTTTCAGCATTTGACGGGTTCTCGACTTGAGCTCCGTGAGGAGAGGAAGGGGGTGCGGGCGGCTCCCGGTCCTTGAGCGCGTGGAGGGTGGCGACGAAGGCACCCCACAGCGTCTCGGCGACGAGAATCGTTGTGGAGGCGGCATCACGGGCCACGATATCGGCAACATATGCACCGAAAGCGACAGCACACGCGAGAGGGTCCCTCAAGGTGGAGGTGACGGTGAGAGTGGCGAGTATGAGGGAACAGATGGTCTCGAGGATGAGGAGCTGGGTGGTTGATAGCGCGTAGACAGCCGCATCGAAGAGCAGGTGAAGAGGAGATAGGAGTGATAAATGACACCAGAAAGGATGAGAGATGGGTAGAGTGGCGAGGGACGCGGATGAGTTGGCGACGCCACTGACTTCAACGGGGATGATGACCCCGCAGATGATGAGGACAATTGAGATCTCGATGATTGCCGAGGAAATGGCTACCCGGAGAGCGGGAAGATAATAGAGGATGTCTGACAGCATCAAGGTGATATGACGGAGCCGAATCGCAAGGTTTGCGAACCGGTGGCGGAGGGTGGTTGGAGGGGGTACGGTAAGGAAATGTAGGTCAAATTAGCTCTCGAGCAGGCAGGCGCGGGGAAACAAGCAGCAGATTGGATGTCTTGCAGGGGAACGCACTGGGAGGGAGACAAGTCGAGAGAGAGATGGTGGGGGGAAGAGATGTGCGGGCCACAGTGGTCAGTGGCGGGGTTGAGGACTTGAGCGCTTGGAGGTAGCCGGATCGAGATCGGGTTGCGCGTGTTCGTGCCCGGACAATAGCAGACCGACGCCTGGGACGCACCCTCCGTTCTCGCGCATCCAGAGGCTCCGGGTCACGCTTGGCTTTAGCTTCATAGCAATCAATCACCGGTGAATATACGGGGGACTTGGGATGTACATGTACACTCACCAATTCAAGACTGCCGTCTTTCAAGTGGTCGAGCTTTGCTTACAGTCGGCATTTCTAAACCGCCGGCCTGGAACCTCTGCTTCTCTCGCTTTCCCGTTGCTTAGACCCGCGAAGTCCCGACTTCCCGGAGTGGAACAAGGAGGTTGCTAAGGAAGGCCGTGGAACGGCCGGCATTGGATAGGAAAGTTAGCTCGATCGAGGGTGAAGGTAGGGGCTCCAACGCGCCCATACACATACCAGATTTTACTCCAGGACATGCTGCTTACCGAGGGTCTAACACCAGTGCAGCTTCTGGCTCGAAGTAGACTCGGAGGCAGGCGCTTTTGTTCAGACTCCGCATGGCATCGAAAGTAGACGTGGAGATCAAGGCTCAGTATGTACCAATTTGTCACCAGGGCACAAAGGGAATGTGGTCGTGGGCCATGGCAAGGCGCACAGGAGTGTGGACAGGGCCGGTAGATCTGAAGAGCTCGGTGGATCGTCGTACGACGATCGCTTCTGCCAGCGGCTGCTCAGCGGAGCAGTTCCAACTTCCATCTCCGCGGTGGATTTCAGTCTCCGACGTTGTCTCCGCAACGATACAGCACCGCACTCTGAAGAAACACCTTGGCTCTATTTCCCCGACGGTCACTGTGTGGACGAAGTACGATTATGTGCTCAGGATGCAACATTACGCACAGGCGTCGGCGCCCGACTCGGTGGAATCAGCCCCATAGTGGATTAGTGACAACTTTTTCCCAGTGGAACTGCGGTTCGCGTGTGTGCATCACTATGCGTTTTGTGAGAAGAACGGGGACAGTCCTGGAGTGGACAGAGAGGGCGCATCGGTTGTTCGCGATGTGGTTGTTGGACGAGCGCGCGAGGGCGGTAAGGGAGTGCGCGCTGCAGGAGGGTCACACCGGAAAGAGCGTTGGTTGACAAGTGGGATTGCACAGCACTAACGATACGGACAGCTGGACAGAAGCCAAATAACATGGATGATTCATAGACAGAGTTTGCGGTGACGTTTAGAGGAGAGTGTTTGTTTCGAGATTGAGGCCTTTGACGAAAGGATCGTTGAGAAGCTCGCTCGCAATGGGTCGGCTGTCTGGGTCCAACGCCAACATCCGGTGCAGAAGCGCGTCCACCTCGTCAAGCGTTGAGCCAGCCAGCCCGACCTCAGCGAGACTATGGCGAAGCGAGGGGACGTGAACGCGTCGTCCCCCGTCAGCAGAGTTCAGCGAACCTACCCCGCAATCAGTGAACAATACAGCGTCTGTCGGAAATAGAACTCTCACCGTTCGTATTGAAGAATGTGTTTGTTAGCGGGCATTTCGCGAGCGCCCCCTGAGAAAACGGCCCGAGCACCTCGACCATCTGTGCGAGGTGCTCACTGTCAGTCGCGTCGTCCTCGTTATCACCTGGATCGAACAGCGGTCTGTGCAGAAGAAGCTCTGCAGCCTGAACAAGCGATCAGGCGGGTGACCCAAAACACGCTGGCCTCCTACCACTCACCAAGCATCCAAGGGCCCAAATGTCGATGGGCTGTCCCCAGCGATGTCCTAAGATGACCTCCGGTGCACGCAGCATCCTGGGCATGGCCCGCTGTGTGGTGGAGTAACTAGACGCGTGGATCGCTGTCGCAGTGGTCAGTAAGGAAGCTAAGGAGAATGACCCTCACTCACCGCTGCTAAAGTCCACGAGATTGATGTAGATTTTGTCCACATGGTGGTCGTCACCAATTGGAGGATACGGCTGCGATTTGACGCATGTGACCGGATCAGGGCTGTAATCAGGGAATACGCGTGGAGGGAGACTCTCTGCTGGCGCTGTCTCCAAGTACCCCTTCAGATCGGGAATGAATTCGGCAAACAAAGGCACGCAGATGTTGTCAGCCTTGACATCTGCGGATCATCGAGGTTAGGAGGCGACTTCGGATTGTGTTCATGGCCACGCACCTCCATGGATGTAACCTAATTGGTGCACGCACGAGAGGGCGAATAGCATCTGCTTGACGACACGTCGGACGAGCATCACATCGCGGTTGGGGTCCATCGTCCGGAACGCTCGCTGCACTTTACGCAACGTGGTGGACATCGGTGCCAAGATTGTAAAGACATGCACGCCGATTCGAGTGCGATGGGCACCCCAATCGAACATAGTGATCGTGAATTCCGAGCCAGGAATGTAAAACTTCTCTTTGTTGACAGGTTCATCGGGCTTAGAGGGAGGGGTAGAGTGCTTGAGGATCTCATTCAACAGAGGGATTTGACAGGTACTCTTCCCGATTTCGAGTTCAGTGGCGTGAGCGGTCAGGACCTTTGCTGCAAGAAGCTTCCCAGGCTTCAGGGCTTTATGTCTGAAAATGATACCGTTGTTTCTTTTTCAGCAAACAAGGCGACGTAAGAACCACGCACTCTGAAGCCACCCGCTCCACCAGCCAGATGCTAGACTCGACTCCCCAGTTGAGCTTTCGGATGACCTTGTACTGAGCATACTGGCCGACAAGACCTTCTCCGAGCTGGAGAGGTGCGTATCCAGGGGACTCTGCGGATTGCCACGGCTTCCAGACAGGCTCTTCGTTCGCCCACAGAGAGTCGTCCTCCGTTTGAACGCGGAAGCCGTTATTGCAATGCTTCGCCGGGCACCCAGCGACGGCGCCAGAACCATGCAGGCCGCGAACAGCGCTGCTGGAGGCAAAGCGAGCGTTCGCTAACCGTGACGCAGCGGCGTTCAGATGCTGCCGAAGGGGCAGACGGGACATAGATGGGTCCTGACTCCTGGGAGGTTGAAGTTGAGGACGAGTGAAGTTCGAACGCTGCCACGTGCACAGGACGTCGAGCGCTTCAGGCACGCTGTTTGGGAGCCGGGGGCGCCCGTGCTGAGTCACTCAAGCGCCGCCACTGCCCAATGTTCGCAGCATGCGTTCATGATCCAGCAAGGATACGGAAAGGACTCACATATTTATCTGTACTGAACCAGACAGCGCAACCACGTAATAAACATAATGTGCACCGTACCATTCTGGTATGGTTGGCACGCGGCATGCCACGGTCGACCACACACTGAGTTGAGCACGCCCGACCGAGCTCCCAAATATGGTTGTCAAACGAAGAGACTAATAGTAGAAGTTGCGACCAAATTAGAGCCTGAAATGGCCTGCAGGAAGCGCAACGAATTCGCCCGTTTTCAAGGCAGATGGGCATGCTGCACTTGACGCTGCAAACTAAGCGCTGAGGTCCCGATCGCCTCAGGTGACGACTCGGTGCAGAAAGAGCGCCCAATGATGCACCCGATCGCTGGATAGCTTGGTCAGAAACGATGCTTGAATTCCCGGCGGGCACGGAGAAGTGAAGATGGAACAAACAAAGTGAAAGTGGAATTGAAGTGACGCCGCCACTCTCGGAGCCTCGATGTTCGCAACCAGGACATTGAGTTAGTAGAGATACCCAGCTCGCCCACTGAAAGCATCGTTGTCATGAGGACGTCTGTCGCGTTCATGGTCCGAGGAACGCCATGGAGCGAAGGCTGGGATTGAAACGTGTGTTCGCCTGCGCGGATAGAGACTGACGACGAGACGCCACTGCTCACAGAAAGAAGCACAACTTGGGGAAGAAGAGACGTACGTACCGTATTGACTCTAGTAGAATAAACAGCGGATACACGCGCCCAACTCAGTTGGAGTAATCGAGAAGGATCTAAGGGCACTGATCCCCGCTGTAAAGCAGGCTCAGCATCCCTTTGTCGTGAGCGCAGGTAATCGGGGCGTAATCATCGATGCCATCCACCGGAAACACTTCCTTCGATAACCAGCACGGATAGCGCACTTCTCCCTCCCTTCCTGCCCAGTCAAAGTCGATGATCCTCACCCTGCCCTCGACGCCCTGCCCCCACCCACGCAGGAGCAAGATGTTAGGCGGGCGGAGATCCCCGTGCACCATCCCGCTGCCTTGCAGGATCTTCAGCGCGCGCTCGACCTCGGGCGCCGCGGCGCTCTGCTGCTCCGGAGCGAACGCGGGAACGCCCTCGACGTGCTCCATCACCACCATCTCGTGCCCGTGGTACCGCAGCTCATCCTCTCCCGGCCAGACGTCGCCGTGGTAGAGCAGCGCGGGCGCGAGGCCAGCTTCCGCGAGGAGCTCGTGCGCTCGCGCGCCGTACCGCTCCACGAACTTGACGACGACGTGGCGCGGTTCCGGCCCGTCGAGGCGGGCGAGGAAGACTGTAGACCCCTCGCCGGGGCCCTTCAGCACGTCGACGTAAGTGAACGGCACGGTGTGGCCGTCGGGCGCGCGGTACCGCGCGGCGAGAGGGAAGAAGCGAGACACGGCCGTCGTTGGGAGCGGGAGGTGGGTGTAGAACGCGTGCAGGCGTTCGAGCGCGAGCTTCAGGGCGTAAAGCACCCGCGCGTTTTCCAACAGCACGGCTCCATCCAGGTAGTTGTCCTGCGAGAGCCATATGTCTTTCATGCGCTGCACGACGGGCTTGCCCGTGATCATGGCGCCTGAGATGGAGATGCGTGGCCCGTCGACACCGATCACGAAGGAGGGCGCAAAGCAACTGTTGAGGACCGTCTGCTCACGTGAGATCAGATGCGCGCTGCGACGGTAGTCTGAAGAGAGCCGATCACCTTCTGATCGATGTCGCACCAATGCGCGATGTACGCGAACGTCGAACGGAGAGCGCCAGTCCCGGGTTCCACGTCGGACTCAATCGTAGCCATCGCTGCAGTACCGGAGAATGGAGAAGGAACGGCGGAAGATATGAAGTAGCCTGGAGTCGTTCGCTTGACGGTCTTGTTAGACGGTCGCTGGAGAGGAAACCCGAGGAGAGCAGACAGAAGCGGGCAAACTCCGTCTTCAAGTTCCCATGCGTCAGGGAAGATGCGAGATCCCGCGCGCATGAGCCTTGCGGTTATCCTGACGAAGTTATCCGGGGCGGAGAGACTACAGTCTTGACACAAGCGCCTGAAGGCGGCGAAGGCGGGGTGGAATCGGATCTCGAGTGGAGGAGGAATGGGGTTGACGGCAACACTAGTTTGACGTCCATCGATGATAGCGTCCGGACCGCGTTGGATTCGGCGGTATTGGGAAGCACGGCAGTTCTGAGATGGCACGCCAGAGCCTTTGGCTTTTACTCTCCGTCTGAATCCTAAACCAATCGTCAGCTCACAACCTCCAGTGCCAACGTACGAGTTACGCACTCTTCATCATATCGTTGAGGATATTCCCATCTTCTTCTTCGTTCTCCCTTACACGAGTCGGTGGCCACGGGTTCTTGAAGTCGAACGGTGGAAGTATGTCAACAACAAGAGCACATGTCGTATCTGCCCGTTGCGATGGCTTCATATCAAGCCCTCCCTGAATGGACTCGTCACCGTTTCTGTCACCCATGAAGTCAAGGATATCGTCACAGAACATCTCTGGATCGAAGTCGTGGATGACGAGGAGCGATTGCAGTTGTGGTCCATCAGTGGCATAAATGGCGTCTTTCGGCTGAATTAAAGTCATATTTAGAAGCGCTGTGGTCGCGGAGAGCACTGGCAGCTTACTTTGTATATGGGGAGTCAAGAGGTGTCAGGTTGTCCTATCATTGTCGACACAGATCGGAGGAGGTCGGGGTAGTATGCGTCTGATGGGACGGTGACTACCACGGGCGCAAGGTCACGTAATTGCCGTCCCTCGACGGTGAAAATGGGAATGTGTATCTCCATAGGCAGAGAAGGGACGAAGGAGGAGGAGCGATGCAGGACTGGGGCGCGGGATGGCGGCGCTTGAGTCATCACCAGCGCCCTAAAATGAGCGCTCGGTGGTCCGTTCACCTGCAGTGCCTGCACGTGGCAGCCCTCCTGAGGAACGGGCCTCGAGACTCGACAGCTTCCACCCATGTCCCGTCTGCCCATTCGCCAGCATGTGAACGCCGCTGCGTCACGGTTCGCAAAAGATCGACTCGCCTGCAGCAGCGCAGTTACTGAGCACCTGAAGCCTTCCAACAACAGCCTCCGCATACAAAATGAGGACGAATCAATGTGGGCCAACGAGGAGCCTGTCTGGAAGCCGTGGCAATTCGTAGAATCCCCCGGCTACGCACCTCTCCAGCTTGAGGAAGAGATTGTCGGCCAGTACGCGCAATACAAGGTCAACCGAAAGCTCGGCTGGGGAACCGAGTCTAGCATCTGGCTGGTGGAGCGGGTGGCTTCAGAGTGCGTTATGCTCACATCGCCTTGTTTATGCTGACAAGGGAACGACTTCCAGACATAAAGATTTGAAGCCTGGGAGGCTTCTGGTAGCCAAGGTCCTGACCGCTCACGCCTCTGAGCTCGAATTCGGAAAGAGTACCTGTCAAGTCCCTCTGTTGGGTGCTGTCATCGCGCACTCTAAACGGGCCGCCGCAAGCGTAGACACGAACACATTTTACATCCCCGGCGTGGAACACATTACCTCTATGATGGATTGGGGCGCCCATCGCACTCGAATCGGCGTGCATGTCTTCACCGTCTTGGCGCCGATGTCGACCACGTTGTATAGAGTGCAGCGTGCGTTGCAGACGGTCGACACCGACCGCGATGTGATACTCGTCCGACGTGTCGTCATACAGATTTTACACGCCCTCTCGTGCGTCCACCAACTGGGTTATATACATGGAGGTGCGTGGCCATGAACACCATCTGGAATCGCCTCCTAACCTCGATGACCCGCAGATGTCAAGGCTGACAACATCTGCGTACCTGTGTTTGACGCACTCATTCCTGATCTGAAGAGGTACTTGGGGACATCGCCAGCAGAGAGTCTCCCTCCACGCGTATTCCTTGATTACAGCCCCGATCCGGTCACATGCGTCAAATCGCAGCCATACCCTCCGATCGGGGACCACCACCATGCGGACAAAATCTACCTTCAGCTCGCGGACTTTAGCAGCGGTGAGCGAGGGTCATTCTCCTTAGCTTCTTTACTGACCACTGCCACGACAGCGATCCGCACGTCCAGTTACTCCACCACACAGCGGGCCATGCCCAGGATGCTGCGTGCACCGGAGGTCATCTTAGGCCGTCGCTGGGGCCAGCCCATCGACATTTGGGCCCTTGGATGCTTGGTGAGTGGCAAGTGGCCAGCGTTTTTCGAGTCGCCCGCCTGATCGCTTGTTCAGGCTGCAGAGCTTCTTCTGCACAGACCGCTCTTCGATCCAGGTGATAACGAGGACGACGCGACTGACAGCGAGCACCTCGCACAGATGGTGGAGGTGCTCGGGCCGTTTTCTCAGGGGGCGCTCGCGAAATGCCCGCTCACAAACACATTCTTCAACGCGAACGGTGAGAGTTCCATCGCTGACAGACGCTGTATCGTTCACTGATTGCGGGATAGGTTCGCTGAACTCTGCCGGCGGGGGCCGACGCGTTCACGTCCCGTCGCTTCGCCATAGTCTCGCGCAGGTCGGGCTGACTGGCACAACGCTGGACGAGGTGGACGTGCTTCTGCGCCGGATGTTGGCGTTGGACCCAGACGGTCGTCCCACTGCGAGCGAACTTCTCGACGATCCTTTCGTCAGAGACTTTGATCTCCGAACGAATACTTTCCTCTAAACGTCACCGCCACCTGTCTATGAATCATCCATGTTGTTCGGCTGCTGTCCAGCTTGTCCGTATCGTTAGTGCTGTGCAATCCCACTTGTCAACCAACGCTCTTTCCGGTGTGACCCTCCTGCAGCGCGCACTTCCTTCCTTTTTTTTTTGAATCCCTGTGTATTGCCCTTGACGGCGAAGGCCTATAGTAGGCGTAGCCTACGTATATGACTATACATAGCTACGCGTACTGTGGTGTGGGTCGTCGATGCAGACGCCCTCGGGCCTGAGCCTGAGAGCCGGGTTCGGGTGGTGTGAGAGTGGTGGTGGTCGGAGCGAGTATAGTAAAGGTATAGTAATGTATAGTACGGTCCGAGACATAGCCAGAGAGAGAGAATGAGAGAGCAGAGGGGGCGTGACTCGCGGCGAGTGAAGCGGGCGGGGATCCCAACGTGAGTCTGTACAAGTCAGCGAGCAACAGGAACGGCAAGAGCGCAGTTTTTATCGGCTCCTCAAGGCCTCACGGGCAGCGTCGTTTTCGTGCGACCATCCTGCAGCGCGCACTCCCGCACCGCCCTCGCGCGCTCGTCCAACAACCACATCGCGAACACCCGATGCGCCCTCTTCACCCACTCCGGCACCGTCTTCTGCCCCTCCCCCTCCCCTTCCCAAATCTCGTACTGATGCGCGCACGCGAACCGCACCTCCACCGTCCCGTCCGCCCCCACCTCGCCCACCCCCCACTCGTGCCGCCCGCCGTCCATCAGCCGCCACGGGTATCCGACCCGCGCGATCCGCGCAAAGAACGCCGTCGCGCCCCCGTCCATCCGCCACTCTACAAGCAGCGGCGCCCCCGCCGCGGGCGTGCGGAGCACCGTGAAGAGCCCGTTGAGCAGCGGCCGCCCCCGCGCGAAACCGTGTGCGCCGGTGTCGCCGGCGTCGCGCGTGCGCCCCAGAAGACGCGCCTCCCAGTGCAACGCGGGGCTCTGGAGGAACGCGCGCGCCCACGCGTCTTCGAGGCTCGGAGCCGGGGTCGGGCTTTCTTCCGTCCGAGGCGACGGCGGTCCGGATCCGTCTGATGTGGGGGAGGCCGCGGCGGCAAGGGCGTGGAGGCCGTGGACAGGCACGCGCGCGCTGTAGATGTCGGTGTATGGAGTGTGCTGCGAGGGGGTGGCGGAGGTGTCGCGCAGGGCGGGGGTTCCGGCCGTCGTGGGTGGACACGGAGGGTAGCGTGCCTCGAGGTCGGCCGCGGTGCGGTGGTAGAGGTACAGTGCAGGCGCGAGGGTGAGCGCGGTGCCGCCGAGGACGGTGCGCGAGAGGGTTCTGAGGACGGGTGGCATGCTGCAGGTCGTCGGACTCGAGTGGCGGACGCGAGTCGGTGTATATGAACTGACGGGTAGCGCTGGTCCCTGGGGGCAGTTAAAGTTGGAGGTGCATGTCGACAGGTTCCGAGTCGAGCGGAGTGCGCAGCAGAAGTGAGATACGACCTTGAGCTCGTCATCTGAAATTGGTGGGAGGGTCATACACATGCCGGGGACTGAGATGGAAAAGCGCGTTGTCCAAGTACAATTACAGTCACCTACACCTTCATCCAAAGCCTGCGGGACCCTTCCATCTAGCTCGTGTCCATCGCGTCGCCCTCCGCACCCCGCGCGCTCGGGATGTATGTGATGTCCTCCTCCACGACGAGCGCGCGGATCTCCTCGTTCTTGATCTCCGTCGTCCCCCGGCGGAACTTGTACGTGCGCTCCTTCTGCACGCGCTCGTTCGGCTTCACGTAGTTGCGGAGCATCTCGGTGTGCGAGGCCGTAATGACGCACGCGTCGACGTTGGAGCCAGAGCCGAGATCGTTGAAGATACCAGCGGAGATCGCAGCGCAGACGAGGTCGAGCGCGGCGGTGCGCTGGAGGCAGAGAACAGCGTGTAAGAGCGAGGTTGGGGCATCGCATGAGGGCATGAACGAGGACGTACCTCCATGTTGGGCTTCCAGTTTGCCTCGAACACCGCCATCGCCGCCAGACTTCCTGAACCCATGGTGACATACGGAAGCTTGTCTGTTGAGCCGTGTGGATGGATGGTGAACAGCTGGGGGCCGGTGGCATCTACTCCGCCGAGGACGAGTGCGGCACCGACGTGCCCTTGGTATCTGGACGGCGCATGAGATATGGATGCAATCAGCCGTAAAGACGGACGCACCGGAAGAGCATCTGCTTGAGCATGGTCATGGCAGTGACCACTCGAGGTTTGCGCCCGGTCGAGAGCGAGTGGAGCTCCATGTTGGAGGAGATCAGGGCGGTGGTGAACTCGGTATCCGCGGCGGTACCAGCACCACAGCAGCGAATGTTGTCGGTGATGAAGTGGATCTACGATGCGTCCAGGGATGTGTCCGGCGCACAAATGGAGTACGCACCTTTTCGCAGTTCTTGTCTGCAACGATGGGGCCGGCTGTTGCACGTGTGTCGGCGCCCAGGATAATGCCGTCCTTGAATAGGCAGCCCACGATGGTGGTACCGGTGCTTGTCGCCTTCGGGAGTGGGATGCCGCGGTCGGTGAGGAAAGAGTTCCTGCAGCCACTTGTTAGCATATAGCCGGAAGCCTGGACACACCGCACATACCGAACCTCGTTCGAGAAGTCAAATCCGGCGCCCTTGTACGCAGAAGCCGACGCCATGATGAAGCAGGGAGACGAGGATGAGGAGGGTCGGAGGAAGAGCGAGCGGCGGGGACGATGCAGGAGGGTTACGCGTCTGGACCGCGTCAGTGCACGCGCGTCGAGCGGACCCCGAGGACCGCATGCGCGGGGCCGCGGGCGCGAGCGACCGCAGCGTGCTGCACAGCTCCGCCGCTTGCCTCCTCCCCTCTACCCTCCCATCCCCACCTCTATCCCTGCACGACCGACACCATGGACGGTTGGAACAAGCTGTCTTCGAGCTTTGCGGGCATCAACATCGGCCAGTCCGCGAACAAATTTGCCAAAGGCTTCACCTCCAGCGTGCAAGCAACGAGGGAGAGGCTCGGACAGGTCGCCCCGGAGGAGATCACCGAGCTCCCCCAAGGTTCGTCCTCTTTCTGCGAAATCGTGCGGGGGCGTCTCTCATGCTTGCGGTGGACGTGCAGAGTACAAAGATCTCGAGGCCCGTGTTGACAACCTCCGCGCCGTCCACCTCGCCCTCCTCAAGTAAGCGATCATTTCCGCTTTCTTCTCGGCTAGATCGCATCGCTCACCCGAGCCATTGCTTGCGTCTCCCCTCACGCACAGGGTCACGAAGGTGTACGAGACGGAGACGTACGACTACCCCACCCAAATTCAAGAGTCCCTCACCGAGTTCGGCACGACGATCGGGACCGGGATCACCAACTTCGCCGCCGCAAACCTCAAGGGCACCGCGCTCCCCACGCCCGACCCCGTCGAGCTCCCCACCCCGCAGCACAAGACGCTCCCGCACGCGATCGCCCGGCAGGCGGCGGCGTCCGCGACCGCCGTGACGTCGACCGCAGGCCCGGGCGACGACAAGCTCGGGAAGGCGCTCGGCGCGTACGCGGGCGCGTGGGCCAAGATCGCGGACGCGCGCGTCGAGCAGGACGAGACGATCCGGGAGCGCTACCTGATGCCGTGGCAGTCGACGCTGTCGACGAGCATCGCGGTCGCGATGAGGGCCCGCCAGGCGGTGCGCGTGAGCCGGCTCGAGCTCGACGCGGCGAAGCAGACGTGAGTGTCCGAGATTCCAATTTTCTCGCGAGGAGCGGGGAAGGGGGACTGTGGGAGGGGCTGATGGGTGTGGGCGTGCACAGGCTCAAGACGGCGGGTCCGGCGAAGCAGGAGGCAGCGCGGCTGGAGGTGGAGAACGCGGAGGACGACCTTGTGCAGAAGACGGAGGTCGCGATCACGCTCATGAAGACCGTCTTGGAGAATGTGCGTCCCTTTTTTCCATGATCAACCCCCCACTCAGCTTTGCTGCAGCCCGAACCCTTGAAGGACCTGAACGAGCTAGCTAAGGCCCAGGTGCGTTCTTGCTCTTGAGCAATTTCCGGGCTGCGCTGACCCGTTATGCAGCTCATGTTCCACGCCACTGCCGCCGAGGCGCTTTCATCCGTCCAGGGGGAAATTGAGGAGCTCAGCGTCGCCGCCGAGGGCGAGTACCGGTTCGTCCCCGTTCTCTCGTCGCGAGATGGATGCCGCTTACCTCTTCCGCCGGACGCAGTAAATCGCGCGACCACTAGGTCGACCACGGAGTTACGCGCCTCGACATGGACCCGATTCTTCATCGTGATGATAGAACGATATGGCACGTGTGAACCTCCCCTTGTATCAACTCTTATGTGCAGGCTTGTCTCACGAAGCAGGATGTATGATACTACCTTGTATTGCTGTTATACAGTCTGGTGTTCATTCTCGCGTTTGGTGCCAGTATGACGGGCAGTGCTCCTCCCGGACGTGCCGACGCCGGTTGTTGGGAATGGAATCAGACATGTTTTGATCTGTTCCATCCTATCCGGAGTTTTCCTGACGGCTCTAACTACGTTTGTTACCACTCAGCTGAGGTGAACCAAGCAGTACTTGAAATTGCAATGATGTATGCTATATGAGAACGACGAACACACGACTGACACAAGGTACTAGAATGTCACCGAGTCGCAGGGATATCTGCGTACCTTGGTTATCGTTTGGGGTCTCAAGGAACCCAGTGGTGCTCTTCCGACGACCATGGATCCACTAGTAACGGGGCGGGCCTTACAGCCGAGGACGAGGCCAAGGGTACAGTGTCACCCCTTGAAGCTGGTGCCGCTGAGGTAGTACTACAAGGTTCAAGCAGATCACGCGATTTGCCGACGGAGCACAGCCCGGAGCCTGAAACTCGGCGCCGGCCGCGATACGTCTTGACTTCGTCCCCCAGCACTTCCTCACTACACTCTTTCTTTGGTCTTTCCGCCTACTAGAGCATTGCGCGGCACTGTCGCCCTGCTGTCCGGATCTATGCCGTATATTTGTCAGGCGCCGAGGGCCGTTCTGTCATGATTTCCTGCGGGATCAAGTTCTCAGCCATCTGGCGTCACAGTCAGTAAGTAGCTTCTCTTCCGCGTGGTCCACAATGCAGTACTCATTACTGCCCCGACGTCTCAGCAAATGTCAAGGCCTGTCAATAATTGGGCTGTGATAACAACTGCAATCACCCTTCTATTCCCACCAGTCACCGCCTGTGCTTTCTCTCAATCTGCCACGCGTCCCGTGCTGACGCTGCAAAGTCCTCGCCGTGACTACAATGCCTGTATAACACGAGCGAAACATAGAACACACGCCCACCTCCACGTCTACGATAATGATCGCAGAGAAATTTTCGGTCGCTCGGAGGTGGATTTTGTCTTGTCACCCAGAGATCACTGGCGCCAATCGGCCAGGAGCCTAGCACGCTTCTAGTAGCGATGATCATCCATGGTGCCCACAGTACTTAGGACATCTCCCTCGAGCTCCTCTGCCAGCCGGATCTTCCCCCCGGAGCAATCACCATGACCTCCTCCCTTCCCCAGATCCCTGCTTTGGACGACACATTCGGCGCCTTGGTAATTGGCACCTTCCTCGGCCTTATGTATGCGGTGCAGTAGCTTTCTTGCTGCGGCGCAGTGCTGACTTCGTAACCTCGCAGCCTGTATGGGATCTCGCTCAATCAGATATACGCATACTTCGGCTCCTATGCGAACGACAAGCTTGGGCTGAAGCTCCTAGTGCGCTTTCTCTCCCAAACTCTACTCCCGTTTCCCGCTGACAGAAGAAACAGGTGGCAACGATTCTGTAAGCCTTCGTTTACACGTCTCCCATGGACGTGTTCTGACCGTGCGCTCTGTAGTGTGCTCGAGACCTTGTACACGATCACCACAGCGCACATATGGTACGGCGATCTTGACATATCCGTGATACGCTCTCAGAACGATATCGCTTCAGCTACCACTACCTGATCATCAATTACTTCAACCCCGCGAACCTCGTTGTCAGTGTTTGGTGCGTACGTTCTCGCATAAGCGTTGTCGTCTGTACGCTGATGGCTAGTGCAGGTCCCTCAATGTGAGCGCCTTTTGTCACACACCCAACTTATGCTGAAACGAGCGTGAAGCTGATTCCCGTAGAAACTGTAAGCACTGCCCCGCTTCTTGCCAATTGTAAATTTCTCACAATCCGCGCTGGTTAGGGCCTGTTGGCGTTCGTGACACAATGGTGCGGTCATTCACTATCATGTATGCTGTTGTCCACCGACACTAATTGCCTCGGATGGAACTAGCTTCTACGCCCGGCGGCTGTTCCTGGGTGCGCTCCGGTCACACCTTTCCACCTACTCATTCTGAGCTCCTGCTAGTCGGCCGACAGTATTGGCCCATAGTCCTCATCGTGGTCAGTACACGTATGCCGCCCGTTCTCTGCCTCTCTCAAAAGCTCTCCTATCTAGATCGCGATCTTGCTTGTCGAGCTAGGTAACTCCGATTTGTCAATGGCTACGCCGATGTCGCTGATCCTATCGGCATCTTCGCAGGCTTCTATACAGGTATGACTCCGGTGGTCGTGCAGATTGCCGTATGGGGTTGCTGATGAACGCCCCAGCTGCCACCTATATCGCCTGGACGTCGGGATCATTCGCGATTTTGACCGACATTGAGGTGCGTTTTTTTCTGACGCGTCGAGCCACAGAAGCGCTGATACTGTGTGCAGTGGATGCTCACATGTGGTACCTCGTTAGCCTTGGCGGCCGATACTATCCTCGCGGGCATGCTGGTGAAGGTGCTACGAGACAGCCGCACTGGAATCACCAAGTACGCTCGTCTCCCCCGCACTCGACTTCCCTCCTTCCTGATAACCCGTATCGCAGGACTGACACGATGCTGAACGTGATCATCATGTACACCGTGAACACCGGTTCGTCTCGTTTCTTAAGGTGTCTCATCTGATATATCTAACTCTCGCATCGCCCAGGCTTGCTGACCAGGTGAGAGAATCGTCACGAGCACGGCGCCGGTCTCTTACCGCGGGGACCTTGGTTTTAAGCATCTTCGCACTCGTCTCTGTGGTCTTGGTATGTTCACTCGTTCCAGAGCACCCCTCGCTCGGCCTCACATCCGTCTCTGTATTCAGGCGGTCAAGTACCCACACAACCTGTGGAACGCCATAACCGGGTTCCCCAACATCCGGCGTGGGTGCTCACGCGCTTTGCTCGTCCAACCACATTGCTAACTCATCCGATCTCACAGTCTACTCCAACTGTATGCTCGCCGCGTACGTCGTACTCCATTCTCGCTCAGCCTTGAGCCCGCATTGACGCGGATGTTCCCAGCCTGAATGCGAGAAAGTCGCTCGTCGAGCGCGGGATGGGTGTACACACGTCGATCAGCGGCGCCCCGTCGCAGCCCTCCATATCACTTCGGGTATTCTCCTTCCAGAGGCGCGCCGTCGAGACGAAGAACGTCGATTCCAGCAACGGAGTAGGTCTGACCCGAACTCACATGAACCCTCCTGACCCAAGCTTATGTTTCACATAGGCTCAGCAAACCCAGGACGACGTCTTTCGCAACCGCTCCCTCCCGGCATTCAGTGCTGTCAAGTATGACCACTGATGGCGCCCTGTCATGGGATTCTGGGAATGTACGTATACCCTTTGGGACCTGTATGAACGTTTTTTTGTTTTTGTATCTTCTGTTTTACGCCCTGGAGGGCGGTGCCCTATGGTAGCAAGCGCTGTGCACTGCAATCTAGCTAGCGAGGAATGGATTGATGTAAATTATCGTTTGCGACGTTACGCTTTCAAATGCAGTGGGGGCGGATGCGAGAGTACCGACGATATGCGAGAAGTTCAGACTCCTGTTGCGCTCTAGCCTTTCGTGTTAGAAGTCGGCGGTTCGGACGAGGTCGGACGAGGGGGTAAAGGCAATCGATACGACGCGGTTGGTCCCTATGGGCACCGGGAGGCGAGTACAGACGGACGCGGGGGAGAACGAGGTTGTGGTGAAGGGCAAACGCGTGAGGCGAGTGCGGGACGAGGGACGATGGCTACTGTACCATTTCGAATTGATCGAACCGCCGTTTGGGGCGTGACGGAAAGTTTGGTCGGGTGGATTCGAACTTTGACCGGGCCGTCCGTGACGGCCCGGAAAGTTCGAACACATCATCGACTTTTGGGCACTTCAATGCCCAAACTGAGCGGGCGCCGACAAGCGCCCGCGAGACGGTTTCGACAGTGGGCCTTGTGAGCCGTGACTACCCCCGATATTTCGAACTTTTGGACCCTCCTGTGACGCGTGACGTTCGATTAATACGAAATGGTACAGTATCTACACGATGACTAAGCACAAGTAAGGTACGACCGAGCTTGCCATGCACGTGAGCAGATTCCAACATTTCGAGCTTCGTGTGCGAAGTCGCTGTGTGGTTGCTCGTCCTCGGAGTTGTGGATCTCTGTGAGAAACCGCCTGGGCCAAACATGACAAGGATCTCGAAGAAGCGAGGGTCCGCACATCAATGCACCAAGTGTGTCAGCGAAGCTAGTATCCGCGCCGCCGGGCCGACGCGGTTTCCACACCCAGACACGGTCGCCCACAAACCGTAAGCAGAACCTCGAGGCGTGCGCGCTGGCGACGGGCTTGCCCTCTGCCCCTCCCTCGTCCGCCGCGTCCGCCAGTGCCGCCACCCTCCCCTGGTCAAACCCGTCCCGATCCGTCTAAACTCTGTGTCCTGCGGAGTCAATGATATGGCTCGCCGCGGGCACAGCGCTGAGGGTGGATATGCGGGCGAGGAGTTCGACAAGATAAAACGGCCTCGCCTGGTCGTTCGGGCCCTCAGGTCTCTTCCCCCCATCGTCATCTCCACTCTCACCCACCGCGTCGCCATCCACCTCTCTACCCGCCGCTTGGACAAAATGGCGAGTGACGGTCTTGGTCGACATATTGTGGCCCGTAAGCCCGTCTTATTGGTCGTTCATTCAACTCAGATATCTGAGCCTTGATATCTAGCACAAGAGCTTGAAGCTATGATGGTCCCCACCAGCCGCGAAGATCTCTGCACAATGATCAAAAGACTACAAGACACAATCACCAGGCTTGAATCAGAGGTCGGGATTTTGAGGATGCACAATGAAGTCCTCAAGGAAGACAACACCGACTTGAGGGCCCAGCTAAAGGATGCCCGCAGCGAGATTCATCGTCTCCGCGGCGAGCCCTCCATGCCCCCCACTCCATCTAGACCTCTCCATGCTCTCGCTGTGAACCCCCCGATCAGCCAGCCTCACGGCCCACCTTTGAGGCAGTACTCGCTGCCTGTGTCGGGCAGCCAGGGCTGGAACGTGCCCTTTCCTTCCAACCCCGACCCGATTCCCTCCTCGCCGTTCGAGTGGCAGCACGCATCGAGCTCCGCCGCCGTGCCGTCCACCGGGTACCTCCAGCCAAGCGTCCACCGGTCTCGCGCGCAGTCTCACACCACTCCGGGACCGTCCAGTGTGTTGCCCCACGCGGGGTACGCGGCCTCGCCGATGTCGGGTCACGCAGTAATCCCCCCTGTCATCCTGGACTCGCCGCCTCGTCGTCACCGCGACCAGCAGCCCGCGGCGGCGTTGAACCAGACTCCCCCAAGTCACGGTCATACACTTACTCCCCCCGCACCCTCACGAATTAGGAAGCTTAGCAGTGAAATCGCCGCCGTGTTCATGGGGCCGAGCAGGGACAAGGACAAGGACAAGGGCAAGGACCACGACAGGCGTCGGGGGGTTTGATCTCGTCGCTCCCTGGCACCCGCGGTGCGCGCGCGTCACGGACGGCACTCTTCGCCGTCACTCGACGGCCTTCCTGCCCGTCTCGTGGTTCGTGAGAAGTTGCCCTGTTGTGTACAAATTCCTCTTTTTTCCCGCGTCCGTCCGCTTCGTCTTACTACCCTCCCGTATGCTGTCCATACTCCGCTCCACGCTGGTGTACTGAAACCAAGTTTCTCCGGTGGTGTTTTGTCAGACTTCGCTCTCCAGTCCTGCTTTGTCGTTGGCTCTCTCGTAGTGCGTGTTGTAATCCAACCAACGTTGCCCCAAGTCGCGCATAGTATCTCGCGGCAATCGCCGTGCAGTGCGCGTCGTGCTATCTTGAACCTCGTGTATGTTCGTGCGCCGCCACTCGTAGGGCTTCCCACAAAGTGGTCTCGAGTCCTCACCCGTGTGGACACTTGCGGTTTATGAAGCCCACGCCATAGGTTCGCGTGTCCCGCAGCGTGATCCGAGGAATACGGGGATCGTCCCGCATCGAGGACAGAGATAAACAGAGGTACATACGGCAGACTCTTCGCGTGGGACGAGCCAAGTGGACTGGAGAAGCCTCGCGTGGGCGGACCGACACCGCCGCCATGCGCCGGACCGGTAGCATGACACGCTGAGACACGCTGTCGCACTCGGATGTGAGTGGGAGAAAGAACAAGGGTGTGTACGTGGAGCGGAGTCGTACCCACATCGGCCCCAGGGTACGCCCGCGACTTCTCGGAGTCTCGGGTGTCGTCCTCGTGAATGAATGCCGGGGCCCAGACTAGACCTCGGCGTCGTGGCCGGTGTAATGCCGCCTGCGTGTGAGTGCATCACGAGTGCGTGAGTGACAGTGAAGATCTCGGTACGCGTTCTTGTGGGCGCGGGACGATGGAAAGACCTGAGCGGTGAGCGCGAAGAAAGAATGAAAGACGTGGGAACCTCGACGCACCTACAAATGAGACACGAATACGAGCGTCGATGCCGCCAGCAGACCGGCACGCCGTGGGCGGGCACAAACGAGGCTGTGTGAGCAGCGCGCGGTCTTCCCGGCGGCGATTGCGAAGATGTGCCCAGTTGGACGTGAGCCATGGACAGCCGAAGGCCCCGCTAAAGTTTGATATCTTTGGAACTCTAACGCGGCGCGCTCGGCGCGGGTCATAAGGTGTTCTGTATAGGTATAAGTTTTGTGCGCCGTGTTTCTATGATCACAGTGCGCATACGTCAAAACACACCGAAAGCGAGGATCGCGCTCTGCCCACAACAGCTGGATGCTAGTTCAAACGAATTTGCTTGCTACTGCATGCATGGGGCACGGAGCTCAATGAGATGGAAGCGAAAAGCATCGGTGAGTCGAAAGTGAGCCTCACAGACCGGCGAAGGACAGAAGGAAAGAGGCCGAACTCACGAAGAGCCGGTCGACTCGCACCGGGTCTGGCAAGATCCGAGAGTTTGCAACACGAGATTAGATTAGATGGAGAGTGGGGGTTAGGGGCAGAGCGTGGGCAGTGCGCGACAGATGTCTTCCTCGAGCTGTTCTCTCTGAAACCGCGCTCACCACCTGTGATGTCCTCCTCGCTGATGTCGTCGCCCACGTCCACACGCCGTAGGACGCAGCCCCAGAAAGGCGCGCACCAGCCACAGCGCGGCGCCTTCGAAAACGTATAAAGTCGCCCTAGCCCCATCCCAGTCCCTTGGCATCCCCGGATCCTTCTTTTCCTTCGTCCCGTCCCCCGTCCGCTCGCCCCGTCGCCCCTCCACTCCCTTCGCCTCACGACACACCATGTTCGCCTTATCCGCCCTCTCCGTCGCCCTCGCAGCCGCCGCGTCCGTCGCCGGCCTGCCGACCTTCGCCGACAAACGCGCCACAGCTAGCGCGACCCTCGCGCCTTCGTGCGACGGCCTCGGCTGGGGCGCATTCGACACCCAGGCGAACTTCACCGTCGCCGCGCTCTTCGTCGACAGCTCGAAGAACACGAACACGACCGGGCTCCCGCTCGTGCTCGGCCAGGCGGGCGCAACCTCCGGCGCGAGCTTCAAGGTGTTCTCGGTGCGTCTGCCCACTGCGACTCTGTCGATATATGCGCGCTGACGACACGCGCGGCGGACAGACGTTGGCGTCGTACCCCTTCGACCAGTACCCGTCCATCTCGATGGAGGCGGGCAGGCTGATCCCGACCGGGCCCAACGTCGCGCCCGCCGCGGGCATGTCCGTCCTCCCCGCGGCCCAGGTGTCGTTCATCTCGAGCAACTCGGTGGACCCCACCAAGGGTGCCCAGATCTACTGCGGTGTGGTGCGTGCTGTCTCTTTTTCTCCTGCTATTGCGTCCACGCCGTTCCAACCATTCACCCTGCTTCCTGCCGCCAATGCCGTACCCCTTCCCGTCTTCTCGCGCGCTCCGTCTGCTTCGAAGTGTACGTTTATATTGACGGCATGGTGTCGAACAGGCGAGCACAGACCCCGCCGGGGGCAGCACCGGCCACCCGCAGCTGGCGGTCAACGGCGACACGGACAACTTCTCGCTTTGCCTGGTCGGCACGCAGAACAACGTCGTGTACAAGCACGCGTCGGGCCAGCAGTACAACGACTCGTCGTGTGAGCCGGTCAGGCTGCAGATGATCTTCCCCATGTGAGGTTCCTTCGTCCACGCTCTCCCCGCGCTCTTCTCGGACTCCGCTTTCCGATCTGTCCCCACCCCACGGTCGTTCTCCCCTGCACCCTGCTTTACGAGACGGACTTGACATGACACTCCTGTACGGTTGACGTAGGAGTAGGAAAGGACATTCGCTCTCCGTACCACACTATCACACTGCTCGACGCTCTTCACACTTGCAATACACGGACACAGGACTTTCGGGCCCTCGAGTACTTTTATTATCTGCTACGTCTTGTAATATCGTGTCCTCGCCGTACACTTGCACTCTGGACTGTCGATCCGGCCAAAATGGATCTGTGGTCTTTTTGTTTGGAGCCCATTCTCAACCGACTCTGTCCTTGAGGTTTATTGCATTGTAGGAGAGTTATAAGCCATCTACGCCCAGTAATACATAGCTCCGGTCACATAAACGTCAAGACAAACGTCAAGAACGTCCAACAAATTTAAACGTTCAATCCAGCCCTTACTCTCTTCGGCACGCCGGCTGTCGATGCAGATATCCGACGGCACATCTCGGTCAACCGCGCCTTCGGGAAGTTTGCGTCTGCAACGACGAGGTTCACTAATACTATGCACTCGAACACTTTGTACGTTATGCCTACTATAGGGCCCTCAAAGCCAGGATCCAATAAAAAGCTAGGCCGGCCGGACGCGTGCTTACATAATTCGCGCATTGATGAGCTCGTGGCTTTCTCCGTCACCTCTTGCTACTACCCTCTCGCTGCACGACATACTACCACAGAGTCAGCTGCGACCCCGTTACAACGACGGCCGAAGCGGTTCTCAAATATGCCTCGCCTCCATGCTCGAGCCGTTCCGGACACAACCATCCTCCACCCGAAGGCATTGCCCCATGCGCGCTCCTCGCAACTGACGCCTAGGCGTAGATCTGGGCACTGGTGAGAGCGAGCGAGCCTCGAGGCGACGGACGGGAATGCATACATAAACCGTCCAAGAGTCTCGGCAACGGGTGGAGCTCCCTCCTGACTCCACGTCCTCTCCTTCGTCCTCCCCTCGTCCTGTTTCTCGCGCTTTTCCCTCGCCCAACACGACCATGCTCTCCTCGCTCTCCACGCTCGCCACCGTCGCCCTTGCCGCCTCCTCCGCGCTCGCCGCGCCCAGCTGGTCCTCCCGCGTCCGCGTGACGCCGTTCCGGCTCGCGGCGGACAACCTCGTCTCGGCGTGCGACGGCCTCGGCGGTGGCGCGTTCGACACCACGACCGCGAACGTCACCCTCGCCGCGTACTACGTCGACGAGGCGAAGAACGCGAACGCCACCGGCGTCCCGCTCGTCCTCGGTCCCGGGGGCGCGATCTCGGGCGCGTCGCTGCATGTGCTCATGGTGCGTCTTTCTCCTCTCTTGCGCGCAGTTTCGAACGTGGTGTGTGGGGAGAATGTGGGCGTGTGGGTGGGAGTGGGCAGGATTGAAGACGGAACCGGAGCTGACCGCAACGTGATAGACGTGGGCGTCGTACCCGTACGAGCAGTACTGGCCCGCGCTCCAGCTCAACGCCGGCCGGCTGCTCGCGATGGGCCCGAACGTGACCAACACCGCGGTGACGAACGGCTCGTCGCCGGCGTGGCTACAGACCGCAGACGCGGACCCGCGCAACGGTGCGCAGGTTTACTGTGGTGTGGTACGTCCGTTTTCTTCGTTCTGCGGAGTTCTTCAGGGTTCTGATTTGGCACTCTCCCTGCGCCCTCGCACCCGCTCGACAGGCGAACACGGACCCCGACGGGCACAGCACGGGCCACCCGCAGCTCGCGGTGAACGGTGTGGTGGACCAGTTCGCGTTGTGCGTGCGTGGGGCGTACAACGAAGTGATCTACAAGCCGTCGAACGCGAGCTCAGAGTACAACGCGACCGCGTGCGAGCCCGTCCGCGTCCAGATCGTTTTCTAGGCCCCGATCCCGATCCCTCCATTTCCTGCGCCACACGCCCGCACCCCACCCGAGGCTCCGTTGTGGCAAAGTACAGGACTTACGTTACTCATACGCATACATTCACCATCTCCGCCTGACCCCGCCATTGCTGGCCTCCCGCCTGCCTCCCACCTCCCCCTCCACCTCCACCTTCATGCCCTTACCCGGACTTCATACGCCTGCGATACGATATTTTCCGGCCACGCGCGCACATGCCGACCGTACTACTTACCCCGTCCCGGTGCTCGGCGCTCCCGAACGGGAGGCCTGGGCCCCGCGACTCTCCAATGGCATTAATCTTTCTTCAGAAGCCAGCAAGCCCAGCCCGTCCCTCTCGGAAGATGCAGACGCTCCGAGCGTCCGTCTCCGTCTCTTATCATCTCGAAAATGGGCGGCGTGGCCAGAACATGGATCGAGACCCGCATCGCGATCCGGACTGGCACAAGCGGCCCCGCGGCGGTTACGTAGTGCCAAACGCTGTCTGGGAGAGAGGGAGAGATGTACCATAAGCCGCCTACGCTGTTTGATGGCCAGAGGAAAGCGGGGTGTAAGATCATGATGGCGCCGAGCCAACAGGGATAGGTCACGCGGTTCGCCAGCGGGGCGCGGCCCAGTTGTTTGGAGAAACCCGCCGCAGGCTGCGTCGTGCAACACATCTTGGCTTCGTCCCCCACTGCACTTCCTCACTGCACTCCTTATTTGGCCTCTTTGCTTACCATCGCATTTCGCGACACCCTCGTTTGCCCTCCGGATCTATGTCGTGCATTTAACAGGCGCCGAGGGCCGAAGTTCTGTCATGATTTCCTGCGGGTTGCAGGCTGCCACGGGATCATGTTCTTAGCCATCTGGCATCACAGTCAGTACCTTCTCTTCCGCGTGGTCTACAACGAAAGACTCACTACAGCGCCGACGTCTCGGTAAATGTCAAGGCTTATCACGAAGTAAGCTGCGATAACAGCTGTAATCATGCTTCTATTCTCACCTATCATCGCCCACGCTTGCTCGTGACCTGCGTGTGGGCGACAGTGCAAAGCCCTCGCTGTGACCGCAATGCCTCCCTTGAAGAGCGAAAGCGGAACATAAGATCGCCCCCGGATGGTCGGCTGCTCACAGAGAGCACCGCCATGGTCAATACGTTCCTGGTACTAACCGCAGAAAAGCTTCCAGTCGCTCGGGTGTAGATTTCCCTTTAGTCACCCACAGATCATAGGCACCACTCGGCCAGGAACTAAGCACGCTTCTACGGTGATCACTCATGGCTCCCAAAGTATTTAAGACATTTACCTCCTCCTCTGCGAGTCAGATATTTTCCCCTGGAGCACTCACCATGGCCTCCCTTCCCCAGATCCCTGCTTTGGACGACACCTTCGGCGCCTTGGTCGTTGACACCTTCCTTGACCTTATGTATGTCGTGCAGTAGCCTACTCAATGTTGAGTGCTGACTTCATAACGCCGCAGCCTGTACGGGATCTCGCTCAATCAGATATACGCATACTTCGACTCCTATGCGAGCGAAAAACTTGGTCTGAAGCTCCTAGTGCGCTTTCTCTCCCAAACTCTACCCCCGTTTCCCGCTGACAGAAGAAACAGGTGGCAACGATTCTGTAAGCCTTCGTTTATACGTCTCCCATGGACGTGTTCTGACCGCACGCTCTGTAGTGTGCTCGAGACCTTGTACACGGTCACCACGGCCCACATATGGTACGGCGGTCTTGACATATCCGTGATACGCTCTAAGAACGGCATCACTTCAGCTACCACTACCTGGTCATTAATTACTTCAATCCCGCGAATCTCGTCGTCAGCGTTTGGCACGTACGTTCTCGCACAAACGTCGTCGTCTATACGCTAATGGCCAGAACAGGTCGCTCAACGTGAGCGTCTTCTACCGTCTGCAACCAATGTATGCTGAAACGAGTTGGGTCAAGTTGATCCCCGTAGAAACTGTAACTTGCCCTGATCCACTTCCTGCAGAGTGAACATCGCTCATAATCCGCACTGGTTAGGGTCTGTTGGCGTTCGTAACGCAATGGTGCGGTCATTCGGTACTATGCTGCTCACTGACACTAATCATTTCGCACGGCACCAGCTTCTACGCGCGGCATTCTACAGGTCCTTTGTTCCTTTTAAACACTCTCCCACCTAGATCGGTATCCTGCTTGTCGAGCTAGGTAACGCCGATCTGTCATTGACGGCGCCGATGTCGCTGATCCTACCGCCACTTTCGCAGGCTTCTATACAGGTATGACTCCGGTGGTCGTGCAGATTTCCGTATGGGGTTGCTGATGAACGCCCCAGCCGCCACCTATATCGCCTGGACGTCAGGATCATTCGCGATTTTGACCGACATTGAGGTGCGTTTTTTTTCCAACGCGTCGAGCTACAGAAGTGCTGATACCGTGTGCAGTGGATGCTCACATGTGGTACCTCGTTAGCCTTGGCGGCCGATACTATCCTCGCGGGCATGCTAGTGAAGGTGCTACGAGACAGCCGCACTGGTATCACCAAGTACGCTCGTCTTCCCCGGCGCACTCGACTTCCCTCCTTCCTGATAACCCGTATCGCAGGACTGACACGATGCTGAACGTGATCATCATGTACACCGTGAACACCGGTTCGTCTCGTTTCTTAAGGTGTCTCGTCTGATATGTCTAACTCTCGCATCGCCCAGGCTTGCTGACCAGGTGAGAGAATCATCACGAGCACGGCGCCGGTCTCTTACCGCGGAGGCCTTGGTTTTAAGCATCTTCGCGCTTGCCTCTGTGGTCTTGGTACGTTCAATCGTTCCAGATCTCCTCTCATTCGGCCTCACATCCGTCTCCGTATTCAGGCGGTCAAGTACCCACACAACCTGTGGAACGCGATAACCGGGTTCCCCAACATCCGGCGTGGGTGCTCACGCGCTTTGCTCGTCCAAGCACATTGCTAACTCATCCGATCTCACAGTCTACTCCAACTGTATGCTCGCCGCGTACGTCGTGCTCCATTCTCGCTCAGCCTTGAGCTCGCATTGACGCGGATGTGCCCAGCTTGAACGCGAGAAAGTCGCTCGCCGAGCGCGGGATGGGTGTACACACGTTGATCAGCGGCGCCCCGTCGCAGTTCCCGATGTCCCTTCGTGGAATCCCCTTTCTGAGGCGCAGTGTCGGGACGAAGACCGTCGACTCAAGCATCGGGGTAGGTTTGGCTTGATCTTGCAGAAACGAACCCTGATCCAAGCTTGCGTCCATGTAGGCTCAGCAAGCGCAGTATTCCGTGTTCGGAAACCGCTCCCTGCCGAAGGGCGGCGACGACGTCAGCCTCGAAGAGGGAGTCAGGACTCCGAGCCACCCGACGTTCAGTGTTGTGAAGTATGAGAACTGAGAGTGCAGCGCCACGTGAATGTACTTTGTCGTGTATACCATTTGGAACCTATAGTCTGTATGAATTTAAGTTATTGTGCGCGATGTTGCACCCCCAAATTGGTATGGATGAAACTTGTGAGTTCGGAGCTTGCTCCGGCGCTTGCTCCGCCGGGCAGGGCGGCCAGAGCGCTAAAAGGTTTATCGGAGCTGAGAAAGAATGGTTCGGAACTTCAAATGCAGCCGCGCCGCCATGTCGGAGATCGCCGAAGCTTGCTGCGCGCAGCGCGCTGGCACATTTTTCGACTTCCTGAGCTCGGACCTCGCGCGCGATAATCCTGAGAGCCAGTGTATGCATGCGTTGGACCATCAGACGAACTGAAAGACTTCGCAAGTTCGCGATGAGAACAGGTATGCACCGCAGCTCAATCCGCAATACTCCCTGATTCGATGTTTGGTTGTCGATAGCACCCGCTCCGACTCTTCTCCGGCAGTGACGATGCATTGAGGATATTGACGTACCAAACGGTGACTCTCGTGGGTAATAACGCAGTTACCTTCCTGTTCTTGCTGACTGGTTTCGCAGGCATGGCGTTCACGCGTCTAGCTGGCTGTTTCCCCGCACCATGCGAACTCGATTCAAGCTGAGACACCCACGCTTCCCAGCTCCATCTTCAACGTTCAAACATTGAAGCTGTTCCCTGTTCCCTTCCGGGGCTTGACTCTATCTCCTCGGACATTCGAGTCGATGATGTCACAGGGGAGTGGGCGTGGCCGCACTGCGGTCGCTCGCCGGGACAGCGGCATCGACCCCACGACCCGTCCGGTTCCAACCTTGGGAGAACGCTCGCTGCGACGTCGTAGTGGATATCAGTTCTGATATGAATCTACGGGTGTTCTTCCGTGCTGCGACAGCTAACTTTGCCGGCCGACTCAGCCGCCCAGATGACCCTGCGTCCGGAGCGCTCGGGCATCGGTATGTCGAACAGGCTACCATTCCTCACGCCGGACGCTCACCATACCTTTTCTAGCCGTCGTCTCAAGCTTGCTGCTTAACTCCTCGGGGAGATATACAGTGCTGCGAAGCCTTGATTAAGCTCGATGGTGACCGGTCAGGGGCGCAAGAGAAGACGAACCTTGCAGCGCCCCGGCGGGGTCGGTCCCGCGCTGCGTGGCAAGGCTCTCTCTCTCAATCAACGAGCCCTAGATACGCAACACACGCCAAGGTCCTGTGACTCGCGACCGCTCGCGGCGCGCAAATGTTTCGATACGCATTGGAAGCCTCTGAGAGGTTCGCCAGCAAGCATTCGCGTGCGAACCGAGGTCTTGCAGCCAACGCACACGGCACCTTCATCAGATGGGACGATCACGAATTTGTCCTCCGCGCGGATGCCGCGGAACTCCCGAGCGACAATACGAAGCGCAACGCGGGCCAACGCCGCCCGAGGTTGACGAAGATTGTCGAAGAGAGCGAGCGTCTGCCAGATTTCGGGCGGAGGTGTAACTCGTCGGGCGACAGGTGCGCAAAGCTCGGGCGGAGGTACTGGTATATAGCAGCCCGCGCCGATGAGGACGAACTTGTGGGTCCGTTGAGGTGAGTATGTCCACTTTCGCTTTCACTTCCAGCTGGACGCTCACGCGTAGCGCACAGGTTCTCGGCTTTTCCCGGCGCCTGAGGACCGCGTGTTCCCACAACCAGATCGCTCTCGGCTGCACATTACGGCGCCGCTGTCTTGTTGCGCCATCTTTCATGCCTTCCGCATGGGGTCTCAGGCTCAGTCTGAACAACGTGCTAATTATATTTCAAAGCTTGCAGAAGCAGGTCTCGCACGTATACGCGTACCTGACTTCAAGCTCCCTTCGCTGAAGCCGCTTCGGTCCGCCCGAGTATCCAGCGCAGGTTTGTAGTACGCCTCAAATAAACCGTTCCCTCGGTAACTGTGCGGATTTAACCCGCCAGGTTCCACAATAATCAATCCCTGCCCCCTTGGATCGGTCTTCTCAAATTCAGTCCCGTTGCCACTGGCGGCATTCCCCACTTAGCAGTGCGGTCGCGCCGCACTCTGAGCGACGTTCCTCCACCGAGGTCTTCTATCATCGACCGCGCCCTATGCCAAGGGCCTTACGCGGCGCGCGGGGAGAGAAGTCTGGAGGGTATGCGTGGTCGTCCACAAGATGGCGCCGTCCTCGCACCGCCGAAACACCCTCGGTAAGTACCCGAGCCTGAAGTCTTCTCAGGGCGGAGTGACGCCCGCTCGCCCGCTCCTCCGTACATAAGCTTTCTCTCCGCACATACTCGGACTTCGCTTCCCCGCCACTCCCCGCAGGCCCCTCCACTCCTTTGCCCACAATGTCAAGTACCGCTATCCCGCCCCTGGACAACACCTACGGCTCTGTGCTCATCGGAACCTGCCTCGGGCTTATGTACGTACTCCGCGTTCTACGCGAGAAGAGTATCGCGAACTGAATGGATCTTCGCGTACGACGACGGCAGCCTCTACGGCGTCACGCTTCTTCAGTCGTACCGATACTTCCAGCTGTTCCCCGCGGACCGCCCGTTCCTCAAAATGCTGGTACGTAGCTATATGCCCACACGGACTTCGCTCCGAACTCATCTCGGCTCTGTTTCGCAGGTTGTAGCTATGCTGTGCGTACCTATGGGGACTTGGAAGCTCGCTTCGCTGATCCGACTTGACTGTGCGCGCTAGCATCCTTGAGACACTGTACACGGTGTTGAGCATGCACATATGGTGAGTCGAATGGGCTTCCCTTCGGCGTGTTCGTGTTCACCATATTCGCTTGCAGTTATTGGTCCTTGGTCACAAACTACGCCAATCCGCAGGCGTTGTTCACCGGTCGCAGTGTTTGGTGAGGAGAACTCACTTTTTCATCGGCTAATCGTCAATCTCACGAGTCTTGCGCACAGGTCACTTGCCGTTAGTATTCATTCACACCACATGCCCACCTATTGACAGTATATTACCATTCTCTTCAGTTCCTCCCTCTAGCGTCGGTACGTGCCCCACTGGCGAGCGCTTTATGATTGCAGCTGACAGTGTTTCCAGGGTCTCCTCATGATGACCAGCCAGATGTACGCATTCCGTCTGCCGTATACTCACCCTGTACTGAACTGCATTCAGTTTCTTCCTACGGCGGATCATAATCGGTCAGTAGCTCTCTTAATCTTCAGTAGGTGTGGTTTTGCTAATCTCTAGAACGCCTAGTCGGACGCAAGTACTGGCCATGCGCAGGTGTAGCGGTTAGTCGAATCACCTATAGTACCTGCCGTTGTGAAGCTGATTCCGTTATCCCAGATTATGCTGATCATCACGCAAGTCTGTCAGTGTCTTTTCACCCCGCGCCCAGTTTTTCACGTCCACTGAACTTCTCCGATCGCCACAATCCACAGCGTTCGAATCCCGTAAGCTCCCTTCTGTCGCTGCATAAAATCTTTCATTGATCAAGTCCCAGTTGCAACCCAGAGAGCGTACGTCAAGGGGTTTCCAGTGTACCATGCTCCCATTGACTCACGCTGTATGCATGTCCATAGTTTCACGCTTGATGTCAGTAACGTCCACGAGATCTTTGTGCGTTCGTATTCTGTCCCCTCTCCAATGCCGTTCCGCTCATGATAATTACAGGGCCCCAGCTCTACTGGCGCTGTGTTCGCTCTGGCCGCCGACCTGATCATCACTGGGACGTTGATCCTCTCACTATGGCAGAGCAAGACCGGCTTTAGCCAGTACGTGCCAACTTCTACCTGATGCGAAAGGTACGGTATTCTAAGCTGACTTCCGCTCAGGACGAACACTCTGCTGAACAAGCTTATATTGTACTCCGTTAACACCGGTAATTGCATATTGGTTCCCTGGATTTTGGATTTGGCTCAGTATTTGTTCCAGGTCTGATTGCTGGGTCAGTGGCCTCGAGGAAAGGCAGAAAGTAGAGCTCACTGACGTACTTCTCTCCCATTATAGCGCGATCAACGTCATCTCAGTAATTCTAGCCTTCCGGTTTCAGCAGACGCTGCTCACCTTCGCGCCTGGTATCATCTGCGTGCGCTGTGAGTTCGGTCGACTCCTTCTGCGCCACGTGTTCTTACCTCTCTGCCGCTCGTTCGCAGTCTACGCAGTCTCGATGATGGCCGCGTACGTCTTTCCTCCATCTTCGCGTACACCTTCTGCTCACAGGTTTGCGTACCGCCAGTCTCAACACCCGCGCATCCCTCAAGGGCCGTGGTCGTAGCACCAACGGGACCTCAAACGGTGCTAGCGGCCTCGAGATGAACACCCCGGTAAACATCAAGCTCCAGTCCCGTCCCCAGGTGCAGAATATCGACGTCAGCGTCAACGTCGAAGAGCACAGCGACATGCACAAGCAGGTGAGCCCGCCTGTTCTTTTTGCCCGAACCCCTCGCTAACGCCCAAGTCCAGCCGGTCCAGAGCGACGGCGTGTCGGACGACTTCGACGAGACGCGCAAGGTGCAGCACGGTCGCTTCAACGCGGTTTGAGAGTTGACTCGTCGCCCGGGGCCAGTGCCTGTAGAAAAGGCTCCACCGCGCGCGGGCCCGTCGCAGCAGGTCCGCTGGCGTCTCCATGAGGGCTGCTGCGCACTACGAGCACACACATAGAGATCTTCGAATTGCGCCCTCGGCGGCCGTTTCCTGTACGTAGTCTTTTGGGATGGCCGCGGAAGCATATGCGCGTCGCGCTCTACTCAGCAAGCAAAGTTCCGCGCGGAGACTTCCCATATGACGACCTCGTCAAGCTGCCCTGCCGCCCTCGCATAACGCGACTCAGGATACGATCATCCCGTTTTTCCCGCACCCGCGATGGGCGCGAGACTACGGAGATTTCCGCCTCGTGCCGCACGGTCGTGTTCTACATTAACAGGCCTCCAGCACCGACGCCGCGCTCTGGGGCTCGATGCGCGCAAGTGGAAACCGGAACCTTGGCTCGCGCCGGTGCCATGCCGTCCCTCAGCTGGCTCACTGCTCTCCTGGAACTCGACCACGGTCATCTTCCCGACTACGGTTGAGCAATCCCGAGCTGCTGCTCAGTTGACCATAAGGCCCGTCACCCGCGTCACCAAAACACGAAAAGGCGCGGAGAAAGTCATTCGCAAGTGAATTTTATGAGATGTGAGAAAAGGCGACCGAAAAGACACATATTTGACAGATTATCGGGATACTCCAGGCAAAACGCCTTCGAAAGCTGTCTTTTCCTTGTCTTTTCCCGCCTTTTTTCTCGCGCACAAAATCAGCGCCGGGAAATTCACTTGCGAGTGACGTTTTCAGCGCCTTTTCATATACCAAAAACTGGGCGGTGCACGTTGTGAGAGGTCAAATGCCTGCCACATTGAGGGTGCTTGCAATTGGGAACGTGCCTGGCGCCAATGGCACTGCCTCGCCCAAGCCTTGCCCTCATTTTCTCCTCTTGACCACTATGACCTTCCACCAGCAGCTTCACCCGGAGTTCCAGCTGAATCCATAACGCTAGGCGTGTTGCGAAAAAAGTTCAGCATAGTCCATTACAGCGGAGACCGAATTTGGGCACGCGGAGGGAGGCCGAGATCAGTAGTATCGTCCTCCCACCCAAGGTCGCCGCTTGACCACGGCTGACACTGGCTGACAGCGGCCCAACCGGTACGCCCAAATACAGTCTCCGCTTGAACGGGCTATGCTGAACCTTTTTCGAAACACGCCTAGCGTTATGGATTCAGCTGTCAGCTTGCTGACTTCAGTGTTCTCCTCTATGTTCGAGAGCGAAGCACAGCAAGAGACCTCGGTCCTCAACTCGTGCGATCATTGAGTGCGAGTACACCTTGAGTACACCGCTGCGCGTTCAACCCTCCATCACCGGCACCACCGCTCACCAGCACCCCGGAAGCTCCCCCTCAACCAAGCACCTGAGAAGCCCCTTCTGTCGATTTTGAAGCACTGTGGTATCACAGCTCACCTGTGCTGCGATCTTTGCTCCTCGTCGCCGTCAAACCTTCCGACTGGGATCACACCAACTTCAAGCTTCTTCACTTTCAACCCCTCCCAATCTGTCTATCAGCTGCACAGAGTAGCGCGGGCCTGGGTGAAATCAGTGGGCCTCCAGCGCCAGTGTCTGCGCGCCGGCCTCGGTACGGTCCCTGCAATCAGCGCTAAAGCAATTCCATCACCGAGGTACGTGATGTGTCGCTGTATCGTAATATGCTCATATATAGCTGCGCGATCTCGCTTTCACCCCGCTCCTCTTCCCCTCTCGCTTCTTCTTCTATGTCCGGTCCTACATCCCCCGTACTGCCCGCTCTTGACAACACCTATGGCTCGGTGCTGATCGGCACCTTCTTGGGTCTTTTGTGAGTGACTGTCTAACTCACGCGCAGACGTGCTCACGAGGTCATTTCATTCAATAGACTTTACGGTGTGACTTTAAACCAGGCTTATCGGTACTTCGGCCTCTTCCCTGCAGACAGAGTCTTTCTCAAGTCGTTGGTACGTGCGCGACCCAGTCTCCATTGTCTCATAACCGGCTCATCCCTCTGTTTTCAGGTTGTGACAGCCGTGTTCGTTTATAACCCCATACGCGATCGCCACTCATATTGACCGACGAGTCCAGTGTTATCGAGACATTCTTCACGATCTTGACCATCCATGTCTGGTGAGTAACGACGCTGATGATGCCAACAAGGTTGTAGATAATGCCTCCAGCTACTTCTCTTTGGTATCAAACTACTTCAATCCCGCGGCGCTCTTCGGTGGGCACGGTGTATGGTACGATCCCTTCCTTTCTTTGCTTGACCCTGTTCTACAAATATTTCCATCCAGGTCGTTGGACGTAAGCGTGATATATATATCAAAGCTGCCTATGCAAACTCATACTGTGGCTTTTGGAAGCTTTTACCACTTACATCTGTGAGTAAAGTCTCCAAGGAGTCTCTGTCTCTAGAGTAAATCTCATCTGCACGCTGCGGCAGGGTGTCCTGATGGCCACGAGTCAAATGTGAACTCGGTTTTTAACAGATCTTGCATTCGCAGTACTGAATTGGTCGCAATTTCTCCGCAGCTTCTTCGTCCGACGTGTTGTCATTGGTGCGAGCTTATGATCCGCTACCTTGTTCCGTGCCGCATGACTGATTTGACACTACAGTGGGGTACCGTTACAGAATGGTAGCCATTTTGGCAGTGCGTATCATTCTCAACAACAGTATAGATGAATGCTCATATTACATCTCACTAGCTCGTGCTTATCGCGGGAGAGTTCGGTATGCCATTACATACCAAGATACCCAGTTCAGCTAACCGAGAACCTTCGTTACCGAAGCATTTCTTTGTGGTGCGTCCACAGACAATATCCACCATGCATCACCAACCTGAAGAAGCCTCAGTTGCGACCCAGCGCGCGTGCGTCTTCTTCCCAATATATGAACACTGCCTCCGATGCTGAAAATGAGACGCGAACCTACCAGCTTCACGCTGCCATTGTCCGAGCTCCACGAAATATCCGTAAGTGCTTATCGTGCAGAAATACACCCATTTCTCATGCCGGATCTATAGTGGCCAAACTCTGCTGGCGCTGTCTTGGCGCTCACCGCGGACCTTCTCCTCACTGGCACTCTGATCGTCTCATTACGTGAGAGCCGGACCGGCTTCGAGCAGTCAGTCCATATTTTGAATACTCTGAAGCCTCTCAATCTCATTAGGACGCAGTACGGACTCCATCCTGTCTCTTCTTATTACATACACTCTCAACACTGGTAGGTTGCACTGCCGTTTACGCTGGTTTGTGAGCTTACGCATCCCTGGCCAATCAGGACTAATCGCCGGGTTTGTACTCAACACACGTACACAATGCACATACCATTGATCGTTGCCATATTTCAGAGCGATCAACATTGTAGCCGTCATTCTGGTATGTTCCATTTGCGCCTCGATATACCAGACACTGACAGTACTTGTCACAGTCACTGGTCGAATCAAGTAACCTGGTATATTTCGCTCCGGGGATCGTCAGCGTCAGGTGTACGTTCCGCGTCGTAATTCTCCGTCTTGGCTCTGATTAACTGCTGCCATGACTCTAGTCTACTCGGTGTCCATGCTGTCTGCGTGAGTATCAATTCTGAAGCCATATTCCATCGATATCAAACATTGACTTCCACAGCCTAAATACGCGCGAGTCTCTCGCAGGTCGGGGTCGCAGCGAAGCGAAGCCTCCGTCCGACGTCACCGAGAGCCGCATCAACACCGCTCAAGGCCATATGAAGCTAAACTCCGGAGAACACGGGTACGTTTCATACGCGAACGGAGATGTCGAGCTGCACCATATTTCAAAGGGCTGTGGAACTTCGGTCTGCACTTTGTTTCCTCCACGGTCCTATTATACCCTAGCGGCTGATGTGTCACCTCTAGGAGTTCTCGATGGCACCTTAGAATTCAGCTTTCGTGTGTCTTGTCTTCTTTGAGCTGTCAGAAGTGCGGTCAGGACAAAGCTTGTATCATTATTTTTATCGATTGGTGTTGGAGACGAGCTGGTTCCTCAGACGGTGCGCGCGTGAGACGACTCAGAGTTCCGGCTCCGACGGCCCGGGATCACCACAGTTGCAGCGCCTAAGCGGTCGACGCGTCCTGCTCGTCGACGTCCATGTTCGACGACAACCCACGCGACCGCAAGTGCCATGTCTGCACCGACTGACGCTGCAGACTCTTCCCCAGCGGTGCGGCGCAGCACGCGAGCCCCCGCAAAGGCCCCAAACAAGCTCCCTGCTCATGTCGTTGCTCATGTCGTCAGTACGAGCAGTGCTGCGGCAGACTCGCCCACCGCTTCGCCGCGGAAGCGCAAGACGCGCGAGTCAGAGCAGAGCGGGGAGGAGAAGCTGGAGGATCTGCTCACAAGTTCAAAGAGCAAGTTGACCAACCTGGACATCAGCGTAAGTTTTCCGATCTGTTCCCCTTCACGCCCAAGTGAACTGATACTCCCATTCCCGCGACAGGACATTGTAAACTACGCGAACTTCCTGGAGCTGTCACCCGAGACCCAACAACGCCTCTGTTCCATGCTCCCTTCCACTGCTTTTTTGACCTACGTTCACTCAGTCTCCTCAACTCACCCCGACGCTCCTTCTCCTCAGCCCACCTCTGATACAGAGGCAATGGACGTCGACCCCGTTCCGCCCCCACAAGAGGAGGAGCGCTCACCCGCAACGCTCGACCCAGCGGTACTCACATCACCTTTCTTTCTGTCTGCCGCACATACCTTTCAAGATCACCTTTTCTCCTCCTGGTTAGGAAAGAAGGCTGCAAGCGATCTCGAGCGATTCCTTGCGGGTGCTCGTGCGGGCACACTGAGTGCGGACTGGAAGGACGAAGTGTGGGCACGCGATCATGCTGCGCCCTCTAAACCCAAAAGGTCTTTTATGAAACCAGCCCCTATGAATGTAGACTCACTCACGCTCACATTCGCAGGAAACAGAAGGGACCACTGGACCTCGCTGCGCTCGCGAAGCGCGGGTTTCTCCAAGTGGGAGACGTGCTTGCGTACCGGCGAACTTTTCCCTCGCTCGGCGTCACCGTTGAGAAAGACCTGCTCGTAAGCCTCCCATGACAAATTCATTGTTTCCCTTCCCCATCTCACGCGGATGTCCGCCTCGTAGGTCGACACCGTCCACCCTACGACGCATGCGCTCTGCCTCTTACTCTCCCCAGGCACCACACGCGCGCTCCCCGCGCCGCTCCTCCTCACACCCACGTACGACGACAAAACGCTCCTCGAGCTCGCCGACGTCACAGACGTCATCGCGCTCGAGCGCGGCCTCCTCGATGTCGACGCCCGTGTCTCGCACGCCGCCAAGATGGCCGCCGACCGCGCGCCGTTCCCCGCCCTGACCTCACCCCCCTCCGGCTTTGCCCCCGGTCCCGCGTTCGCCCTCCCTGGGTCCGCCCGCCATGCCGGCGCCACCACTCATGCGGAAGACGCGGTGCGCGCGGCTGAAGCGGAGATGAAGGCGTCGATCGCGACTCGCGCGTGGAAGGCGTTCACCGTCTACCGCCGGAGCTCCGACTCATCCTCGGCGGCGAGCGCAATGGAAGGCGTGGAGATCCCCCCGGAGCTTGCGCTCGAGATGGGACTACTCGGGGATGGAACTGGGAACGATCGTGGGGGGCGGGGGCGTGTCGCGACGCTGTTCTACTTGCGCGGATGCTGTGCTGGGGGCTCGTAAGGGAAGGGGCTCGGGTATGTTTGCTGTTCGTACTGCTTTATCTTGATTTGAGAGTGGTGCATCGTAGACCTTTGAATCATGCGTGCCGTTTCTTGCGTGGTTCGGTTAGAGTAACGTTCCAGCTTCGACTGCCACCCATCTCCAATAGTAGTGACGGTCAGAGTGGGCGATTACGAGGCGATTCTCGGATGATTCAACGGCGATTATTGGACTAGTTATCGGCCGATCAAAGCTCTTTATCACTCCCATAATTGCCTTGAGCTCTGGCCGTACCACGATCTGTCCTCCTACGCCGGTGAGGGGCTCTGGAAAAAATCCGAGAGTCTGTAAAAGAGATTAGATTAGATGGAAAGTCGGGGTTAGGGGCAGTGGTGTACCTCGAGCGGTTTGACCGCGCTCCCCGTCCGTGATGCCCTGACCTGACCTGCCCTCCTCGCTCATGTCACCGACCATGTCCACACACCTCAGGAAGCAGCCCCCAACAAGACGCGGGGCTTTTGGAAGACGTATAAAGTTGCCCTACCAGCCCACCCCCGTCTCTCGATATCCTCCCGGATCCTTTCTTCTGTGTTCTCCCCCCCTTCCCCCCTTGCCTCACGACACACCATTTTCGCCTTCTCAGCCCCCGCCGGTTCCCTCGCTGCCGCTGCCTCCGTCTTTGCTCTCCCACCTTCGCCGACAAGCGCACCACCACCCGTGCGACGGCCTCGGCTGGGGCGCGTTCCACACCCAGGCGAACTTCACCGTCGCCTCACTCCTCGTAGACGGCTCAAAGAACACGAACACGGCCGGACTCCCGCTCGTGCGGGCGCGATTCCAGCGCGAGCTTCAAGTTGTTCTCGGTGCGTCTGCCTATTGCGAGTCTGTCGATGTATGCGCACTGACGACGCGCGCAGCAGACAGACATTGGCGTCGTATCCTTTCGACCAGTATCCGACCACCTCGATGGCGGTGGGCAGGCCGCTCACGACCGGGCCCAGCGTCGCGCCCGCAGCGGGCATGTCCCTTCTCCTCGCGGCGGAGGTCTCTTTTATCTCGAGCAACTCGCCAAGGGTGCCCAGATCAACTGCGGTGTGGTGCGTGCAGTCTCTTTGTTTTGCTATTGCGTCCGTGCCCTTCCATCCATCCTGCCGCCGCTGCCGTGCATCAGCACGTTCCGGTGTAGTGCTAACGGCACTCTCTTTCCGCCTCTATATTGACGGCATGGCATGGAGCGGGCGAACACGGACCCCCGCCAGGGGCAGCAATGGGCACCCTTTGCTGGCTATCAACGGCGACGCGAGCTCTGCGTTTTAGGCATACAGAGCAACGTCATGTACAGTCTGGTGCCGGGCCAGCTATACAACGACTGGTCGATTTTTTTGTATTGTGCTTCAGAGAATGATACAATGCACCAAGCCACGGCCGTACGGCCGCACTCAGGACTGTCGATCAGCTGCTGCTTTATGTTCGTGACGCTGTGGCAGGCCCATCCCACAAAGACACAATGGGATCGGAGTTGCCATGACTATCCTAAGAGCGGGGAGCTCCGGCTCCGGTGGTCCGAAACCACCGCACTCCCGAGTCCGAGACAAACGGCGTACGCGTCGTGCTCGTCCCCGTACGCGTCTACCCATGTTCAGATCGCAAGTGCCGCGTGCGGAGGAGCGCCTCTTCGAACGCGTCCGGGTTGCGCTCGTAGAGGCCGGGGATGTCCGCGGCGTTCACCCACCGCCTGGGTTGGAAGAGCACCTGGGTGTGTTGGGGCGTGAGGCCCACGGTGCGCAGCGTGCGGCAGCGGCGCTCGAGGAGGTGCAGGTAGCGGAGCGTCTGCACCGGGCTGGGGAGCACCATGGAGGTGTGGGCGCTGGCTTCGTTGAAGAAGAGGCCGCGCAGCCTCTCGAAGCCCGCGATGTAGTCCGCGAAGGTGGAGAAGAAGCTCTGCGCAGAGCGTCGGTTGATGAGCCACCGACGGGTTGCGCGGAGCGGGGGAGGACACCGCTCACCTGGTCCATCGGTGGTCCGTGCACCATGTTCACGCCCAGAGTGACGAGGCCAGGGAGCGACTTTCGTGCGACCGCGAGAGCACCGGTGATGTCGGCCGCGGTGGCGAAGGTGCGGGTGCGAAAAGTGACGGACAGGCACTCCGCGGGCGTTTCGGCGTCGGCGAGGCTCCGCAGCGCTGCCTCGAACTGCTCCCGACTTTCGTTGCTGTCCAGTATGCAGACAATGGACACGAACACCACCGACCGCCCCGTAACGTGCGTCCGCACGACCCAGGGCACCGCGCGGATCCCTTTCAAGAGAGGGAGCGCGGTCGAGGCCAGAACGCCGTCTGAAGGAGTAACGTCCAAAACGCAGAGACTGTGGATAGAGGTCTGCTCTTCGAGGAACGCCGTAAAATCGTGATCCCAGATGCCACTATATCCGAGCTCGCCGAGACGGAAGGGCGCACCGCGAAGGATATTGCCCGGGATATGAGCGATCGACATGTGGGTTATGTTCGGAAGATTGGCGACGGCGCGCTTGAAGAGGGTGAGGAAGTCGGACGGGAGCTCTTGGCAGGCAGTGAAGTCGAGGGTGAAGTACTTGACGTGACTGCCGTAGTCAGGTCGCTTGCAGAGGGTTTCAAGACACTTTGCGGCAACGGTGGGTGACCTGAAAAACAAGAACTTGTACAGGGCAGTGACGGAAATCTCTGCGCACGTCTTGCTCGCGCAGCAGAGCGTGACTAGAGCCGATCCACTGGTGAAAGAGGCAATTTCCGAGATGAGTTCTAAAGGGAGACGGGCTAGAAAGCAAGATAAATCCTAGGCTTGTGCACGAGGAAGAAATAAAATACCCTTTAAAACGGCCTCGTAGCCGGCGGGGTGGTTGGGGATCGGCGAAGCAATGTCACCAGAGACCAGCGAATGAGAGCGCGGGGTAGGTGTGGGGATAAGTACCGCCGAAGCTGCCTTGCGCTTACGAGCTTTGGGGCGTGCCATAGTGGTGGTGATAAGAGAGTGTGTGAGATGAGGATCCGAGAAGCGCGTTCGCCACTGAACTTATACCAGTGACTTTGGAAGATTAGATAATCTGGTTGGAATGGACGGAGAGGCACGCCAAGGGCACGCGATACCTACGAGTTCCGACAACACCAAGTCGGTCTAACCTCTCATGCTCATTGTCCACTGTTTTAACCGGTCGGAGTATCCATTGTTTCTTTGGCGTGCATTTGTGCATTGTTGGCTTCATCAATCACGTCTTTCGGCCCCGGTAGTATTCGGTGTTTGAATCAGGAGTGGGTGACGCGAGGAGCACGCAGGTGATGCGGAGGAGAACAAAGGCAGAGCGCGCGTATTGCAGCGTGGATTGTGTCGGGCTGCAGACATGCAATGAGACATAACACGTATCTCTGTAGGTAGCTCCAGGAAGTAGTTGGCAATGTCCTGAAATGGGAACGGTCACATAAGTTCACTGCTCGTACTTGGGCGCGGAAGTTAGGGAGCCAGAGAGCTCACGCCAATGTCCAAGTTCGTCAACATGATACCTTAGCTAATAAAAAAGTCGTGCGATATGACCGGCGCATTTTTCGCCATCGTGAGGGAGAGGTGACAGTTGTTCACTCACTCAAACATGGACGTTGACGAGCAAGACGCGGAGACCGTGTAGGCGCTGGCATCGACTCCGGCACATGATTTCGGACCCCTGGTCTCAGAACAACAAACAATCGGCTTTAAAACAGTGTACAAGGCTAGTCATGAAAACTCTCGTCCCGTTTTGGCTTTTTTACAAGGCTACAGCCTCACGACCCATGAGTAGAAAGAAACAGACAGTCCAGAGAACGGCGTGCGTACTACGGCCCTGGCTGAGCATAGAGACTTAGGGCCTGTTCGGTAACCCGACACCGGTCGCGTACGACCGCCATTTGCCCGCGGGAACCCGCGGGAACAAACACCGCTCTCAGCGATTACGACCGCTCTCTGGCGCTTGTGGGCTGTTTCTGGCAGGTAATACCGGTATTACGCGACCGGTGTCAAGTTACCGAACAGGCCCTAAGTTAGAAGATACATTGGAGTATTCTTTGAAGCACAAACGTGGTGGTACAGCCGCAGCCCCCGCTGCGCACGCAACTGCATGCTATGGAACTGTGTCGACGCGACCACTGTTTGCGCCAGTCCGGATCTCGACTCTGCGTATCTCGTGCCATGTTCTGGCCAGGCCGCCAATCTCCGGAACAGCAAGAGACAGCGGCGACCATCGCCATTCTTGCGGCGCGTCCGACGCAACCAACCTTCCAGCGCAATGGGAAAGCAACGCAAGCGAAGAGACACCGTCAGCCTTAGTATCTCAAGCAGTAGTGATTCGATTGCGACGACATTCCATCATTTGCAGACAATTCAGTTTCAAAACGCAGAGACGACAAGCCACAACGCTTCATTGTGTGCGTGAAGAAAGTGCCACGAAAATCCTGTGTGGTGTTTGTTTGTCGTAGTAGAGCCTCAGGTAGAGATTACGTCGAAGGCGGCGGGCGGGGCCTAGTACACGATGTGGATGTGGATGTACTGGCACGAGGAATAGTCGTACGCCGTGCCCGGGTTCTCCGGCATGTAGATCACCTCGGAGTACGGCCCGTTCGTGCACAGCGCGAACTGGTCCGTCGCGCCGTTCGCCGCGAGCTGCGGGAGACCCGTGGCGCTCGACTGTCGAGCGGGTGCGAGCGCGAAGGGAGGGCGCAACATGAGGATCCCGAAGAGCCCCGAGAACGACGGAACGGACGCACCTCACCGCAGTAGACCTGCGCGCCCGTGTGCGGGTCCGAGTTGATCTGCAGCCACCCCGGCGCGGAGCCGTCTATCACGGCCCTGTTCGTCACGTTCGGCGAGCCCAGCGCGATCAGCCGGCCGGCGTCGAGCTGGAACGCGGGCCAGTTCTGCGGCTTCGGGTACGAGGCGTACGTCTGGCACGCGGTCCGGCGGTGAGCTCCAAGTGCGCCTGCAGAGCGAAGGGGGGGAAGACGCACCATAAGCACATACAGCACCCCTGGCCCGAGCGTGCCCCAAGGCCCGAGGACAAGCGGGACACCGGTCGTGTTCGTGTTCTTCGTCTCGTCGGCGTAGTACGCGGCGAGGGTGAAGTTCGCAGTCGTAGTGTCGAACGCTCCTGCGAGGCCGATGCAGGCCGGGACCAGGTTGTCCGCTGCGAGCGCGGAAGAGGTGATAAGGGAAACCGTAGCGAGCGCAGCGAGCGAAAAGAACATCGTTAAGTTGTGCGTCGGGGAGGACGAAAAAACAGGAGAGGGTGAGTTCTTGGAGAGACTGCAGGGAGCTCCACCTCCTGCCTCGCTTTTTGTGTGTGTATGCATTCCCGGTGCGTCGCGTAGCTCAGCGATCCTCCAGCGCCTGGACCCGAAGGAATTGCAGGGGCAATGCATCACGGGCGGAGGATGGGGTTTCGCGCATCCATGGATCGGTGGAGATCATCGCAACACCATCGCAGCTGACTGTATGGTGGTTGCGGGTGCTTGTGTTCTGCAAGCAAGTAGTAGTCAGAGGAGAAAGGCGCGGAAGGACAGGAGGACAGGAGGGAGCCTTTCTTCCCGCCTGGCTACAATGGACCCAGAAGAATATGGCCGTAGCTCCATTTTGGAAAGACAGCAGCCGATGCCCTACGCGAGATTAAAAAAGTGACTCTATACTCGATGGCCAGCAAGTGCTCTCCATATCAAGATGACACGGCGATGGCGAAGTAGCTCCCTCCCCCTCCCACGAGTGTCATTTCCTACTCCTACGTCAACCGTACAGAAGTGGCATGTCAAGTTCGTCTCGTAAAGCAGGGTGCAGAATATCGTGGACAGATCGGGAACCAAGTTCGGGGAGAGAGCGCGCGGGAGGGCCTGACATGGGGAACAAATGGGGAAGATCATCTGCAGCTTGACGGGCTCATACTGCCAGCACGTCGCGTGCTTGTACAAGACGTTGTTATGCATGCCAGCGACGCAGAATGAGAAGGGCCTGCGTCGCCGTTGATCGCCAGTGGCCCCGCCGGGGTCCGTGTCCGCCTGCTCCATGCCACGCCATAGATATAAATGGGGAAAGTGGGCTCCGTTCTAGAACGTACTGGTGCATGGCAGTGGCGGCAGAATGGATGGAAGGGCACGGACACAATAGCGCGAAACAAAGAAACCGCACGTACCACCGATAGATCTGGGCACCTTTCGTGGGGTCCACCGAGTTGCTCGAGATAAAAGACGCCTCCACCACAAGGAGAAAGGACATGTCCGCCGCAGGGGCGACGTTGGGCCCAGTCTGGGTCAGCCTGCCCGCCTCCATCGAGATGGACGGGTGCTGGTTGAAAGGTTACGACGCCAATGTCTGTCCGCCGCACGCGACGTCAGCGCGCATACATCGAACAGACTCGCAATGGGAAAACACATTGAAAACACCTTGAAGCTCGCGCCGGAATCGCCTGGCCGGGCACGAGCGGGAGCTCGGTCGTGTTCGTGTTCTTTCAGCCGCCGACGAAGACCACGGCGACGGGAAGTTGGCCTGGGTGTCGATCGCGCCGCGGCGCAAGGGTCACGTTTGTGGCGCGTTTGTCGGCGAATGTGGCGGTTTAACGACTGACGCGGTGGGGGTGAGGGCGATAGTAAAGATTGAGAAGGCAAAAATCGTATGTCATGATGTGTTCGGGCATGGAGGTCGGCGACTTCATACGCCCCCTTCTCGGGGGAGGCTTGTGGACGCGGCCGGTGACATGAGCGAGCAGGGCCGTCCAGTCGAGGTCATCAAGGATGGTGGGCGTGGTTTCAGAGAGGGCGACGAGGCCGCAAACAGCGAGTCGAGGAACATCCATCCCCTCTGCCCCTAACCCCAACACCCCATCTAATCTAATCTCGTTGCTAGGCTTAGAGCCACTGCTAGCAGCATCCGCTGCTCACTGGCAGCCTCCACCGCTCACTGGCAGCCTCCTCTTGACTTTGACTTCGGTCTATGCCGGCCTTTGATAAACCCATGCTTTCCGCTTTCATTTCTCATACCTGGACCATCTGTAAATGTTGTAAAAATCGACCTCCGTACTCGATTACACAATAGGTTCGTCACTGTCACCCACTGATGCACGACATTGACACGTCTGTGCGGCTGCACACCTCAGGATGGGAGCGACAACGCTCACAGCGAGCATAATGAAGATCTGGAGCGGGCGCGATCTACGGGCGGAGAGGATAATGCCTTTGAGGCGCCGCACTGTGCGCGCGTCCGTCCTCCGTAGTACGTACGCCGCCGATGCCCCGCATGACGGAAGGCATCCACATCCGGCACAGCTCCCACGCGAAGAGCCCGAACTCCGCCGCGTGTCGGTAGGGGACGCACGTTGGCCCGTGTGTACCTCTGTTTACCTCTGTCCTCGATGTGGGACGACCCTCGCATTCCTCGGATCACGTACGCTGCGGGGCGCGCGAACCGATCGGCGTGGGTTCCGGAAACCGCAGCCGGGGTGTCCACCGGGGCGGGGTCTCTAAACCACTTCGTGGGAAGCCCTACGAGTGGCGGCGCACGAACGTTGAGACCGGACGACGCGCACGGCGGTTGCCGCGAGATACCAGTACGCGCGACTTGGGGCAACACTGATTGAATTACAACACGCACTACAAAAGAGCCAACGACACGGAGCGGGACCGGAGAGCGAAGTCTGACAAAACACTTCAACGGAGAGACCTGGGTTCACTATACCGGCGTGGAGAGGAGTATGGAGAGCATATGGGAGGCGGACACACACGAGAAACAGAGGAATTCGTACACAACAGGACAACTTCTCACGAACGACGATGCGGACAGGAGGGCCCTCGGGTGACGGCGAAGAGTGCCGTCCGTGACGCGCGTGCAACGCGGGTGGGGGGCGACGAGATCAAACCCCCCGACGCCTGTCGTGGTTCTTGCCCTTGTCCCTGCCCTTGTCCTTGTCCCTGCTCGGCCCCTTGATGAAGTCGACGATTTCATTGCTAAGCTTCCTAATTCGTGAGGGTGCGGGGGGAGCAAGTGTATGACCGTGACTTGGGGGAGTCTGGTTCAACGCCGCGGGCTGCTGATCGCGGTGACGACGAGGCGGCGAGTCCGGGATGACGGGAGGGATTACTGCGTGACCCGACATCGGCGAGGCCGCGTACCCCGCGTGGTAAGGCGCGCTGAATGGTCCCGGAGTGGTATGAGACTGCGCGCGGTAGTACTGGTGGACGCTTGGCTGGAGGTAGCCGGTGGACGGCACGGCGGCGGGGCTCGATGCGTGGGGAATCGGGCCGGAGTCGGAGGGAAAGGGCACGTTCGAGCCATGGATACCCGGCACAGGCAGCGAGTACTGCCTCAAAGGTGGGCCGTGAGGGTGGCTAATCGGGGGGTTCACAGCGAGAGCATGGAGAAGTCTAGATGGAGTGGGGGGCGTGGAGGGCTCGCCGCGGAGACGATGAATCTCGCTGCGGGCATCCCTTAGCTGGGCCCTCAAGTCGATGTTGTCTTTCTTGAGGACTTCATTGTGCGTGCTCAAAATCCCGACCTCTGATTCAAGGTCGGCGATCTTGTTGGCCTGCCATTTTATATACTCGCCTTGCCTTTTGATCTGTTCTTCCAGTCGCTTGATCTTTTCGTCTTGCTCTTTGATATTGTCTTCCAGCCGTTTGATGAGCTTCTGGACTTTGTCGTGACTGTAAGCGGCGACCATAGCTTCCCGCTCTTCTGCTAGATATCAAGGCTCAGATATCCGACTTGAATGAACGGCCAAGAAGACGGGCTTACGGGTCACAATCGGTTGACCAAGACCGCCACTCGCCATTTTGTCCAGGCGGCGGGTAGAGAGGTGGATAGCGACGCGGTGGGTAAGAGTGGAGATGACGATGGGGGGCAGAGACCTGAGGGCCCGAACGACCAGGCGGGGCCGTTTTATCTTGTCGAACTCCTCCTCCGCATATCCACCCTCAGCGCTGTGTCCGCGGCGAGCCATACCGTTGACTCCGCAGGACACAGAGTTTAGACGGATCGGGACGGGTTTGACCAGGGGGGGTGGCGGCGCTGGCGGACGCGGCGGACGAGGAGGGGGCAGAGGGCAAGCCCGTCGCCAGCGCGCACGCCTCGAGGTTCTGCTTACGGTTTGTGGGCGACCGTGGGTGTGGAACCCGTGTCGGCCCGGCGGCGCGGGAGGCCCGCGCGGGCGCGCGGATACTAGCTTCGCCACACTTGATGTGTGGACCCTCGCTTCTTCGAGACCCCTGCCATGTTTGGCCAAGGCGGTTTATCACAGAGATCCACAACTCCGAGGACGAGCAACCACACAACGACTTCGCACACGAGGCTTGAAAGGCTAGAACCCAACAGGAGTCTGAAATTTTCGCATGGAGTCGTCAGTATAGTGGCCACTTGGTGGCCACCCGCCGCAACCCGTTCCGAAGTCATCCGGCGCGAGCCACGTAGCGACGCTTTCAAGGCCACCCCCAAGGCGTCCAGTGTGGTTAGCGTTCGTCAGCGGGGAAACGGTCCCTGAAGAGCGCATCGGTGCCCAATAAAGATATGCGGGTCCCGTGTAGCGAACACATCTTACTTCCTCCGCTGCCTCGCCCGTGGCCCGTTCAAGAAACACAGCAGATCTTCTAGCTTCGAAGGACAGCCAGCGCGCTCTAGAAGCTGATAGACTGCGGTAGCGATGACACGCCCGGAGCACTCGACACTCGGTTGCGACCATCATCCCTGTCGTCAAGTTCTGGCGGCCACTGTGGACCCGCGATCCTGCGAACCGGGCTGCATACGGGAGGGTATGCTGGGGTACAGGTGCCTGGACGGTTTTGTTCACCCAGCGGAACGAGGCAGGTGCCTTGATATAGCCAGTACTGAGAAGCGCTCTGACCATGGCCCCTAGATGATCTGTACTGCAGCCTGGAACGAGTGTCACAATTAAGCATTGCATCTGGGACAAATGAGTGGCACAGATAACGGAGCAATGGAGTCGAAAGCTCGAAACTGAATATGCGTATAGATTTCCCACCTAGACACGGGCAAAGTAAGTTGTGGAAACCCGTGACGATTCGATCAACCATGGGGCCCTGGTGTCAAGTGCCATGTGCTAGCATTGAACATCCCCGGTAGTTTCGCTCGGGTTTGTCGTTGAAGTTGAAGCGGAGCAAGGGAAGGTAAGAACGTGGCTCGAAGAGGATCCGTTCTGGATGTGCTCTCTTCGTGGCCGGAGGAGGGACAAGCCTAGCGATCGGCGGTCTCAGGTTGAATGCCGTTCGAATTTCGGGCATCGCAGCAGTGCTCGCCATGCCAATCTAATCTTATCTCATATATTTTGCAAGCGCACGGGCTTCTCGGAGTTCTACCCGAGGGCACTCGATTTCCTCTTCGTCCTCAAGCAATGCAATATTATATCAATGAAAAACTGGTTACAAACACTGGGAAAAGTACGTAAAATACAACAAACGGCGAAGAAAAAATGCATGAGAGAGACTCGGAATGAGGAAACGCAGAAAAATGAGGACAGCGACGATCCGCATGGAGAGATGAATAGGGCAGAGGAGTGGGAGATAGAATCAGGAGAGACGATCGACCGAAGGTGTTACAGTAGTGCATCAGGAGGTTTGACGCATCCCTCTGGGAGAGGCGGAGATTCGAGAACTGGCCCGACAACTTGAGGCAGTGCACCCCATCTATCTCCCGGATTTGCGCGACGTGGAGGATAGTAGGGAGAGAGATAGCGGTACTTCTCGAAGTGGGAAGTGGTAGGGCCCGCGGTAGGAGGGGGGCGGTACGTCGCAAGTTCGGCTCGAAGGTTCTTGATTGTCTGTGCATCTTGCCTCCGCGTATTCTCCATGATGCGGAGATCTCGCTCGAGTTCCTCGATCTTCTTGTGGAGAACCTCTATCTCGGCGTAACATCCGTGTAAATTGCCCGGGAAATGAAAGTCGTAAGTCGACATGTCTGCTATAGAAGGGTTAGATATCGAGGACTATGAGACATCCGAAGTGTGCACTGACAGCAGTTGATCCTGAGGCAACAGCGTGCACGGTCTGAGTAGATGATGATTCCGGGGGGGAGGGGGAGAGAGAGAAGGCCAGATGGTGTGGTGGGAGCGACGACCTGGCCAATTTATTTGGCTGGGGCCGGCTTCTCCACATCTCCCGAAGCACCACGTATCATCCCCGTTACGGACCGCCGCGTCTCTGCGGAATGTTGACCGAGCGAGCGTGTGGCATGTGTACGCACTGGGCGCGATACCAAAAGGTGTGGGTAGAGGGCAAATGCCAGCGCGCAGCCCGTGTCTCTGTTTGCGGTTTGTGGGCCCTTGTGTCTGGATGTGGCGAGGCTTCCGGCTCTGCGGCGCGCGGCAACTCCCCAGGTCACCGCATTCAGCGCTCGACTCGGCTTGTCTGATTTCCGTCATGCACACAGCATCGTACGTCCAAGAACGGCATGCACCGCCGTCTCGGAAGCAAGGACAGATAATCGGGAACAAGGTACGTACCCCGCGATGCCCTATCCTCTCTGAAGCGGCGCTTGTCTGATAGCAGCCGAGCCTCGAAGCTCGACCGGTGGTTATAAGGACCACCTTTACCGAGGGACACTTCCACATCCGTTCGGCGTCGCCACTCGGAGGAATGCCGCTCGATGCGGATATTCGGTTCCTGACTTTCGTTGTGTGAAATGTGTCGTTAGGGGACCTCGCACCAGTGCCAGAGTCGTCGGGTCCCTGATATCGATATCGGGCGACGGGTGCAGCGGTGGACGAGGGTAGGGCAAGTTGCGTACGTCCGGCGTGTGCTCGCAGAGCGCCCATCGTCCGATGCCGCGCCGGCCCGCCGGGATCCCGCCGGCGCGTACGAGGACGGATGGTCGGACCCGAGCCGCGCGGATGACGCACCGCAGCGCGACGTGCATGTCGGGCAGCGACGAGGACCAAGTCCTAGCCATGGACTGGCGCCATTCAAGCTTCAGACCTTCAAATGTCATGCCAGGTCAATCTGCGATTGAGAGATCCTCAACTTGAACGATCGGGCTCCCCCGTATGATATTGTCCCAAACGTGCGTTACACCGACTCCCATCCGTCCTGGTCGTAAGTGCGTATGTTATCTATGATCACATTTTCTCGATTGCCGACGGGCGGAGAACACGGGGGGTGATTGAGGGGGTAGAGGATGAGGCAAGGTGTAGTTGTGAGCAAAGAGCGACAAGCGGGATAGAGATGGAGTGTGGGAGGTGAGGTTGCGCATGGAATCCCACCCATACTAGCCTTGCGGACTCTTCAGGGCCCCAGGGTGGATGTGGGCGGACAAATGAGATCAGGAGAACCGCAGCTGTGTCGGTCCAACCAACCGTGTCTGCGTCCGCACCATCTTCGCCTTCAGGTTCTTCCACGGCGAGGTGAACACGGCGCACTCCACGTCAATCAAATCGAGCTGGAGCATCACGTACCGAAGCATCCCCACTTTACGCCCCCGCCCCACACACCGCCGGTGACGCGCCCGGTGTAGCTCCTCGAGGGGCCGGCAAGCGCATGCACGCCCGGACAGAGCTCGATGTGCTGGATCGTGTCATTGACGACTGGCTTGCTCGCGTTCGGGACGTCGTGGACGTCGGTGCCCGCGCCCGCGCACAGAAAACTCGTGGGTGCGTTCCGTGCGCTGGAATCCACGGACGACGCCAGCAATGCCGTTGAAGAGGTCGCACCACGGGGGTGATTGGGGCTGCAGTGTTGATAGAGGGCGTAAGCAGGGGGGGAGCCACTTGGCGAAGATTCTTCGGTTTGAAAGAGCTTAACAGTCGGTTGTGGCGGACGAGGAGCTGCTAGAGGACGGAGCGTTGGGAAGCCCGTGAGCACCGGCACGGGGAATAGTGAAAATTATCAGACTACGCACGCGAAACTTATGTACCACGGCACGGGTCGCGTCCAGAATGGGCAGCCAGAAAGAGATGTACAGACGGGGCCAAAGGCGGATGGGGTGGGGTGGGGGATGAGATGGAGGTCATTGTCAAGAACAACGGAGAGGACCGTGGGCTCGCCGCCGCCAGCGTCTCAGGTCAGCCTCGTCTTGGCTTCGTCCAACTGCCTATGTATCGCTCCAGGCTCTTTCCCTCACCGGCTCTGCTGCCTTCTGTTATTGCTCCGTCTTTATCGTCACTATCTCGTCCACCATGGCTCCCTCCGCCCGAACGACCATTCGTGTTCTCACCGTGCTGTTGAACGAGTATCCGCAATACCATGACGCCCCGCAAGACCTCCATGAAACCAAGTATCACACATGCGAGACCAAGCTGTTCGGTCATGCCTCCAGCCTCCTCAATTGCACCGCCGACGGGTCCGTCGCTTCTACAGGCTGGACAGACGTCGAGGAGACTAGTCTCACCGTCGTCCTCGCGTCGACCTCCATCCCCTCGAATGTGCCATCAGGCTCCTCGAACACGCTGCCATTAGCCCAAGATACCTCCACCAAGCCAGAGTTCTCAATTCTTCGCGTGTTTCCCAGCGAGCAGGAAGTTGACATCAACGACTTCGCCTCGTAAGCCACCCGCCCCTTTCCAAGGCTCTACCTACGTCCCCTGTCTAGTCCGAAGTCGAACGAACCCTACACTGTGAAGTGTCATGCGCAGGACCTGCTTCGCGTCCTCATGGACTACAAGCAGAAGGCGTGCGACCCGCAAAAGCGCTATAACAAGTTTAACGTCGCGGAGTGGGTCACTGCGCGCTGTCATGCTTCCGTTGCCCGTCGGATCCGCCTTGCGAGGAAGTTGTGGGACTCGGATCCACGCAAAGCGATGAAGGATTGGACGCCTCAGACCTATGAGCAATTCACCGAGAATGGGAAGGAGGTCAAGATAAATGATGTTGACAGAGATTTCGCGAACCGACGGCTGAAGGAATACTGGACGATGCAAGATGAAAAACAGCGGCCAGCACCCCTCGTCCTTCCTACGTCTATTACTGCAAGTACCATTCCAGCCTTCATCAACGCGCTTGGCGAGCTCCTGGCAATGGCCGAGGTTCTGAGTGGTGCTGCGGACTATCGTCGCTTCTTCACTCGGACCCTCCGGATCATCTGCTGGATCCTGAAATCGCAACTCGTCAAGCGGGCCTTTTCTTTTTCTTCACTCTCGTACGCATTCAGGAGGAAATCCATCAGTAAGTAGCTGTGTTTGTTGTCAGACAGTCGTCAACCTTCATCTTACAGCCATGAAGCTGCTACGCACCACTGGGCCTCGCGACGTCGGCGGAGACGACAGCGGCCTCGATGACGACAGCAACGAGGCAGACGAAGATGACGCCCGCAGCTTGTTAAATCCCGTCCCCGGCGAGAACGAAGGGCAGGTCGTTTTACGCTATCTACTCATGATAGTCGCGCCCTTCACAGCATGTTCCGTCGTCCTCCCGAGGATCCGGAGGCTACCAGGGACCCCGGAAATCTCGATCGTCGAGCTCACGGACCACAGGAAGGAGGCTTCACGAGTTGCCGAAGAACAGTACATGAACGTGCTGTTGGAGCGCGTTTCCACACATATCACAGCTAGCAAGCGCCGACCCGGCGAAATCGAACGTGCGAGCAAATGGTTGCGCGAGCTCGCCAGTCGCAAGTTCGAAGTGACTCGCCCATTGTACGTTCACGCGGAAGCAGGGATCATCGGGCTGCTGAAGATCCCGAGGACATCCGACAACCACGAAATCGTCCAACATTTACAAGTTCACTTCGATGTGCGTGCACTGCTCGTGTCACTCACTACACTCTGACGCTGTCTCCAGGAAAGCGCAGTCTTGGGGATCGGCGTGAGCCAAAAATCCTGCGCCACGTGCACGCTGCTCTGGAAGCTTGCCTCAGGCAAGCACAACCCGTCTCGTAACGACTTGAGTCGAGTCTCTGAGGTTCTCAACCAGGCGATAAGGAAGTATGCATTTCCGGATCCCATGGCCAAGTAGTCCCCTGGGATCCTCCGTCATTCGGTATGGACGACAGCGTTCTGGAGGGCATCGCAGACGGGCTGTGCAAGAAGATGGCCGATGTAGCCTTCGCTCAAGCGGAGGAGGTTGAAGTTTCGAGCCGCACCTCCTCTCCCACCACCAGCGAAGAGGATGAGGACGAGGACTGGCAAAACGACGATTATGAGCTCTCCGATGATGAACTGGATTTTGAGGGACGGGTACGAGTCATCAGTCTACCTGTTGGATTGAATGCTTGCTCATTGGTCACGGAAGACAATCACGTTGTGACCGGAGTGGCCGTCGAGCCCGGGAGGAGCTTTGTTGGACCGCGAAGGGGCGGTGGACGCGCTCCGAAGTTTGGCACTGACTTAGAGGGCTTATGTCTTTTTTGGTACTGCCGACCATGTAAACTGGATCGTGGTCAGTCCTAGCCCGCGGAGGCTGTGTGTACTTGCTGCTTGTCCATGACTTGCGACCTGTCCATACTCATCAAGCCTCGTAACGTGCCTCCTGCCTCCTCCAGCGTCATACACACTCACACTCACTCACGACCCGATACGGCAGGCGAGGCAGGGGTGTTGCACCGCGTGAATCAGCTCGGAGGACTCGGCGATATCTCTGGCAGGAACGTGCCCTTTCTGTGCGCACTGTATGTCCTGCGACGGCGCCGGCAGGATGGTGAGGGTAGGCGTCGCAGTTCGACGTTCACGTTCACGGGACTCTCAGCTGATCAGCGACGCGCGCCGCCGCCGGGCCGCCAGAGCTGACCGTGACGGAATGTGTGACGAGACGTGTCCGCGGCGCGCGGCGCTGCGCCTGTGGCCTGCCCGCGCTGCTCTTAGTTGGTCTTCCCTCGTTTATCCTCCACCATGGGTTCTCTGGGTTAATTTCTGTGATTACACCAATCCAACCAGCGTGCCCACTGGAGAACCAGACTCGTCTCATGAGTCAGCCTCGTTACAAGACCCTTCATCGGCCGTTGGGACCTTCAAACCCCAAGCTACTCGGACACGACGAGAGAGGGTCCGGCAGGCGGTGCCTCCAATGCTTTATGGTTGAGGCCGGTCCGCACGAGGGGAGGACATGCAGGGGCACAAGTTCACGGGGTCGAAAGGTGCGTACACTTCTATGCTACTCCTTGGATGCTCACCTGCAGCGTGCGCTGTTCGCACTTGATTGCTGCCTCTGTGATGCCCGATGTTCGCGTACGATGTGCCTCGTAAGTCAGTGTTCTAGCGAAATAGCTATTTTCTTGACAATTTGCGCGCCCCACAGCTCCGGACGGTCTGAGGTAGACGATGGCTCCGACATTCAGACATGAGCAGACCAGTCGACCCCGCATACACCTCACCCTTCGCCATTTCACGCACCCGCGATGAGCCCCCCACGTGCTCATTGACGTCGTTGACAATGGCCGCCGAAGACCTCAAAGACCCTCGCGTGATGTGCGCTCGCAGTCGCTACCAGTTTGAGCACAAGTTCGTCATCTCCAGCCACGGGCAACTGCCCGGGATTTGCGGTGCGTGCACATCCAGTCGTTCCCTCTGTTTCTTGTGTCACACCGTTCGACTGCAGCCAAACTTGTCTGGTCCTCCTTCGCAAGAACCTTCTCTTTGCCCTTCCGCAAGAACATCCGAATGCCGCGAGTGGCAACGTTCGTGTGGCGTCACCGGTGTCGCCTGGGCACCTGATGGCACGCAAATGTTCGTTCAAGATGCCAGTGCGCACGTCCACGCCTTCTACCATGCGTCCACCTTCGCGCGTCTGCGCTCCTTCCCCTCCCGTCCGAAGACGATATCGACGAGGTCGCAGGGCTCAGGGACGATGGCACTGTGATTCGCTCGGCCTAGGTCTCGTCTGCCTTGGACGGCCACTACTTCCCTTCACACATGCACTACGACGATGCTGTGGATACGACTACCTATACAGTGAAGTGTGGCAACAAATCACCGGCACCTGTTACTCCCACTTCACCAGCGAGTACATCACCGCAACCTCCGTGGCGTGAGCGCACGAGCGCACGGACGTCATCGCGCTGTGCAGCGACTGCTCGGACCTCTATTCGCCGGAGGTCATCACCACCATCCGGCCTCCGACCCTGCAGCAGGTGTCGAACACCATGGGAGACTCGGGAAATGAGGCGTGTCCCGTCCGTGTAGAAGGGAAGGTGCTCGTGGAGGTCCGCCGCGGATGATACGGCGCTCTCCGGAACGGAACTCTTCGCACTGCCCGCCGACCGTCGCCCCGGGCGCGGCGATCTCCGCGGCCGCGCTCGTGGATGCCAGGCCGGCGTGCACGGGCTGGTGGGGCTGGGAGGTCGAGACGGGGAGGGGCGCGCTGCGCGAGGTCTCGGAGCCTGCGTGAGGTCCACGCCGGGGTGTCCGCGCTGGTTTCACTGTCTGTAGGCAGGTCGGTGATGGGGTTCGTGGATGGACGCGGGGAGGTGTACTTCTGTCGGTATCGGGATGGCTGGACGGGCTTGTTTCTATCGTGCACTGCAGAACGTGTGTGAGTGGCTAGTACGAAAGGACGAATGCAGAACCCATCCAACGTTGGTACGAGGAATGAACACCTGAGCGTTGCGTCCCCAAAAAGAAGTCTGTTTTGACGACGAGCTCGTGACGTGAGATAGTTTCAGATTTGGAAAGGCGAGCATCCGGACTCCGGCTGCAGCTTTCGTCCGGCGCCTGCTCAGAACCTGGATCACTTATAACACACCATTGCCCTCTCTCCTCTATCATCCTATCATGTCGTCGAGCCCCCGCCTCTCTATCGAGGTCATCGAGCACATGATCGATGAACTCGGTGCGGCTCAAGAGACCGCGGCCCTCGCTCGTTGCATCCGGGTACACAAGGACTGGATCCCCCGGACTCGCATCCATCTCTGGCGCACGCTCACAGTCTACAGCAGTAAGCAGCTCCCCATCATCTGCGCCACGTTCGACCGGAACCCCATCCTGCAATCCCTGGTCGAAGTAGTCCGGCTGAAGCCCGATCGCGGCCGCTCAGTGGAGTCTGGCAGTGCGCAAGGCCGGCATCCATTCCCTTTGACTGCCTCGATCGTCCTCCTCCCATACCTCATCCACATCCAGGCTTGGGAGTTTCTAGGCCATGGTCACACGCCTTTTCCACTCCAGCGGGCGACGTTGGTTTCCCTGCGCCAGTATCGGGATGTGAAACGGGTGGTCCTCTCTGGCGTATATTTCAAGAACCTTTTCCACTTCTACCCCCTTCAGAACGCTTTTCCTGCACTGGAAGAAATCATCATAGAGGATGTGGCTGTGGATGATCCTCCGTCATATCAGTCTTTAATGTCCGAGCATGGCAGACGAAAGGGCTTGCGGCGGCTTCAGTGCTTCGAGGTTACTTCTGCCATTGAATTCACGTCGTTGGAATCAAGCTGATAGCAATGCAGTCATCAAAAACGAAAGATATAACTTCTACTATGGCAAGAACCCTGCTCGTCAAGAACGCTGCGACGCTTGTGGTCGTCGAATTGAACGGCTCTTGGCTTGACAAGGGTACGAGAGCATGAAACTTACTACGTGAATGAAGCTGACTCCGAAACACACCCGACCAGACTTAGACATCACGCTGTTTGAAGCCCTTGAGTCGCTCTCCGTTTGGATGGAACACCCGGAGCGGGAAGATCGGCCTGTACTGCACTGGTATACGGACCCGGTATTGCGCGCTTGTATAAACCTGCCAGAGTCGCTACGCACACTCCGTCTAGTGTATCAGCCCAACAGCGTGTACTCAGCCTGGGTGTATGAAGATCCAGACGAAGAAGAACAGAGAGAAGTTGAAGAGTTTTCCCAGGTTGTAGCTCATCATAATGGTCTCCGCTCTGCCGGTCTCGTGTGTCAAGTTCACAACCTTCCGCAAAACCACCTCTCAAGATGGACGACTCTGTTCACGCGATGGTCCCGAACTCTGGATGAAAAAGGCCTGCTGCATATTCTACCTCTAGATACCCTGAGCGTGTTTGCTTTTCATAATCTCGCAAATAGAAAGCACTGACTGCCACAATGATGATAGCCTTGCCTATCGACGTCTCGAAAACGCGTTGCACACCTTATGGATCCGCGGTCCGTCTCGATCACCTTGTCATCAGCTCCCGTGGACACTGGGCAGCAAGCATCACACACCCATCGACGTCCTACATACAGGAGCTCATGATTTGGGATACCGAGTCGGGCGTCCCCCTACTCCACGGTCATTGGACCCTACCGCAGGGACGAGCGCCATTGCGTTGCGTTTTCACCCAACGAGGCGCGATTTGCGTACGCTTCCCCTAGATCCATACATGTGTACTCTCTGCCCCTTGCGGACACGTCTAGCAAGACCCCCTGGACACTTGGGCACCTTCCACTGAATGCTGGATACACACATTTTATCGGGGTTCTCTGGTCGCAGGACGGAACCCGGATGTTCGTTCAAGACGCCCTTGCTCGGGTGTATGTCTGCGATGCTTTGAGTTTCACTTATCTCCGCTCGCTCCCCATGCCATCTTCTGGATTGACCAAGATCGAACGCGCGTCGTCTTTTGGTTTATCTACAGTCGGTCATCATGTTCTTTCAACTCTGCGAGATACGCCACTAGAAGGAGAGCCGAAGAACTATACCTTTGTTTGGGATTCGAGAACCGGGACCTGCCGTTACAAGTCGACCGACTCTAGCCAGAGCTCTATCTTCCGGGGCAGTACATTGTGGGGCGGAACACACGGAGAAGATCAGTTGCATATCATCTCGGTATGCGAGGATGGAACTATGCGCAATTCGAAGGTCACATCAACGGTCCAGGATACCCCCATCGTCACGCAGGCGTTTCCGCCAAACTACAAACTCGACACACCATCCTCCTTCCCTTCATCTCCATTCACCGCGGAAGGTAGTCGTCTCATAGTGCCGCTGGGCCCTTCTTCATCGTCGGTGGTGGACACGATGACCGGGACCGCGCTTTTTCGTGTGGATCATGCTGCAGATATCCGTGACATGGAGTGGTCCGCAGATGGACGGACGGCAACATTCGTGGCCGCAAAAAATGGGGTCTATATATACTGGATCTGGAACATCGAGGAAGGTACCACGAAGGCCGTCTTTCGGTGGCCAGACAGTCGCGCTGTGGGCGCGCCCGCCAGGATCTCCGCAGACGGATCGATGGTCGGATTCTCGAACGACAGAGAGATAGTTTTCCGCCGTGTCAGTGACCTCATGGCCTCTGCTTTGGACCCGTAGATCGCACTCACGTTGAAGCTGATTCCTTGACTCTGAACATGTACAATTAAATACGTCTTGCGTTGGGGACCTGGGGTGTCGGCCGGCAGTGACTCGCCTCTTTAAAAGGCAACGATACACCTGGCATCCGGATGCATGGACATACAGGACGACCGCTCATCATCACCATAAGCAAGAGAAGACGTTCTTCATTCATGTGCGGGGTGGACGCCCAAGCATAGCCTGATCAGGGTCGCGCATTCTATTTGAATGCGAAGAGGTCGATCGAGTGTCGTGTATCAAAGCAGAGTGTCGCCATCTAGACCAGTCCCAGTGTCCGAGATTTCCGCGCCCGCTACTTCACTACGCCCAAACTGGACGCCAACTCTTCATGAATAGGCGCATATGTATTCTCGGATGCAAGCTGAGGTCTGCCAATGCTGATTGCGCCGCTCGGCGCGGGCGGAGCCGAGCTTTGAATTCCTGATGCGCATCGGGGCATGAATTCCGAGTCTGGAACCGTGTCCTAGGACTCCTCCAGACTCCTATCTCCCGCCGGGAAGCAGCAATGTGCCGAAGCGGGTGTGTGATCAAGAGAATGGCATCTATGTCGATTTAACCAACCATGTCTACCGCGTCCACCCGCCGCTCCTACCCCATCTTAGCCTTCAGGTTCTTCCACAGCGACATGAACATGACGCATCCTATACCGACCAGTCCGAGCTGGAGCCCCACGTACCCGAGCATCCCAACCTTCACGCCCGCCCCGCCCCACACGGCGCCGGTGACGCGCCCGGTGTAGTTGCTGTACTGGATGAACATGCTCACCCGCCCGTTCCACTCCCCGGGGAGCTGCTTCGAGAGCAGCGAGAGCGTGACGGTGCTCGCGACGTTGAAGCCGAGCGCGACGAGCAGCCACGCGACGAAGAACGGGCCGTAGGCGACCCTGCGCGCGGCGAGGAGCGCGAGCGCGAGGACGAGCCCCGCCGTGCCGACCGCCGTGCCGACCGCGAGCGTGTGCCGGTCCTGGACGCGGCGCGCGACGTGCAGGTTGAGGAGCAGGAACGGGATCGTGCACGCGCCGCCGAGCGCGATCAGGTTCCCCGCCGCGAACGGGCTGAAGTGGAACGGGTTCTGGGGCGCGTCCGAGCCGGTGAACACGGGGATGTTGGACTCCCAGGCGCCGAGGACGAAGAAGCAGAGCATCGCGAACCAGCACATCGTGAGCGTCACGCCGACCTGGTTCGGCGCCATCTTGAACGCGGGCGCGGGAGGGGGAGAGGGAGAGGGAGAGGGAGAGGGAGATCGGGAGCCTTCGGGAACTTCAGAGATCGCAGCCTCGTCCAGAGCCTTGTTGTCCTTGTTGGCGGAAGCGGTGATGGGCTGGAGCGGGATGGCGCTTGAGACGGTGCACGGGACGTCTTCGAAGAAGACCTGTACTGCGACCCAGAATGCGGCCCACATCGCGGCCATGAGCCAGCCAGGGCTAGTAAATCCGTTGAAGACCGAGTTTCCGAACCCAACTTTGAAGCTAGCGAACCATGGTCAGCGCCAGCGCACGATGAATGATCCGGATGACGACTCACAGCAGCCCGCCAACGAAAGGTCCGGCACTGAATCCAATGCCCTGGCCGAGTACCTGCCAGCCCGCAAGCGTCGTCCTACGGCGGATACCGACGATGCGGGGGTCCGAGCAGTAGCGCTTTGTGTACATGAACCAGGTGAAACCGCCACCGCACACCATGCGTCCGATGAGGATCAGGTAAAGGAAGTTGGCGCGGTACGCCAGCGCGTATAAAATGTTCCCCAGGATCTGGCACGCGCAGGCAAAGTTTAGAGGTCGCTTGTAGCCTCCTGGAACATCGACCGTGAGTGATGCAAAGACAGAATAAGCGAAGGAACGACAAACCTTGGTCCCAACGAGTGAGGAACGGCAGCGTCAAGCCCGAGATGGCGGTGGGGATACCGATCACGAGACCCGCAAAGGTTGCGGTACCCCCGAGATGAGCAGCGTACTCGTTTGAGGAGGAGACAACGATGAAGAAGGTGAGCTGAAAGGAATACGCGATAAGCATTCGTGTTTATGGGAGGAAACGCGACGTACCTGGGACCACACATTCGCGAGCAAGATGATGGCCAGCGAGGACAGCTTCGGGAGCTTTAGTTCCTCGTCGACAACAGCGGCGATGGTTTCATCTGCCTGCGTGTTGTGGGTGGCAGCCCCATCGCGGAACGAGGGTAGGCCCGTGCGCGACCGGGCGATGTTGAAGACCGTCGACGGGAGCCTGAAGCCCTGCATGGTGGATGCGGGGTGCAAGTTGAAAGTGCGCAGTCCCGCGCGTTGACAGCGCGAGTCAAGGACAAAAGACGCCTTTGTGCCCGGGTTTCGCGGAGACTAAGCGGAGACAACGGTGTTTGCAAATCCCCAACCATTTGTCATTTTGCTGACACCCCACCGACTCGGCGTTAATCATCTCGGGGTACACTGTCTCGAAGCCATACATATTAGAGAGATCATCACATAGTTGTCCGACTCGAACACACGTATGCCAATAAGGGTCCTCAACAAGATATTACATGACACTAGGGATCACTACAGGTATGGGTTACCCGCGCGGGTCGGCGGGTGCGGGTGCCTCGGGTGCCCGGGGCACGGCCAACCTGCGCAACCGCACGATAGACCCTTGGGGACCCGTGACCACACATATAATTCAGAGCCTGTGCATTAACATACTGAGACACTGGAGCCTGAAAGAGCCCTAAAACACGGTTCTGGAGGAGTTCACGCCTCACCTCCTACGCCTCGCCTCCATCTCGTCACTTGTCCTTCGTTTACCCTCACTACATCGTGTACTGCTCGACGGCTACTCCGATCACAACCGGTTTATAATCGATGGGCTTACGATGGTCGCTTGCTGGATCGAAGTCTTCGTCTTCTTCGCTGGCGGTGGGAGAGGAGGTGCGGCCCGAAACTTCAAGCTCCTCCGCTTGAGCGAAGGCCACATCGGCCATCTTCTTGCACAGCGCGGACGCGATGCCCTCCAGAACGCTGTCGTCCATACCGAATGACGGAGGATCCCGGGGGACTACTTGACCATGGGATCCGGAAATGCATACTTCCTTATCGCCTGGTTGAGAACGTCATCTAGAGACTTGATTAAAGTCGTTACGAGACGGGTTATGCTTACCTGAGGTAAGCTTCCAGAGCAGCGCACACGTGGCGCAGGACTTTTGGCTCACGCGAACCCCAAGACTGCGCTTTCCTGAAGACAGCGTCAGAGTGTAGTGAGTGACACGAGTAGTGCACGTACATCGAAGTGAGCTTGCAAATGTTGGACGACTTCGTGGTTGTCGGATGACGTCGGCAGTTTCAGCAGCCCGATGAGCCCCGCTTCCGCGTGAACATGCAGTGGACGGGTCACTTCGAACTCGTGACTGGCGAGCTCGCGCAACCATTTGCTCGCACGTTCGATTTCGGCGGGTTGACGCTTACTGACGGTGATGTTTTTGGAAACGCGCTCCAACAGCACGTTCATGTACTGTTCTTCGGCAACTCGTGAAGCCTCCCTCCTGTGGTCCGTGAGCTCGACGATCGAGATTTCCGGGGTCCCTGGTAGCCTCCGGACCCTCGGGAGGACGACGGAACATGCTGTGAAGGGTGCGACTATCATGAGTAGATAGCGTAAAACGACCTGCCCTTCGTTCTCGCCGGGGACGGGAGTTAACAAGCTGCGGGCGTCATCTTCGTCAGCCTCGTTGTTATCGTCATCGACGGCGTCGTGAGACCCAGTGGTGCGTTGCAGCTTCATGGCTGCAAGATGAATGTTGACAATTGTCTGACAACAGACAAAACGACCTACTGATGGGTTTCCTCTTAAATGCATACGAGAGTGAAGAAGAAGAAAAGGCCTGCTTGACGTGTTGCGATTTCAGGATCCAGTAGATGATCCGGAGGGTCCGAGTGAAAATGGGACGATGCTCCGCAGCGACACTCAGAACCTCAGCCATTGCCAGGAGCTCGCCAAGCGCGTTAATGGATGTTGGGATGGTAAGTGCCGTGATGAACGTGGGAAGGACGAGAGGTGCTGTGGAGCGATTTTTCTCATCTTGCATCGTCCAGTGTTCCTTCAGCAGTTCATTCGCGAACATTCTGTCGGTATCGTGCATCTTGACCTCCTTCGAACTATCCTCCGCGAATCGGTCATAGGGCAAAGGCTCCCAATCCTGCATCACTTTGCGTGGATCCGAGTCCCACAACTTCCTCGCAAGACGGATCCGACGGGCAACGGAAGCACGACAGCGCGCAGTTACCTACTCCGCGACATCGAACGTGCCATAGCGGCCGTTATGCGGTCCACAAGCCTTCTGCTTGTAGTCCACGAGGACGCGGAGCAGGTCCTGCGCATGACGCTTCACAGTGTAGGGTTCGTTCGACTTCGGACTAGACAGGGGACGTAGGTAGAGCCTTGGAAAGGGACGGGTGGCTTACGAGGCGAAGTCGTTGATGTCAACCTCCTGCTCGCTGGGAGATACGCGAAGAATCGAGAACTCCGGCTTGGTGGAGGTGTCTTGGGCTGGTGGCAGCGTGTTAGAGAAACCTGATGGCACATTCGAGGGAGTGGAGTTCGACGCGAGGACGACGGTGAGACTAGTGTCCTCGACGTCGGTCCAGCCTGTAGAAGCGACCGAGCCATCGATACGGAAATTGAGGAAGTTAGAGGCATGTCCGAACAGCTTGGTCTCGCATTTGTGATGCCTGGTTTCATGGAGGTCTTGCGGGGCGTCATGGTATTGCGGATACTCGTTCAACACCACGGTGAGAACACGAATGGTCGTGCGAGCGCAGGGGGTCATGGTGGACTGGACAAGGACGATAAAGACGGAGAAAAGGCAGAAAGCGGCAGAGCCGGTGAGGGAAAGAGCCTGGATCGATGCATAGGCAGTTGGACGAAGCCAAGACGAGGCTGACCCGAGACGCTGGCTCTGGTGCCGGTGCTCGAGCCCACGCTCCTCTTTCTTAACCTTCAATGTCTCCATCTCAATTACTTCTCCATCCTCCTCCGGCCCCGTCTGTGTATCCCGTAGCTGGACGCGACTCGTGTCGTGTTACATAGGTCTCGGGCAGCGTAGTGTGAGTTTCCGTCCTACTGTTCCCCATGCCGTTATGCCTCCCAGTGCTCACCCTCCAACGCTCCGTCCTCCAGCAGCCCCTCGTCCGCCACAACCGACCCTTCCTCGCATTTGACGACTCTTCAAGAGGCTACTTTGTTTCCCCTGCTTACGCCCTCTATCAACACTCCAGCCCAAATCACCCTCGCGGTGCGATCTCTTTAACCTCAACGATTTTGCTGGCCTCGTCCGTGCCTTCCGGCGCACCGGATGCATCCTTCAGGTTTCTATGCGCGGCTTCAGGAACGGACGTCCACGATTTCCCGAGCGCGAGCAAGCCCGTCGACAACGACAAGATCTAGCACATCGAGCTCTGCCCGCCTGCGCTTGCCGACCCCTCAAGGAGCTGTGTACACCGGGCGCGTCACCGGCGTTGTGCGGAGCGGTGGGGGCGTGGAAGTGGGGATGCTTGGGTACGTGATGCTCCAGCTCGGTTTGATTAGCATGGAGTGCGTCATGTTCACCTCGCCGTGGAAGAACCTGAAGGCGAAGATGGGGCGGACGCAGACACGGTTGGCGAACCCGATGCAGCTGCGGTTATCTCGATCTCATTTGTCCGCCCACATCCGCCTTAGAGCCATGAAGAGTCTGGAAGGCTAGTATCGGTGGGATTCCATGTGCAGCCTCCCTCCCACACCCCATCTCTATCACCACTACAGCTGCCTCATTCTCCGCACCTTCAATCGCTCGCCCCTGTTCGCCGCACGTCGGACATCGATCATAGATCATAAAAGACGCACTTACGACCAGGACAGATGAGAGTCGGCGTAATACATGTGACGGACAATATCATACGGAGGGCCTGGTCAGGTTCAAGTTGAGGCTCTCTGAAAGGGAGTCGAAACGCCCGACGGTTCCCAAGTGCATATTTGCCTGGCACGCGATACTTGTTGAAGGCCCGAAGCCTGAATTGCGCAGGTCCATCGTTGGTCGTCGTCGTCGCCCGACACATCGCGGCGCGATGCGGTAATCGGGCACATGCAGTTGAGCGCTCATCGCCTCCGAATGCCCCGAGCACGCCCATTCCAGTGTGCTCGTTGGCACGGTGGATGGTCTGGGCCTGGGCCTGGAGATGGGGCGGGGCCGTGGCGAGCACAACGGGCTGGATGATCGAGCCTACTGGGGACTCACCAAGCAAGTTCAGACTGATGGGAGCGCCCTGCCATTAGTCCAAAGCTTCTCCTCCTCCTGATGAATCCAGAGAAACAGGAGAATGTTACCCGCTCAATTATCTGCTCCTTTTTCTCCGGATTTACCATTACAGCTTGCGTCGGAGCCCCATACTATCAGAGGTGCACAGGGGCGCACAGGGGTTCAACCGTAGGCTATGTCAGCTTCAACCACCATACGCTCAATCACATCACGATCGCACGTCCCCCAGAGGAGCCCCGAATCGCCAAAGAAGGACCGGACAAGAGCAGAAGACCCCGCTTTGCCCTTCGAGTCCTCAAGCCCCAAGGCGAGGTCGAAGTTGTCCAACTCTCTGTTCCTCTCACCACATCCCCGCCCCACTCGACCACCTCGACCACTTCGATGCCTCAAATAGACGCGCAGGTCGAGGCGGCGTCCAGCAGTCAAAGAGGTAAGCACGGGCCCGACATTGAGCCCTTGAGTCCCGTATCCTGATTCCTCAACTTATGCCTTTCCATCAAAACGCACTAGCGGGGCGACGCACTAAAATTCGACGTCTAAACGACATAAAATCCGACTTGGAAGATATGAAACGGTCTCTCCTGGACAATCGCCCCAGTGCCCCGACTCAACACGCCACAGCCAATCCGGACGAGTTGGCGCGTCTCTTCTCGTCCGTGCAGGGCCTCGCCGATGCCGCCTTCAACTTTAGGGAATGCCGGTGCCCTTACGTCCCCCCTCCGACACATCTCTCTCCCCATTCCCCGTCGCAGACAGCACCTCCCCCTCCTGCCAACAACCAGGGTGAGTCCGCCGCGACCTCCACTGCGCCATCCTCCCACTCCGAGAACCACCCACTTCCCCCCTCGCGCTCACGGCAGAGAGCATCTCCCCATCCCGCGAATGACCCGGGTCGGCCCTCGGCGCCGTTCGCGTCTTTCGCCAACTCCGAGCACAACCCACCTAACAACACCTCTCCGGCGGGTATCCCCTCTGGCTCGTCGCGGGGAGCATCTCCGCCTCCTCGTGCGAGGCGAGTCCTCGAAAAACCTACTGTGTCGTTCGCTCTTCCATCGGTCAGTTCCCCTACATCCACGAGCCGCGCTACTCCGCCAGACACGATCGATGGTAAGCTCTAATCCGCCTCGTTTCCCACTGCGATTGATACCAATGCCCGTGAAGCCTCCCCACCCCGAACCACTCAGGCGGCTGGCGGGTCTCCGAGTGTTCCCCGGGATTTTACCACCGCACCGGCTTCCATCCCCCAACAAACGGAAGAGTGTCGCGCACTCCTCAGGGAGACGGCGGCTAATGTACGGCAAATCGTGCAAATCTTGAAGACGAGGGAGCTCACCGCAGAGGGCCTTCAGCGCGTTTCCGCGACCTGTGTCAATGCGCCCGGACGATCCCGTCTCCCGGATCACCCGCCCCTTCCCCAACCTACCGGCGGGTCTCAGGCGCCGCCGCCTGGGACACCGACAACCCTCGTCGACCGCACAAGCACCAACGACAACAACAGCCCTTTACTTTCGCAGTCAATGACTCTCAAGCTTGAGACTTTGTTGGCTGAACTGCCTCGGGGGACCTCGATGACCGTCACCGTCCCCATCCCCCGCCTTCCTGAAATCGACGGCACGGCGCGGGGCGCTCCGCTTCCCCTGCAACCATCTACGGGGTCCAACCCAGCACAGGTCGCTGCCGCTGCCGGTGGCCCCGACAATCCCCCAACTCGTGGGCAGCGGACCGGCACTGGGTGGATTCGTCGCTCGATGAGTAGCATGCTGGCGAGACTTGCCGATGTCCACCTTCCCCGGTTACGATGCTCAGTAGGGAGCTCGAGTCGGAGGAAGGGGGAAAGCCTCAAGGACATGTGAGTACATCTCCAGCCCCTCACCGAGTTGTTGTGTACCGTGGCCAGTCTAGCTACTGACTGCACGCCGTCAGGACGCAAGAGGGAGGAGACGGCAAAGGCGCGATGTAGGCTCTCCCGTTTGCCCTGAGGTAAATTCACTGACGTACGCCGGAGTCTATAACCTCTGGCATGCACTCTTTCCACCTCTCTCCAACTCTGGCCTCGTTAAATCTTCGGACCTTGTCTTTTGTATGATGTATCCACGATTCGTCTCAAGCGTCCTACACCCCCTGTCGAGCCCCTAGCTGTGTATGTGTGTCAAGAGAATGTCCATCCATCGCGATTCACAGAACACTGCGTCGATGGTGGGAGATCGCTCCCATCCCCATGGGCTTCGGATGCACGTCCCACTCAGCGGATGCATGATCACGCCATGCGCGTGCGAGCTTCCAACATGATGATACACATCTCGTACACAAGTACAGTCTGACAGGCGAATCCACCACCCACTCAGATCTCGCCCGAGCACACCTGCTCGACCCACTCCGTGTCGCTGCGCACGGTCGTGAGGTTCTCGTGGCCCTCCTTCGTGATCAAGACCACGTCCTCGATTCGGACGCCCCCGACGCTCTCGTACCGCTTCAGAACCCCCAGGTCGATGTGCTTCGAATCGCGCACCGGAGCAAGGAGGTGCGGCGAGAAGTAGATGCCCGGCTCCACCGTCTGCCGCCGCCCACACCATCAGCACTCAAGACTCCCGATCGAGCCTAAAGAGGACTCACCACGACCATCCCTTCCTCGAGCGGCAGGCGCAGGCGGAGGTACGTGTAGAACGACTCGTGGCCGAGCTCGATGTGCTTGATCGTGTCGTTGACGACGGGCTTGCTCGCGCTCGGGACATCGTGGACGTCCATGCCGAGCGAGTGGCCGACGCCGTGCGGGAAGAACGCGGACGAGACGCCGCTCGCGAGGATCGCCTCCTCGGCGTTCCAAGAGCCCGAGCCTGCGGAATTGGGCGTCTTGAAGATGCCGAGCTTCTGGAAGCCGCGCACGAGCGTGCGGTGGCAGAGGAGCTGGATCGCGTCCCAGTGCAGGCCGGGCTTGAGTGCCTCCATGGAAAGCTGGCGTTGGGGCGGCGTCAGCGGAATACGCGAGGACATGAAGGCGTGCCGCACCTTCTGCATCTCGAGGACGATCTCATAGATCGCCCGCGCCTCGGGAGTAAACTTGCCGCCATTGCCCACGGGCATCGTTCGCGTGACTGCAAGGGGGAAACAACGCTGAGCGACATGGCACGATACGCACGCGATCAACTCACTATCGGCAGCGTAGCACTTCCATTCGCAGCCTGCGTCGATGAGCAGCACTTGGGGGCTCAAGTTCCGTTCGTGATCATGCGCGATATCGTTGCAGTTCTGGTGGTCGTGCGCGTTCACGGGCCCCCAGGCAAACTCGCGGTCATTGCAACAGTAGTGCAGGGTGGATGCCCTAGTGGACGCGGCCACGATCGGTAGGTACGCTTGGTGCTCCGCCCTACACGCACACGGTGGGTATGATGTCATAGCATAAGCGTATGTAGGACGTACCCTTCCCGGCGACAGGACGCCACAAAAAGCGCCTCAGCTTCCGCCTCCTTCTGTATGAGCCATTCTCCGGGGAGTAGAGGTCGGTCGACGCCAGCACCCTTGCCGCGAGTGATCAGGCCTCGCACGCCCTGGCCGAGAACGCGCATGACGGTCTCGTGGGCGCGCGAGCTGATCTGGTTCGCCCGCTTGATCAGGGCAATCTCCTCACCGTCCTTGACGAGACGGGCCCGATGGAGCGCGGTGAGAAGGTAGTCTTGACTGACGGTAACGTTGGCCGCGAGGAACGGGGCGGTGTACTGGGACGAGAGTGTCGGGAAGAGAGGCGAGGTGGGGAGGATATGAACGAGGGCATCGGGGAAGGCCTTGGAGAGATCCTGGATAGCAGCGGGGAGAGAGGCAGTGTAATCGATCCGGGTAACTTCATGCGTGGAGGTTGCCTCTTCGACTGTCGGGGGAGGCACCGACCACATGAGGTCGGCGAGTTCAGCCTTCGGGATGAAGAGGTGCGACGAGGGTTTCGATTCCAATGAGGTGCCTTTCTGGAAAGTGACAAGGAGATGGGAGCCGGGAACCCTGCATCCAGAAAGATAGAAGAAGTTGGACTCCTGTAGATCGAGAGCATGAGCAAGATAAAGACCAAAGCAAGCTCTCCAACTCACCTGACGGAAAGGCATCTCGCGGTCCGTGTCATTGCGGAACGGTGTGGTTTCTCCGGCCAAAAGCACAATCTGGGTCTACAAATATCTCAGGAAAGCGTCTTCAGCGTATGTCGTCTCAACTCACCTTCGCTTGATCGGCCTCGGGTAGTAGCTCTACGAGCTTCGTGAAAGTCTTAAAGGCATGCCTCTGCGCTTGGAGATCTTGAGAGCTGAAGGTGAATATATGCGCAGATCATAGCTACCAGGATAGACAGGGTCGGCCATGGTTCTTCGGATCCTCTGCGCGCGTTATGAGAGCGGAGATCTAGGCAGCAGATGGTGGTCGCGGGACAAGGAGAACGGGCGGTACGAGGCGGGCCGGCGCGCTTTTTGCACTTCGTCTTGTACCACCGTCCTCCTTGTGTCTTCCCGCTTTGTCCCACTCTCCCTCCCCGTTTAGATGGCCACAAGCCTACTCTCCAAGTCAGAACGCGCATACATCCAGGCTTCTCTGCAAGCCTCACCACCTCTACGCGCAGATGGGCGCGCCTTACTCGACTTCCGTACCGTTCTCCTCGAGACCGGTGTTGCGCCTTTGGCAAACGGTAGTGCAAGGCTCAACATCGGAAAACTACCGCGCGAAGGTGGCGGCGGCACGGAAGTCCTCGCGGCCGTGAAGCTCGAAGTCGAGGACGTTCAAACCGGAGATGGGGTCGACGGCGGACGGGTAGCCTGCTCAGTAACCTGGTGCGTAACACAACTCCTTTGCCCCGGTGTCCAGGAGCTCAGTCGTCGAAAGACAGCTTCCCTTCTGCGTACCCGCAGCTCTCGTCCAACGCGCTCGACGACCTGCAGCACGACCTCACCGTCATTCTGCAACAGACCATCCAGCACCCTTCCCTCCATCCCCGAAATCTGACCATCATCCCCAACAAGAAGTCCTGGCTGCTCAACCTCGACGTCGTCATTCTTTCAGACGCAGGCAACGTCGTCGACGCGCTCTTCATGGCTTCTCGAGCGGCATTATGGGACACGAAAGTTCCGAGAACCCGCGCCGTCGAGTATCGCACGCCCGACGCGTCGAAGAAGCCAAAGAAGGACGCGATGGACGTGGACGAACGCACCAGTGGGTTTGAGACGCGGGACATCGCGCGCACGGCGGCAGACTTCGAGCTTCCGGATTACTGGGACGAGGGAGAGACGCTTGAGGGGCGCGAGAGGTGGCCTGTATGTATCACCCTCAACCTGGTACGTCGCCATCTCATCTCGGAATGCTCTGGCTTGCTTACGGCTTTTTTCATAGCTTCCTCCCATCCATATTCTGGATGCCACTCTCGCAGAAGAAGCCTCAATACCCTTGCGTCTATACCTCATGTTTTCGTTTGTCCCCTCCCAACCGCCTACTCTCCAGTCGATGAAGTTATCTGGTCCAGGGGAGCTGAACATCGCTCAACTAAAGAGCAGTATCTCGGTACGTATCGTTTGGTGTCCTGTGCGGCGGAGTCTCATGTGGAAGCTAGGACGGCGAGAAATATGCACGAGAGTTGTTCAATGCGCTAGAAACAAAGCTGCGAGACGAGGACACGAGGCGGACGGTGAAGGCAAGAGATAGATTCGCGCTGCTCCGATGATATCCTTTGGCAAAAAGTATAACATACGTGTACGTAGTATTGTTTTGATGAGCGTGTCGCTTCCGGTCGCGAAGTGCGTTGCTAGTGACCTGAAGCATACAGTCTGCGTAACAGCTTCCAAGACACAAGTCTTTCTGCAAGTCACTGTGGATCGTGATAGGTTCGCACACACATTTGACATTCAGATACTGCAGCGTCCTTCCAAGTAGGCCTGGGAAGCGCAGTCGACAAGAACGTCACATCTGTGCATCGTGCCTAGGTCTACCCGATGATTCCAAACTCTTACACAAAAAGCTACTAAGCAAGCTGCGCATGTAGTGTTCTCGACAGTGCGAAGGTCGCCCGGATGACAGGCCGCGTCAGCGGTGTCACATAGGACCCAGTCCAGGCCGGCAAGGTCCCATTGAGCAGTACTAGTACTTGTAAGCACAGAGGAAGACAGATGGTAGTCACCACGACAATGCTCGGATGACCCGACTCCGCCGGGCTTCTCTGACTAATCATGAATACGGACAGGCCCTTTAGTTCGGGAGGTATATAGCTTCACCCTTCGAGCTCTTTGTCTCGTACCCCTTCACATCCACAGCCTGAGATTATACCATGCAGGCGCCGGTTTCCAAGAAGCTTTCCGTTGCGATTGTGTGAGTGCCACCGTTTCTCCTCCTCCTCTGACGTTGACGGCCCCCTTTCGCCCAGGGGTGCGGGCCTGGGCGGCCTACTTATGGCCTTGGTCATCCAAAAGGACTGCCCAGATGTTGAGGTCACTATCTACGAGTCCCACGCGGAGCTCACTGAAGTCGGTGCCGGGATCGGTGTCTGGCCCCGAGTCTGGGAAATTCTTAAATATGTCGGCTTGGAGGACACCCTCCGTCAGGCCACTGGAAGCACGGACCCCAATGAAGCCAGTGCGCGAGGAATCTGCTCGTCGATTCTCGCTTCATTCTAATTTCCTTTCAGGAATGTCGATGACCATGGCCAAAGCAGACGAGCCAAGCATGATAGACTTCCATCAGTTTGCGCCCACCAGTATGTGTCCTCCGCCCGTCACGCCCCTTTTTCTGATGTGCCGATGTGCCTGCAGTATACACTTTCCAGCGCTCCATGCTCCAGAAGCTGCTTGCCGGCCACCTCCGCGACCCAGGCAACGTCCTGCAGTTCTCGAAGCGCCTGGACACGTATACCGAGCCTGCCGACGGAACGACGGGCCCCGTCATTCTGCAGTTCAGGGACGGTACCTCCGCGTCGTGCGATCTGCTCGTCGGCAGCGACGGGATCCGGTCGACGGTGCGCCGCGTCATGTACACCAGGCTTGCGGACGCCGAGGCCGGAGAGAAGGCGGAGGTGCTTCGCTCGATGATCGAGCCAGTCTGGTCGGGCTGGGTTGCCCACCGCGGTCTCATCCCCACCGCCATGTTGTCACAAGAGGCTCTGGCGAAGATGAACCGGCCGCTCATCGTGAGTACATCTGTTCACCCTGCGAAGATCGCGCATGAACTCGCTTCTGCTGCAGCTCGTAGGAAAGGACAAGGTTAGGACACTCTGCACGGGACCCTTCCTTGCGGCTGACTCCTTTGCAGCTGATCATCAACTACCCCATCGCTAACGGGACTCTGATCAACGTCGCCGCCTTCGTCGGGAAGCAGGTTGGCGAAGACGCCGTTTACCACGGACCGTGGGTGGCGCCCGAAACGGCCGAGGAGGTTGCGAGCAACTTCGAAGGCTGGGACCCGATTGTGCAGAACCAGCTGAAGGTACGGCTTCCCGGTTATGAAGATATTGGGGTCGTCGCTGACGGAGGCGATTTACAGTGCATCCAGAAGCCTAACCTGTGGGCAATCCACACCACACGCGTCTTGCCTACCTACGTGAGGGGCCAGGTTGCCCTCATTGGGGATGCGGTGCGTAGTGTCGTCCGTCTTCGCCAGTCGTCGTGGAGCTGACGTTTGGCGCTCGCAGGCCCACGGTATGACTACCTTCCAGGCGTCGGGAGCCGGTCAAGCGATGGAAGACGGCTTCATCCTTTCTGCGATCCTCAGTCAGAAGGCCGTCACGGCCGAGACGCTTCCGGGGGCCCTCAGGATATACGACGAGATACGCCGGCCGTTCTCCCAGGACGTCAAGGAAAAGTCGCGTCTCAACGGCGGGAGCTCTCATCTGTGGAGGCACGGGTGGGAGAATGTGACCGCCGAGCAGAGTGCCAGGGGCGAGTACCCCAGGGAGTTGCTTAAGGTTGTGGGCACGGAGTCAGAGCAGTCGATGAGCTGGACGATCCACGGCAGCATCATGCAAGACCGCGACACGGTTCTGCAAATGGCCGGCGAGTTGGGACAGTAGATGCATGCTATCCGGGCACCTGTCACATTAGGATAGAGGACGGGTTGGATCATGGATGTATGCTACAGTATACTCGTACAAGCGCAATTACAAAGCTCTTCTGCGACGTTTAATTGCCCGCGACCGTGGACGCGTTGTCGGTGAGGACCTTGTTGAGGCCCTCGCGGTGGAGGCAGTTCTCGAACGCGAAGCTCTTCGCGATCGCGTCGATCTCGGCCTCGCTCTTGCCCGCAAAGTGCTCCGCCCACTCGCGGACGAGGAACTCGGAGACGAGGATGTTGCGCGCGAGGCGGCCGATCCGGTCCGTGAGCTTCCACACCGGCGCGGGGTAGAGCGCCTGGTGCTCGGGCTTGACCTCGCGCTGGATGAGGTCGAGCAGGGGCTTGTACGTGTCCCGGACGTGGGAGTCGTCCGCGCCCCAGGCGTCGATCGCGAGCCGGTGCTTCTTGGCGAGGAAGTCGCGGAAGAGGGTCATGTACGGCGTCTCGCGCGAGACGTAGACCATACCCTGGAAGCCGATGTCCTTGTACAGCCAGATCGACCAGCTCAGGCGGTCCTGTGCCTAGCGTGAGCCGCGCGCCCCGAGGGGAGATATGGATCAGATGCGCACCTTGTTGTAGATGGAGAGCTGATCCTTGAGGACCTTAAAGCGCTCCTCGTTGATCGCCTCGGTCGCCTCGCCCTCGTACTCCTTGCGCGCGTACACGGGCCCCCACTCGCCGTTCCAGACGCACAGCCCGTGCTCGTCCATCCACTGCCGCTTCTTCTCGTACGAGCGCCGGAGCCGGTGCTGCTGCGTCTCGCTGCTGACGTACGCCTCCGGGGACGAGGGGAAGCCGAAGATGGAGTAGTCGTGGATCGAGTACGCGACGTTGTCCCAGCCCTTGTAGGCGTCGCCAAAGTGCGAGAAGTCGGACGCGAACGTGTTCCCGTCGAAGAAGACGGCGTGGTGCGGGTCGATCGTGCGGATCGTCGTCAGGACGCGATCGTAGAAGCCGACAACGCGGGTGTGGTACGGGTCCGTGGGCTCGTTGAGCGGGTTGTAGCCCGCGATCCACGTGTTGCCGACGTAGTGCTTCGCGAGCTCTTCCCAGAGCCAGATGACGCGGTCCTGGAAGTCTTTGTGGTTCCAGAAGTTGGCGATGTGGGTCCCAGCGTCCGCGTGCCAGTCGGTGTTCTGGCCGCCGGGGGCGGTGTGGAGGTCGAGGATGGTGTAGATACCGTGCTTGGCGCAGAGGTCGATGACGCGGTCGAGATGCTTGAATCCCTCAGGCTTAAGCACACGAGGGTTCATGTCATCTACATTTTGCCTCAGATTGAGGACGACTCGCAACTGGGGGGATGCTGCACACCTTCAAAATGCCTGTAGTTGAATGGGAGACGAATGCAGTTCAGGCCAAGGCTCTTGAAGAAGGCAGCATCTTCGTCCTGGAAGAAGTACTCGAGGAACTGTGAAGCGAGATGAGATGCAGATCCTACTGCTGGCACGAGAAGCGCACCTTGTCAAAGAAGAGCTCGCTCTTGTCCTTCCCCACCACATCCACGAGCGCCGCCCGGATCTGGAACTCACATCCAGGGTAACCTGATAGAAGTTAACTTTCATCCCCTTCATGTACGCGCAGTGCTACCCACCACTGATGAAGTTCTCCATGCTGCGAGATCGTCAACAATCGCGCGTCACCCCAGCACATCGACACTCACTTCATCCATCCTCCGAGGCCAGCGCCGCGCAGGATGATCTCCTCGCCGTTCTGGTCGACGATCTTGGTGCCAGATACTTTCAGGTAGGCCATGTTGGACGGATGTCGGACGCTTTGCACTCCTCGCCGCACCCCACGGGGTATATATACATAGCCCGTCGCCTCTCCGACGGACTGTTCGAGGGGTGGGCGACCGATTATTCTCCGGCGCGGCGTCCGGTCCGGTGCTCCGGGGTTTCGGATTGGGAGAGGGCGGACGACGCAGCGGGTCATAGGCCGTCATGTGTTCCGCCGCGCCGTGCAACCATTCGAGGGCGCACCAGGCACCCAATGCGGCCCGGAACCAAGCCCTCGAACAGGCCAATGGCGGCCGGGGAAGCTTGGGAAGGTTTAGATATATCAATAGCGGCTGTGGACGTTCAGTCCGCTCCGCACCCTGTGCTTGTTCTTGCCTACCTCCTTGCCCCAGCGACCAGCATGGCTAGTTTCTTGAGAGTTGACAAGACTAAGATCGTGGATGAGGATAGCAAGGAGGTGGTTCTTCGAGGCGCAGGCCTGGGAGGCTGGATGACGTGAGTAGTACATCACCGTGCCCCTGTATGTACCAAGCTCATCAACGCAGGATGGAGAATTTCATCTCAGGTCGGCGCGATGTCTCGGAAGTCGGACGGCTCGATGACTGAGTGCTGAGCGATCATCCAGGTTATCCTGGATGCGAGTTCCAGATCCGCGAGGCGCTCGCTGAAGTCATAGGCAAAGAGAAGTCAGAGTATTTCTTCGACAAGGTGCGAGGCTCTTACCTCGAAAATGCACCCACGCTCTAGTGCCAGCGGGGCACCGAAAGCCTCTTCGGAGCCTGTACTAGAGGACGCACCCCACTCTTGAGCCGTTGATAGCAGGAGCTCGCCGAGCTCGTCAATTGACGTGCCCCACAGTTCCTCGAGCACTTCTTCGCCGAGCCGGATGCCGCGTTCTTCAAGTCCCTCGGCCTGAACTGCATCCGCATCGCCATCAGCTACCGCCACTTCGAGGACGACCTGAACCCTCGCGTGCTCAAGCCCGAGGGCTTCAAGCACCTCGACCGCGCCGTCGCCGCCTGCGCCAAGCACGGCATCTACACCATCCTCGACATGCACACCGCGCCCGGCGGCCAGAACGGCGGCTGGCACTCGGACGCGGGAACGCACATCGCCAACTTCTGGATCCACAAGGACTTCCAGGACCGCCTCGTCTGGCTCTGGACCGAGGTCGCGCGGCACTACAAGGACGAGAAGGTCAGCTCGCGTCGCGCCGGACTAGTAAGCAGCCCGTCGCTCACCGTGCGCCGCAGTGGATCGCAGGCTACAACCTGATGAACGAGCCCGCAGACCCGAGCAACTGCGCGGGGCTCGTCAGCTTCTACGACCGCGCGGCGGCGGCGGTCCGCGCGGTCGACCCGCGCCACGTGCTCTTCCTCGACGGGAACACCTACGCGACCGACTTCTCCGGCTTCCCCGAGGACGCGGGCGCGCGCTGGCCGAACGCCGCGTTCGCGATCCACGACTACTCGCTCTACGGCTTCCCGCTCGCCCCGGAGCCGTACGCGCGCACCGAGGAGCAGCGGCGCCGGATGCGCCGGAGCTACGAGAAGAAGCGCGAGTGGATGGACGCGCGCGGGCTGTGTGTGTGGAACGGGGAGTGGGGGCCGGTGTATGCGCGGAGGGAGTACGAGGGCGAGCGGACGGACGAGATCAACGAGGTCAGGTACAAGGTGCTCAACGACCAGCTGGAGATGTACGCCAAGGTCAGCGGGAGGTTCCGGTTGCGCGCGGCAGGAGCACCCACTCACCTTGACCCAGGACCGCCTGAGTTGGTCGATTTGGCTGTACAAAGACATCGGCTTCCAGGGCATGGCGTACGTGTCGCCGGACACGGCCTACAGGAGGCTCTTCAAGGACCACCTGGAGAGGAAGTACCGCCTCGCTGCGGACTCGTGGGGCGCAGACGACAAATATGTCCGCCATGCCTACGAGCCGATCGTGCAGCTCATCAAGGACAACGTCCCAAACGAGGAGCACCGCCGCTTGTACCCGTACCCGGTGTGGACGGTAGAAGGTCGTGTGGCAAGGCTCGCGCGGTGCATGCTCATCGGCGAGTTCATGGTGAAGGAGTGGGCGGACCATTTCAAGGGGATGGACTACGAGCAACTTGACGAGCTGGCCGAGAGCTTCAAGTTCGCGAACTGCTTGGAGAGGGAGGGGCTCAACAAAGTCTTGAGGCAGCATGCAGAGCAGGCGGAAGTCAACTAGGAGGCATTACGAAAAAGGACATGGCGATTGAGGACATGTTAGTGATACAGAGTGGCAGACAAGGCAAATTATACAAGCTCAACCTCCCCTCGAAGGAGCAGATGCTCTACAACGTAATACGGTGTCAGGGAAATCTGTCCCTTTTGCCATTGTGTTGCAGTACCACTGTCGGGTAACTGTTGGAGACCGGTTGACAGGGGCGAAGAAGACAAAACTTACTCTGGAAGATAGACGGGTGGGCAGTCTACGAGTGCATGAGCAAAGACTGGCTTTAATTTATCAGGCGACGGTGCTGTAATTCTGTAAGCAGGCGTATATTGAGCGCAGATGAACGACGCACTCATAGGGGGCATGAAGGCTACATCCTCTTCCAGCGACCTTTGTTGCAGAGGAAGGCCTTGAAGTACCGTTTGGTTGAAGTGATACTCCACAAGGCGTGCGTACCTGATAACATGACACAGACTTCGCATAAGTTCAAACTTCAATCTCGTGAAACGGAGTGCTCACCGTTGCGCGTGGTCCAGCTCTGCCTTCGATAGTCGCTCATGCATGCCAGGAGTAGCACTGATAAAGCGCGCATACTTCTCGATCTATATGCTGCTCAGCAGCTCTTCGCAGACTCACCAGACAGCAAAGAATGGCGTACCTTGTGTAATCGCGTGCGGATGTAGGAACGAATCACAAACTTGACTCGTTCAACCTCCGTCTGCACCAGCATGATGCGGAAGTGCTCCTCTTCCGACGAGTCTGGGTCAGCACGAAGCAGTTCGACGTCGCTGGACTAGAACTGAGCACCGTCAGTCACAGCCCAAGGCTTCACTACCACATGCGCGCATACAACCACCAACCAGCCGCGAATCGGGAGGCTCACCTGTTTGCTGATGTGGTCCAACAGGCGTCCTAGCAGCATCTCTTGTCCAGGGAGGATATCTGGCGCGTGCCGTTCGTTCATCCAGTGGCGTATGAGCTGCTGGAAGGGCGTTTCTTCGGCGGAGTCTTGTGGCAGGGCGCGCGCGACGGACGAGCGAGGGAACGCGTCGTCGATGGGGTAGTCATCGTCGTCGGGGGCGCCGCGTGCGCGATCAACGAAGGACGAGCCGACCTCCCAGTCGCTCTCCATGGTGCCTTTGCGCAGACGCAAACAGAGTGGAGTTGGAGGATGAGGAGAGCCAGGCCGTGGTCAGAAGCAACACGCGTCCGGTCGATCGAGACGCTTCTCCGAACAGGTGCTGTGTCGCGCAGGGTCCCGCCCAGCCTCTGCTGCCATACAAATTGCTAGATAGACGTCGAGAGCCAAGTATTCTTACATGTACAACTGGAGCGAAATATACGGGGACTACAAAGCTCGACAACAAGCACTCACCCTACTCGTACACCACAAACAGGTCATTGTGCGCGAGAACTGAAGCGTACCATGGCCCGTCACCCAGCCCACTCTTCATCAGAATCATCTCGTTTGCCTCGCTGCCTACCGAACCCTTCGTCTTCGTCTTCTTCGTCGTCCATCTCCGCCTCCTCCTCCCTCGCCTCCTCCTCTTCCTTCTCCTTGTCGCTGGCCTTTCTCCGTCTACGCTTCGGCGCGGCCTTCTCCGCACCATTCTCCTGCGCACCTTTCTTGTCTTTGCCCTTCCCGCGTTTCTTCGCTCGCGCCTCCGCGTTCTCCGCTTCAATATCGATGGTGCCGCCTGCAGAGGGATCGGGGACAGCCTCGACAATCTCTTTGAGAAAATCAAGCATGTCGACGGTGTCGATGGCGTGTTTCCTGTAAAGTCACCAGCACGAGAGCAAGGATAGGAGCAGTGGGTTGTCGTTGAACGAAAGGGAAAGCAGTGGCAAAATAATGAAAGGACGCACAAGTGATACGCTTCGACGCGTTTGGAACCTCTATCCGTCGTAACGTTGCTAGCTTCTTGAACCAGCATAGCGAGGAACAGTTCAAGGGCCTTTGCTACGGTTGGGCGCATTCCCCACCCAATGAAGATGTTCGCCAAAGATCGAAAGACATGCGGGAGTCATTTGAGCGCGCTGGATGGAACAGGGGAGCGACGCACATATGACAACCGGAGTGGCTTGCGCGACTTTTCCGACCTCCTCATCCTTCTGCATTATGCGCTTGATACGCGCCTGCAAGGGAGATGTGTGTGGAGGGGGAAAGCACCAGTGCAGATAGTGTCATGGTATCACGGTGAATATTCGTCAGTCAGCAGGAATTGCGAAAGTGGGACAGACTGGATCCTGCGTACCACTGGAAATTTGGTAGTCTTGTTCTTGTTCTTCATCTACGATTTGAGATGGAAGAGTTCATTTGTGGTGCAAACTCACAGGAAAGAGTCATATATTCCACTCACCGTGAAGAGAGATGAGGTCAGGATGGTGCTTCGAGTTGAGGCTCTCAAATCCGAGCGGCGGGGGTCAGGGAGGGGTTCCAGGGGTCGGACACGAGCGTCATCACGGAGACAAATCCCCATGTCATTGATCACATGAATCTCACGTGATAGATGTGCCATCCTTAAGATCACGCATTTATATGCCACTCACTGAGTGAAGGTGGGCATAATAAAAACTAAGAGTCGGCCACCCGCGGACCTCCGCGCGCTGACGGACCCTAACCAATTCTCCCCTCTCAGATCGCAGGCCTGTGTGTAGCGTGAGGACGACGCCGGACGAGCCGACATCTCGGTCGAATGGTTCCGTCAATCGGTTTGTGTGATGTCGCGGTCGGCGATCGTTTCGCCGTAGGCAAGCCATGGACAGTGGGTGCGCGCGTAGGCCACGGCGAGTCGCGACCGATTCGGCCGCCGGAGGTGTTGAGTCGACCGGCGTAAGTGCCAGGTCTGCCCAGGCCCCAGATGGCCCCAACACGTAGCGTGTTGATCCTATTGAGTACTTATCACTGGCCACCTGGGACCCCTCCTTGACCCCCGCCGCTCGGAGAGGTCTCAACTTGAAGCACGTTTGAGTAACGTAGGTCCTAGCTAGGAGCTTGGTAATGAAACGCAAAGCTGGAGATACCTTTGTTTGGCTTAGCGTATGCTAACATAAATACAAAAGCGAGTCTCATACAACACGCCGATGGTGAAGTGGTTATCATGCTTGCCTTCCACCTTGGGTAGCAAGCGGCACGGGTTCGATTCCCGTTCGGCGTATCAGCAGTGGTACATCAAATGTTTTTACCCCCACGCCGGCTATCAAAATTCTGTCAGCTGGATATTGCATTTAATGTATGTATTAGAAGAGTTACCGAGCACCTTCGAAGTTAGATGAAAGAGGATACAGTACTCAGTACTCAGTGTCGACTGGAAGGGCGCGAGTGGCTATAGCGCCCACGCACCTCTTCTCCCGACCATCAATATGGGTGTCGCGGACTCTTCACACAGAACTATCCATCCCTTAAAGAGGCGAAAAACCTCTCATAACACTACCGCTACATTCCGTCCTGTTGCCGACGCCACCCCCCTCAAGGATCTCAAGGGCGACAGGTGTACGTCCTGCCGCCGCGCCTTCCCTGCCTCGAAGCAGAACCAGCTCTTGCAGTGTGCTCGGTACGCCGTACAGACCCTCGTGGACTTATTCTCATGGCCAACGATGCTGCAACAGCTGCCTGTCTTCAACGTGCACAATTTGCTCGCGGATTTGCAACGGATGCCCGCCTTCCACCACCGTGCCTCCCACCCCGACCCTCACTGACACACCGAGCCTCCCCGACACTCCCTTGGAGTCCCCCTTCCGAACCCCAGATTCGCTTCCCAGACGGCCTGCCCTCTCTCAGAGCACCAACATGGTCGTAGACGTCGGGGTGGCTAGCAGTGTGGCCGGGCGAAGACGAAAGGTGCGTGACGAAGACTTCGCGGAAGGAGCGCGGAGCGCGGAAGGCAGCGGCGATGGAGATGGAGAAGATATGGCGACTCCCGGGTGTGGAAGAACCATATGTCAGAACTGTTCGTTCGAGACCCCTTCCAGGTACGCATTGTTGTTATTGTTAATGCGCGCGATCAGGAGCTTTTGGTTCGATGCAGTACCTGGGGCAGGCTGGCCTTGGATCGCGACTGATGCTCCTCTTGCAGGGACATCACAACTTGCTACGACTGCGGAGGACGTCCACACACACCATGAACATGATCTTTGCACCCGTCCGTCAGACTTTCTATGTCACTGCCGCTAGTATCTATCAGTCTGCGCTATGCTATGTGAATCCCGTTCTTTTAGGAAGTTCATCTCCATTTATGTATCATATCAGCTTCTCTCATCTCATACGTTGTGGCACTTGTCTACATCTGCAGTATCCTGCCTTCACCTTTGCCGACCTTTTGCTCTCTTGCTCGTGTACATGATACCTTATAATGCTTGTGCTGTATATTTACGTTTTCTGGAGGGGTTTTTTGAACCATACTACCCCATCTCTTGCGTTGCACTTTTCAGCGCGAGAGCCATGCTCGTTGCTCAATGCATAAACGCGTCGCGTCAAGTATGATGATGTGTAACGTACACGTGATTGTGACAAACGCGCGACGCGACGCGTCTTCTACGGTCACGCTCGGGCTACTACTTACCTCCGTCTCCAACTTGCGTCAACATCCCTGGAATTTCGTCGTCAAACAGCTCGTACATGCGCATATACTGGCGTGAGTGGATTGAATGCGGTTGCGTGTGGTGACCTGAACTTGCCCTTTCGGCAGAAGCCATCCCCAAGTTGCACCGACCTCAAACTGGCCCTGTGCGCATTACAACGCTGGGAAATCAACAGGTTGATTATAAATGAACACTTCACAACCAGGACATGTCGAGTCTCAATTCGACCTAGTGGGCGGTCCATTTGCTGTAATAGAATCGGACCCTGGTGAGTAATGTGTCCCGTGAGGTTCTCTATCGTTCTCCGTGCACCGCCGCGTTTTTGTGCACGAAAATGCCACTCGCAAGTGAATTATCTGATGCCAATTTTATGCGCGAGAAAAGAGACAAGGGAAAGATGATTTTCGAAGGCGTTTGTTCTGGAGCATCCCCCGGTGATCCATCAGATCTTTCTCTTTTCAGTCGCCTTCGCTCACACCCGAAAGGCCTCGGAAATCTCACTTGCGAATGTCATCTTCCCTCCCTTTCGTGTACCCAAAACGCGGCGTTGCATGTCGTGATACCGTTCGTTCAAGCATGTCGGCTGAAAGACAGATGGCGGTGCGGATTTGTATTCAGTATCTGCAACTGCGTGACCTGAGTCCTACCATGTTCATTGTTGTGTAGCAGCTCACCGGTATTGTACACATCCACAGGTGTGTTCACCACCCTTATCCAGAAGCTCGGAGTACAGGGCCTTGAGGTCCTCGAGCTGTACAGCATCGAGCCCTTCGACACAGACCACCTCAACCCCTACGGCCTCATATTCTGCTACATGTGTGGCGACGAGGAGACAAGCAAGGCCAACGAGTTCGGCGAAGAGGACGACCTCGACGATCCAGACGCCAACGACATCTGGTTCGCCAATCAGCTGAGCGACGACGCTTGCGCGTCGCAGGCGATTCTGAACGTCCTCTTCAACTGCAACGGCATCGACTTGGGCCCGGAGATGACCGCGTTCGCTGCCGACACGGCGCAGATGTCGCGGGTCGTGAGTACTTGAGTGGGGCCGCGCCCACGCCTTCTGTGCGCCCGTGCTGATGTTTACCCACAGATACGGGGCCTCGCGATCTCCAACTCGACGACCGTCAGGGAGGCGCAGAACTCTCTCGCCCGGCAAGGCTCCCCCGCATCTCTCACAGACAACCCACTAACTTCCCTGCGCCGCAGCCCCGCCGACCTGCGCGGCGCATTCCACGCGCTCGCCGCCAGCGCCCTCGAGTCCGCCAGAAGCAAAGCCAAATCGAGCGCAGCAAGCTCCCCGGCGGCGAAGCGCAGGAAGACCGGCGGCGCATCCGCGTCTGCCGCGCGACGCAAGCCCGCACGGTCCGCCGCCGCCGCCGCGCCCACCACCGACGCGTACCACTACATCGGCTACGTCCCCGCGCGCGGGCGCGTCTGGGAACTCGACGGCCTACGCGCGGCGGGGCCGCTCGACGTCGGCGCGCTCGACGGCGCGGCCGACGACGGGGATCCCCAGCCTGCGGCCGCGCGCGCGGGGTGGATGGACGTCGTGCGCCCGGCGCTGCGCCGGCGGATGCGCGCGGTCGCCGGGGGCGGGCACATCCAGTACAACCTGCTCGCGCTCGTCGACGACGCGTACCGGCGGGCGAGCGACGAGCTCGAGATGCTGAAGCGCGAGCGGAACGCGCTCGAGCGGCGGCTGGCGGGCGGGGAGGCGGAGTGGATGGACAAGGTGGAGTGCCGGTCTTGCATCACACTGGGCTGGGCGGGTGGGCTGACGTGGGTTGTTGACAGGTCGATCCCGCGCTTGCGGCAAGTGCGGAAGGGGCGTTCGCGACGAGCCTCCGTCCTGACGGACGAGCCACAGGCAAGATGTTCAGCGCGGGCTTTGGAAGGGAGAAGTTGGAGAAGGAAATCACGATACTGGAGATGCCCGTGCGTGAGCTCACGCCCGCGTGGGAGCGCTGCGTGAGGGCCGCGCTGGGGAAGAAGACGGCCGTGGAGGAGGAGATCGTGAAGTCGCAGCGCGCGCAGGTGCGTCCGCGCCGGATCATCCCCCGATCGAGCTTTGAAACCTGCGTGTCCGCTCGACGGCTGACAGCGGGCATCTTGCAGGCCGACAACGTGAAGCGCACGCACGACTATGAGCCGTTCATCAAGGAGTTCATCATCTCCATGGAGAAGGAGGGCATCCTGGAGCGTGCCTTGAATGACGCAGCAGGGCCTGGAGCGACAGAGCGGCCAGCTGCGAGCGTAATAGGCACGATGAAGAGCAAAAGCAAGGGGAGGGCAAGGAAGTAGTAAAGTGAATGTTGCTGGGTATACTGGTTCTTCGCAGTACACAATGAAGAGATATTCTTGAACGTAGCCATATGTGAACGTTTGAACGTTGAACATTGAGAATTAAAGAGTGAATAACAGATTCAAACCCAATATTCTCGCGAATGGGAGTGCGGTCCCGAATTGAGTGTCCGGAGTGTTCTTGGCGGGGTCAGTACAAATGTTCCTCCCGGGGTGTTAGAACACTAGGAGAGTGACAGTGCATCGCTGTACTTCTCTTCCTCTGCCTTGCAGACTATGATTATGCGAACACCGCCCGCCGCCCAGTGAGCAGTCTGTGAAAAGTTGGTGGATATGGAAGTCGTTTGCCATGGTTGGTATCGCCGTGGACGAACGTGGTCATTTGCATCTACTTACGGCGCCGAGACGGGGCACGCGGTCGCCGAAGATTATGCGGGCGCATGCGAGCGAGGCGGAATTGCGCGGGAGGAAGGTTAATTGAGAACAAGGCAGAGGCGCCCGCCCGCCTCCGCGATCGCGGTTGGGGGGCCTGGGTGCGCGTTTTGTACCCACCCGCCCGCCTCCCCGCTGCACGCATCCCGGCCTGCTCGACGGCGTAACCACGGCGCCCAAGTCGCATGCCCCGCTGAAGCCTGCACTTGTCGACGCGAGGCGAACGCGACACCAAGCACCCACGTTACATACCCAACCCGCCGTCTCGTAGCGACCACCTCGCTCCTCGCCTTTCCTCCATCACGAGTCCGGCCAAGCCAGTGCTACTCCCCTCGAGTTTCAGGCCCGAGCCTGGGTTCTCTCTCGACGCAAAGGCTCGACGCCTGCCCCTCTCTCCTTCTTTTCCGCACTCTTTCCCTTTCATGGCCTCGGCCACCCCCGCCCCGCTATCGTTCGCCCGGCCCCAGCGCGAGCGCGTCGCGCCGAACCCCGAGGACCGCGGTTCCCTGCTGCGCGCGTCCATCTTGGAGAGTGCGCTCGAACTCGGCGTCGGCCACAACCGCACCGTCGCGAACTGGATCTTCAACCCGGTCGAGGAGGGCGACGAGGATGACGAGACCGAGGTGCGTGCCCGTCCCACTCCACCCGCCCGTTCTCGCGCCCAACACGCTCGTGCAGGTGGACTCGCCGAGCCTCACCTACGCGTCGACCGCGACTTCGGAAGAGTCGAGTTTTTCCGCTGGCTTCTCCCAGCCAGGAGCTGGGATCCTTATAAATGGCAAAGACAACCTCGCCGTCGATTCGCCCGACGGGCCCAGGAGACGTGCGGCCTCTCCGGGAGTGCAGTTCGATCTCAGCGCGACGCCGTCCCCGACGCTCATGGCCCCCGCACGCTCTCCGACGCCTTCGCATATGCCCGCAAATGCGACAAACAAGCTGCGAAAGCCGCGCCCGGATGGATACGAGAGCGATGGTGGGTACGTGAGCGAGTCGGGAAAGGCGAAGAAGGAGCGGGAGAAACGAGAGAAGAAGGAGCAGAAGGAGAGGGAGAAGGCGGAGAAGAAGAGCAAGAAGAAGAGCAAGGGGGACGGCGGCGCGACGGACTACGAGAGCGACAGAGGGTACGTCTCTGAGGCCACTGCGAAGCGGAAGAAGAGCAAGAAGGAGAAGGGGTCGAAGCTCGCCGAGCCGCCCACCACGGACTACGAGACGGACAAGGGAAGCTCTTCTCGCAGCAAGTCCAAGTCCAAGTCGCGGAAACAGAAGACCACCAATCCGACGGATGGCGACGACTCTGACGGGGGCTATCTGTCGGAGGGGACTAAGAAGAAACGGTTCTTCTCCCTCAAAAGCAAGTCGCGGTCCAAGCAGGGATCCCTCGACCCACAAGAGCCCCCTCCTGTCCCTTCCCTCCCCACGATTCACCCCATCGCCGACAGGTTCAGGACGACCGACCTTGAATCTTTCGACTCGCGAAGTTCTACCCCGTTACCTTCCGGAGAAAGCAGCGGCCGCCCCAGCGCTGACACCTTCACCTCCACGTCCTTCGATTTCATTGACAGTAACAGTGTCGAAGATGACGAAGAGCTGTATTCGCCAGAAGGTCTCACACAAGCATTCCAGGACGCGGAGTCGGTGCGTTCTCCCAGTGTTGACTTTCTCTCAACATTCGGTCGCCGCCGTGGTGCTGCCAGTCCCCTCTCGCCTCCTCACTTAGGCGTTTCCCCATCCCCATCCCCATCCCCGTCCCCCTCCCCGTCGAAAGCAAAGGCCGTCCGCGCACGTCCCATAATCTCGGCGCCCAACACGACCACCCTCGCTCCTAAGCACGTCCCCATGCCCCTCACCCTCACTCCCCCGACACCTACGGGCACCGCCCACCGTATTCCGCCATCCCCAGATCCGGACTACGTCGTCGTCACCCCCACCCCCAACCTACAGCCTGACGTTTATTCGCATTCGTCGACACCCAGCTTCGGGTCCATCACCGACTCCGTCATCGACCCCGAGATGACCCGCCCCAAGGTCCTCGCATACTACGATCTCCCACCCCCGTCCCCGCCTCCCACAGGCCCATTACCAGATGTCCCGCGCGACGTCGGCTCTCGCGCAACCAGCCCGTCTCCGAGCATGGCCTCCGACGCCGCACGGAATCGCTACCCCGCTCCCCGGACGGCTCCCGCAGACCCCACAGACCCGCGCGGACTGCACCGCCCGCTCGCCTCCCCCGTCGGTCGTCCCGCGCCCGCGTCCGCCGCGTCGCACCCGCTGTCGCACGAGATCCACGGCGAGCGGCCGACGATCCACATTCAAGAGCCGCCGCCGTCCGCCGCCGTCCAGCGTGGCCGCGTGTCCCCCTTCCCCACCGCCCCCGTCCTCCCGCGGACGCAGGCGAGCGAGCTCATGCGGCACACGACGCGCCACGCCCGCGGGACGCGCAACGGCAGCATCGACCGCTCGCTGGAGCGCGGGCCCGCGTCCGCGAGCCCGTATCCTCTAGGGCACGATCGGTGGCCGTCTGAGGGGCAGCGGATGGTCGTGCAGAAGGGTCCGTCGTCGGCGCTCGCCGGGTCGGGCACCGGGTGGCCGTCGCGCGACAGGGGGCAGCTGAACGTGCGGTGGGCGCCGCGCTCTGCGTCCGCGATGGACACGCGCCGGCCGGGGGACGACGACGACGACGACCCGGCGGTGGACCGGCGGTCTTGGATCTCGTACGACGACGATCACGAGGCGCGCTCAGACTACCACTCCGACGACGAGCAGATCGACGTCGCCTCCGCGAAGGCTTCGCCCGACGTCAACGCCAGCCTCCGCGCCCGGCAACAGTCCGGCAATGTGCTGCAGGCGGGCGCGCGAGAGACGATGGCCTCCGACTACGGCCAGGACACGGCTTACCTCGGCGTCGATGATGACGGGGCCGACCGCGCAAGCGTATGGAGCCAAGCGGAGTCCCGCGCGAGCTTCATCGACGGAGAACAGAGCGCGGCGATCCGCGCAAAGTTCGTCCAGCGGGTGGAGGCGATGTACGGAAAGTAGCTTGTGCCGCATGTCCTTCAATTGCATCGGACGGCGAGGTGGGGCCGAGGGTCATCTCCGTGAGTTTTTTTATTTCGCATCGCGCAGCCCTCTCCCGCACCACCCCCGCGTCCATATGTAGCCATTCTTTTGTTCCAAGAACTTGTCCTACACGTACACTTATCTAGTTGCTGTCACCTCCCCTCCCCTCCGCTGTCGTTGTCACTGCATTTACTACGTTCGTTTCAATTTTTGCATATCCCCACTGGCAGGTGCCAGTGAGGCTGGCGACATTTGGCGCATCCCCTGGATACACTCTCTTTATAGACATACCGTACTCGACTGCTGGCCACCAGACTTGCGACTGTATTTACTACTGCCGTCTTCGTTATGCATACCTCGATATCCGCACCATCCACCCTCAAGTTCGTACCGGGTGAGAAACGGCAACCAACGTCCAACACCACCTATATCGACGCCCTCATCAAGTCTCACGCGCCCGTTTCAATCGACCTGCGCAGACATCAGCGCCGTGGCGCAAGCCCCTCCTCCTCCTTCGGAGCCGCAGCGTGGTCGAATGCACCGGGAATACGTAAATTTCTGTTCTCTATCGGCCCCCCCGCTCCCATGCACACCTGGTCCTGACACCTTCTTTCGCACACAGTGTCCCCGTGCGTAGCGCGGAGAGGTCATGCCTGATGCTGGGCGACAGTGTACAGACGCCTCATGATATCGGTGGCTTCTGCGTCTCGCGGAGTCGTTCGAGAACCAGAGACGGTGTTTGAGTTCCATGAGCTATACCGAAATGCGCGGGTGGTGGGCCGCAGGAGCTCAGATAAAGCCTCCCTCGCTTTTCCACCCCACGTTTGCAGCTCCCTCCTGTCAAGACCCCCCATCCCAAGATGGTTGCGGACCCAGGCGCGTTCAAGTCCCCGCGCGCTTTGATCGAGACGTGGACGACGACGATCCCGGGGCTTTTCGAGTGGAACGCCAGGGAGAACGCCCAGTACCCGCTCTTCGCCTTCCACGACGGCGCGGCGGTCAAGACGCTGAGCTACGCCGAGGCTATCGTAGGCATCCGACACGCCGCGCGTCTCGTGCGACGCTTCGCCGGCGGCGACGCGAGCGTGCCCGTCGCGGTGCTCGCGAACACAGGTGAGCGAGCTCGTTGCTGCGGGAGACTCTGCCATGACACGCCTAACGCCGCATACAGACTCGATTACCTTCTCCCTCACCTCCGTCGGGGTCATGCGCACGGGACACGTACTCTTCCCGATCTCCGTTCGCAATTCCGCCGTGGCCGTCGCGGACCTCATGCGCCGCACTGAATGCAGGCACATGCTGGTGTCGAACGACCAATACATGCGCCAGGTCGCGGAGGAGGTCGTGAACGAAGTGCCAGAGGTGACGCTACACCCAATGCCGCTGTTTGAAGAGCTTTTTACGCCCCCGGCGGGCGAGGTCGCCGAAGACGACCTCCCCAAGACCTATGACGTCAACGCTGTTGCCATGATACTGCACTCTTCTGGTATGTTGGGGATGCTGCCCGTCTCTGGTTTCATGAGTGACCCATTCCCCAGGTTCGACCGGCCACCCGAAGCCTATCTACTGGACGCACAAACGGATGGTCAGCCGGAGCACCACCTCATGTATGCGCTTTTTTGGGCCCTAGGATTGTCCTGACACTATGACTGTAGGGTATGGGGAGGTAGACCTCAGCGGAATGATATTCGCCTGCCATGGAATCCCTATGTTTCACGCTCAAGGTGTCTCATTTTACTCCATGGCCGTACGTTGCAGCGTCCGTACTGAAACTGTCCACTCATGAGCGATTCTGCCAGGCTGCTACCGGCCTCATCCTCGCCGTATTTCCTCCTGCGCAGCCACCGACCATCCCCAACCCTGGGAATGTGATCCAGGGCGCGATAGAATCATCGGCTGACTACGTGGTCACCGTACCGCCATACGTTGAGGTGCGTTCCCTGACATCGCCCTCTACAGGATCCTGATCGATCCGTCCTTACAGGAATGGTCGCAAGACCCACAAAAAGTGGCTCACATGGCCAGTATGCGGGGTATTGTACGCATCTGCCGCTATGCTTCCACGTCTGGGTGGACGTCTGATCCCGCCCCAGATCTACGGTGGTGCCGAGCTCAGCCGAGAAATCGGAGACGCTCTGGCGTCGCAAGGCATCTCGTTGATCATGGCATATGGATGGTAATCTTCTCGCTTATGAATGCGCGTTTTTATGCTCACACGTCGAATCCAGTACAGAAGTTGGTGCTGTAGCGAACATTATCCCAGGTCAGTGATAACTCACGGTTCTGCCAACGTCTACTAACTCGATATGACAGCTGACCCCGGCATGAATTGGTCGTGGTTCTCAATCACTCCGTGGATACAGACCGTTCTAAGAGATGCAGGCGATGGGAAGTTCGAAATCATCGTTTTGGTGAGGTGCATGCGCTTGTGATCTGCATATTTATCTAACGAGACATCTCAGTCACCTAAAGAATGTCCTCTGGCTGCTACGAACACACGTCTGGAAGATGGTACTGCGGCCTTTTCAACAAACGATCTCGTAATCCGGCATCCGACAAACCCGGGACTCTGGAGGATGTACGGAAGGCAGGACGACCAGATCACTCTTTCCAATGGAGAGAAGGTGAGTCGACTCCACTACTTCATCGCGGTCTGCAACTCACGCCGGAGCCATGCATATAGACGAATCCTATACCTATTGGTAAGTGATCCTTCCGCAGCGTTAGTTCGACATGGACTCAATATCTGTCTGGTAGAGCGCATCATCCGCGAGGATCCTCGTGTGCAAGATTGCCTCGTCTTTGGACAAAACCGGTTTCAAAACGGGGTGTTACTTTTTCCCACTTCGTCTTGCGATCCCCGTGATGAGGACGTCGTGCGACATCTCGTCGACCAGATATGGTCAGTCACTCTCTGGGATGCCGACTAGGCGTCATCTTACACCTGGACCTCGACAGGCCTTCTATTCAACGGGCCAACACATTTGCGCCACAACACTCTCGCATCTTCAGAGAGGTACTACGATCGGCCTCCCATCTCATATCTGTGCGATGGCTGACTCGTTAAAACAGTTGGTCTTAGTGGCAGATCCTGCCAAGCCCTGTGACTACAACGCCAAAGGCAATATTCGTCGAAACCTCGTCCTGCAGCGGTACTCTCAAGAGATCGATGATATATACTCTCAACTAGAGAAGAGGTCACAGAACGACCTGTGCCCACCGCCCAAGTGGACCCAGGACCACACGACCAAGTTCGTGCGCACGGTGGTACAGCGAGTGCTCGGACGCGCGATTCCCGACGACACCGACGTGTTCCGTGCTGGCTGCGACAGGTACTGGTAGCGCTTCCTTCGTGCACCATTCTGTCTGACGGGTCACAGTCTGCAGGCGAAGTGGATCCGCAACACCCTCTCTCGTGCGCTCACGGAGCACTCTATGGACGCCGCGAAGCGCCTGCCGCCGGACGTCGTCTTCAAGGCACCTTCGGTCTCGGCGCTGTCCAACGCTCTTCTCGCGACTGTCCACGACTCTCTGGATTCCGTCACGGCCGCTACGACCGCACAGGATCTCGAGGCGATGGCATGCCGGTACACTGCGACACCCCTCGTTCGGCCGTCTAGCCTTCGTCCTCGCGGGCATGGGAAAGATGTCATCCTCATCACCGGAACCACCGGAGGGTTTGGCTGCGATGTGCTCGCGCACCTCCTTGAAGATGATGGCGTAGCACAAGTATATGCGTTCAATAGACGCGGCGCGCGAACGATGGAGAAGCAGCGAAAGCGCTTTGTGGAGCGCGGCCTCGACGTAGGGCTCCTCGACTTGGCGAAGTTCAAGATGGTGGAATGCGAGCTGGATGTTCCGGGATTTGGAGTGGGGGAAGTTACATTGTCGGAGGTGCGTCCATGCGCAACCGCGCTTTCATGAGCCGGGCTGAGGGCCAGCCAGATCTTAGAATCCGTCACCCACATCATGCACAACGGTATGTTTTCGCTTTCCGCAGAGATTATAGGCTCATCGAGTATCATCCAGCGTGGAAGGTCGACTGGGCCCTCACACTGCAGTCGTTTGATCCCGAACTCAAGGCCGTCCGCAACCTTCTCGAGCTTGCAGCGAGGTCTCCGTATGTCAAAGCACCTAAGGTCATCATCGTCAGCTCCATAGGGATACTTAGAGGTGCATGTTTTCCCGACTGAAGCTAGTATGTAAACTGACTTCTGAACGCCCGACAGGCGCCCGTTTCGAGGGCTCCATTCCAGAGGCCCCAGCTTCTGCATCGTCGCCTCCAATTGGGATGGGCTATGCAGAAGCGAAATGGGTCGCTGAACAGATGCTATTCGACGCGATGTCCAGTGCCGGCATCTCAGGGACCGCTGTTCGCCTTGGTCAGATCTGCGGAGACAAAATGGGACATTGGAACGAGAAGGAATGGTTCCCGGCGATGATCAAGTCCAGTATCGCCCTTAGATGCCTCCCTGACCTGGGTGCGATGGTAAGCATCACCTTTGCTCATACACACCCCCCATCTTGAGGCTGACGGTGGACCCCTACAGCCCGTCGCCTTCATCCCGAGCAATCCCACCGCCCGCGCGTTTGCAGAAGCGCGCAACTCCCCCGCACCCGTCCTCCACCTCTCTCATCCGCGGCCGGTACCATGGAACGTCCTCATGGCCCAAGTCGCGCAAGACCTAGACCTTCCCCTAGTCCCGCTCGCCGACTGGGTCACGGTGCTCGGAGACGAAGAACCCGTGAGAGACGCAGAAGAAGCGTCGCGCACGCTTCCAGCGCTCGCGCTGCTTCCCGTGTTCCGGCAGTGGGCCCACGAGCGCGGCGGGCCCGTGAGCGCACTGCCTATCTCGACGAGGCTGGCGGAGGCCTCTGCGCCGACGTTGGCCGCGCTTCCGCAGCTCACGGCGGACGACGCGCGGGCCTGGGTGAGGGAGTGGAGGCGGTCCGGGTTCCTGGTGAGTGCTTTTTGGCATTCAGAGTGTTAGGCGTTTTCGCTGACTTCGCGTTGCACGCCGTAGGGTTGAGCGGAGACCAGTTTTTCCTACATACTTGCGTCGCTGCTTCCGCACCGCGTGAGGCCGAGTTGTATGATCGCCGGAGCCTGAGAAGTCGCGAAATTCGAAATATGTTACTACGTTTACGCCTTTGCACTCCCATACATCGCGTGTTGTGTGAAGACAAGTATGCTCTCTCGCATGGAGTAAGTATTGTGTGGCGAGTCGCTTCAAGCGCAAATAATCAAGCTAACGTACGTTTCATGCCCTTCGCTAATCCCTTTCCGACCCCCGACGCTGAACACCCGGCGACCATGAGAGAAGCACTGCTATCGCGGTGCATCTCTTTCAAATTTCCTTTAACGTGCAGCGACGACCGATGTTGGTGGAATTGGAAATACATCCAATCGCCGTGATCTCACTGTCTCCCCGAGTCCCTTCCCTCAGCTTCTCCGAGTTCGTTCTGAAAAGTCACTAGATGCAGGTTCCTATGAAAATACAATGTTCAGAGGTCCTTTCAGCTCCCAAAGGGCACAAGCAGCATTGAGCAGATTGAGCGCCAAAATGCGCCTAGAACGGCAGGCCTTTCCCTAGCCCAGTAAGTGTATGAGTCAGCCAGTTTCGAGAATGGGATCCGCCGTTATCACCCTTATGTCCCACATGCGACTATGTCATCACACACGCTGGCCCGTGGGCGCTACGCAGCGCGGATTATCAATCGGCCAGTGAGCGAGCACAACATCATCCTGCGCGCTGCGAGCCGATTATCACATCTTTTTAACCACGTTCCAGAAGCCACGCGACACCATGGGAGGTATATAAGACGCTGCAAGACGAGTCCCACTTCTCCATTACGATCGACCTCTACCCATACACCAACCAGCTCCACCACAACCGAAGACATGTCCACTCCTGCCCTCTTCACGCCCATCCGCGTCGGCGACATCACCCTCGCCCACCGCGTCGTCCTCGCCCCGCTCACCCGGTACCGCAACGACGACGCCCACGTCCCGACCGAGCTCGGACTCGAGTACTACACCCAGCGCTCGAGCGTGCCGGGCACGTTGCTCATCACCGAGGCCACGTACATCTCCCCGCAGTCGAGCGGACAGCCGAACGCCCCGGGGATGTACAACGACGCGCAGATCGCGTCGTGGAAGAAGGCGCGTCCCACCACGCACGCCGTTCCATCTGATGTGAGCTGACGGCACCCCGCGGGCAGATCACGGACGCGGTGCACAAGAACGGGTCGTTCATCTACCTCCAGCTGTGGGCGCTGGGCCGGGCCGCGCGCCCGGCGCTGTTCAACAAGGAGTTCCCCGACTACCCCTTCGTCTCCGCGTCCGACATCCCGCTCAAAGACCAGCCCGGCTACACCCCGCGTCCGCTCACCATCGACGGTCCGTCTCCCGTCTCCCCCGTTCCCCTGCCAAACTCACTAGCGCGCGCACAGAGATCAAAGAATACGTGCAGTGGTGGGCGACCGCGGCCAAGGACGCGGTCGAGCGCGCCGGCTTCGACGGCGTCGAGATCCACGGCGCGAACGGCTACCTCGTCGACCAGTTCCTGCAGGACGTCTCGAACACGCGCACGGACGCGTACGGGGGCTCCGTCGCGAACCGCGCGCGCTTCGCGCTCGAGGTCGTCGACGCCGTCGCCGCCGCGATCGGCGCGTCCAAGACCGCGATCCGGCTGAGCCCGTGGAGCCTGTACCAGGACATGCGGATGGAGGACCCGGTGCCGACGTTCACGCACGTCGTCGAGCAGATCAAGCAGCGCCACCCGGACCTGGCGTACCTCCACGTCGTGAGCGTGGGCGGGCCGGGCGGGAAGCCTCCAGCGGATCCGAAGGTGAGCAGCGACCGGCTTCCGATAGGTAGTCACGACGGCCGGCTCATGGTCCGTGTAGCAAAACGACTTCATCTACGACCTCTGGGCGCCGCGCCCGCTCATCACCACTGGCGGGTTCGACCGCGAGTCCGGGATCGAGACGGCGGAGAAGACGGGGCAGATCATCGGCTATGGGACCGCGTTCCTCTCCAACGTGAGCGTTTCCGCCTCGCGATCTTGTTCATCGCCGGTACTAACTCGCGCGCGCACGAAACAGCCTGACTTGCCCTTCCGGCTTCGTGAGAACATCAAGCTCAACGACCCCGATTACTCGACGTTCTTCACGGCGAAGACCGCGCAAGGGTACACGACCTACCCCTTCTCTGAGGAGTTCTTGAAGACTAAGGCATGACGGAGTGTGGGGGACGGACTGAACATAGAATGCCTATATTCGTCGTAGAGCATCTTCTGAAGGGCCTTTAGATGTGTCACAGGTTGTAATTTGAAGATTTATGTTGTCTGTTGTACTCTTGAGACAGACCGGGCCGGAATCGCAAAGGCGGCTTGATTCCAATAGGCGCGCCGGCGCTCTTGCTCCCTTCCAGTCTTCGGCCATTTTTCCATCGAGGCTCTCGGAAGTGAGACGTACATGGTACGCGAGAGTATAGCGTAGTACAACGGCACGCTCCGCGACCGACTTTTCCCATTCATACGAGCAAAAAGATACAAGTCCTCCGAGGATACATCACAGATCAGCTCTGTGGACACCATCTGCGGCCTCGTTGGTGTCGTGGCATCTGGAAAGGAGTAAGCTCCCACGGACACACTCAAGAAGCGGGGACTCACCTCATACGCGACCCCAAAGTTTCCTGAACGATACGACGGCCTTCTACCCCCACTCGTCCTCCTTGACAAGCGGATGGACACACGCTGGCCTTGTCGCGCTCTCCGCGCGCGCGCGCGAACGTCCGGGACGGCATCCGCGCAAGTAGAACAGCGTCGCGACACGCTCCCGCCCCCCATGCTCGTTCCAGGCTCCATCCCCGAGCAAATACATCCCGAGCGCTATCCCCTGCTTCATCTCCACGCCTTCCCACACGCTCGCTGCCGAGGATAAGTTGGAGCTCCGGCGGTAGACGGTGAACGCCTTCCACGCGCGAGTCGCGGTCCGCACCTTCGTCGTGCCTTCGGCCGCGCGCACCGCGTCTCAGTCCGCACTAGTGTTGGCGCTGAGAAGGCGGGCATGGCGGGCGAACCCAGGTAGAGCAATCGCGGGACCGGGAGGACAGAGCGGGTGCGCGGTCGGCGGCCGTCTTGATGGAGACGCGCGCGTCGGATTCGAAGGGGCCGAGCTCGAGTGTGATGGGTCCTCTTGTCGTCGGGGGAGTGAGCAGGAGTGGTGCGGGGAGCGCGCGGGCGGGGCGCGGTGGAACGCGGACGAACAGTTCACAAAGGACAGTGTCGACCTGCGAGGCGGGCATCGAGGTGAGATGAGGAAGATGCATGATGAGATAGATTGTGCTCACCAGAAGAGGGTGGTCGTAGAGTTGGCCCGGTGCGTGCATGTACAAGATGCCATTCTACGCACCGACCAGGCACAGCGAGAAATTGTCCGTGTCGTTGTGGATTGCCAATAGCTAGTGACCGGTGCTGCCACCAGTGGGTCCTGCCTGGTCGACTACATGCCATTGCTATCAATATATGCGGACGAAACGCGAGAAAAGAAGAGAATGGTCGCGGGGGATCAGCAATAGAACGCGCAGGGAGGCGGCAGCAACGGCAGGAAGATGGGAGGAAGGAAGAACGATGGATGGAAAGACGCAGACGCAACTAAAAGAAAAAACACGCACCACACCGGAGTAGATCTTAGCACCCGTGGTGGGTCCACCGAGTTACTCGAGATTAACGACACCTACGCCGCGGAGAAGAACGCGACGCTGGGCCCAGGTTGAGATGAGCTTTCCCGCCTCCACTGAGATGAACAGGCGTTGGTCGAAGGCGTACGACGCTGATGTCTGTCCGCCACACTATCCGTCAGCGTAAATGCATCGATAGTCAAGGGTAAGGGGACGCACCTTGCACACCTTACATGATGTGTCGTGAGGAGAGAGGGGGCGGGGGGCGGAAGAGGATCCGGGCAGGTTGCAAGGGGACGAGGGCGTGGCTGGGGCGACTCTACACGCCCATCCTCGAAGACGCCGCGCTGGAGTGGAGGGGAGAGAACAGAGACGTCGTCCACCGTCCCTTTGCAAGCAATCCCGACGAGCGCCATTTTACCATCTAATCTAATCTCGTTTGGCTCGACGGTCCCTCGGATCGTGCCGGAGCAGTTCAATCTTCCACAACGTCGACGGTAACCCGCCTCGCCTCTATCGACCTCTAGACTCTAGTCCTTTACACGTCCATGCCCCAATCCCAAAAGATTGAACTTCCACTCGGTCGACGGCGCATCAGGATTGCCGTTTGTCAACGTCAACCTTCGTAGTCCCGTTCGCATGACCCATCTCCGCGACTGCAATATGGCCGCAGAGCTCCATTCGAAGTTAACACCTGCTTGCCTGCAGGCGGCCCATGCTCTCGGTCCGCAATCTCAGTATGTGCGTCCATAATTATTGTCTTTCGAGTTCTCCTTGCCACGTTCTATTGCGTCGCACCCAGGGGCCGGGGCCAGGGCTGACATCTGAGTGCGCGCTGGGTGGCTGCGCAGGGTATCTTATCGCCCTTCGTTGTCACCCACACGCTCATGAATTCCCTAGAGCGCTCACGATCGTTTTTGGTGTATCTGCAGACGTGCTCGAGCCTGGAAGGATGGGGTCCGCTGCATCCCCTCGGCGGCGATGTAGGTTCCCCAGTGGCCTCGGCCGTCCACTCGTTCACTCTGACCTCGATCCCGGGATCAAGTTGTAAATCGAGCCACAGGATTGACTCCGCAGAGAAGCTATCGAACGTGCAGTATACGTGTCCCACCAGCGCCGAAGCGGGGGCCGGGAACGCTGCAGATCACTGCGCGCCTGCGAGAAGCATGGATGCAATAACCACGTACATCCCCGTCCCTCTCCCCCCCTCGCCCACCCCCATGCGACCTCCCAAATCCCTCAGATGGCAGCGATCACATCCTCGAGGCTCCCAACATGCCGGCAGACCGGCCAGCGGACGCATCCGGGCCCGAGCCAGCCGTGGTGACACGTTGGGCTCGTTGTGCTCGTGATTGACAGATCTGCTTGCGCCGCCTTTCCGTAAGTGTCTTCCCGACAGTAGGAGTCCGGATACCTGAGCTCATCCGGTGCCAGAACTCCCGCCTCAACAAGGACCGTGACGTGTCAAAAAACCACCGACTCAGCATCTCCCACACCATCATCTTCCCATCTCTGCGCCTGCCCTGTACCGCTTGTGGCCTCTCATGACACTCCGCGACACGTTCCAACCATTTCGACATCTTCAGTCACGGACACGATGACATGCGCGGCGACGTCCGGACAGGGGTTCTCTGCTGAAATTCCTGTGTCTCCTTGCAGCACTCTGAGCTGCGTCCTACAACTTGTTACCCAAGACGCCCAACGTTAACGAAACGCGATGCACAACTCCCACAAATGACACCGACTGTTGTGCATCCCAACTCTCCTCCACTACGAGAGCGTGCTGCGATCCGTAACGAGGCTTTTGCGTTCTCGTTGGCGCAACCACGCGGTTTCATACAAGACGAGCCTGGTTTCCGCAGCTGCGACGACTGACATTAATCACTCAGTAATACACACTCGTAAGCGCTCATTATGGGTTAGGGTTCCATGCGCCTTCGCTCAAGCGGCTCTCCCTTCCTCACAGATCCAAAGAACGCTGTCCACGCTATACTCCGATCACGAGCAAGCTGCCCTCACATTCCCATTTGTCCACCTAACAAGGTCTGCCCATCAAGCTCATGCCAGATCGCAGCACCCGATCCTCCACGAAAGGCCGTCGGGGCGAATTTGAGGCGGGTCCGCTGCGCTGTCTCACGAAAAGAAGCTGTGCTAGCCACCGCCCTATTTATCCAACCACCAATGCCGTCCTCCCTCCAAACCATCCGCCGCGCTCTCGAAGACAGCCGCTCCGCGTCGTACTTATTCGCGTACACACCTACGGCAACTCCATCTCCCCGACAATGCCCTCCGACCACCCCTCTTATCCCCACCAGCGAGGGTGCGCCCCTGGGCCCCACAGTGACCAGCAGTCCACCAACAACGCCGGTGTGGCCGCATCGCTCGACGCATCGCTTTCTGGACAAGAACAGGGGCTTGACCCGCGCTATTATTCTGATGGAACTCAACAGTACCTCGTTATCGGCTATTCCGGTGCCGGAAGTCATCCAACGGGCTCGTATGCGCCGGCCACCTTCCCTCCCACCGCTTGTCCTCCCGCGATGCGGCACTCTGCCTCGTACTCTCCCGGCCAGTATCCATCCGGTCACCCCTCCGGCTACCAGCCATCGTTTCAGCAGGGCTCTTCGACGATGTCGGGCGTGGCCGCCCCGGTCTACGCGTACCCTCAGCACCCACACTCGAGTGCGCACTTGACTCAGGGTGCACACCAGCAACACCCCTACCAGCAGATGTACCCGCATCTTCAGCATCCCGGACAACAGCCGCACTCTTCCCAGTATGACGCCGGCTACGACCCTGCCTTCTTCGTGGACGACTTCGATAGCTCGAGCGTGGGCGAGAGCGAACCCGGGGGCAGCTTGAGGAGTAAATCCAAGATCGCCCTTGATCCCAGCCAGCCTCTGACCGTCGACGGAAAGCCCCGCGAGCGAGTTTACGTGGCCTGTAACCGATGGTGAGCGTTCAGTCTCGTGCCGCCACCGCTGCGCTTCCCCCTGATTTGTCATGACTGTTTCGTCCTTACCGGCGACCCTACGGTCCGCCTCCGACCGACCCATACCATCCCACATTCGTCATTGCATCCGCTGACGCACGCGTCTTCCTTCCAGCCGTGTCCGCAAGCTCCGCTGCGACGGCGCAAAGCCCGCCTGTCTCAACTGCCAACGCTTGGAGGGCGAGGCCTGCGTCTACCCCGACCAACCCAGGCGGCGCGGCCAGGACAAGGCGCAGCGCACGCGCTCGGCCGTCGGGACGCGCACGCCCCGCCGTCCCGCAGCCCGCAAAGACTCGAAGGACTCGGCAGGGAGCGTCAGCCCTGGCGCAGGGCCCGACTCTGGTGGGCAGTGGGCACTGTACTAGGCCCCTCCGACATCCTCCCGCGCGCACACGTATACTTGCCAAGATGTCTCATTGCAGGCGACACCGCCGCCACCCAGCACCGCTTCCCCACAACAATCCACGGCGGACCTCTCGCACCGCAAACGGCCCACGATGACTAAAAACATGAATATCATAACGACAGCCATGATGCATAACAGCCGGGTCCCTCGATTTGGGGGATGTCGATAGCGGTGCCGCTACGCTCGCCACCACGTCTACGACCCCTGCCGTTCTACGACTACGACCTCATTCTGTCAGGTGCATGCCACCCCAACAATCCAACTTCTATCCTCCCTCGACCACCATCGGGCGCCTCTGATAATGCATTAGTCAATCCACCGACAGCGTCTCCTCCGAGTCGGGCCGAAGCACGGGTCCATGTGGATGTGTCGCCTCCATCTTTGCCGTCGCCGCCCGGTAGTGACGGTTAAGCGCGACACGACAACCTGCGCCGTGCACTTCAGACGCGTTCGGTCCGAGGCCAGCGAACTCTGTCCTGGTTGATTGCCCCTGTCATGTCCACCGGAAGCGCGCCCCTCTCCTCAACGCGCGTCCTCCTCCCGGACAACCTACTCCGCCCTCGTCGTTCACTAGGGCCGTCGGAGATCGCCACCTCGCTCCACCGCGCCCTCCACCCCCGTTCGGCCCTGCGCTGACCCCTCTCTCGCGCCATTCGAAAGTCCCCACCCGACCCCGCGCGTTTTAATTTTGGCTGTTGATCAGGTCTCCGTGCCCTACGGCCTGCCTTCATCACCGCTTCTGTTTCTCGCGTGTTACCTTACATCACCTATTGTCGCGCTCTCCTCGTGTCCGTCGCGCTCTCCGCGCTTTGCCTGCACCTGCATCTCTCCGCCCATTTACGTACCTGCTTACCTACCGTGCCCCCCGGCTCCCGGATCTGTCTCGTGTGCTGTGTCTCTTCCCCTCGGTCTCCTCACGCCTTCACACACTCTCACCATTCTCTGCGTCTGCGTCTCCTCTCCTCCCCGCGTTCTCACATCTGTAGCACCTCGCACCGCCCCGGCCTCCGCCTCGCGCGCGCGCGCGTTGACCTTGGTCTCGGCCATCCAGGGCGCGGTGCGCGGTGCGCGTCGCAACTTTCCGCTCCTTTCAAGCCCCAGGTCCCGCGCGATAACATCCGGTTCTCGCCTCCGCACCGACAGCTGCATAGACCATAAGTAGATGCCCGCATAGATTTAGAAGCGCCAAGATCGGCTCATCGTCTTCGACTGGCATAATACATCCCGCAGCCTCCGGGCTCCCGCGACGCCAAAACCAGAAAGACAGAAAGAGAAAGAAAGGAAGAAGAACGAAAGCGAAGCCGATCCGGACGCCGCAGTGTCCCCTTGTCCGCACATCCATCCATATCCGCACCCACATCTGAGCCCGTACCTGGCCCCCCCTTTGGCCTCTCCCTCTCCCCTCCTGTACTAGTGTAGTTGCTTGCCGCGTGACACGTAAACTATGCTGGTTTGGGGGCGGCCAAGTGACATAATCACCCGCCTCCTCCTCCTCCCCTCCCCCTCGGTCCACTGACCTCCTAAGCCCAGGCCGCGCGGGGTGCTTCCGGCGAGCGCCGCGAACGCGCGTTTATTGCATCCGCCCGACCGCGCTCACGCCGACTCCACGCGATGGCAGAGCGTGCTCTCGCGGCGGGACGAGTCCCCGAACGACTCGTTGCGGTCCACGGGGACCTCTGCGACCTCCATCGCGGCGAACTCCTGGTCCGGCGAGAGCGACGCGGGCGAGCAGGCGGCAGGGGGGGACGTGAGGGCGGGATGCCACCATCGCGAGCGCAGACGGGAGGAGCGGACGGGAAGAAGGCGGTCAGCGCGGGGCGAGGACGGCGGCGGCGGGGAAGGGCACTCACCCGACCCGACGCGCGCGCGCCGACGACGTGCGCGGGCATGTGGAGGTCCTCGGGGGCGCCGAGGTCCGCCTTCTCGGGCCCGCCGTGCTTCCCGTTCACGGACGCGAGCTCGAACGTGTCCGGGGAGGCGAACTGGATGTTGTACGTCGGGAGCTGGCTGCCGGTCGCGCGCGAGACGGTGGGCTCGCGGATGCGCTTGGACACGTTTTGCCGCGAGTTCAGCCTGCCGAGGCGCGCGGGTGGAGGGTTAGCGGGTGCGATGGGGTGACGGGAGCGGGGAGGACGCGGACGCACGAGACGAGGAGCGAGAGGAAGTACACTGCCGCGTGCGCAGGGGGGCGGGTCAGCGGGTCGCGGTGCGTCCGGATGGTCCGAGGGACTCACGAGGGCCCATTTGGATCCACAAGAGGAGATGCACGTTGAGCTGCGGCGCGAGCTTCAACTGGCCTCCGGGCCGTCAGCGCCCGGGGGAATCGACGATGCAGGGGGGTGCGCTTACCGCGATGATTGCGGCCGTGTCGAACATGCTGCGTGCGACGTCAGTGGTGCGCGCGAAGAAGCGATTTCTGCTGCACGCACAGAGGTGTCATGGCTGGCAGCGCAGTGTGGTCAGCTCCCAAGGCTCACAGAGCGCGTTGATTGCGGACGTACCGGTTTCGATGGTGTACGTGATCAGGATAGTGATTGCGGAATCCGTGCTGCGAAAGTTGATGGGTGTGCTCAGCGGGGTTCTGGGTCCGGGATGTCCATCCGCTATACCTCTTGATTCCGGTGCGGGATGAGTGAAGCCAAGCGCACAGCAGACCGGCGAAAAGGACGTCCGCGACGAATCCGTTTGCGAAAGAGGTGTAAGACAACGTCTGCTCGCGGGGTATTGTTAAAACCCCCATTCCAGATTGCACGAGAACACGGGGACGCACCACGTTCAGTACGACATCCGTGGGATAGACGCTGTAGACAGTCTCAGTGATTGCCATTTCGGCGACACCGAGGGAACACATACTGAGCGCAAATCAGGCTCGCTGCGGGGCGGTTGTCAGTCAAGCATCCTTGTGTCACGATAAATGGCATACTTACCGAGGTTTACAACTGCATATCGCATCGATGTGAGCTGGTCAGAACCTGTGTGGCGGGTCGCGATTACTCACAATAAGCGGTCAGGGTAGTAAGGAGCTATAGGAGTGTCAATTGACTCTCGACTCGGTGCGTTACGGGGTGACGCTCACCGAGAGGAAAAGACCTAAGAAAGACAGGATACGCACGAAGCCGGCGCCAAAGTTCTTATAGACTGTCGCCAAGGAGGTTGAGTACTATAACCGCCTAAGATGAAAACCGGGGCAGCTTACATATCCAAAGCCTGCGCAAGAACAGGCTGGGGAAGGTGAGCCAGCGAAAGGAGGTGAGGGGCGGGCAGCTTACAATCGTATAATGAGAACAGCAGTGGTGTTGAAGATCGGCGCCAGCTGATGACCGTTCTGAGCTCGAGGTCATAAGCTAAGCCAGTTCCACTTACGTTAACATCCCTGAAGCAGATCCATGAGCGACGCTTTCATACTAACAGAGAAGATGACTAACCAAGGTGGGGTGATGCCGAAAGTGTTAAAGTCGTACTGAACCTGGAAATACGACGAGTGAAGGAGGACGGGCGAGTTGATGGAGAGCAGCGCAGTACAGAGGAGGACCTGGAAAGCGATACCACTTCAGCCGGAATTCGGCATGCTCGACGGAGCTAACGCTCACCGAAAACTTGAACCACGGACTATCCGTGGAAGCTGATTCCTTCCAGTACACCCTCACATACGAGAACCCGACACCAAGCAGTCTGTTGGGTGGATCGTCAGAAATGTTGAGGATCGCGCATATATGGGCCAATTACTCACATCCCTTGGAGCAGGATGGCTGCAAGGCACGTTATCGCCCTCGCACTCGCACCTGCGTCGTCGATCCCACGCGGAACGAGCAGAACCTCGCGGGTATCGGGGAAACTGGGTACGTGAGTCGCGTACATGTCGGGGCGGCGAGCGGCGAGCGGGTGTATGGCGAGACGAGGGGGTGAGGTATAAGCAGTCGCGGGGCTCGGGGAGGGAGGAGGGGGAGAGAGCCACTGCAACATCCGTCCCCACTCGTGCGCAGTATATGTACCGGTCAAGCACTCGCTTTCGGTAGTACGCCGCGAAGTCGACTCTGGGGTAGACCTCGATCCGACCGTGTCCGTACGGTGACATGCGCGTCGAGATGCCTGCTGCGAGCCTGCGCGGGCGAGGTGGAGGAGTGTGGCGCACACGCCTAATTTCCGGACAACAATTACGGAAACACACCTTGGCGCAGGCAAGGCGGGCGAGGTCGAGGAGCAGAGGAAACGGCTCTGCTGGGGGCGCTCCGGCGCCGGGACTTCCTAATGGGGCTCCCATCGTCCCGCCCCGCCCAGAGGCGCCCCGTGCACGCGCGCCAAGTCGTGGCAACTCAGGTGCACGGGACTCGTTCAAGTTAAGTGGGCGGTCCCAGACTGCACCGGAACTCCATGATCGCATAGGATCGGCACCGGCATGCATGCATGGGCGGGGAACGCGAACGTCGGACGCCCCCAGAGAACTCGATCGCGCGCCCGACGCTCAGAGGCTAAGTTTCATGCAGTGAGTGCGCGACGGGACTGGAGTATTCACAGCATCGTCACAGCAGATTGCACAGGGCGGGGATGCCAACGGCGCCCAAGGTTCCCATCCAAAGTTCCGAGTTCACCTACTGGAACCCAAAAATCAGTACAGGGCTGCTCGTGTGCTGCATGTGCAGAACCTCGAAATGGAGGCCAAACCGGTGCCCTCAAACCGTGCTGGTTTCATTCTGACAGCCGCGATGGTTACTGACGTCGAACAAACCGCCACCTCGGTAACGCAGTGGAATACTTACTACGACATGCTGGAAGATTACAAGAGCTATGTACGGGCGGGCGATCGGCGAAAACTCAAATTGTACCCCTCGGGACGATGCTTTACGCGACCGGCGTGCCTCGGGGATTACGGCTGCATCTTTTCGACATCTTCCGACCTCCTCTCCCTCTTCCTTTTCCATTCGACTTCGAGACTCTATCGGACCACATGCTTTCACTTTTCATTGGCCTCGGCGACTGGTCATCGCGCCCGAACGGTTCCTGGCGGTGGAAGTTGGGCCTGGTCCGGTGGTACCCCAGGGGTTGGAGAGAAGATCGAAAGCAAAAATGAGCGAGGGATCACCGCCGGGATCAACATTGATCGGGCGTGTGCCGGCGGCAAAGTCAATGCGGAAAACAGGAGTGAAGATGGGCCGCGGTCGAAGCCCCGGTCAACGTAGGGGTGCAGTCTGGAAATACCTGGACAGGAATGGGGGACCACCCTCCTCGCCGAACTGACAGGCATTTGTAGGCAGGAGTCACGAGTGGTCTGGAAAGGGAAGGGAAACCGGCTCCACTCGTCAGGCGACCAGAAAGAGGATTGGGCACTCACTGCCGTCCGCCGCCGAGCCAGCGACCGTCGCGGGACGGGCACGGTCGCGGGCGAACTGGGGTCCAAGTCAATCTTCTCGATGCAAGTTGCAAGTGTGGGAGAGACGTGAGGAGATGTGACGCATGCGCAGACGAGGGAGATGAGGTAGAGTGTGCCGATTTGAAGAGAAAATATGACATGGGCGTTGGAGGACCTGTAATGTCGAATTGGACCACTGGTCAGGTATGGAGGTGGTAAAAAATATGCATAGGGCGCTCTCAGAGAGTAACCCGAAACTGCCAAAAGCGCTGTGGGAGGACTTACGCCGGCAAGGCTGCGGTGGGAAGTAGCTCGAAATTCACCGCAACTGCCAACACAAAGAGGTATCTATACGGTGCTGAGCGACGTGCGATAGACGCCAAATGGCAATACGATACTCACCACGAACGCAAGGGATAGCACGACGAAACGAATCTGCGATCCTATCCGTACTTGAGGGTGTGCGTGAAGGCTGGGGTAGAGACTCGGAATATATTCAAGTTTGCACAGGAAGCAGGAAATTACATACATCTCTATAGTAACCGTTGATTGAACGCTCTAACAAGAAGATATCAGCTCTGTACGCAGAACAACGACAGCCTCACATACATCTGGACCAACAGAGTGACCACCGGGTTTGGAACGGGGGCGACTTGCAGGTCCCTGGTTCGTGAACATAAGTTGGGCACTGATCGCCGATGAGAAAATACACGGACCGAGGTAGCTTGACGCCCTCTGTAGAGAAGTCGACGGATATCAAGAAGCAGGTCTTGTGTACAATGGTAGGGAGATTGAGTGACATTGCAACCCTGGAGCGCTCACAGAAGGAGGATGGAGATGGTGATCAAGGAATGCGGTCTTCTTGGACGAAGTTTCGCTCTTCTTGAAGACGAGCCAGCGAGGGGGGGAAGCGCCATGCTCGCGGACCCTGTCCCAGATCCGGACTCCAGAAGGACCGCGTGCCAACGGGTTGTCGGGATGACAGCGACGCGGGGAGAGAGGCAGTCCGGCCAAGGACAGACTGTAATAAGCCTGAGCCTAGCAGCGGTGGGCGGATTTGCGATGCGGTGCAATCGAAAGGGGAACGCGGCTGGCAACGATGAGCAAGACATGGTGCACGGTGACGAGAGAGCTTGAAGCAGCGTTGCATAAACAGTGGTTGACCAGCGGATGAAAGCGTTGAGGCAGAGCCGGGCCCACGGCGGCGGTCCCGGGCATGTCGAGGCCGACCGGCCATCACTGGGAGGGCGGCCAATGGGAGGCGGCCTTGGGAGGGCGCCTGTACATGGAGGGGACGGTGGTCACTGGAGAGCCATTTCTACGGAACACCATCAAAGCAACAGCAAATTCACGACGACAGAGAAGGGAACGCATGACAAGATATAGTTGACGGAGAATGATGTACAGATACGAGGGGGGAAAGCAGGGGAGCAGAGAGCAGAGGAAGGGAAAGGGTACTCAGGACGACACGTACGGCGCCATACATACTGGGAGACGACGTAAATGTGAAGAATCGAGCACTGGACGAAGAGAGCCGTACAGGCGCGGAACACTAGAAACCAACAGTAAAGTAGTCATGAGGGATGAAAGCGCTATAGAGAGCCCTCTCTTCCTGAACCCGTCTTCTGGCGGCGGCGCGACTCATCTTCTCGCCCAGTTTCTCCATAGCGGCGTCGTGATCCGCCCTAATCGTCCGCATGTTATCCTCGTGGATGCGCTCCTCGCTCCTGCGCTTCTCCTTCCAGTACTCAGCCTCGGCTTCGAACTCTGCGGTCTCCCTTCTCATTTTTTCGAGCGTCCTTTCGAGCCCAGCGACTTTGTGCGTGAGCAGCTCGAACCGCTCAGTCAGCCGGCCGACCCTATCCTGCAAATCCACTACCATTTCCTGGAGCTCAGCCTGGGAGGGACCTGTCATTGGTACAATCAGTAACCGGAGAAAGGCGATTGTGGTTCGGAATTATACGCGTACCTCCGCGGCGGTTCTCGTTGCGCCGACGCACATTGATGCGGAGGGGTGCAGAGATGCGGATGAGAATGCGATGGGCTGAAGATGGAGCGGCGATGACGACGGGGCGTAGGGACCTGAGGACCCGCCGGACAAGGGAGGGCCGTTTGATCTTCCCCATATCTTCCTGCGCCTTCTGCATAACGACCCGGCGGTGTCCCATATTCGTCAAGACTACGATGTGGAGACTGAGTCGGAATCAGGACACCGGCGAGGATGGTGTTCAAACGGTGGGGGAGAGGATAAGGTCGATGAAACCGCAGGACTCTCGACCCAATCTGCGCTTTGTGGGTGACTGTATCTGGGTGTGGAAAAGTTGTGGAAAAGTGTCTGCGGCGGTCCACGCATCGCATCACCACAATTGGTGCTCAATCTAGTCTCCCACTGCCTGTATCATCTGTCGCCGCCTGCATCCTCAGACTGGCCGTACTGGAACAGAAGACCATCTCAGGCACGAAAATACCGGTGTGTCAATAATGGGCAAAATGGTGGATTTAAAAGCCTGCCACAGCATTGTCCGAGACCTCCATGAGGATCCGAGGGCTGCGATACGCCCAGGTTCCTGCTAGTGCAGATTCTGCGGCGTCATTCATTGCAGACATGACACTTACAGTCGCGGGGGTTGTCGAACATGGACGTCGACGAGCAAAACGTGTCAACCGCGTAGGCGCTGGAATAGGCGCGCCCTCAGGTGGGAATCCCGGGCCGTAGGCGCTGGAAACCCGGCCCTGTCATGTTTGCTGGCCCTCACTGTAAGCGTCGTTCAACAACTCTTTCAAAGGCGGGTCCACTCGACCCCGAGTCCGCTGTTCCTTACGAGATGCGAAAACCCGGCAGCTGTTCTGTTATCGGCATTGACCTCTGGCTTCCCTCATGTTTCGCGCTTTCATCTCCGCGACCCGCCAACGTGCAACCCCGGGCTAATGATGGCCCTGCGACTCCACCCCCTTTGCCCGGCCTGTGCGCACGCGCACTTCTGAACACATAGGTCGGTAGCAATTCACTGTCAGACTCGTAGCGCACGCTCGCTGTACCCGTCAAGATGACGTGTACGTCTCCCCCAGGGCCTCCGAGATGCGTACTGAACGCTGCGCGGCAAGAGCGCCCTTTTCGGTCATCATCCGGGTCAGCTACAGCCCACCGTAGGCCACGTTTGCAAGTAATCGCAAAAAGTGTCTTGGGGTGCCTGTATATAACCGGGCGCGACGGATACATGGGGGGTATTGCAGCTCTCTTTCCCCAAAATCCCCCACCATGTCACACGCGCAGCGACCCCGCCTCAGTATCGGAATCGTGTACGTCCCGGATTTCCTGATAAACTGCCATCTCTTATCATCGTTACAGCGGAGCAGGACTCGGAGGCCTTCTCCTAGCCCTTTTCCTACAGCGCGAAGCTCCCGACTTGCAGGTCGACATATACGAGTCGGCCAGCGAGCTTACGGAGCTTGGTGTCGGCATCGGCTTGTGGCCACGATCATGGGAAATAATCAGGGAACTTAGCCTCGAAGACGAGCTTCGTCGCATCTCCGGTGCCACCGACGGCGCGGGTATGTCCTCTCGTTTCCCCTCGGCACCGCCGTGATCTGATTTATGCGACAGTTCTCCCTATCCACTATCGAAAGGCCGACGAGCCACAGCAAATCGAGTTCTACAACCTGAAGCCCTCCTGTGCGTCTCCACTGTTACCCCCACTCTGCGCGGTCTGCAGACCCCGGCTCACATGTGCCCCAGTGTTCACCTTCCACCGCTCCGTCCTCCAGCGACTCCTCGCCCGCCACATCCGCCCCTCCTCTCGCATCCGGTTCCACTTCTCCAAGCGGCTCGTGCGCTACGTCGAGCCCTCTGCCCCGCCTTCTCCTTCTGGAGCCGCGACCCCGATAACCCTCCAGTTCAACGACGGCACGACGGCGCGGTGCGACCTCCTCATCGGCAGCGACGGCATCCGCTCCGCCGTGCGGCGCACCATGTACACCACGTGCGCCGTCGAAGCCGCTGTGCGCGGCCGCGACGTGGAGGCGACGACGTTGCGGAGCATGGTCGATCCGGTGTGGTCCGGGCAGGTCGCGTACCGCGGTATCGCGGACGGGGCGACGGTCGCACAAAAGGGGTTCAAGGACGTGGACACACCGTTGATTGTGAGCGCTTTTTTTCCACCGGGATCTGTCCTCGATGTCTGAATTGGAGCCTCACATAGCTCATGGGTAAAGACAAGGTGCGAAAATTTTGCGCTGGCAGTGAGTAGACCTTGAAGTTCATGACTTCATCATCTAGCACATCGTCTCCTACCCGATCTCTAGAGGCGAGAAAGTGAACGTCGTGGCGTTCGTCAACTTCCCAGGCAAGGTGGGCACCGCGTACCAAGGTCCCTGGGTGGCAAAAGCTACCGGAAAGGAGGTTGCAGCGCACTACGCCGCGTGGGACCCCAGCGTCCCAACGCTCTGCCGCGTGAGCCCAGCCTCAGTCGACCACGTTCACCGTTAACGCTGACATCCTCCGCACAGCACCTCGAGGACCCGCTCTGCTGGGCCGTGCACACCGTCCGCAAGCTCCCGACATTCGTCCGCGGCCGCGTCGCGCTTATTGGGGACGCAGTGAGCCCCCCAGCCCCCCAGCCTCGCACATCCACTCACCCACTCACCCTCGCCCCAGGCGCACGCGATGACTCCACATCAAGGCGCGGGTGCGGGCGCGGCGCTCGACGACGGCTACATCCTCGCCGCGCTCCTCGCCGCGCCGCGCGTCGACGTCCACACGCTCCCGCACGCGCTCGCCGTGTACGACGCCGTGCGGCGGCCGTTCGCGCAGGACGTGCACGCGCGCTCGGACGCGAACGGGCGGCTCTACCAGCTCGGCGCGCCGGGCTGGGAGGGCGTGTCCGCCGCGCGCAGCGCCGCGGGCGGGTTCCCGCGGGAGAAGCTCGTCGAGGTCGGGAAGAAGGTGGAGGAGGGGTTGGCGTGGAGCTTGACGGGCGCGGGGGTCGCGGAGGAGAGGGCGCGGGCGGTGCGGATGCTGGAGGAGCGGCTGCGCAGGGGTGGTTGACCTCGGGTAAGCCGTGCCGTGATCTTGCCTGTCGAGAAGCTTTCCGTGCTCACGGCCCTGGCCCTAGGTTTTTTTGTCACTTGTGATCCGTCAGGATCGATCCATATTTGTTGTATCTGAAGCTTCTAATACACGTTCTGGAGTGTCGAAGTGCACAAACACGTCGATGGTCCTGATACCGGATGTCAACCCAAGGTTCACTAAGCTGCGCGAACGCGTCGAATTGCCTGTGCTGGGAAGTTGAGTTGACAAGCGCTTGGAATAGGCTGAACAGTACTCGATGGCAGATCCTGCGACTTTCGCACTCTGTGGTTGTGCGGGCTTCTCGGAGCCAGGTTTTTGGCGGACTTCTTGACTTCTAGCTCGCGTCCGATGATTAAAGTAGCCACTGCCAGCAACGAGTCCGTCTCTCCTCGTCTCTCCCACCCCGGTCTCACCTCTGCTGCAATGTCGCGCCCTCCGAACCAACCAAAGCACAACGAAAAGCAGCCCGGCGAAACTACGAAAGGCCCCCGTATTGTCCTCCGCCTTCGGCCCCCCGTTCAAGTAACATACACCCCAGAAGGCAACCGAATACTACACATACCCCTCTCCCTCTCCGCCATCGCCGAAATCCTAACGCGCACCCCACGCCGCGCGCAACGTGAGTCGGCTTGATCTAACACGCCGGCTTTCGCTAACACAGCCCGTCTACCCAAAGCACGCCCTCCCGCTGGCCCCACATCAAACCCCACATTGGGCCGCGTGGAGGAACTGCTTGCCATCCTGCAGGAGGATGTGCGCGAGATGCGCAGCCAGCTTGATGTCAGACGACGCATGGGCCTGGGGGCTTTCTACCCATTGGCGGAGTTTGCAGCGGTGGAAGACCTGGTCCGGGCGGTGACGGCGGAGAGCTTCAGTCTCCGGGTGGCTGAGACGTTGCGGGCCCGTGGCATCGACCCCCGCGCTCCATCCTTCGTTGGGATGGCCACTTCAACGACGTCGACTGGCTACCCCGAAGACGACAGACAGACTGCTGGGGTCGACCCTTACTCAGACTCCGAGTCTTCCATTGGCGACGATGAAGCCTCGGATGTGACGGACTCGGATGTCGATTCATCCGATACCGACATGTAGATTCCATGGCTCGCCGCAGGGGTATGTGATGTCCATGACCGCCGTCGCGTGTCCGTTTGCTACTGTCCCACTCTCGCTCAGTACAGTTTTCCTTTCACATCTCACATCTGGCCTTTCTCGTTACGCACCGTGACAAGATTCATGCGTATTGTGTTGTTAATTGGTCTATTATATCTCTTGTTGTGGATTATCGACGTCGTATGCATACTGTACTTCCATCGTTATGCTAATACCCTGCGTCTGACCCCTTGATTCGTCAAGTTTCGTCGTCTTGCGTGCACGGTTCGTGTTCTCTTAGCTGTTCAAGTCCGTTATGTACTCCTCCTCCTCTTTAGCTCTTTTGAATGAAAACATACTCGGTGTTCGAGGTGCATGAACGGCGAACATCACCGTAAGACCTCTATTCGAGGATGTTGTTCTCGTAATCGAACCTGTTGATGAATGGGTGCCTGTGCAACTCGCTTGCGGTCGCACGCTCATCCGGGTCCAACGTCAGCATCAGGCGGAGAAACCCATCCATCTCATCGAGTGTGTTGCCAGTCAGCCCAGCGCCGGCCAGCCGCTGCCGGAGCCGAGGGCAAGGCAGCATTTTCTTCTTGCCGACAAACGGCTTCAGCGACCCTAACCAACCAAGAGTTCGGGTCAGTCAAGGAATTTATCGATGAAAACGCACTGCTACGCACCGTCTGCGTCGAAGTGCCTGTCTCGCTCTGGGCACTTAGCCAGGGTTGCTTGGGAGAACGGACCGAGCACATGTATCATTTGCTCGAGATGCTCGCTGTCGCCCACGTCGTCCTCGCCTACGGATTCGTCGGGAAAGAAGAGCATCTCACGGAGCAGAAGTTCCGCAGCCTGTGCAAGCGGTAAGAGGGGTTGCACACGTGCACGAACCGACGCTCACCAAGCATCCAAGTGCCCAGATATCGATGGGCTGGCCCCAGCGACGCCCCAGTATGACCTCCGGTGCACGCAACATCCTAGGCATGGCCAGCATCCCGGTGGTATCCCTAGAGACCGATATTGCTGTCGCGATGATCAGAAGATGTGACGTGCAATGAAAAGTTTCACCCACAACTACCAAAGTCACCAAGTTGTACGAAGAGTCTAGGCACCTCGTGGTTGTGCCCAAACGAAGGATAGGGCTGCGTCTTGACGCAAGTAACCGGGTCGGGACCGTAGTCGGGAAATACGCGAGGAGGTAGAGTCTCTGCTGGAACCCTCTCCAAGTATTTCTTCAGCTCGGGGATATCCTCATCGCCCAATGGCACGCCGAGATTTTCGGCCTTGATATCTGTCCCAACCAACAGGGTCACCAATGCGGTCGTGGGATAGATCGGAGCCAACGCGCCTCCGTGCACAAAGCCCAACTCGTGTACACACTCTAAACCCCGCAGCACCTGTTTGACAACACGTCGGACGAGCAGTACGTCACGGTCTGGGTCGACCGTTTGTAGCGCAAGCTGTACGCGATCGACATCGGTCGACATCGGTGGCATGACGGTGAAGAGATGGGAGCCGTGTCGAGTCTGGTGGGCGCCGAAATCGTGCATGGGTACGGTCGAGTTCGTACCAGGCATGTCCTCGCCGTGCCGGGCGAGTTCGATTGAAAGAATGATTTGTGAAGTGATCTTGCGGTGCTCGAGCCAGGTAGAGTGCATGGTCAAGACTTTCGCGACAAGCAACCTACCGGGCAGCAGCTCTGGATGCCTAAAGTCGTTTGTTCGTCGACGAAATCCATGTGAATATGCAATTTACGCACCCGGAAGCGACTCGCTCCACCAGCCAGACACTTGAATCGGTCCCCCAGCCAAGCTTGCGGATGGCCTTGTACTGTGCGTAGTTCCCGGAGAGAACTTCACCGAGTTGCAAAGGGGCGTAACCGGGGGATTCGTTGAACGAGCACGGTCTCCAACTAGGCTCCTCGAGTGTCCAGGGGTTGTCTTGCGCGCGTCGACGAATTTCCTTAACATCGCCGTTGTCGGACTCGGGCTTGAGTGCACGATGTAAGGGCGACTGGGTGCTCGTCCTACCGCCTTGGTCGTAGATGGTGGCACTGGTATTGATGAAGTGACAGGAGTTAACGGCCGATCCGTGCGTCAACCGAGTCGCTTGCAGTAGCTGTCGGAAAAATGCACGGGACATGGTGATGAAAAGGAGGAGTATGTAGTTCAGGGCCAGCCCCATGGCGGAGCAGTTCACCCCTAGGGGGATGAAGGGGATCGAAACTCACCTCTGCAAGCAACCTCGCTCTTGCCGTCACCATGCCACTGCTAGCCCCGACCCCGCTCTCAGCATCCACCCGCCCATCCCTGGTCCTCTTCCGGACCTACACACCTCGGGTACCATTCCAGTTGTGGACAACCATACCCCAAAATACCTGAAGATGGACGTCGAGATTGCGTATGTCTCTGCGGCACAGCGCGCCCGTGGGCTGGTCGCGCCCGAGGACGGCACGGTCGTCGGCGTCGGTCGGGCGAAGAAGAAGAAGTGCAAGCGGGTGGTGGGCACGAACGACGCGGGCGAAAAGGGCTGAGAAGGGGAACGTCACCTTGGGGACGAGGACGAGGACGAGGACGAGCGGGCAGAGCTGCCTGCGCTCGACTTCGACCATCCTTGACGACGGAGAGCAGGACTTGGGTTCCGAGACACCGGCGACGAAGAAGAAGAAAGCGAAAGGTGAGCCAATGTGGGCTGTCGGGGATGGTGGGCGGGGCTGACGGTGCTTGTAGGGTCTTCGAACACGGCTTTCTATGGGGACTTCCCGGCGGCGCCCAAGGCACACAGCCAGGTGAAGAGCGGGAACCAGTCGAGGACCTTCCGATGACATTCAGTGTATGTGTCGTAGTAGGCGTAGCAAGAGCGATCCTCATGAGTGCTAACACAATGGCAGGCATCGTCCGGAATAGTAGCGACGGTCCACCAGCCTCCACCCCCGAAACGAGCGCCAGACTCCATACCGCAGAAGAACGGATGACCGCCTCGGAGGCGACAGTGGACGAGCTGCTCAACGAGGCAGCTACTATCCGAAGTTCTATGTATCAGGCGCAATACCTGGTCGAAAGCACGGCTCGAGGACTTGGTGAACGAGCGGGTGGCACAGTGAGCCGGTCGTGTTGACTAGGCATGGGCGAGGAACGAGCCTGGTCTGCGCCATCGAAGAACACTATACATTAACAGGAATTTCCGATCCCACGCGCCGGTCCAACCGTCAAAGTCCCATCTCTAACGAAACCACGGCCCCGCCCCTCACTGGGAGTCGATGATGCCGACGATGACGCCGTAGCACGAGCTGAAGTCGTACGCGCCGTCGTTCTGGTCGTCCGCGACGGGCTTGAAAACGAGCACGTCCGCCGGCGCGGGCTCCTTGAACTCGGGCTCGCGCGCGGTGCAGATCGACCAGCCGTCGGCGCGCGGGTCGTCGAACTCGTCGAGCGCGGCGAGGAGCGGGAACGGCGGGCCGAAGCCGGGCGATGTGCTCGGCTGTGGTTCCAGACCGTCAGCACACGGGACAAAAGACGAGGGGGCGACGCACAGCACCGCAGAAGACCGGCGCGGCGGCGAGCAGCCCGTTCGGGACCATCCAGGTGAACTCGGTGCCCTCGCGCGGGGTGAGCGCGCCCGCGGTGATCTGCGCGTTGTTGGTGTCGTTCCCTATCAGGCGGCTGCCAGAGAGGAAGAATGGCGTGTCCTCGCGCGCGGGCAGCGACGTGCTCAGCTAGCGGGCAGAATACGCGTCAGTCTTCGCGCCCGGCAGTCTTCGGTGGATGCGGGGAGCACGCACCGCGAAGTGACGGCCGGAGCCACCGCCGACGCCGACCTCGATGAGGGGCGTGATGACGAGCTTGGTGCCCTGGTCGACCGAGGTCGGGATCCCGAGCGAGTTCGCGTACGCGTACAGCTGGAAGGGCCCCGCGCGGTCGGCGAACGCGGTCGCGCTGCTGCCACAGCCGTCGCGCGCCTGGAGGCTGGGGGCGGCGAGCGTGGAGGCGGCGAGCGTGAGCGCAACGAGGGAGGTGGCGGCGAACATTATTGGGAGGGAAGGTTTGGAGAAAGAGTAGAGAGAGTGCGCGAAGTAGGATGGGACTCTGGGGCAAAAGGTACAGCGTAGCGCGATGTTATATAGCTTGAGCATCGCTTAACTTTGGCCTCCAGGCTTAGTAGTAGCGTTGGACGCCCTTCTTGGCGCTTTGATGGCCTCGACATTGGCCCGATTCGTGTTTCAGGTGGGAGGAGGTCGATGCGCGCGGAAGCTGTGAGCTCACGGTGTAGTCCGCGTGAACAGGCGATGCCGCCCCATCACCTCGCTGAGTTGATGTCCTCTGAGTCTGAAAAACGAGGCTTGGGTTTGGGGCCGTCGAAACTGCCTCGAGTTTGCTGCTGTCGGTAGCATGCGGCCTCTACTGAATGGCTGTCATGGCCAGGCTGATCATACCGACGCGCTTGGCGAGGTGAGGCCTCCGGGCTGGATACCCCGCACAACGCGCTTGCCCAGAGTCATGCGACAGGTTAGATCAACCCGTGGAAAGTGGTTTCATCCACTCACGGGCTGGAAACATGGCCCGTGTATGAGGCTAGAAAGGCCGGCTGATCTTGTCCGTGTTCCGTTCTCTGTCGGGATTGTCAGCGGACCGAGGCATTGGCGACTCTCGCGTGGACGAGATGGCGTCGGAGAACAAGGTGAACGCGCGTCAGTGGCGGTACGGCCTGAACCACAACCCCACCTCATGCACGTACCTTGATATCTTCCACCTCGCTGGCGAACGTGCGCAACTTGAAGGGGGAGAAGCGAAAACAAAACACCCGCACTAAGACATTCCAGAGACGAACAGAAGGACTGACATGAACGAAAGGTATCGTAAACTTCCCACTTGCTCCAAACTCCGCGATCAACGACTCCCAACGCGTCGGTCCTATCATACAACATGTACACCCCCGAAGCTGCAAAGAAACATTCCAAATCCAAATCCATCCAACCCACCGACCATCGTTTCTCGTTGCCCGTCACTCTTCGCTCTGCGCAGACCTCGCCTCCCCGCTCTCCTCCGCTCCTTCGCGCCCTACGCTCCGACCGCGCTCCCTCTTAACCCGTTCGGCGACGATAACTCCGTGCCGCTCTCCGTTGAGCGGGCTGCTCTTGAACCAGCCGCCTTTGATCTGCGCCTGCGCGCCCGACGAGCTCGCCGCGCGCCGCTTGCGCTCCACCATGATCGCCTGCTCGAGCGACGGCGCGGGCGACGCGCTGCGCGACGGGGGATTGGGGCCGGCACCCGGCGCCACACCGGGCGAGATGGGCGTGAGGGGGAAGAGACCGGAGCCGTGCGTCGAGCGCGCGCGGACGACGGTGACCGGTGCAGCTGGGACCGGGACTGGGGCCGTTGGAGTGCCAGGCGTCTCAGGCTCGATGGACACAACGGGGACGGCGGGCGCGACGGGCGTCACGACCTCGTCCGTCGAAGCGACAGCTTCTACCACCGTCGTCTGGACCGGGGGACTGGTGGTGCCGTCTGAGACCGACGCCGCTGTGACGTCGACCTTCTCTTTGTCCTTCTCGGTGACAGCGATCGCGTCGCGTGGGACGGGTGGGGCACTCTTGGGACGCTGGAAGCCCGGGACTTTGAGTGAAAGGTTGCGTAGCGCCGGGATTGTGAGCGGTTTGACAGGGATTGGTTTGGCAACGGCGGTGGCTCCACTGCTATCTGAGCCGGCGAGCTGGGGAGCGGAGCCAGTACGTTTGAGCATTGGCGTTACTTTCGCTTCAGTTGTCGCGTAAGAGGTGAGGTCGGGATGGCCTTGAGGGTCGAACTCGTCGTATATCTCCTCGCCAATGAGCTCTGATGGATAGAAGGGTCAGTGGGAGAGCAGTATCACAATGCCTACACAAACCTTCCAACACATCCTCTAACGTGATGATACCGAGAGGCATGATGGCTGGATCGACGCTCTGCAGGAACTCCGCAACGCCCTCCTTGGTCAAGACGGCGTCGGCAGGCATGCTCTGCTCCCAGCGACTCCAACCGCCGACCTTGGGGAGACCCAAGGAGGGCTTCTTCGCCGCCGCCTCGTCCTCCACGACGCCCATCTCGATGTCCACAAGCTTCTTCCGCCCGCGACGCTCGCGCTTCTTCGTCGATCGAGTCTCCTCTTCGGGGTCGCCAGAGTGCTCACGAAGCGTTTCATCGTTATCGCTGCTCGTAGTCCGTTTGAACCTCTTCGTGCGCTTTTTCATCTGGAATGAAGGGCCCTCCTCGTCGGAGCTCGAGCTTGAATCGCTGTCTCCGAGGAGCACACGGTCCCGGAGACGCTGCGTGAGGCCGCGTTTGACCGCCTTCTTGACGCTCGCGGCGCGCTCGACGCTGAAGCGAGACACGATGGCCATATGCGAACGGCCCTCTTGGAACTTGTCGAGGATGCCTAGGAGCGGCTCGTTGTTCGGCACGAAGGGCACCTTGTTGAGGGGAATCTTCCGCACAGGGGTAGCATCTGTCCACAGGAGGGCGAACACTGGTCAGATTGGCCTCTCCACGAAGACAGCAACCGCATATATGGATAGCGATGGTACCTTTCGGATCTAGCAAAACGCATTGTTTGACGAGCAAGATGCCGATGATCTTCTTGACCTTCTGCATGTGCGGCCTCCGTCCATCGAGACTGAGACGCGAGGCCGACGCGTCATCAATGAACTCGGTGTCGTCCATGACGCAAGCAACCACGTTCGTCGGAACGGAGATCTCGACCTCTTCGTACACGGGTATGCGGGAGTGTCCGGTCAGGCACACCTTGCGAAGTGTCTCGTAATCGAGCTTCGCGTCAATGCTGAGCATGAACACGTCTTTGATCGGCGTCATGGCCTGCTTTACGACCTGCGCTCACGTAAGAGACCAGCCGTCGGGGCGCTCAGACAAAGTTACGTACTTTTTCTTGCAGGTCAAGCGCGCCGCCGATAATGGTGATGGTGTCTGTCTTCAGGTCACCACCCAACTCTCCGCCATTGGAGTGCATGGCGATAAGCTCCTTGAGCTCCGCCCGACGGTAGATGATACCATGGTGCGGCCCGAGCGCGAACTCGAGAAGTTTGGCGACGGGCCATGCGACAATGCCCTGCGGGATCTGTCAGCTCGAGTCGCGCAGCTTCTCGTGAGACAGAGACTCACCAAGGTCCATATGAGAACGTGGACGAATCCTGCCATCTTGGCGCCGAAGTAGAGGCCATATCGCGTACAGAGCGATTGCGGGATGATCTCCGCAAAGCTAGCAAACAAGGAGTTAGCCTACAGTTGCAGATGAAAGGCCTGTCATGCTGATATCAGTTCGTGGTGCATATATACTCGTATTATGTCATGCTTTCATCTGTACGTGGGATCACTAGAATCGGCGATCAGTCTTTCGAGGCCCAACGCTGGTCGCGATGAGCCTCGAAGGCCTCCCGGCCCCCGGCGCGAGTAAAGCAACAATACAACCTCATGTTGAGGGCCGAGGGGGAATGCCCGATGCCCGGACATTGTAACGCATACAGTCACGTGGGTGGAACGCGTCGTGTCCCGTGGACGGAGACGCGTCGTGCCGAGATCGCGTCATGCCGCACATCGGTGCGAACGAAGTCGAGGGTGGGAAGAGCCCGGGCACAAACGGCGCAGGAGAAGACGGGAAGACGCACATGACGATGAGGACCGTGCTGGCCACGACGCTCTGCACGCCGCCACCGAGGACGGGGTCGGAGATAACGGGCAGCGTCTCGTTGACGATCATGTTCGCGAGCAGGAGCGTGACGAGCAGCAGGTGCCCGTTCTTGCGGATGGGCTTGATCTTGTTAGCGTAGAGCTTTTGCTGACTGCGGAGGACGCGTGTGAGCGCGCGTTTTGGAGCGCATATAGGGACCTCGGATGGACTTACGGGGTGCCGCTGACGCTCAGGACGTTCAGTTGCGTCTCGTCGAGGCTCATGTAGCCCAGCGTCAGACCGGCAAACACACCCGACATGAGGACAAGGATGGGGATGAGGCATGCGAAAACGATGAATTCCGTGTCGTGGTGTTCCTCGCGCCGGTGGAACGTGTGGGTTGACGTGCGGGCTGCGTCGAGCCCGGAGTTTGGGTGGCCTGGGGAGGGGTGGAGAGACGGCACATGCTGGGATACGGCAGACGCTAGGGTAAGGAGCAGTCTTGGGGAGCGTATACTGAGTAGAGGCGGGACCATTCGATGATGGGTGTCGTCGAGGACGTGGGACGGGGAACGCGGCGCGAGGCATTTGCCTAAAGGCTCACCGTGGGCGCTATACCCCGCACAAGCTTATCAAAGGCGAGTAAGTCGGGAATCTAGACCGTGTCTTATCGGCTGGTCGGTCCTGGTCGGAGTTTTGCCCGGCTGGGTACTTTCAATTTCGGAGGCTGTAATCGGACATTCGGCCCCGTAATCGCGGAGTCTAGCATTACACTTTTGACTTTATCGTTGCGTCATTTGTAGTAGGACCAACACGTATGTACTATGCAGCAACTCAGCGCATACTCGAGCTGGGAACAACGCCTCCCCGGAAACGCGTGAGCAGCGCAGTTGCCCTCCGACCTGCTGATGGGACCGGGGACATGTGATGAAGCGCTGCGGGGAGCTTTTGGACTGCTTCTCCGCCTGCAGGTCACGCTCACGTAGGGGTGGCTGAAACAATGCAACGAGGAGGATCTACGCTACGATTATACAACTATACAATGAAATACACACGCGCACCGTGCCGGCCGTCCGGCCCACATCCCAAGAATACACCGCAAGGAAGTCCGCAGAAGCTACGAGGCTTAGCCGTACCACTTGTCCCCAATGCGCATCTGTGCCTTTGGCCGCTGAGGAATGATCGGTTCCGTGATGTTGAACACTTCGATCGCCCGCTGCAACGGAAACAGGGGTCAGCAGGGCGGTGGAGGCGCGATCGGAGCGAGAGTGGTCATACCTTCCAGACTTTCATATCGAGTTCCATGACAAGCTGGTGTTTTGTGAGTTTCTCCGCGTAGTCCTTGGCCGTTGGCGGCTCGCATAACACTGTAGTGTGAGCGTGTGAGCAGAGGTATGATAACGAGCGACACTTCGGCAACGAACTGATGACAGGTTCCCCCGTCTCTTCGTCCTCGAAATACGCGCACTTGCCATCGCGAATGAGGAATGAGAGATAAAACAGATTCTCGACAGATTGACCAAAGTCGTGGGGATTGATGATGACTTTGAAGACATTATGGTTGTCTCCCTCCAGTTCGGCCAGGATTCTCTCGACCTACAAACAGACTAGTAGTAAGGACGTGAGCAGCGTGACAGCATGGCTGAGGACGAACCATCGCGACGTTCGCAGTCGTCTCGTTAGCAGAGCGAGTGATATCCTCTTCTCTGATTTCCTGAGGCTTCTTCATGTCATTCTTGTTCTTCTCCAGTTTTGCGCGTTTTCCTGCGGCACGCTTCTTCTGCTCGATTGACAAGGGTCCTAGCCTGAAAACGTATGATCAACGACACCACTCGCATAACATGTCGTTCTATCGGGCATTCATCTCCTCTCGTCCTGCTCCTTGCGTCTAGTGTGAGAAGGGTCGGCGTGTAGAGAGACCACTTGTCGCTATGGCTTCTCCGCATGCATTAGCTCGAGAAATAGCATGTGACAGAATGCTGCAGAACGCCGACCCCAACGCATAGGTGCACGTCCATCTCCAGCAACGATATTTATGACATAGCTCGACGACAGAGTGGACTCTGATAACAGCCGTGCAATGAACCTCGTGCTCGCTAACGCACGCGCACGAGGTGCATCCCACCAGGCCAGCAACCCAAAGAGGCCTCTCTCGCCTGCGAAACGCAGATGCACGAAGGCGACTCACATAAAATCCATCGCCGGCGCTCTCCTGCTCTTCGCCAAAGCCTTCCGCCCCAGCTTCTCCCAGTCTAGCGGCGCGTCCCCCGCGTCGAACTCGCTGTCGTCGTCGTCCTCGTTCTGCACGTGTGCCGCATGTCGACGGCCACCCATGTACGTGATCAAGCGCGCGATGAAGTCGTCGGTGTCGAATGCTCCTGTCCCCGACTTCATTGCCCGCGCCTTCGCCGCGCCAATCTCCGAGATTTGCAGCAAGAGACTAGAGTCATTTGTGGCCTCATTGATCTGGTGGACTATATGCGCGTATATGCATGCGGGGAGAGCGAGGAGAGCAGACGCGCGGAGACACACCTGTATCGAATAGCTTGTTTGCCTCCGCTAGTGTTTGTACGACCAGGTCTGTGGATATGTCTTTCTGCTTCTCTATGTGCGCGTCGCCATCAATATTTTCCCACACGGCACTCGTGCGATCTCACCATGTAGAACCGCAGCCGCTTTACGATACCCCCTTCTTGTCTCCCGGACTGCCTCAGCGTCCTGTTCGGGGTCGTACACCGGTTCTTCAACTGACATAGTGATGATAGATTTGACTGGCGGGGAGGGTGGACAGAGTCTCGGAGGCGCGTGTGGTGGAGGAGAGTAAGGGGCGGGCCGCGGGAGTCGCGTCGTTCCCAGCGTGACTCGTGACGCGACGCGTTCTACCACGCACGTGACAACCCTTTCCCCGTGCGGGCCGTGACGCCGCATGCTGCGGCTTCAAAGCTTCAACTTCGCCTTCCCATCTGGCAGCCTTGAGCTCGAGTTCTCCCAAAGCTCCATGTCTCATACCATCTCCAATTCTTCGAGCACCGGAGCGACCAAAGTGTGCGTCGTCCGATGTTCGTCAGGCCACGCGCCGCTGATGCGATACTCGCCGGGCAGACACCATTTGCGCTGCCCCCCTTCAGCCGGTCGACACGAGTCCTTTGGTTCTTATATTTGGAGAACACGCACAACGCGGCCCTCACGATGCTCATCCAGGCTTACCTAGAAGATGCTAATACCAATCCTGGACGCGAAGAACACCACCGCTTGAGTTTATGGAAGCGCGATCCCCCCAAAGTCCGCACTCCGGGCTCGTCGCTTCCGAGGATCGTCACCAGCTGTTACTCATCGTACCAGTCTTATAAGCGGCCATTCGCCCGACGCCCTCGCCATCTTCCACCCCACTCTCATCGGCGGCATGGTCGTTGCCCTGCTCGCCAAGGTCACGCTCGCAGCGCTTCTTGGGCGCGTCGTGTGGATCGTCTGCAAATGGTGGTTGAGCCCGTCACCGCTGAAAAATATTCCTGGACCTGAACCCTCCGGAAGCTGGTTATGGGGTGCGTGCACATCTGTCATCTTGGCACGGAGTCTATGTCTAAGGCATCACGTGAACAGGCCATTTCAAGCAGATGTTCCATCGGGAGAGCTGGGACTTCCTTCACGACCTCTTCAACAGATATGGTCAGGTGGTGAGGGCGGACTCTTTGCTTGGGGTCTGTGCATTTTATTTGCTGTCAACATAATGTCATGCTCAAACCACTCTGCCCTAGCGGAAACTACTCTTTGTGCACGACCCGCTCGCGCTTCACCATATTTTGCTCAAGGACCAGCATGCTTACGAGGAGTCCGATCAACACACAGCGTACGCCCCACCCTTCCCCGTTCGTCCGCGCCGTGCTAACGGTACGACAGGATGTGTATGGCTCTATTCGGCCCTGGATTGTTCTCGGTCATGAGTACGAATGCAATTCCAGTTCTCTAGCTCTCCATGACCCCTCCTACAGGTGACACCCATCGGAAGCAACGCAAGATGCTGAATCCCGTATTCTCTGTCACTCATATGCGCCACATGTTGCCCCTCTTCTACAGCACAGTGGACCGCGTACGTATATTCCCCATGCCCCGGTCTGTTATTCGTGCGCTCTGACCCTCAACAATGCAGCTCGTCGAGTCCATCCACAATCATGTCGCCAACGGACCGCAGACCTTGGACATGCTTGGATGGTCGACGCGTATCGCGCTTGAGCTCATTGGGCAGGGCGGGTTGGGCTATTCCTTTGATCCCTTGACTGAGGACACCGCGAACCCCTATGGAGATGCCATGAAGATTCTCATGTAAGTGAATGCTTCTCTTCTGCCTTCTGCGCAGCTGGCAATTCGTCCCACCGACATATCTTTCGTCAGGCCTTCGATGCTCCCTTTGATGGTGGCCCGCCCCCTCCTCCCAGTGGTCGGCAAGTTCCTTCCCCGTATGGTCCAGCGATGGTTCGCGGAGCGCTTGCCGTGGCCCGCGTTCCAACGGATCCGCCACGTGGTCGACACCATGGACGAGATGTCCCACGAAATTTACGATCAGAAGATGGCCGCGCTGCGCGCGGGCGAAGAGGCGGTCGTACAGCAGATCGGTGCCGGAAAGGACATTCTGAGCAAGCTCTGTGAGGGTTGTCCGCGCATATATCCAGGCTTGCGACTAATTCTCTCTTTTTCATTCCACAGTGCAGGCGAACATGGCCGCGGCAGAGGAGGACAGGTTACCTGATGATCAGCTCATCGCACAAATCACGTAGGTCGTGTTGACTCCATCGGTCTATCTCGTGTGCTCAGAAGACCTCTGTCGTGCGCAGAACTATCGTCTTCGCGGCCATGGACACCACTTCGGGGGTCATTGCGCACATGATCCACATGCTGGCGGAACATCCGGACGTCCAGGACCGTCTAAGACAGGAAATCTTGATGAAACGTGCGGCCCTCAGCGGCGAAGACTTCACGTACGATCAGCTGCAAGATCTGCCCCTTCTAGACATGGTCTGTCGCGAGACCCTTAGGATGTATGTCACCTCTGTTTTCATCCACTTGGGACCGTTGTTGACTGGCTTTGCAGGTATCCTCCCCTCGTCTTCCTTATCCGCACGTGCGTCCAATCCTCCCTTCCATCTCGCTCATTCCTCACAAGAATCCTCATCTTCCCCTCACCAGAGCGATCAAAGACGCCGTCCTCCCACTGTCCACGCCCCTCCGCGGTCGCAACGGTACCTCGATGGATCGGATCCACGTGGCGAAGGACACTTCGGTCGTCATTAGCATCCTCGCCTCGAACCGCAACCATGCGATTTGGGGCCCGGACGCAGACGAGTGGCGGCCCGACCGCTGGGCGAAGCTCCCGGACGCGGTCGCCGACGCCAAAATCCCTGGGGTGTATTCCCATCTGTGAGTCGAAAGGCTTCGGAGGTTGACTGGCACTGACTTTTTGCGCCCCCGCAGACTGACCTTCCTGGGAGGCGGCCGTGCCTGCATGTAAGCTCGGCTCATCGCTCATCGATGCATACAGGGGCTTATACGCGTTTTGCAGCGGGTTCAAGTTCTCCGAGCTGGAAATGAGTGCGTTTCGAAACGTTTTGCGCTTCGCGCGCGCTGCTGATGAGCCCTCACGTTTGCAGAAGTCGTGCTCGTGAAGCTCCTCGAGCACTTCCGGTTCTCCATGCCCGCTGACCTCGCGCAGCCCATCTACTGGAACTTTGGCGGCGTGCAGTGGCCGAGCGTGGGGCGCACGAGCGAGAAGGCGGAGTTGCCTCTGAAGGTCGAGCTGGTCAAAGCGTAGCAGGCCACACCCCGATGCCCGTTTCAACACGGCGCGCACTCCATTCGTCCGATGCTTTGTAGCAGATAGCAGCTAGTTCTTGTATTCATCTTGCGGGTTGAACCCGCCGTCCATTCGCTCCTCAGCCTATGTCGTGAGCACTGAGCGCCCCGTTTGCTTCACCGCGGAGTCGAGCTCAACGGGGTAAAACGTCCGGGCCGCGCCCCGCTGGCGAATCGCGTGGCCTGTTATGCTCGGCGCTATATAAGACTTTCCGCCGCCCAGATTACAACTATCACCTCGCACATGGCATGCTTCGTCCATTGATTACCTCTCATGTGCGCTCTGCTTTCTCACAGATCAGCGGCTTCTGCGCATCTCTCAGCGCCAGGCGCAGCCTAACCACTGTGCGGTCTGCTTCATCCTCGGCGGCGAAGCTTCCTAGGCCATCCCCGGCAGACCCATGGGCGGCGGAAGAGCCCCACTGGATGCCTTGGGACCGCCGTGAAGAATCACCAGGGTACGCACCCCTGGGACTCGGCGACGGTCTGGACGGAATATGCGGAAACTACAAGATCATTCGCAAGCTGGGCTGGGGGACCGAGTCAAGTGTCTGGCTGGTGGAACGAGTGGCTGCAAAGTGCGTCCACGCTCCTATCACCTTTTCAACCATTGACGAACGAGTCACGACTTTCAGTCATCCGAACATGCAGCTTGGAAAGCTGCTCGTGGCCAAGGTGCTGAACATGCACGCCACCGTGCTCGAGCTCGATGAATTCACCTGTCAGGTTCCGCTCTGCAACGAAATAAACCGGCGTTCTACTCCCGAAGAGAAGGGGTACATGCACGGTACGGCGTTCACCGTCACTATGCTTGATGGCGGTACAGTTTCTACCCGACACGGAGACCACATCTTCACCATCATGCCGCCAATGTCTACCACAATGCGCAGCGTAGAGCGTTCGTTCCGGACAGCCAACCCAGATCGCGATGTGTTGCTCGCCCGACGCGTTCTCAAGCAGGTCTCCAGCGCCCTTGAGTGCATGCACCGTTTAGGCTACGTCCATACAGGTGCGCCGTTATCGTTCGCCCTGCGCTATCGCCTCCGATAAATCTCTAACGCGGACAGATGTCAAGGCTGACAACTTCTTCGTGCCGTTGCCCGACGAGTGCATCCTGGAGCTGAGGACATACTTGGAGAGGTTTCCAGCCGCGACGTTGCCTCCCCGCGTGTTTCCAGAGCACGGCCCGGATCCGGTCACTTGCGTCAGGTCACAGCCTTATCCCCCCGTTGGGTCTGACCACGAACTGCCCAGGATTCTGGTCAACCTCGGCGATTTCAGCAGCAGTGAGTGAGAAACTGTAGTTGGTGTAGTCTCCTGTCTGATCATCACAACAGCGATCGATGCAACAATGGACACCACCGATATACTAGCCATGCCTAGGATGCTGCGTGCACCGGAGGTCATACTGGGACGTCGGTGGGCCCAGCCTATCGACATCTGGGCGCTTGGATGCTGGGTGGGTCTCGACCGACGGTTGTTGTAACTGTGTCTCACCGCTCGCTCAGGTTGCAGAACTGTTGCTCCGCGATAGGCTATTCTTTCCCGGAAAACATCCAGACGGGACGGCCGTGAGCTACAGCGAGCACCTCTCGCAAATGGTTGAGGTGCTCGGACCGTTCTCTGAGAAGACCCTGGCGAAGTGCCCGAGGCGAGACGATGCCTTCGATACCCAAGGTGCGTGGTACATCCTGTCCCTAGGCTGTCACATTGTTAATTGACATGGGGCCGGGGTTTGGACGGACAGGGTTGCCAAAGCCCATCCACGGGACGCAGCGGTTCAATCTGCCCCCCCTCCGCCAGCGTCTCGCGGCGGCCGGGCTTACTGGTACGACGCTCAACGAAGTCGAGGCCCTTCTATGCCGGATGTTGCGGCTGGATCCGGACGAGCGGGCCACGGCGAGCGAGGTCCTCGCGGATCCATTCATACACCGCTTTAATTTGACCACGAACAGTCTCTTGTAACATTCATTGTAGCCCTGGGACCGGTGTCGGTAGCCATGATGTAGCATACAATATTAACACCCCCCCTCGTCGTCACCGCGTGCTCACTGCTAGTAACAGCGTGCGCCGCACGGTTCTAAACGCCCCTCAACAATCGTTCCTGGCTCCTTCCCCACACACTTCCGCACCGCCTTCGCGCGCTCGTCCAACGACCACACTGCAAACACCCGATCCTCTTCACCCGCTCCGAGACCGTTTTCTGCCCATGCCCATGCCCCTCCTCCCAAAACTGATACTGATGCGTGCACGCGAACCGCATCTCCGCCGTCCGTCCTCCCCCACCTTGCCCACGCACCACTCGTGCCGCCCGCCGTCCATGAACCACCAGTGGCACGGGCACCATTTGCGCAAATGAACTCGTGGCCTCTCCGCCTTGCTGGACGTAAGCATCAAGCACCATTCCGGACGATGGCTGCAACAACACCCTTGTATAACCACCCAAGAGGACCGCCCTCGCTACGCCTACTGCGACACATACACCGAATGTCATCGGAAGGTCCTCGACTGGTTCCCGCTCTTCACCTGGCTGTGTGCCTTGGGCGCCGCCGGGAAGTCCCCATAGAAAGCCGCGTTCGAAGACCCTACCCGCACCGTTAGCCCCGCACACCAACAACCCGCGCAGATCGGCTCACCTTTCCCTTTCCCTTTCTTCTTCTTCGTCGCCGGTGCCTCGGCGCCCAAGTCCTCCCCTCCGTCGTCGAGGATGTTCGACGCTGCTGCGTAGTCGAACGCAGGCAGCTCCGCCTGCTCGTCCTCCTCTTTCAACTTCCCCTTCCCCTTCTCCGTCCTTTCGCCCGCGTCGTCCGTGTCCACCACCCGCTTGCGCTTCTTCTTCTTCGCTTGACCGACGACGACGATCGTGTCGTCCTCGGGTGCGCCCAACCCACGCGCACGTTGCGCCGCGGGGACGTACGCAATCTCGACATCCATCTTCAGCACGCCGTCCTGGCTCTGTGCAGGCTCCTCTTTCGCCTCAACAGCGGCCGGAACGGTGGGAGCGATGACGAGCGCGCCGTGGATCCGCGCCGTCGCTTCGAGGAACCGCGCGCGGCTTGCGCCTTGGCCCGCGCCCAGGGACTCGCCCACGAGGGCGCTCTGCGTAGCGATCATAACATTGCGCTTCAGCGAGGGCCCGAAGAGAGATGAGGTCACTGCGGAGATTGACGAGACTGTGTGGCTACGGTTAGCGAAGACCTTGCGTGCAAATGGACGAGGGCTCACTGTTCGACCACAGAGAGGACGGTGTGATGGAAGGGGGCGGCTTGATGGTAGGCTTGTCGCTGTCCACATCCATGGCGCCGACAACTTGGTCTGAAGACTCGCTGCTTGTGATCTGACCCGAGCTGGCAAGAGCTCCTTTGACGGCGCCGCGGATCGCGTCCAACAAGTCCTTCGCGCGTCTGCGTATTACAGGCGGAACGGGACGGAAGACCGAGAGCAGCGCCGCCATGTCTGCCGGGGTGTTCTCGGCGAGCGTGAAGATATAGTGGTTCGGGAGGACATATCTGCCCATGACGTCAGATGACAGCAGGACGTATCGAAGGTATCGAGCGAGCTCACCTCGTACTCTCATCTTCCTCCCTCGAGATCTTGTCCCTCCACGCGTGCACCGCCAGGTATGCGGCACGCTGGACCCGCCTCGCGCTGTCCATCTGGGCGGCCTCCGCCACGGCCATGAAGTGAATCTTGTTCCACTTGCGCGCCAGTCCGTCCCAACCCCCGGGGCCGGATCCACCCTCGGCGTCGTACCCCTCCTTCTCATACAAGCGCAGCGCTGTCTCCTCCGAACGTGCAAGGACCTCCCGGACAAGCGCGTGGGAAGGAGGGATCGACGGATCTGGAGGCGGGGTGGACGAAGACGTGGGGCTCTGGGCGCGGGACTGCGAGCGGGAAACCGCACGGTCGAGAAGAGCGTTGCGAAGGTTGTCGTAGATGAAAAGAAGGAAGTGGGTGTCGGAACGCGCGTACTGGAGCATCTCTTCGGGTAGAGGGCTGTGGAGTGGTATGAGCCGCAGGCGAGCCCGCCAAGCAGATGAAAGACGTACCGTATTCTCCAGTCCGCTAGCTGATAGCGCTTGTCTGCTGTAAAGTCGCAGTACATTTCCAACAAAGACGCCAGACCATGACGAGGGAAGTCTGCGAATAGAACCTTGAATGGGATGTGATATATAGAAGCCGGATACGTGCTACGCACCTAGAACTTTTGAGGCGTGGTATGTATCGAACAGGTTCACGACATACAAGTTAAAATCTTGCTGGAGCCAAACAATATCGCTCTCTGCGCCATGGAACACCTAGGCGAGTTCAGAGGTGCTCGCCAAAGACAGAGCTGCGCTGATTTACCTTAACAATACTGGGGTCGGTGAAGACCTCATTGAGGTCCTCGAGCTCTTCGCGTAACAACAGCGTGTCGACGACGAAGTCCTCTTCTCGCGTGCTGATCTGCATTAGGCACACAAACCCGCCGAATGAACGGTAGTTGTGGTACTCCAAATCTACCGCGATCTCAGACGACCCGCGTAGCTTTTCCAGCATCGACGCAAGCGCATCGGGTGAAGCGACCCACGTGAAGGGTGTGTCGTCGAAGGGGTCGGGTTGGATTGGCGGTATGGACATGAACATGCGTGAAGGGTACGACAGGTGCTTGATCTCATAACGGTACGGATGTAACCTGTCGAACGTCCGTTGAGGACCCGCCGAGTTGAAGGGAACGCGAGGACTCACGAGTGAACAGCTTCCTCCCCTTCGTTGGAATAGTTGTGGCCCAGCGGCACTTTCGCGTTGTACTTGTGTCGGAGACTCGGCGTCCACATCGAATCCGCGCGGTTTTCAGCCTTGCGCTTGAACAGAAGTTGGGGTTTCGGGAGATGTGAGGCATGTTGCAATGCAGGGTCAAGTCGTCCTGCGGGGACATTCGCTTTCTTTGTCCTCTGAGAAGTGGAGGCCGTGGGGTTGACGGCGATGGCCGGAGCTTTGATATTCCCAAGAGCCTCGTCCAAGCCCATGTCCTGCAAGGATTCGTGATTGTGCGTAGAAATAGATGCATATATGCACTTACCGCGCGCTCCAGGACCAGATCCATCGCGTCCACCACTAACGAGCGGAAGTCATCCACAACATCATCCTGAGAGTCCAATCGTGCCTTCCCTTTGCCGCGCGCATTGGAGGATGTTGCGCTGAGAGCAATAAGCTGGTTTGCGAGCGAGAGAACGCGGGAAGAGCATGCGTCTACTTCCTTCGCGAACTCGGGGTGAATGGACCGGTGGAAGGGGACGTCGGTGGGGAACGAAACGGCAGCGCGAGTTGCCTTTAGTGCCGCGGCCTGCAGCTGAGAGTTGTAGTCGTCAAATGACGAGGACGCGATGGTGGAGGACGAAGCCATGGTGGAGGAGAAGTTGGAATGTCCCGCCAAAGCCGCGGCGCCCGTGCACAAGCATTTTCGTGCATGTGCTAGCTACGTTACATATGACGCCTGTCACGCTACGCGCTTAGACGCGAGCTCACTGTGAACTTCTGAGAACACCTCTTGCAGTACTTACTTACGCAGCCCCGTCCGTGCCACCCGTGCGATGACACTAATAAAAAGGATCAGACCCTCGTTGATGAACCCGATGAGGACAAGTATCAAGAGTAGCGTTCACTATTCTCAATGCACGATCCCGTCTACATAGTTGGTGGTGGTACTAAAAAAGACATACTTAAGCCCTTCGATCCGATACCTAGTCTGTAATCGCGTCCGCCGCCTCAACAGAGCCCCTCTGCTCGACGGCCACTCCGGTCAGGAGAATATGGTTTCCTCATGTGAGCTATAAGCACGCATTCAATCCAACAGGCAGACTGCTAGCTCGTACCCGTCCTCCATAGGTCGGTTCATTGCCTGATGTCTCGAAGATGAGCATCCCGAGCAGCGTGCATGTAGCACAGGCTTTTTGGCTTACGCCGATCCCCAAGACTGTACTTTCCTGGACAGCGTCAGAGTGTCCAGCTGCTGGTAGTGAGACACACGAGCAGTCACGTACATCGAAGTGGGTTTGCAAATGTTGGACGACTTCGTAATTGTCGGACGACCTCGGGAGTTTCAGCAGCCCCATGAGTCCTGCTTCCGCGTGAACGCGTGGTGGCCGGGTAACTTTCAACTTGCGACTGGCGAGCTCGCCCAACCACTTGCTGGCACATTCGATTGCGGCAGGTCGGCGCTTGCTAGAGGTGATGTGTTTGGAAACGTGCTCCAGCAAGACATTCTTGAAATGTTCTTCGGCAACTCGTTGAGCCTCCTTTCCGTGGTCCGCGAGCTCGACGATCGAGATTTTCGGGGGCCCTAATAGCTTCAGGATCCTCGAGAGGACGGCGGAACATGCTGTGAAGGGTGCGACTATCATGAGTAGATAGCGTAAAACAACCTGCCCTTCGTTCTTGCCGGGCATGGGAGTGAACACGCCGCGCGCGTCATCTTCGTCGGCCTCGTTGCTGTCGTCGTCGAGGTCGCTGTCGTCTGTGCCGACGTCGTGATGCCCAGTGGTGCGTTGCGGCTTCTTGGCTGTAACATGAAGGTTGATAATTGTCTGACAACAAACACAGCGACTTACTGATGGGTTTCCTCTTGAATGCATACGAGAGTGAAGAAGAACGAAAGACCTGCTTGACGTCCTCGGATCTCAGGATACAGTAGATGATCCGTAGGGTCCAAGTGAAGAAGGGACGGTCCTCCGCAGCGACAGTCAGAGCCTCAGCAACTGCCAGGAGCTTGCCGAGCACATTGATCCAGGTTTGAACGGTGCTTGCGGTGAAGGACGCGGGGAGGACGAGAAGTGCGTTCGACCGCCCCTTCAGATTCTGCCTCGTCCAGTGTTCCGCCAGCCGTTTGTTCGCGAACATTCTGTCAGCATCGGACAGCTTGGGTTTTTTCCCATTCTCCTCAGCGAACCACTCATAGGGCTTAGGCTTCGAATCCTACATCACTTTCCATGGATCCGAGTCCCACAACTTGCTCGCAAGGCGGATCCGATGGGCAACAGAACCATGACAGCGAGTAGTGACCCACTGCGCGACGTTGAGCTTGCCATAGCCGTTCTGGGGGTGCTCGCCTTCTGCTTGTAGTTCAGTAGGACGCGGAGCAGGTCCTGCGCATGACGCTTCACAGTGTAGGGTTCATTCGAATTTGACGGACTAGACAGGGGACGTAGGTAGAGCCTTGGAAAGGGGCGGGTGGCTTACGAGGCGAAGTCGTTGATGTCAACCTCCTGCTCGCTGGGAGATACGCGAAGAATCGAGAACTATGGCTTGGTGGAGGCATCCTGGACTGATGACCGCGTATCCGAGGAGGCTAATGGTGTATTCGAGGGACTGGAGTTCGACACGAGGACGACGGTGAGACTAGTCTCCTCAACGTTGGTCCAGCCTGTAGAAACGACCGACCCGTCGGCGCGGAAACTGAAGAGGTTGGAGGCATGGTCGAACAGCTTCGTCTCGCATGTGTGATACTTGGTTTCATGGAGGTCTTGCGGAGCGTCATGGTATTGCGGAAACTCGTTTAACGCCAAGGTGAGAACACGAATGGTCGTGCGAGCGCAGTGAGTCATGGTAGGTGGGATAAGGACGGAGCAAAGGCAGCAGTCGGATACAGAACAGCAGGGACAGACGACAGACGAGAGGATGAGGGAGAGAAATCGTGGAGCGAGAGGGAGAAGTTGGACGAAGTACTACATACTCAAGCGGCGCTGAGATGAAGAGCGCGCCGCACGGCGGTATGGGATGCGTGACGCCTGTCACGCCACCGCGACGACGAGCACAAGCCGCCGCGCGTTGACCGTCCTGGCCACTCTCCTGGTTGTCCGTCTCACCCATCATGTCTAACACCATTGCCCTGTGAGTTGCGGACGCGCCATATTGTTTCTCGCTCTGACCTCACTCTTGCCATCAGCTATCCTCTCTCCAACTTCACCTTCAGGTCAGCAGTCATTCGTTATATTGAAATAGTGCTCACGCCCCTTGCAGTACGAAGGAGGCGCAGCCGGAGGAGGACCCGTCCGTGTCCGCGCGTCTTCAGCGTCTGCAAAACAACTATGAGGACTTCGGTATGCGACGGACAGTAGAGGGAATTCTGGTCGTGCACGACCACGGCCACCCGCATATACTCATGCTCCAGATTGCAAACGCGTTTTTCAAGCTGTACGTCTTTGACCCTCTTTCTACCACGCTTATTCCTAAGCATTGTGGCTTTATCCTAGCCCTGGCGACTACCTGAAGCCTGGTGAGGATGAAATCGAGGGGCTGAAGAGGCGTTTGGACGAGCGACTGGCGCCACCCACGGATTCCCGGCAGTTCAACTCGTCGCACGGGGTGGACAATGAGTGGGAGATTGGTGATTGCTTGGCGCAGTGGTGGAGACCGAACTTCGAAACTTTCATGGTGCGTTCGTTCGTCTTTGGCAACCGTGGGCCGCTTCAAATACTCGCAAACAGTACCCATTCATCCCTGCACACATCACCAAGCCAAAGGAATGCAAGAAGTTGTTCTTGGTGCAGATGCCCGAGCGGAGTGCGTGCTTTGATTCGCGCTTCGTAGCCGTGGCACTCAACGTTTCACAGAGGTTCTCGCCGTCCCTAAGAACATGAAGCTACTGGCCATCCCGCTGTTCGAGCTGTACGACAATGCTGCGCGGTATGTTCCCTAGTCTTGGGCAGCTCCATCACAAGGCTCACACATTGCGCAGGTACGGGCCTCAGCTGTCTGCTATCCCTCACCTTCTATCTCGGTACGATCATCTTGCCCAATGACGTCTCCTCTGCTCGCTAACCGCGTCCGCAGCTACGACTTCATTTACCAGTAGATTCACGTGGAGTTCGCGCTGTCAAAAGTACGCTTGTTTTGAGCATAATCCGTCTGTTCAAGCTGTCGCATGTTTTCAAGTCATGTTTTGCGCTCTCCGTCTGTATGTGATCAGAAGCTTCTCTTGCCATGTATCCTGTCAATTTAGAAGCTTCACTTGTATTATTAACGTCTACTGCCAGTCTTTGATGGCGTTCAAGAAGTCGACAGCGCGAACGTTGAGCGGTATGTCACGGTCCGGGCAGGGACCAGAAGCGCCCGCTACTGCCTCAACCGTTCTGCAAAACAGTCGTGCGATCTACGCATCCTGTCATTCACGCCGGCAATATCAAAATTTCCGGTCATCAGATATGTTATGTTTCTAACCCCGTTCCAACTACGCAGAAATGAAGTATTTCGTCCGTGCAAAAATGCAATGTTCCGATAAACATCCCGGAGGCACAGGAACTCATTGTTTTTCGTTGCTAGACACGACAACAGGAATTTAGAGTTCTAGAACACGTGGAACTTCAAGTATCTGAGAGGAAGAAATGATGGCTCCCCATTGGTTCATCATTTCTCGTCAACAGAAACTCAAAGTTCCACGTGCCTCGAAACTTCAACTTTCTATTGTCATTCCTCGTCGTCGGAAACGTCAAGTTTCTGCGCTTCTGGAACGACTTTCAGAATGATGTGTTTGTGAAGAGGCGAAATCCTTCGTGTTCCCACGTCTGAAATGTGTTCGGAAACGTAGCATTTCGGATTACATTTCAAGATGAATATCTGACGACCGGAAATTTTAATAATGCCGGCGTGATTGTGGCGAGAATCACGTCTACTTTGATAGGACCACGCCACATCTTGGCACCCGCAACCCGACTTCGCATCTTGCAACCAGAGTGCGGAAGCTTGCCCGCATGGGAATGCAACTGATGCTGCACACCGTTACCACAACGAAGTACCTATCCATCCTCGTATGCTCTGCTTGTACTGCTCAGTGCTCACCTGTTCGCACAGGTCCTGGTCGTGGCCGTCAATAGCGCCGCGAGTTCACCATTCCTGCTTCAATGTGCCTGAGTGTAGTAGACACCCTGCGGGTGCGATACCGCTTTTCTGGAGGAGCTCTTCCTTTCGAATTGAGTTGACGGTCGTCATCCACCAGGACTGCGATCCAACTGTGACCTCGCGGACTTGGGATCGCAAAGTTGTGGTGGTCTCTAGGCGCTTGGGGTGCGGCCCGCGACTGCGGCGGACATTCGAGGCATTTTGGTTTATGGATATGGCGCCATCCGAAATACGGTGTAGACCCGTTTGGCGACAGCCCGTGTCGCTGAATTCTTATGGAAGTCAATTGGAGTGCCGTCGTGAAGACCCCAAGGGATTGCTGTGGGCCGCGCCTTCGCAAGCACAGAGAAAGCCTCGGGGGACAAATCCTCACTGATTCTCTCACGTCAACCACGAGCGGCCCGCGCAGAGACTTGCTGCGCTACGGGGTGGGAGCAGAGGGCAAGAAACGTGAGTGTGAGTGCGTTTTACCCGTCCACCCTGGCTGAAACGGCTTCTTTGTGCGTGCTCGGGGCAGAAGAACAGCACCATGTATAGCAACTTCCTCCCACAGTGCTTATAGTGCTGCCATTTGCAAACCTTTCCTCTCACCATCCGTCGAAGAGACAGACTGCGGTACTATTATAGGAGAACATAAACTCAAGGCGGCCATTCTTCTTCGGCGGCCTCCACGAGCCTGGAAATACATGCCTGTAAGCCGTGCTCAGGTAAGCACAAGCCGAATGGGCAGGATTCCACATTTCAGCGCTGCTCACGCACCCCTCCCAGCCCCCCTCGGACTCCCTCGCGACATAACGCTCTGCTGCCCGACCTCGTCGTCACTCGGTCGCCCCCCACGCCCGACTACCAATATGTCAACGCCGACTGTCGAGGCCCTGCACCCGTTGGCCGCGCGCGCGATGCCAGCAGGGGGAAACGCGAACAATTTCCCGGTGTCGCAACTGACATCGTCCGCATCTTTATACCGTACGTCTAGTTCCTGCTGTGTCGCCCATCCGCAACGGGTGATTTGGAGCTGTTGCTGAGCTACAGCTTTTGTCCGCAGTGTACACCTTTCTCGGTGAGTGCGCCCGCTGTCCGCGTTCTCTTGGCTGTTGTGTCGGCGACGGGCGCGGAGCGCGCAACCCCCGCACCAATCAGAAGGACCCCGATCGTACATGCCCCGCGACGCGCAGGGCCCTCCCGCTCCGGGCTGGGCTCGCGCAATGTCGTACATCCGCGCGGACGACGCTGCTGCCCGCCGCCGTATACATACGGACGCGCGCGCGCTCTTCTCACTACATGCGATGCCCCAGTGAATTTCCTCTCCTCCCGCCCAGCCCCGCCCCGCCCCGTCCACCCCCATCACTCCGCCCAGCGCGCGTCCGTCGTGCGCGTCGCTCGCGCCTGCGCCCCGCTCCCACCCTCTTGTCGCGCATAGAACCTTTTATGACCAGCCATGTCCGGGTTCACGACCTCCTCCCCCTCCGCCTCTTTCCCGTTCTCCCCTGACCCGACGCGCTCCGCCTCCCCCTCCGCGTCTCCAAAAGTGATGGTGTCTTTGGGGAAGATCACTGAGATTGCCATCATCACAGCGACGCTCGTCATCCTCCTCCTCGTCTCCTCCACCGTCATTGCGCGCACCTACCTCCTGCGCCGCCACCACCGCGAGCTCGAAGCGCTCGCGCGCGCGAACGGCACCCATCCGAGCTGCCGCCCGCCCGCCGTGGACCGCCCGCAGATGTTCGTCGTGTACGTCGGCGACGAGCTCCTCGACGGGCGCGCGCGCGCGCCGTCCGAGAAGCGGATGGTGCGCGAAAAGCTGGGCGACGACGCGCCTCGCGCGTTTGACGAGATCATGGTGCGTCGCGACACTTCCATGCAGCCCTGCCCCGCGCCACCGCGCGCACGGCCGGGTCACACGATGCACGAGCGCTGATGTCCACTCCGTCGCGCGCGCGCGCAGCCCGTCTCGTGCAGGTGGCTCAACCCGCCCCCTCCGCGCCCCGCGTCGCCAGCCCCCGCCTCTCCGCCGTCGACGGACGCAGCCGCACCCGCTCCTGCGCGCACGAGGCGGTGGTGGCACCGCGCCCCCGCCCCCGTCGACGCTCTGCCCACTCATGCCGCCCCACCTCCGCCTGCACCTTCGCCCTTCCCCGGCCCGCCCGTGCCCACGCTGCTCCCGCCGCCGGCAGCCGCATCTCGATCGGTGCGCGCACCGTCGCCCCGGCGCATGTCCTCGATGTCCGGCGTGACCCTGCGGGAGAAGGACCCGCGACGGCCCTCGACTTCTTCTGCCTGGGAGTCGGACGAGAAGAAGCGTCCGTCGACGCCCGAGGAGGATGAGGAGGCGGCGCGCGTGCGCACCGTGGTGCTTGTGAGCATGCCGTTTGAGGTGCACGCGAAGAATCGCTGGAGCATGCGCACCGCCGTCGCCGGTGCGGAGACCGAGCTCCCGCACATGGAGCTTGGCGTGCTCGAGCTCGCGCTCGGCGCGCGCGGCTTGGGGGCGGCCCTCGACGCGTACGAGGCGGAGGAGCGCGAGGCGGCGGCGGCGGCGGCGGCGACGGTGCTCCCACCGTCGCCCGTGTCCCCGCTCACGCCGATGCGCTCGCGGTTGGGGAATTTGATCAGCGCGAGCCGGTCGCGGCTGCATCTCCCGGTGCTGACGGAGGTCGCGAGCGCAGGGCCGTCGTAGCCCCGGCAGACGCTCCCGAGATTGCATCGTGTGCGGGTTGTGTGCGGAAGACTGTTGAAACGTTGGGTTTCGAGCTTGTGCCGCGCTGTTTCGTTATTCACGACCGCCATGTATTAATGACTTACTGTACTTTTTCACGACCCTTCCGCGAAGGCCCGATTGTATACAAATTTTTGAAACCCCATACGCGCGAGCTGCCAGCGAGAGTTGAACGGACAACGATGCATTACGGAACGCTGTCAAACGACCAACGGCAACCAACGGCAACTCAACAAACGAACAACTCGAGGACCGAAACCTCCGCTCCAAACCCGCGGAACCTATACCCCACCGGACCACTCGGCGCGCTCTATTTACGCACCCCAGCGGTGATCCCCAAGCGCGACCGCGAACTCCTCGCGCTGCAGCTCGCGCAGCACTTGCTGATACCGGAGCGTCCACCAGCCGCGCTCCTCACGTTCGCCGTCCCCGCCGCCGCCATGAGCGCCACCTCCGGCGTCGAACGCGTGCCCGAGTCGCTCCTGCACCGACGGACTCTTCGGGAGCGGGAGTCCGGCAGAGAGTATCCCGGCGAGCGACTGGCGCGTGTCCCGCTCGAGGTCGTCCATGACCGCACCAGGCAGGCACGGGAACGACAGCGAGCGGATGGTGTGCGCCCGGCACTTGCGCATCGCGGCGAGGCAGGCGTCCCGGTCCGCGGGAAGCGTGAGGGAAAGCGCGGTGACAGGCGTGTCCTCGGCGACGAGACCTGTGTCGAGCTGGTCCGCGGCGACCGCGATGAGGCCGAGGGCGACCGAGGTGTCTGCGGAGGAACGATCAGAGAAACCGCGGAAGAGTAGGTAGGGTGGCGTACCGTCTGTGCTGAGCTCGATAATCCGCGATAATCCGACTTTGTCGAGAAGGCGGCACCGTTGCTCGTCGTCTGGGTTGCTCGTCCCGTGCGGATCTGGGGCTGCGAGCACGACGAGATCAGTGAAGACCATCACGTTAAAGGCCTCCGGCGCAGCGCCTATGCCCGCACGGGGCAATGGGGGCGCGCGAGATTGCTCGACGGGCGGTGCGGCCTGGGAGACCGAGGTCGACCGCGCACGCATTCTCCCGAATCTGCTGGGAAAGTCGTCCGACGTTGGTGTAATGAGCGAGGATGACGTGCTTGACGCCGTCGACGCTGTGTCGATCGTGGAGAACGACGCGTTCGAGCTGCTGCGTGCGCGCTGTCGGTCCCACGACCGCACCGCCGAGGCAAGTTTCGCGATGGACGCGCGCTTCACAACGGACTGGCGCTTGAGACTGACGGGAGGCGGCGGATCCGGGGATTGGGTTTGCGCCTGGGGTTCGACGATCGGCGCAGAATGAGCGAGTGTGCCGTACCACAGCAGACGGCGGGCGCGGCGCGCGAGAGGGATTCCGGGTGCTAGACCGTCGATACGCGACGCGAGATCCTTGACGAAGTCATACTCGTCTTCTCGTGCCTTGACCTCGTCCAACACGCGCAAGGCGGTCTTGGCTGAATAGAGCAGTGAGACGGCCGCGAGGTGGTCCGTGTCCGCTCGTGAGGTCATATCGCGCAATAGCTGACGTTCAAGAGGTCAATTGTGCAATACATATGGGCACGGAAGAGCAAATACGCACCTCGAACAGGGCCAGGTACTCGCGGAGCCGGCGGGCGGGCTCGTCGACGAATTGCTCGAGGGTCCATTCAGTAGGCGCGCGCTCGCGTGCTTTGAGTCGCAGGTACTCCCCGAAGTCCCCCTCGTCTTGGTTCGCGTGCCAGCGCAGCGTCTCGCGCGTGCTGTCGAGCTTGACCAGGTATGGTGTATACACCTCAAGCTGCGCGACGAAGGCACGGAGCGCATGGAGGCTCTCGTTTGTAATGCGATCTGCGGCGACGGCGGCAGTGAGGGAGCGCACGAGCGTGGTGTGAATGTTGGCGATGTCTTCGAGCCAGTCGAAGAAGCGGGTGATGGCGTGAGGGAGGCCAGACAACCACGCGCGCGAGTCTCGGGTGCGCAACGGGAGGAAGTGGGAACGGATAACCGAGCGTGCGGACTTGACGAAGCTTTTCTCGGAGGATAGAAGGGCGCGGATGGTAGCTTGACGATCAACATCTTTAGGAGGTCCGACTGGTTCCACGATTTGGAGGCTTTCCAGAGACCTCGACCGGCGCCGAGCATGAGAACTAGGCTGAGAAGGCTTGATGGCAGGGTGCACAGCAGAAGACGGAGAGGCATCATACACAGAGGAAGGACTAGAGGCAGAAGAAGCTGACTCAGTATCGAATGAGCGTCGTCGAGTTTTCGTCGTCCAGATAGGATCGACGCAAGCTTCAAGCACAGAAGGCGCAGGTCCGGGACCGGGCTGTAAAACGGTGGGAGACTCCCATCTCGTAGGGTTTACCCTAGGCGTCGCTTCTTGCTGTCCAAGAGCGTGGGTATGCTGCCAAGCCAGGTGATGATTCAACTGGACTTCAGAATGGAGTGTGGCAAGAAGAGCTGTTGCGCCTTCGCTGAACTCTTTGCTGAATCGGAGAGGATCTTCCCAGGTGCTGTCGGCCATAGAAAGCTCGCTGTCCGCTTCAGAGATACACATAGCTGACCCGTTGTCATGATCAAACGACGGGAGTTGCTTGTTATCACCACCGTCGTCGGACGAGAGAGCGCTGCCAATATAGGAGAGAGATTCAGGGATACCAAAAGCAAGACGTTCACGTGTGCTCGCATCTACAATCTGAGGAGAGAGAGTCGCGTGGAGAGTACTGTGCGTGACGGAAGTAGGTAGAGCCAAGTCGGACCGGGGCGATTTTGACTTCGGAGTATACCCTGCTTGAGGACTCAAGGCAGTAGGGTGGCGACAAGATCCGTGAGGGTCTCTGTTAGACCGAGGCTGTGGCGGGGAAGGCGAAGTCGTGCGCAAGGGCGATCTTGGGTGGGTTTGGGGCACTGAGGGAGAAGATCGAGACCGTGGCGACACTTGGTGGATCGAAGACGCAGAGCGACAACGGCCAATGTCGGGATGGTCCGGAGGCGGTTGGGAGAAGTTATTGACAGGAGAGGCTTTCCAAGATGCGCGATGTTGCCGAAGGGAAAGGCGAGGTGAGCTAGTGTACGAGTTGATGCGGCAATCGCTGTCGTCGTCAGAGTATGTTGAAACCTCGTCCAGATCACGGTCCAATCTTGTACTAGATGAGGGCAATGATGGCGATCTGTAGTCACGACTCATCCCGTCGACGGGTCCCACTAGGGCCTGCTGCTTGCGTTGAAGACGGTCGTGTGGGAGTATGAGGGGCTCATCGTCCTCGTAGAGACTTGGGTCATCTTCAGACAGAGGAGCTGGTTCGTCGGTGAGGAGCTCTTCCGAATACTCTTCGTCGTGTAGGGCGCCTTCAATACTTGAAAGCGAGTCGAAGCGAACGTGTCGGGGATGCCTTGACGTATGGGCCGCGATGGTCAGCCCCAGCCCGACCGTAGCTTCATGGCTAGGGCGAGAGATAGGGCCCATTTGTTGTTGCGAGATAACGTCTTTCCGCTTCGAACTCGGCAATGGAGGCAGTGGGACCGGAGGGACCTGGCCAGGCGGACCTTTACGAGGACGCCGCAAGCTACGATCGCTCTCGGAAGAACTTGAAATGACGTCCGCGTTGGTAACGACAAGCCTGCCCAGAGACAGTCGATGGCTAACGCGACGTTCCAGCTCCAACTCGCTGTCACTAGGAAGGTCTGCGCGTTTCAAAGGCCCGGAGCGTGGAATGGAGGTTTGGTTCAACGCTGATGCAGCGATGTGACGGAGCTGGGGCGTAGCGAAAGTTGAGGGTGGCAGGTTGGTTGGCCGGGGAGTACTTGGAGTTGACCTTGCTTTGGAGATACTTCTGAGCCTAGGAAGAGCCGAGTGTTGTGGTGGGGGAATTCTGGAATGACCGGGCAAACGGAGACGCTCTTGGTCAGGCTCGTAAGTGCGCTTGCCCTGTATCCTCAGGATCAGGATTCTCTTCGAGAAGTGCAGAAGCAAAGCGCGATACTTACCTCCGACTCGGAGCTGAGATCACTAGATTCAACAGAGGAGGTCGAACGGGTCGGCAGTAGAGGCGAGACCATTGATCCGGGAGTATTAATGGCTGTATGCGCTTCATGTGGGGATGGTCTGCGAGGGATACTTGACGAAACGATGCGCGACGAGGGTCTTGGTGGTATGGACACCTGGTTGGTGTCTGGAAAGCGGGTAGTGGGAGCATACATAGAGGGGCGAAGGTTGTTGGAGTTGTGAGAAGCCACATCACCGTCGCGTCGGACACTACGGCGACTTGAATGAGAGCCATCCGAGTCGCCAAAGTGAAGGTGAGATTTGGGACGTGGTGGAGTTGTCATACGGTCGACAGTGTCGCGTAAGGAGGGGAGGAGGAGAACTTCGAGCAGAGGTATGGCGGATCCAATTTGACTCCTCCTCGCGTCTCCGTATGCAGTGATGTCCTCTGGCTTGTGCTCGGCGCGTGTCCGGTGGATGGAGAAACGCTTACTGCTACTGCTGCCGGTACCCACAAGCCTGCTCAAGGGTCCCCCCTGCAGCGCACGGGCATGTGCCTCGTCTCCATCCATAGGTCCTATAACGCGGTCCATTTGTGCTTGGGCAGTTTTCTGGTTGGAACCCTTCTCGTTCATGTCGACCGAGTGCGAAGGTGGACTGGCGGAAGCAAAGGCATAGTGGCTAGAGGAGACCGCCGAAGAGAACAGATTGTTGGGTGCCAGGGATCTAGATTTGTTGCGAGAGTGAGAGCGACCAAAAGGCATGATGGAGGAAGCGGAGGAGGAGAAGTGAGGAGGCAAAGGAATCCCGATTAGTCGGACACTTGAACTTGGGCGGTCCGATTTGGGTCCGATATGGGCGGGAATAAGGGCCTCACTGGGCGCGTACCCAGCCTACTACATAATACTGGTCGTCTTGCATCGTCATCTTTCATCCTTCACCTGCCTCGAACCCAAGGTCAGCACAACTTGCTACACGGAGATCCTGCGCTGAGCACTTCTTCACCGTAGTGCTAGGTCATCATCAGGTCATCATGGCGTCCGCAACAAGCGCAGCGTTGGACCGGGACGTTCTCTTGCATGTCATCGACTTCTTCGACAAACCCGGGAACCTCAGAATCCTGGCGACATGCGCGCGAGTTTGCAAGGCATGGTGCGAGCCCGCATCGCGATGTTTGTGGAGATACCTCCCCAGCTTGCATCCCCTGTGGTACCTTCTTTCGAATCGCAACTACGCTGAAAACCCTCGAATGGCAGCGTTTTGGGAGGTAGGTGTATGCGGCGTCTTATCGAGCGTGGGCTCATTGTCACTAGTTTGTCGACACAGATGACTTTGTAAAGGACGTGATCCAGCGGCATCCTGATCAATGGGCGCATTTCCTCGAAGTAGCGTCGTTCGTGTGCGGAGCCGACTTTGCCAGTGTCTCTACGGAACTCAACCTCATTCGTACGGTCGTGAAGTACAACGAGGGCGTTACTTTCCTTCCATCACTTCATACCCTCTTCTGGCGGCATTCTGTGCCGGACGACACTACCTGCCTCCTTCTGTGCTCTCCCTCCCTCAGATCCCTCCACGTCGGCATCAGTCGCATCCGCTTGACGACCACGGCCATCGGAGCTCTTTCCAACCGCATCACCCAATTTTCGCCTTCCCTAGAACCTATTCTCTCAGGATTGCCTGCCGCCGCACCCAATCTCGAACGTTTGACCGTTTCAGACCATGCCGTACAAAACACGGTCACCTTCGCCCCCCACATTGAATCCCTCGGCAGTCTTCACGAACTAGTCCTCCGAACTAGATCCTTCGCACTTTCACCGGCCCTCATGCGTGGTATCTTGGAGCACATTCCTCAGCTCGCGGCGCTCACAACCCACATTGCCGACTTCGCGGAGCCTGGATCACAAGCCGTTGCTCCAGCGCTCCGTCGTCTCGACCTCTTAGAGAGTCGCTCCCCCGACCTCGTCAACTTTCTCGAGTCTGGCTTTCTCCGCGCCCCCGTCCTTGTATCGCTCCGCATCCGCAGCACCGACGACGAATATCACGCCGCGAGCGCCCAAGTGATTCCGGCGCTCGCCCAGGCGTCCTTCGCCCCGCGCCTGCACCTCCTGGATCTCTCCATCTCGGGCGACGAGCTCGTCTCGCGCTCTCCCGAGCAGAACCCGACATTCGGCAGGCTTGTGGCCCCGCTTCGCACGATGCGCGAACTTCTTGGCGTCAAAATCGCTCTCGGCCTACACGTCGTCAGCATCGACGACTCGGACCTGCGCGCGCTCGCGCAGGCGTGGCCATGCGTCCAGGAGCTCGAGCTCGGGTGGCTACCACTCGGCCCCCGCGCGGCTCCGCCGCTCGTTGCGCTCCGTCACTTCGCGGCTCTGTGCCCCGATCTGCGGTCGCTGACGCTCACGCGGATGATGCTGAGTCGCATGGAGGGGTCGGGGGTCGAGGAGAAGAAAGAGAAGGAGAAGGCGCACCCGTTGACGTGGTTGAACGTGAAGTCCTTCACCGGCGACGACGATCCGGAAGCTATAGCGCGGTTCTTGGACAATCTGTTCCCCAACCTAGAGCTTGCGGATCCTGAACCGGTCAAGGATCCTGCTCCAAACAACAACATTATCAACTTCCAGCATGAGTCCAGCCGGATCACCGTCGAGCAGCGTATCAGGAGGTTGCGAGAAGCGCGCCGATGAACGGGGCACTTTGAAGGTGGTATGCAGGATCGGATCGCAAAGTAAGCTATTGATTTTGTCTTATATCCGCGAGCTGATGGCGACTTGCTAGTGTGTAGTCTTTTATTCAGACTGTTTGGAAGCAATTAAAAGAGCCGGATTAAATTAAGTAATGCGGGTGTGGGATTGACGTCCATTCCTGAGATGAACCTGAAAGCGAACTCGACACTGCCAAAACATCAACATCGAATACTTGTATGTTACCCCCTCAGCTGCGATGGCCAAGTACTCCGCCCTGTTACAAGGATTTTTGACTCGCGTGCAGCGCTTGAATCATGGTCTCCATAACATCTGCCAGCTCATCCATGTCTCGCTGAATCCTGATATACTGCATGAACACGGTAAGTACTCTGCAGGCACCCACAGCACGAATCAATACTCAAGGGCTTGCTTCACGTTGTAGGCACTATCTCCGGCAGGTCAAATGGCGTCCAAGGTCCCTCGCCCTCGGTTTGGTATGAGCTCCCGTTGTCGAAACGGTTGTTCCCGTGATCACTATTCAATTCCCTCCCATAAATACGGGACCCGACAGATGACCTCGACGATTTTCTAAAGAGAAGCTTTTTCAGATATAGAAATTGACACACGGTGCGTCCCTTATCTACGCGTCTGCAGCCTAAGAATGTCTCTTCTCATCCCCGACATGACTGACCCAGCACCTATCGCCCATCAATGGCTCCAAGACTTCACTGTTGCAGTCGCGGACTCTGATGTTAAAGCTTTCACCCAACTATTCCTGCCAGATGGCTGGCTCAGGGACTTCCTCGTCTTCACCTGGGACATACGCTCCCTCGAGGGGCTTGAGAAGATCGATGCGTACCTCGCGAACACACTCGCGACGGCCCAGATACGCGACGTCAAGCTATCGAACTCGCAGCACCTCGCGCCCGCAGTCGAGCCGATGTTCCTCATGGGCGGCGCCCCAGCCGTCGAGTTCGGCATCACCTTCGAGTGTAAGAACGGGCATGGTCGGGCGCTCGTGCGCCTCGCCCAGGGTGCTGCGGAGGGCGAGTGGCGTGCGCTCACGCTCTTGACGGAGATCGCGGACCTGCGCGGGCACGAGGAGATGGAGACGATGCCTCTGCGAGACGACCTCACGGGCCAGCCTGGAAGGGTCATGCAGAAGGAGGTCGAAGAATACATCCACGAGGTTGAGACCAAGCCTTACGTGCTCATTGGTACGAGAACCGCTGATAGCTGATACGCGTATTCTGACATCCTGTAACAGTGGGCGCTGGACAGACGGGCCTTCTCGTGGCCGCGCGGTTCAAGCAGATGAACATCCCGACGTTGGTCATCGAGCGCAGCAAGCGGGTTGGAGAGTCCTGGCGCAAGCGGTATCCCTCGCTCACGCTGCACACGATTAAGAGACACCACACTAGTGAGTAGATCACAGCTCAGGGGAACATGGCTGACCACCACGCAGTGCTCTACCAGCCCTACCCGGACAACTGGCCCGAGTTCACCCCGCGCGACAAGATCGCGGACTGGCTCGAGATATACCCAAAGACGCAGGACCTCGTCGTCTGGACCGACTCCGAGTTTATCGGCCAGCCCCTCTACGACAAATTCACCGCGCAGTGGGACATCACCATCTCCCGCGCCGGCACCCTCGTCCGCCTGGCGCCCGCGCACATCGTCCTCGCCACCGGCACCATCGCGGAGCCGCACATCCCCAACCTCCCCGGGCGCGAGCGCTTCGCAGGACGCGTCATGCACTCGCACGCGTTCCCTGGCGGCGCCGCATTCGCGGGCCTGCGCGCGGTCGTCGTCGGAGCCGGAAACAGCTCGATCGACATCTGCCAGGACCTGCACCTCAAAGGCGCGGCGTCGGTGACGATGGTGCAGCGTTCGGCAACGTGCGTCGTCGCGCGCGAGACGGTCGCGGCGGGGCAGCGCGCGGAGTACCCGCCCGGGGTGCCGCTCGAGGTGTGCGACTTCCGGTGGGCGTCGTGGCCGTTCGGGCTGCAGAAGCGGCTCGGGATCGCGAACGAGAAGATGTTCTGGGAGATGGAGTCTGAGCTGCACGATAAGCTGCGCAAGGGCGGGGTGAAGCTGACGATGGGCCCGGAGAACGAGGGCCTGTATCTGCTGGTGATCGGCCGTGGTGGAGGTGAGTGCAGCTTTTTGCGCGCAATCTCCCACTAATGATCTCTCTAGGTTTTTGTGAGTGCTAAAGTCCGATGCTCTTACATAGAAGCTTTGGCTGAGACGTCCCTCAGGGCTCGACAAAGGCGGCGCGGACCTCATCGCTGATGGAAAGATCAAAGTCAAGCAGGGTGTCGAGCCCAAACACTTCACAGAGGACGGTTTGATGATGAGCGATGGCACAGAACTTTCTGCTGATGTAGTCATCTTTGCGTGAGTCGGATGCACTCGTCCATATATGCGCAGTTAACTCATTTTCAATCGACAGAACCGGATATCATGGCATGCGCGACGCCAACGCCGCGCTTTTCGGCCAAGAAGTCATAGGTCAGACCGATGAGATGTACGGGATCGATGAAGAAGGCGAAATCAATGGCAGCTACCGTCCATGCGGTTATCCAGGTGTACGTCGACGACGTGTCTACATCGTGTCACATGGACTCATCGTCTTCTAGCTCTGGGTCGCAAGCGGGGCATTCTCGATATCGCGCACAATGTCGAAGCCACTGGTAAGCTTATCCGCGCTTCCCTCTAACACATGTATACTTACCTTTCTCCCGCGCAGGCGATTCAAATCAAGGCGATCCAGCAGGGCCTCCTCAAGCACGATGGCAGTCGTGAAGGCGCCGTATCCTCAACCGCTTAGCTCGAAGTCTGATAGATGGTCTTTGGGAAGTTGCTCTAGAATCCATGCGCATACATTCAGATTTTATCACTGTACAATAGGATCTCCTGTTCCACGGTACGCCATCTCAGGTTGGTTTCCTCCGACCTCCATGGGACAAACGACACCCTCCTGTTTGCGTGACCATCGTCCTCCGATATAACCAGACTCGGAAACAAGCGATGCACAAACCGCGCGACCTCACTCCCGTCCTCCTCGTGGCCCGACACGAACCTCACCTTCAAAGTCTCCAGGGGGTGACTTCCCTTTGGCTGCTCCGTCATGGCTGTCTCCTTCCCCACGAGTATCTGCCCCTGCCTGATACGCCCGACCGCGAGCTTCGTCACGGACATCTTCCGCAACATCGGGCAATGCGTCGCGAAGTGGTGGAGCGCGGCGACCGGCGGCTGCGCGCGGGGCCCGACCGGCGGCCACATGAGCGCGATGCTGGTCAGGCGCGGCCACGCGGTGGCCAGCTCGCGAAGGTCCGCGTCCCCGACCGCGACGACGCGGTTCTCGATCCGGACGAGGACCTCCTCGAGAGCGTGAAGGGCGAGCAGCGGCATGATGGCCTCGGAGAAGGAGGGGAGTGCGCTGCCTCCGCCGGCCGTGGACGGCGATGGGTCGTAGTCGCTCGCGAGCACGACGGACAGTGCACGGAGGTTGGGAGCGAAGGAGGCTGCAGCGATGGCTTCGACGAGCTCCACGCTTCGGTGATCGTACGTTTGGTCTTCGGCGTGGACATCGAGCGCGGTGAGCGCGGGAGGGTGGATGAAAGAGGCGATGAGGGGGAGGATATCGCGCGCATGGCTAGGGAGGATGCAGATGTGTTTGAGAGACGACGGAGCGTTGATTTGAGGCAGGTTTGGGATGTCGAAGGCGATAACCCGAGCCGTGAGAACGGTGATCCCTGTTATTCCTTCGAGAATTGCGCGCATGTGGCTTGGATCCAACGCAAATGTCCGATTGGTGAGACAGAGCTCCTGGAGGTTGGAAAGCCTGCTGAGATTCAGGACCGTCGTCGAAGTCTGTCGCGCGGTACCGGAGATGGTGAGGCGGTAAAGGGAAGGCGCTGCTTCCGAGAGACCATCCATTGTGGTTTCAAGAGAAGGCCCGGGCTCGGAGACATCCAGTAGGTTGTTCATGGAAATTATGATGTCGAGAGACGTCAGGGTTGGCGAACACAAGCACAAGAGGGTAGCGTCGAAGGATAAATGATGTCTCCATGTCAGCCTCCGAAGGGAGGGCAAGAAAGTCTTGTTCCCGTTATACCTTGAAACGGTCCGGATGAGGTTGAGCTCCCAGGTGTCATTTGCCATGTGCATAGCTTCTCGCACATGTGATGCTAGCTCGAGAAAGCGACGCCAATGATCAGGGTCATTCTGAACGATAGAATTTACGGTTTCTTTTGCATCTGTGGACTGATAGTGTAATGAGGTTTAAATAAGGAGCTATCCATATGCATATGCCTGAGAGCGAACTCACCTGCCAGAAGTCTGACATTTGTTGTCCCAATCTCGGGGTAAAGTCTTTGCTCACTAACAATCCCCACAAAGGGCGCATCGTGGAAAGATGACTCCAGAGAAATACGGAAGCAAGTTCGTTCCACCCGCGACATACTTCAGAGAACGCCACGAGAGTGGGACGTGGACCTTCTGGGATATTGAGGAGCTCGACGATGGGCAAGAGAATATCGTCGTTGAGAAGCAACTCGTGCATGACCTAATACAGCTGACGGGTCAAGCCCTGGCAGATTTGATACTTACACGGAAGAAGTTACCTTAGTCTAAGGCAGGCAAAGTGCAGAGTCGAGTCGGACTTGGTGGGCGAACACAACGAGTTGGTTTAGCGCCCCAAGGGTAGGTGGTGCGTAAGCAAGTCGATTACGTGACTAGTATTGGTCGTTCTCTCGTACTGGCAGGAAGTTCGGACGTATGGCCATTACTGCAGGCAGTCATCATTAGTTAAAGCCACACCAAGACTCTGGTTGTCTTCAGAAGCGCAAATTCAGACTATATAGAGTTGATCCACGACACGCTCTCGATCTTACAAGTGAGTACTACGTCATATGATAGCAACTATACGAGGAAGCCAGCCTTCTTCCACGCCGCCACCCATCTCGTGGCCCTCGCCGCGTCCATCTGCGGCAGATCCGCGAGCGCCTTCGACACCTGCACCGCCTTCTCTGTCGATAACTCCACGATGCCCATCGGCTCACGGCCTGCGGTCGCCGCGCCCTCCGGGACCTTCGCGGCCTCGAAGAACGGCAGCAGACGCAGTGCAGGGTTGGCAGCGAGCGTCTCGATCTCGGCAGAGGTACCCGTGACGGCGGCGATGCTGGCTCGCAGCTTCGCGAGCCACTCGGCGTACGGGACGAGAGGGACGCCAAGCTCGGCTGCGATGGGAGCGACGAGCGTGTTGTAGGGCACGGGACGCGGGTGGATGAGGTGCAGGACGGGCTCGGAGGAGTGGCGCATCTCGACGAAGGCCTTCGCGGCCTCGTAGGCCGGGAACCACGAGACGGTCTAAAAAGGTTGTCAATGAAGGGCGAGGTAGACGAATGCAAGGGACGTACTCCTTCGATGCCAGGAAGGCAGTGCTGGAAAAGCGCAGTCTTCACAAGCGACGGGAGCCACTCCTTCTCATTCCAGTATCCGAGCTTGTCCGAGGTGATCTGCCCAAGGCGGACGACGACCGTGCGGATCCCGGTTTGCTTCGCCGCGTTTTCGAGTACGTGCTCCGTGACCCACTTGGACTCGGCGTATCCGGAGCCGAAGGGACATTGTGGGTCGCTGATCTGGACCTCAGGAACGGGAGTGGAAAGGTTGTAGTTGGAGAACACTCCGATGGAGCTGGCGAGAAGCACGGTAGGGGCGACGGCGTATGGCGAAGAGAGGGAGAGATCTATGAAGTTGCGCGCTCCTTGCATGTCGACTTCAAAGGACTGCAATGACATGTTGAAATTCACCTTCCAAGCTATGCCCCGATCAGCAGCCTGCATGAATGGAGACATGTTGAAGAGCGTACCATTGAGCAGCACGTGCGATACCAATCCACGGATCTCGTTTAGCAACGCTCCGTCAATCCCGAAGCCAGGTTCGTGCAGGTTGGCCTCGACCATCGTGAACTTGGCGCTATCCAGCAAGCTCTCGTCGAGCCCGCGCTTCGCGAACTGCGTCCGCTGCCTCGCCATGGCGTCCGAGCCCCTGCGGTTGAACGCATATACCTTGGCCACATTCTCTTCCCGCAGGAGGTGCTCGAGCGCATCGCAGCCAAACCCGCCGGTAGTGCCAGTGATGACAACGACGTCCTTCGCACCCGCCTCGCGCTCCTTTAGGGCTTCCGGACGAGCAGGAAAGTTGGCGGAGTATTTCTCGATGTACTTCCACAGGTCCTTCGGGGTGTGCGTTTCACCATCACCGTCGCCCGTAACTGCACCGAACACGGCGGCGGAGAGGGATGCGATGGTTGGGTAGGAGAAGACCATATTAGCGGTAAGCCGGGACGCTTTAGCCGGCCTCGTTGCGCGCACAGCGGCGGTGATAGTGTTCCGGATCCATGTTGCCTGTAAACTGACATTTTTTGTACGTCAGTGAGGTGCCATCACAACGAGGATTCGAAGAAATCACCTGTCGCTCCCGTTGCGGAAGACATCGACATCATCAGCCAGCGAGCGTTGGAGGATCGCTTCGACGACCGCTTTGACGAAGGCATAGGTGCTGATTTCCGTCCACTCGGTAGGCGAAGGGATGTCTGTCTGCGCGCTCTCCTCCACCGCCCTGTAGAGGGCATCGATCTCATCCTTATACTCGCCGATCATCACGCTCCGACGCGGGTATCCCTTGGAGTTCAGCTGGAACGGCTTCAACGGGTGGGCGACCAGTATCATCTTGAAGGATCAATGAGCGTCGTTCAACCATAACTGTAGCGAACCGACCGTACCTCCTTAAAGATACGTGAGTGCTGCGGCGCATATGCGTTGACCCCCTCCATTGTAGGCCTGCGACATAATAACATGAATGACCTCGTTCTTCTTGCAACACGATGTGTACGTACCAAATCTTGTTCCTGAAAGCGATCAGCTCATTCTCATTCGTTGGGTCAATTGAAAACTCCTCCTCAGGTTCAACGAGGACACCGTTCTGGAGTCGTCCGCGGCCAAAGATGATCGACGACTTTACGTGTGGGTCATCGTTGATGAGCTTCTCTGCATTGACAGTCAGCATCGGAAAGCCCCGCCGCTGAGACTCAACTCTCACCGAGAGGGATAGGGTTGGTCTACGCAGCAAGCTTAATACGGCGCATGCAACGACGACTGGACGGATACGCGTACCTTCTCGCCGTTGGAAAGTATGATCTGCTCGTCCGCCCGACCGACGATCTTCCAGAAGTTCGGCTTCGTTGGGTGTGGCACGGCGAGGTCGTTCGTCTCATATACATCGTGTTCTCCAATCTTGCCGTTAGTCTTGGGAAGCGGATGTCTGGGGTCCGACTGTAAAAACAGCAATATATGAAGCGATCTCTTCCATAAGGAAACGGTCACAGAGCACGTACGTATGCCACGACTTCGAACGTGCCATCGCCCACGGGCATGAATTCGCACCTAGTTGACGGCGAGGGCGTCCAATACAGCCAATCCAATCCCGGCAAGTCTGTCATCACGGTGAGCAAGAGGTCGTACAGAGACTTTGAACGCTGTCTCACGGCTAGCAACGTCATTGAACAAGCCGACCTCGGTACTAACCAAGTCGGAAACCACGTCAGCGATAGCTTCGTATGACCTAATAAAGGGGTACGTACGCTCCGTACATTGTATACAACGAAACCCCTTGAGAAGCAAGGGAGTTCCCGACGTCTTCGTTGAGCGCGGCTCCGCCAAAAACCTGTTGAAAAGATATCAACAACCGCAAAGACTCCATCAAACGAAACACCCACAAGTCCCTTGATCGTCTTCATCACTGACACCTTGGTCGGGTCTTGCGCCCATTGCTACGCACGTCCGATTGAGCGTCAGACACGAGCGTAACGCAGAAGCCATACCTCCACGAATGAAGGGACGGTAAACGAGAAATCGGCATTGACGGCTACGATCCCATTCCACGTCAAATCAGGGGTGGGGACCGTGGGAGGAGACTTGGGCTCGAACACCCCGACGATAAGCCCAACGAAAGGCTATCCAAGGCACGTGTGAGCAACCTGGCCGTCCCTCAACAACAAGAAAACCACCGACCCCGCCAGCGTAGGTCAATGCGCCCATGCCGTGGAACAACGGAACGCTGTGCGCGGCCAGGACTGCGCCCGTCAGCGAGGGAGAGTTTCTCACTGCGAAGGAAGTGTCAGGCACGGTCATTGCATGCGGGCACAGCGAGCCTCGGAACGCACTGATGCCTTCGCCCCAGAACGTCAGCCGGGCGTTGTTCCATTTGATGGGTTTCGGGTGCCCCGTTGAACCTGAAGGGGCAACAAGCAGTCAGAACCGCGGTTGGGGCCCCCTTCAGCGCTCAGTCACAGCGAGAATGGAGGGTAACGCACCTGACGAGTGCATGATTACGCCTTGAGACGCCGGGAAGACATCGGGGAGGACGACGTCCGACTCGAACGGGCTTCTCGCGGCCCTCCCGCCAGAAGCGAGGGCGGGGTACAGGTCCTGCAACGTCGGCATGACGTGCATCATGGGCTGGCTCGCACCCGACTCCGCGAGCAGCTCGAGCGCGCCGCGTGCCAGAGCCTGCATCGAAGCGTCGGCAGAGACGAGCGCAAGCGCTGTGTCCGTGCGCTGCATCATGTCCGCGACGGCAACGGGGGCATTGCGAGTCGAGACGAGGAACCCGGTGAAGCCGGCACGGAGGAGGCCGAGGATGGTGGTGAGATACACGATTGAGTCTGGGAAGGGCAGCGTGCAAGAAGACGTGGTCAGCTGAGACTACGGAGACTCTGGTTGGGTAGAAGCGTACCAGAATTGGCCATGACTGCGACGACGCGTGGGGTGGCACCTGGGCCGGAGTCGGGATGCGGTCCAGCAGTCGTGAGGAAGTAGCGCGCGGCACGGGTCATCGCTGCGTTGACCTCCGAGTAAGTGACCCACGTGTTCTGGACACCGTCGTTGTATACGAAGAACGGATAGTTGGGGTTGTGGATGGCATGGTAGGCGAAAAGGTGAGGCAGCACGAGATCAGAGCGTTTCAGCAGCTCGTCGCTGGGTGGAGTCCAGTGGGTGCTGATATGAGCGGGCAATGAGGGAAGTGAGTCGAGCATGACGAAGGCGATGGGGTGAGAATGGTTCTCTGGAGGCGTGGTCATTTGACTGAGCGAAGGCTATATGTATTCGCCTGGTAACGTAGAAGTATTCCGCCGCGTGTAACACTGCTGAGTCAGATGGTACCCGTCAACAGAGAAGTGACAGATGAACTGAACCAGCAGCTGCGACCCACGGTATCGGGAGTTGACACACTGCTGGGACGCATCCGGTGGCCGTGGAGAAACCAACCTGATCTACCACAAAACGACAACGCGGCTACAAAATCATCGGCCCACCATGCCTCGCATAGCTACGAGCGTCGAGAAGCTGCCATCGGAGGATCAGGCAGGTCAGTAACCGAATTGATCACCTGAGCATAGGGCACTCACCCTGGCAAGTCGGCGGTTCATGAGCCCAGCGATATTGCATAACCTCCATCAACATTGCCAATTTATTAGACCTGTCAAAGGCGGAGCGTACGTTGGGCGCTCGGGATGCAGTGCGAGGCCGAACCACTCGCCGTTGGCAAGTTCGAATTCCGTGCCCGATGTACGCGGATGGGTTCTGGCCGAGCTGGCTGTATTGGCGGACATGTTGACTATATGGAGTGTCAACAATGAGTGTAAATCGGCCTGCAAGGGACGGTCTCAGTGGACGAATCCGCGTCTCATTGCTTCACAGCAGTATTATTCGACGTTACCAATACGTGAGGCCTGGATCTAAAATACACCATGGTACAACGTGGCCTGCTCAGGAGTCCGACAGCGTACAAGCGTAGCATGACCACATCCTAATCCAAACTACAACACTTTGTTAGCTCTCGACTCCACGAGCATACAAAGAACATCAACTTACATCCCGATCGCAGTCATCGCGCAGACTCCGAGGAACACGCTTGCAAGTGCCAGTGCCTGCCGCCGGATCGAGCTTCGCCACAGGTGGGCATCCATGACAAAGTCGCCCGCGAGCATCTCCACGCATGCGGCGTAGATGAGCATCCCCGCCGACACGGCCGACATCACTCCTTGTAGAAGGATGAGGTTGGCTACGAGATGGGTGTGAGTAAGAAGAAAGGTCACAGCGATCGGGACGCTGCGTACGGCCTTTCGTCTGTGCGCCGCCGAGGGTGGCGAGGCCGAGGCCGATACCGAGCGGCGTAGTGGTGGCGAAAGTGATGGCGAGGACGGGCTTGAGGGAGTGGCCGCTTTTCGACTTCGTCGCAGGAAGCCCAGCTATCCGGATTCCCAGCGACAGCCCCTCAAACAGCTGGTGGAAGACGATGGCGACGACAAGCGTGGCTGCAAAGAGCGCCTGAGAATGCAGAAGAGACTCAAATGAAACTACGACGTACTGAACTCCGTCCCCGTCGCGATCGACAATGTGAGGCCGATGACCAGGGAGTGGATCATGATACCCAATTGCAGCACCTACGCGTCCCCATCCGCTCAGCACGCGTTTGCTTGAGAGGAGAGATAGACGCACTAGAATGCCAATGACTTGCCTCCTCCGTCCAATCTTCGTCACCTCCTCGGCTCCGTGCCCATGCTTTGGCCTACACTCCTCATCGGCCTCCCCATCGTGCGTGTGCGAGTGTCCTCGCGAGTGTGACACGCCCTGCGCGTCGTCGGCTTCGTCCATACCGTCCATCCATCGCTCCATATCCATGTGCGCGTGTCCGTGGTGACTGTCATGGCTCCCTCGCCCGTGCCCGTGCCCGTGCCCGTGATGGTGCCCGCTCTTCCGCTTCGCCCCGTCCTTTGGGTTCGTCTTGTTGCTCCTTTCCGAGCTCGATGTTGACGGGCGTCCGCACTCTACGCCACCATCGTTCTGTCTCTGCTTCTGTCTCCGACCGGGCGCGGGTGCTGGGGCTTCAACGGGCACCGGCGCCGGGCTTGGGGTGCGCGACCAAGGCAGACTGTGCCACCAGCGTGTGCGCGAGACGCAATAGTGGGTTTCGTGGGCGTCGCGCGGCTCGTGGCGGTGGTGGCCGCCCGAGAAGAAGGCGTCTCCCGGCGGAGCGGAAGCGCAGGTGAGGGAATTCGCCAGACGGGCAGGAGGGCGCGATGGGAGTGGATGGACCGACGGTGGATCGTGAGGCGACACGGTGGCGCCGTATGAGGCATGGCCGAGGTTCAAAGGAGTCGCCTCGCTTGTCTCGGGGTTGCCTGAGGTTGCAAGAAGGATATGGGCATGGGAGAACACATGAGGGGAAGGAATCACAGTACGCACCAGGCAAATGGTTGGTCCCGGTCAGCTCTCCCTGGGCGATGATCGAGCGAGTTCCTTCTGGAGATTCCACCAGCAGTGTCGGACGCGTTGGAGGAATGCAGTCCGACCTAACGGATGACGCAGAAGAGGACACCGCTGAAGCGGTTGGGGTTGAGGGAGCAGAGGGGTATGAGTGAAGTCGATCGACGAATGCAGTGGATATGTCTATGCACGACCCGCGTCAGCCAAAGTTCATGCGTATAAAAGACGCGGCTCACATTCGATGAAGAAGATAGACAACAAAGACATAAGACTGGGGGCAGAATTTGAGGTGTGTATATGCGCTGATGGAGGCCACCACTTACACGATGAGCCCTGCCCAATGACCGACTTTCCACCTCTTGTTGACTTCTGGATTCAGGAGCCCTTTGAAGGCGTCTTGTAGTAGATGCACGAATGCCGTGGAAAGGATGACCCCAGTGCCAAAGTGTTTCCCGATGAAGAAGACGATACTGGGCACTCGGATTGAACGGAAGGTGGCGGTGAGTGTTGGAAAGGAGACAGCTTTGTAGAGGGTGTCATGAGACAAGCGAGCTCAAGGACAAAGATGATGGTAAGACAGAGTGCGCATACCGAAGAGAGATACACAGAAGATGACAAGCATTACCGAGAGTCGCTCTATCAACTCCTCGTTCTGGATGTCGAGGCTCGTCATTGCGGGCAGCGTGTCGATGCCATGGCCGGAATTCATAAGCACGACGTCGTGGATGTATCCCGCAAAGGCGGGCAGTGTGAGATGGTGAGGCAGAACGGGGAACAGACAGGAGATCTGAGAGGAGGAGGAGGAGGAGGATCCTGATTGAATTCAGGCCAAGGAAGGTGACGGAGGACCGCACCGGTCAGGCGCCATTGGTACCTAGCCAATCACGGCCTACGGAATGCAACAGCGCAGGTCGGCGCTTAGCAATATCCGGTCCAACTTCAAGCTTCAAGTGCTGAAGCTCTGAAGGCTATGGCGAGTAAAGAGTAACGCGATGAGAGCAACAGTAATCTACGATAACGATATTTTTCATCAAGCAGGTATCTCGCTGCATGCGATCTCGTCTTGTTTCCTGGTGCAGATCTCCCAGAGCCCCCCATCGACCTCCCGTACGCCCTCCATGATGTACTCGCCCAAAAGGAAGTCCAGGCGCAAAATTCCCTTCTTCCTCTCCTCCTCGCTAACAGAGCTGCGCTCGAGCCACGCCTCGGCGATGGCGGTGCGTGCGCGATCGTCCATGAGGATGTTGTGAAAGTCGCCGTCACCGATCTGGGTCATTAGACACGCATACAGCGACCAGAAGACCTCCGCGAGCACGACGAGCACGCCGTTGTGGCCCGCGACGTCGATGTACCACGGCAGACGCTTGTGGAACAGGCGTACCCGGGGCCGAGGGGGCGTGCATGTGGGCAGTCGCAGCCAGTGCGCGTGCGAGTGCGCTTGGGGGCCGGAAGGGGCGTCGCGGAACGTGATCGCGGTCGGTGGCTGACGAAGGTCGAGGTGCATAGGCGGAGTGAAGGGGTCGTGCTGAATGAACCGGTGCAGTTCTGTGGGTCCAGCTGGAAGAGATGTTGAGGCGCCTCAGTACCGCCAGGCAGATGTCGCACTCACCATTGCCCGCGAACGAAGCCGACAGCCGCGAGCCCAATAAGGAGAAGAGCCCGGATCCTCCCGGCATGGAAGACAGCGTGAAATCCTTCCTCCATTCGTCTGGTGGTCGCTTCATGGTGGGGTAAGTATTTTCGATTTTTTCAACGGGGTCTGGGTTGGGCAAAACGAAGAAACCGGCTCCCGTGGGCCTTGAGGACGAAGGTCCGGGAATGTGCAATGGCGGATCTGGAAGGGAGTCTTCTTCAGCTCGTTGCTTTTGTTGACGCAACGAAGCGTCCACGAGGGCTGTTATCTGTGTAGGATTGTATCCCTCGGGAGGGCGGGCAGTGAAGGCGGGAAAGTCTAGATCTCCGGGCGCGGCTCTTGGGAACATCGCGGGCTCTGCCTGACGGAAGCGTGTCAATATTTCCGATAAAGAGAGTCCTCCACTAACAACTTCTGTGGTATGCGAGAACTCGATGGCCCTACAGTAAGGGTTGGTCCGACTCGAGATAGACGATGCTGGCCACGTGAGAATCCGACGGGTGTAAATTTTGCCGACAACTTTGAACTATGTAAGCCCACTTAAAGGAGTTTAAAGCGGAGTGCGAATTTTGGAGCCTAGTTCTGATTCGGGCGCGAGTTCCAATCACGAGACTGACGCCTCGTCAACAAAGGGAAGCGCCGTCCGGCGTCAGCGCTCTCGGGCCTCCTCAATTCTCAACGAAATCGACGATCGATCGGCAACACCTCGAAGACGTCGAGGACTTCTTCCGCGAGGATGCGCCTACTCTACAGGCAGCTGTCACGTACCATCGTGAGGCGAGATCTGATCCTTCAAGGCTTCAACTTGTATGGGTGTGCGCAAACACTGAAGTGAGTTTGTCCGGCAAAATTCACCTTACGCTGGGTGCGATCTCGGGCCGCCTCTGGCCGTGGGGGCGGACGGCAGGGATTGGTCGCGGCCGGGGGGTTTTATCGTCGGCAGCATCGTCGTGCGTGCCCGTCGGGGATGGAACCTATCAGCTTATGCCCCATCGGTCACGACGAACTGAAACCCTGAGTCAAACATTCGCGGAGAGTGCCGGTGGTGGTTTTTCTTCGTTCATCACTTCTTGCGATCAGTTTACAATGGCTTCACTTACCCTTATCACTGTATCTTGCAGGGGACAGCTGCGTCCGTGAGACGGACTGACAGTGTCAAGCCGCTCGTCTCAGTAACTCGCGATCGGGCATCGCGTTCGCGGTTCTCATTCGTCTCGCGGCCTGAGAGAGGGTCCCACACTCTCTGCCGACCAATAGTACCAACGTCCAGACGAAACCCAACCGGGGGTCCGATCAAATGCCCACAGAAGCAGATCCACTACTGCCCGCCTGACACTGTGCTTGAGCTGCGGCGTAATCCATCTTCGCAGGGCCTGAAGGCGCATGTCTTCCGTCCCCATGCGCTGATAATACCCCCAACCTTCTCAATGTCGAGTCCGTCTCATCAGACAATCCCTACCATGTCTTCCTCTGAACCGCAGAAGCACCTCCGCGCCGCAGCCATGTAAGTGTTTCCGTGCCCGTTTAGGTGCTTTAAGCATGCTCACAATGCTCTTCTCTGACCAGTGGGGCCGGAATGGCCGGGCTCGTTCTCGCTCTGTTTCTGCAGAAGCACAGCCCCGACATGCAGATCGACATGTACGAATCTGCCCAAGCACTGTTCGAGGTAGGCGCAGGCATCGGCATGTGACCGCGCATTTGGGAGATCGTGGAACAGCTCGGCTTTGCGGAGGAGCTGAACGAGATCAGTTCAGGCAGCGCTGGGGAAAGTAAGCACGCTGCTGTCGTTCCGCCGTGTTACAATGTTGACGCTTCTCTACTTCCGCCCGTGTCGCTGTTGCATCCAGAACTTCCCACTTTCACGTACCACAAGCGCGACCAACCGGAAATGCCCACGCGCGCCGACGACCCACGCCGGCTTCAGCCCCGCGTCCGCGCCGCACAGCGCGAACTGGTGGACGACGTTCAGACACCGCTTCACGCACTCGACCTCCCGGCGCTGCCGCTCCCCCATGGACGCGGGGTTCCCGATCGCGGAGGCGACCGAGCGCGCGCGCGCAGTACCGTACCTCGTACGAGAACCCGGGGTTGAAGAACCGGCGGGAGGGCCCGAAGCGCATGTTGTCGTCGCCCCCACCGCTGACTGCACCAAGTAATCCTGGTCGGCGAGCTGCACGGTCGCGCCCGCCGCGGACGCTTCGAGCGCGAACGCAGCGCGGCGGGTGGGAGGCGAAGGGACTGGGAGGTGGAGCGGGGAGTCTTCGTCGGTAAAGGTTGTGGGAAGGACGTTCTCGAGGTGAGCACCGACTTTCTTGGAGGCGAGGGGCACGCTAGCGGGAGGCTGGTAGGGGGCGGAGTGCGGTGGTGCGCTTCGTTTCTCGGACGGGGGCGACGTCGATGGGGGTGTCCTTGTCCACGAGCAGGGGCAGCGCTCCCCATGCAAGAACAGCGAAAGCGGGGGAGAGCGGAGCATCGTCGGTCTTCGCAGGTGCGCAGGCTTGGGCTCGTCGGGAGGGACGTCGAGAGGTCGCCCGCTGCCATGCTCTGACGATGCCCTCAGCTCCTCGGAAGGCAGAACATCAGTTCCCGGGATGATGGTGGTGGTAGTACTTGCACCCGTCTGAAGAACTCTGCTCAGGTGCGTGGCGAGATGGCGTCTTTTGTAACCTTCCAACCCCCGCCACCCAGGATGAAGCAGACGAATGTGGGGCAGGGAGCCCTCGTCTCATAGAGGCGCTCTCGACCCCTGCTTTCATCGCGCTTCTCAGTCGACATCCAAATTTGCTTGCTACTGATGAAGCCCGGACTGAGGCATCTAGATTATACCAGGACTCTCGTCTTCTGCTCTCCTACGCCCTCCTCGCGCCCCAATGACTATATTGTCCCCGGTCCGCGGCCAAGATAGCGTTCTTCTCGCCGAGCCGCCTCGACGCTGGACGCCCGGTGCCGCCACCGGGAATCCTACCGCCGAGCGACGTCTAGGAACCTGATAGAGAGGCATGCGACAAGAGAAGCGGATTGAACGTTGTTACCCTGAGGTGCCCCATATGTCGTATGTTCTATCCATAAATTGTGTCGCTAGCTTTCCGGACTCATCGTTGGACGGCGGAGTGCCTTATGTTCTCCTTGATGATACAGTGGGAGAAGTTCTGTGACAAGCAGCTTTGGCGAAGTCGGCTGTAGCGCTATTACTGGTGTTGTATGAGCTCATGCGTCTCCTGTGTCGACGGTAAAAGAGTAGAGACTGAAAGTGTCGCGCTCGCGGTCCAATCGGGCCGGTGGTGCGACACGGGGGAAGAGGTCACGAAGGGGAAGACAGGGATAAGGTCTGTTATCTTCGGAACACTGGGGCTTTCGCCCTACACCTGTACTACTATATATACGTAGGGTAGTCCGAGTCAATGATACGAGGGGAGACGTGGAGGATACAGCGGGACCGAGACGAGGAGACGGAAGAGGAAGGGGAGTCGTGGCGATCAGGTGACCGGCGCCAACGCGCACGGGGACTGATCTAGCCGATCCGGAAGAGCGCACGTCTCATACGCCCTCCGACTATCGTAAGCATCGTCGAGCGATAGTCTACTACGACGGCTATCAAGAGCGAACACGAGAAGGAGACAGGAAACTCGAGAATGGTAAGCAAATCATCTAAACGTCAGAGTAGTCCGTGATGGGGCTAATGGTGAGGTCGTCGAAGACACCGGTGCACTTGTCCGTAGACACGAACGTGCTACCAGCGATCGCGACGCCTTCAGTAGCGGGTGTACCCGCTAGAGCCGTATGAAGCACCCCCGAACCCGAAGTGTTGGCCTCGCCCGAGGCCACGCCGGGTCGTGCTACGTCCGCGCTGTCCGGCGCCTCGGGAGGCCCGCCGACGAGGACGACCGCGCTGCGACTCGGGACCGGGCTCGCGATCAACAGGCTCGGGTTGATCGTAGTCACCACCCTCAACGAAGACCTCTCCATCGACGACCCACGCGCTGTCGAAGGGAGTTGAGTTCCCGAATGCGAGGTCGTGGGCAAGACGGTCGAAGAAGTCGTTACGTCGGAGCTGGGAAGGAACGGGGCGGCGACGCGGGAGTGGCCGCTCGGGGGCGAAGGTACGTCCATCGTTATAGGACCGGTCAGGAACTCGTTCTCCGGGCACGGCCTCAGGGCTTCGGTCGGGGAAGGAGTATCCATCGCCAAGAGAGCGGACGACGAATCGGGCCAGGAGGGAGGTGACGAGCCCGAGAACGGCCCCGTCAGATACTCGTCCAAGCTGAGAAATGGGTCCACCACGCCGGTTGGCAGAGTGATCATCGAGGTCGGTGCGACGCTGTGGAGATGGACCGAAGGAGACGCGTCGCGGAAGGGGAGTTCCTCCATGGTCGTCGCGTCGCGCATCGTGATGTCCTCCGGAAAGGGGGTCGCCGACCTGGATGGGAGAGTCTCGGGGAGCGAAGGGAGAGGAGCGGAGTCCAGGGGAGGCGGGCGCGGAGCGCGAGCGGTGAAGGGGCTCGCCGGTCGGCTCAGGGAGGTGTACGCGAGCGTTGCGCGAGGACGGGTGGAAGTAGAGCCCCTCGAGCGCGAGGGCATCGACAAGGGCGCGGGTAGCCTCGGAGACGTCTGCGAGTGGAGCTGGAGGATGGCCGAGTCGTGGGTCTCCTCCTTGCGGCGCTTCTCCGCTTTCTCCTGACGCTCCATGTGCGCACGCTTGCGGCTCTTGTTCCTGGCAATAGTAGAGTCAACGATTAACTCTTCCATTAGCGCTGTGCGCTCCGTGTCCTTAGGACGTACAGGAGCGGCCGTTGCGCGCGCGACAGCAGACCCGTCCGTAGCGAAATCGAAGGTGACTGCGGGAATACGAGACTTGCCCGCGTGTACGACTCCGTCGCTATCGATGCTGGCCAGCCCGAACTTCCAGTCCGGGGCTTGCTCGCGCAGGAGGTCGCTGAGGAGGAGGTGCTCCGGGGTGACGAAGAGAGGTGGCTCCAGGAGCTGACCGCTCATCTTGCGCAGCTTGTTGTCTGTGGGGCGGATGGAGGCGGTACCCTCTGCAGAGAGCTGGACAGTGATGCCTCCGTGCGAGTCGTCCCGGACGTACATGGTGCCGTCGGACATATACCTGATGAAGTCGGGGAACTCAGGGGAGTCGTTGCGGCGATGAGGCGTCTTGCCGTGGCTGGTAGAGTCGGCGTCGCGACCGGAGTCACTAACGACAGACATACTGCCGCGAGGAGGAAGAGTTGGAGGGGACGGATGGCGCGAAGAGGTCCGTTCGCGACCCAGCTGGAACTGCCGGGATTGGGGAATCGGGGGCTTGTCTGACCATTGGTTTATACCAGGGCTCGAGGCATGTACGGCCGTTTCCGCGCGGAGCGAGACGGCTCCGAGATGGATCTGCGGATCGGCCGGGGGAGACCCGGTACCCTCAGGTAAGCGGTCCACGTCCTCGCATCCCAGCGCTTCTAGGTAATGATGCAGCGCGTCCAGGTGCGCGACCGTGGCATAGGGTACCCAGGTGCGATCACCCGATTTCCACAAGGCCTCGAATATCGCGCTAGTTCCAGATCCCCGGTGAGTAATGAACTCCTTGATCGCCCATTCATTCTCCTTGTTCACAAGGTCTAATACCTGCGTATCGAGCCGTCCAGGAAACAGACGGTCGTCGTTGGGCTCGTGTACTCGCAACAGGGATGCGTGGAACACGTTATGGATGCCGCGCTGCTTCAGTGAGGCGGGCAGCTCAATCGCGAATGAGCTGTTGCCGAAATCGCGCTCAACGCGGTAAGGTCCGATGTACTTCGGAGCCAGCTTTCGCGCTAACCCTTTCGGCAAGGATATGTTCTTTGTGGAAACATATACAAGATCGCCTGCAGCAAACGGTGCAGGACGGCGATGTCGGTTCGCGTCGCGGGTCTGTTTTACGCGTGCCGCAAGCAGGCTGTCGTGAGCGGACATTACAGCGAGCTTGACGCGCTGCGCGAAGGCCCGCACGCCTGGATACTCATCGCGCGTTGGAGCGTTCCAGATCATAGGCCGGGGCATGCGCCCGGTATTGAGGAAAAATGGGGCATAGCCCGTCGCGTCGGATCGCGCCAGATTCAGGGCGAATTCAATCGCGGGTAAGTGCGCCACCCAGTCCTTCTGGTTGATGCTGACGCATTGCCTAAGCATCTGCGTGATCGTCCGGTTCGCGCGCTCAGTCGAGCCGTCCGACTGAGGGTGGTACGCGCTTGACATCCGCAATTTAACACCTATCAGCTTGTGAAGGTGCGTCCAGAACGCGCTGGTGAACAAGACGTCGCGATCGCTTACTATGGATCTGGGCATTCCGTGATGTTTGTAGACTTCCGAGAAGACTAGTTCTGCGACGTCCTTGGCACGGTACGTCGTGCGGCAGGGCACCAAGTGCACCATGCCAGTAAGTAGGTCTATTATCGTGCATATAGAGTCGAAACTACTGTCGCGGTTCTTTGAATCAGGCAGGGGACCAACGAAGTCCATGCCGATCGCTTCCCATGGTGCAGCAGGAACGGGAAGAGGGTTCAGAAGACCGTATGGCTTCTGATTTGCAGGTTTGCTTCGTTTGCAAGTCATGCATGAATCGCAGTAATGCTGAACGTCTGGCAGGATCGTTTTCCACCAGACATGGTCACGCAAGAGACTGGCCGTCTTATGCGGACCTAGGTGAGCCAACAGTGAGTGCGCGTGTGCGATAAAAAGCTCGCGCACGCTTCGTCCGTTGACAAGGATCTTTGGTATGCATAGAAGCGTTCTTCCGTTGTCCCGCAGCATGACAAGTCCGTTCTGCACACAGAAGTTCTTGTGCTGGCTTGGCGCGGACACGACTGCGGCGAAGAATGGGTCCTCGCTATACCTATTCCGCAATGCGCCCTCCAGGTCGAGGCCATCCGACGAGGAGGCGATGTGCTCGATGAGGGATGGTGCGCCCTCCGAGCTCCGCCGATCTTGTTCGAGAGGCGTTATGGCTTCTGATGTGGAGGAATCGAGTGCAACGTGTTCACGCATAGGTTCGTCACGTTGCTCATTAGCTTCCGGTTCGTCCGGGAACTCACTATTGTCCGTTTCCAAAACAGGACTAGCATTGCTGGGCCGCGACCGCTCCCTTGATGGGGTAGCTGGTCGTACCTCGGGCTCCATTGGTACCTGCAGGGTACTCGCGCCCTCCTGACGCTCCAAAGACGGTATCGCAGGAGCGTCACCCAGAGACGGAGCTGTAGAGGCCCGTCCATCAGTGGTGAGCCGTTCGCTTCGCGGCGAACGTCTTGCGTACTGACGCACTTGTGTCAGTTCATCGCCGCCACGACCGGGCACGCGCTCGGACAGAAGATCCGAGAAAGGTGCGGCGCGCGGCGCGCGCGGCACGCGTGTGCGTCCCGAACGACGGGCTGCGTTCAAGGGCTCGACGCCCTCTGTTACAGAGGCAAGCGCAAGGTGCGCGCGTCCCTCTGTGTCAACGAGCACTGGGCTCGTGACCTGCTGTACAGCAGGCTGAGACAGTGCCGAGTCGTGCTGTACGTATTCTGACGCAGCACGCACCGTCCCAGGCTGGTCATTAGAGTAGATTCGTGAGAGTGCGTCCGCGAGGACGTTCTCAACTCCAGGTACGTACTCAATGCGAAAGTTATACTCCGCAATTCGTTCTAACCATCGCGCCTGTCGTCCAGACAGATTGCGCTGATTCATTAAGTGAATCAGACCGCGGTGGTCCGTTACCCAGGTGAACGAACATCCGAGGAGGATGTCGCGATGCCTCTGCATCGCTTCGATACCGGCAAGCATTTCTATTTCATGAACAGGGTAGTTCATCTGTGCTGATGTCAATTTCGCAGAAAAGAACGCCGCGACACGTGCCTGTTTGAAGTCAGGGCCTTGTGACACGACGCCTGCAATGCCGCCATGTGATCCGTCCGTTACGAGCCAGATAGGTGGCGCATTCGGGGCATAATCAAGCGGTGCACGGCGGTGCTCACGGTGCGCATGGACGAGACGCTTGATCTCGTCGAATGCCCGCTGGTGAGTAAAATCCCACTTGAACGAGCTGTCGGAGCCTGTTAACGACGTCAGGATACCCATAGGAATCCGCACTGTCGCGATATCGTCCGCGAGGTACCCAACCGAGCCCAGGAAGCCACGCAAGAGCTCCTTCGAGGTCGGTACTTTCCAATTTAGCACGCAATCGACCTTATCGGGATCCATCCGGATGCCGTCAGGGTCGACAATGCGGCCAAGGATCTTCAATTCTTTGCACAGGAAGTGCAGTTTCGATGCGCTGAGGTAAAGCTGTTCTCGCCTCAGGATGTCGATCACAAGCTTACAGTGCTTCAGGTGATCCTGAAGCGAATCTGAATAGATCGCAATATCGTCAAGATAGACGTCCATGAAGACACCGATGAAAGGGCCAAAGAGGTGGTTCATTAAGGACTGGTACGTTGCGACAGCGTTACAATCTCCTTGTTGGAGTACGAGACTAACCATATTCCCGTCAGGTGTAGTCATGGCAGTGCGTTCGACATGCTCCGGCTCAACGCGAATCTGTTCGTAGGCGTCCTTGCCGTCGATCAGTGAGCGGAAGGTTCGCCGTGCGATGCGGCGCAAGATGCCCTCCATGTCTGGTAAGGGAGACGTTACTTTATGAGTATTGGCGTTGCGCTCACGCAAGTCACATACCACTCGCAGGCGCGGTGGCACGCCCTTAACACCAGTGCCCGGCTTTGTCAGGAGCAGCATGGGCGAGGTGTTGCGCGCATTCGAAACGCGCCATCGCCCAGACTTGAGATACGCGTCGCGTTTCTCGGCCCAGCTCGCGCGATGCGCATCCGGACAGCGCGACGGCCTCCAAGAGTAGATCTTGGCTTCGTCTATCAGCGGAATCCGGTGGTTGATCACACGGAGCGGTGGCAAGGGTGAGTCACTTGCTTCTTTGCAGATAGGCTGCGCGTACTCACGAAGCTCCTGGCGGGCCGTTTCGAGTTCGTCCTCGAGAACTTCCGCTGCCTGGGACTGCAAGACGCGCACTTGTGCGCCCTCCAGAGGGAGCGTTGCGGCACTACCGACCACCACCGCGGTTGGATTGAATCCGAGCGAAACCTTGTGTTGGTAGAGGAAGGGAGTGCCGAGGATCAAGTCGTAATTCAGTAAGTTGACAACGTCAAAATACCGCTCCTCCTTGATGCGCTGATATTCTAGCCGTGCACGGCAGCCATAGTTGATCTTCGCGCGCGATCCCTGAACCGCGAGGTGAACAGGGAGCGGTTTCGCGAGCTCGAAGACATCAAGATTAAGCTGGTGCGCAAACTTCGAAGACACAAAGTCGGCCAGTGACCCAGAGTCAAGCAGGGCGCGTGCGGGCTGTCCGTTGATGCCTATTACGACTACGGTAGGCTCCGGGATCAGCCTCTTGAGATCGCGCGGCGCGCCTGCATTGCGCTGGAGCGCGATGAGCTGGCCCTGCGTCATGGTGAGTTCACTTGGGACATATCCTCGAGTGTTTACCGCGCAGAGTTCTACAGCTCCGAGTGAAGGACGCGAGCGACGAGCAGTCTCCCTGAAGAGGAGGCTGATCTCGTCCTCTATTTCGTTCAGTCCGAAGGGTGGCGCACGCGTCAAGGTGCGTATTCCCTGTGCGAACAGGTTGCACGCGTCCATCTTAGTGTTCTCTAGGCGTTTGCGCGGGACGTCCACAGCGACGCGCAGATAGTAGTCGTACAAGCGCATCATTCCGAAGCCGACGTACCGCACGACAAAGCGGACAGGATTGTTGGTCACGCCTGGCCAGGGGAACGCCTCTGCGAGAGCACGTTGAGTGCCGATCGCAATTGCGTCGCCCATCGTCTCGCCGTCGTGGGATAGGAAACAATGCTGGTGACCCTGCGCAGGTTCGAAGGTGTGTACTACGATCTGTCGATAGTAGCACGGGAGGTTGAAATCTTTATTTCGCAGCCAACTACGCTTCAAGAGCGTGTCGAACCGTTCGTGCACGACGACATAGAGGTCTTCAGTTGTGCGGTACACACAAGGTTCGTATGGTTCCCCACTGTCGAAATCGATACCTAGACAGCAGTAGGGACCGTAGTCCTGAAGGACTTGCATAGCGCGATTGGCGTACAAGTCGCCGATATGCGTCCGCGTGCGCCCTTCGCGCACGGTTTGTGGCCACTCATGCAGATGCCATGGAGGTACATTTTCCTGATTCTCTTGCG